ATAGCCTTACTTATTAAGAATAATTAAAGGAAAGGTAAGCTTAGCTTAATTAAATATATTAAAAAATATATTTCTTTATATTAACTTTTTAATGTTTATAAAAGTTATAAGTTTACTTTAATATATAAGCTTTATATAATATATTTATTTATTTATTTTTAAGCATTATTTTTATTTATAAAATATATGCTATTTTTTATAATTAATGTATTTTTATATTATATTATTAATATAAATAAGGTATATTACTTCCTTACTAAAGTGCTTTTTCTTAATATAATAATTATACCTTAATAATGCTTTATAAAACTTTACCTTATATTCTTATTTATAATAATTAAAGTATTATTATAACTTAATGTTATCTTTAAAAAGCTTATAATTAAATATATATCCTTTTTATAATGCCTTAAAGTTATATAACCTTTTAATATTATTTAGCTGCTTTATTTTAATAATTATATAATAAGTTTATATTATAATAATATTATATTAAGAGAAAATATAAACTTTTATTATTATTATCTTATTTATTTATTTTAAGTATTTCTTAAAAACCTTAATTAAGTCTTTTTTTATAAGGGTTATAGAAATTTCCTTAAAAATAATTATATAAGTTTTTTAAAATATCTTAGCTTTTTTTTTAATAGTTTATAGCTATTTTATATTTTATAAATATTAATTTCTTTTTTTATTTATCTTAAATATTAATAAATAAGTATTATTTTTATATATTTTTATTATAATTACTTTATAAGTACTTTATATATATATTAATTACTTAAATTATCTTTAATAAACTTTATTTTTAAAGTTTAATAGATTAATATTTAATTATAATTATAATTTGCCTTTAATATTTAGCTAAAATAATTCTTATTAAAAAGGTAGTTAATAAGCTATTAAGGCCTTTTTTAAGGCTGTTATATATTTAAAGCTATTATTTTAATTATTAATAAGAATTACTTAAATAGCCTTAATAACTTTTTTTTATAAGTTAGCTTATATAATTAATTTATTAAGGTATTTTATCTTATAATTCTTTATTTAATTATTATAATATATTATTATAATTATTAAGATTTAATAAAAAGTTTTTACTTAATTTTTATTAAAATTATTTTAAGTTCCTTTTTTAAAGATTTTAAGTATAAGCTTATTAAAAACTTTATTATATTTTATTTTCTTTATTTAATATTTTATATTAATTTTATTTTTATTTTATTAATTATTTATTTTAATATTATAAGCTTTTTTTTATAATATTATAAGCTTTTTTTTATAATATTTATAATAATGGCTTTATGTTAAGTTAGCATTACCTTTATTTATTATTATTAAGATTACCCTTGTGTTATTGCTGCAAAAGTTTGCAATTATTGCGATAGGGTTAAATTAATTGCATTAAGATGGATTTTATCGTTAAAATATGGTTTTAAGGTATTATATGGGTAGCAGGGCGGATTTTAAATAAAACCGGCTTTTTCTTAATTAAAAATAAGAAATTTAAAATAATTATTATTAATTAATATTAATTTTTATTAATTCTTTTATATTAAATAAATATTAAAGTTAGCTAAAGTTAAATAAAGTTTAAAAAACTAATTATTTATTAATATTAATTATTTATTAATAATTTATATTAATAAAAAGTATATAAGTAATATTATATTTACTTATTATAATAAATAATTTAAATATTTTTAAATATTAATATAATATTAATTAAATATTAAAGAATTAAAATAACTTAAATATAACTTAAAGAAATTTTTATAATTAAGGAATTTTAAGCTTTTATATAAAAGAAATAAAAAAGGAAGTAATTAATAAATAAAATAATTAATAATATTAAAAAGTTAATTTGCGGTAAATTAATTAAATAATAATATAATAATTATAATAAGATTAGTTATAATATATAAACATATAAGAAAAATATAAAAGCCTTTGATTAATTATATTTTAAATAAATATAATTTTCTTTCATTTATTTAATATTAATTAATATTAATATATATAAAAGAGTAATTTATAATAAATTATATTTTTAATAATATAATTAGCATTAATTAATATTAAATGTATGTTTTTATTAAAGTTTAATTAATTAAATTTATTAAATATATTTATTAATTACTTTAAATTAATTAAATTATTTAAAAATAAAGAATTAAATATAATTAACATTAATTAATATTAAATTTAATTAATTCCTTTATATTAAATAAGTATTAATTATTAAGGTTAGCTAAAATTAATAAATATTATAAAAGTGCGCTACTTATTAATAAACTTTATTATATTAAATAAATAATTAATAAATTTATATATTTTTTTTTAAGTATTATTTATTTTTTATAATAAAAATAATATTTATAATAAAGGGTATATTAAAAGAAATAATTTATAATAAATTTATTATATAATATGGTTTATTAATAAATAATTAATATTAATAAATAACCAACTTTTCTAACTTTACTTAATTTTAATTAAGCTTAATACTTATTTAATATAAAGAAATTAATTAAATTTAATATTAATTAATATTAATAATAATTAACTTTTTAATTTTAATTAATTTTATTAATTTAAAAGGGTTAATAATATTATAATATAATTAAAAAATTAAGGTTTATATAAGTTAATCTTTTTAATATTAATTACGTTTTATTTTTTTATATTAATCTTGCTTTAATTTACTTATTTAAATATTTAATATATTAAAAATTAATAATTATAATATATATCTTTTATTAAAAAAAATAATTTTTTAATTATTTAAGTAATTAATAAATTTAAAAAAAAATAATATAAAACCTTTTAATATCCCTTAAATAATATAAATTTTTTATATTTTAAAATAAATTTTATATAAAAAGATAAATTAAAATTATTATAATAAATTAATAATTAATAATTATAAATTTAACTTAATTAAAAAATAAATATTTATTTAATATATTATTAATTAAGATAGTTAAGAATTATTTATATAACTTTTTAATATAAAAAATATATTTAATTTATTCTTAATATTATAAAATATAAAACTTATTAATAAATATTAAACTTAATGCTTTATAAATTTATAATTTAATTTAAAAATTAAGTTTAATTATTTTTATAATTATTAAAAATTAATTTATATTACTTTATAATATAATAATTAAGTATTAAATTATTAATAATAATTTTTAAAACTTTAATAAAATTAACTTTATAATAAATATAATAATTAAATTAATAATTATATTAATAATTATATTAATAATTATATTAATACTTATATTAATAATTATATTAATACTTTATATTAATAATTATATTAATACTTATATTAATAATTATATTAATAATTATATTAATACTTATATTAATAATTATATTAATAATTATATTAATAATTATATTAATAATTATATTAATAATTATATTAATAATTATATTAATAATTATATTAATAATTATTATATATATTAATAAATTTAAAAAGATTAAATTAATTTAATTTAATAATTAAAATAAATAATAATAATTATTAAATATATTAATATAAATAAATTATAAGTTTTATTATTTATAATTATTTAAAATACTTATTATTTTATTAATTAAGTAATAAAGTTAACTTTTTTAAATAATTAAATTATTTAATTTATTTTTAATAAATAAATAAATAATAAAATTAATTTAAAATAAATTTAATACTTTAATAAATATATTAAGTTAAAAAATATTAATTATTAAATAATAATTATAAATAATTATAAAAGTTTATATATTAATTAAGTTTAATTAATATTATAAAAATATATTATTAATATATTATTATATTTATTTTTAAAATATATATATAATAATAAAATTAATTTTTTTATTTAAGCTTTAATTAATTATATTATTAAGTTTAAATTTTTTTTTATATTTAAAATAGCTTATAATAAAATATTTATAATAAAAAATATTAAGTTTATATTTAAAGAAGTTATAATTTTTAAGCTTAATATTTACTTTTAAACTTTAATATAATTCCTTTTTATTTTTCTTTAAAAATAAAAGTTTTAAATATTATTAATTAATTAATAATAAGTATATAAGTAATAATATATTTATGTATTATAATAAGTAAATAAATTTATATATTTTAAAATATTAATATAATATTTATTAAATATTAAAGAATTAAAAAAACTTAAATATAGCTTAAAAAAATACTTATTATTAAGGAATTTTAAGCTTTTATTTAAGAAAGATAAAAGGGAAAGTAGCTAGCTAATAAAATAAGTAATAAGATAAAAGAGTTAATTTATAGTAAATTAATTAAATAATAATATAATAATTATAGCGAAATTAAGTATAATATAAAAACTTATAAAAAAGATGAAAAAAGGTTTAATTAATTAAATTTTAATTATATTATAATAAATTTAACTTAATTAATATTAATTAATATAAATATATTTATTTTAATAATGCATAATGCATTATATTTTTAATAATATAATTAATATTATTTAATGTTAAATATATTATTTTTATTAAAAGTTAATTAATTTAAATTAATATTATATACTTATTAACTACTTTAAATTAATTAAATTAATTAAAAATAAAGAGTTAATTATAATTAGCATTAATTAATGCTAAGTTTAATTAATTCCTTTGCATTAAGTAGGTATTAAGCTTGATTAAAGTTGGGTAAAGTTAGAAAAATCGGCCATTTATTAATATCAGCCACTTACTAGTAAACCACGTTATTATTATAAATATATTAATTATTTACAGCTTCCTTAACAGTAGATTTACCTTGAATTCCTGATTAAGAATTTACGATGAATTTATATAGAATTTACTAATAATAACAATAAACAGAATATTGCAATTCATTACATAAAACCTTAACATGAGCCTCGCGCCTGGGCTCCCGAGCCATCGGAGCTTTCCGTGGCTCTCTCAACGAATTCTTGGGCGCATCGCTGTTCTTTAGCATCGCCATGCTGGTTGCCGCCCTCTGCATGTCAGGTAAAGGAACAGCACAGCGGAGGTCACCGCTGGCCGGCGCACAGGTTCCCACAGATAGCGTGTTGTACGATATGATGCTCTCCATGCTGGCGGCGACTTTCTCCATCTTCCCCTTGACGATCCTGTACGCGATGCAGAGACGCGAGAGCGACTGCTCGTTCAAGAAGAGAGAGAACCAGGTCTGGGTCCGCAGGGCGGTGCTGGTACTCATATGGATGCTCGGTGCGGCCGAAGTCTACGCGTCCCTTCACGGGAATTTTGACTACGACCACAGAAACTACTACGACAGTGTTGACTAGAGGGAGAATTGCGACTGGAGAGGTTCTGTTCGCTACTGGGACGGGAGTAAGTCTTTTTCCATGTCCAGCAGGTCGACTATCCTAGAGATCCCTACCTAGGCAGCAAGCCCTCCTGACATATTCTCGTTCGCAAATTTCGCTGACGCAACTGGGTTTAGTGATAGCCACATGGTACCTCATTATCTGGGCCCCCGTGATATGGCTCATACTGACAGTCTTCGTACTCACTGGCTTCCGCATACCCGACATCCTTCACAAGCCGTGGATGATCCGTTGGCGGTCTTTCTGGCGCCTCGGGATCGCTTGGTTCAACTTGCTCGCTATGTGGGGAATACTAGGGTTTTTCACCTGGGTGAGGCACAAGATTGATGTGACGGTGGGCCATCTGAACGAGGCAAATAAATAAGCGCATTGAGCCTCAGCCTCAGCCTGAATAGGTTCTGACCTTGAATGACTTCAAAGCTCGAAATTCGGGTAGGTTCTTGCTCTGGCTACTTGGGCACCTGTCCTCTTCCAATTCATCTACACCTTCATATGTAGGTCTTTTGCTTATAAAAGGCCCTTCTGATAAATGCCTCATCTGCGCACGAGCTCGAGATCTGCCATTGACCAACTTCCAGGGGGCATTAAGGACGGTCTTGGGAAGAACGTACCTGCAGGTTATACAGTGCAACGAGCCGATCGGGCGCCCAGTAATCAACGTACAACCAGTGGAAAGGACAGATCGAACGACCCTCTAATGTCTAGATCCGAATTCGCAGAGGGCTCCCTAGACAGGGGATCTGAGCTCGAGATGGGGATTAGAGTACCGAACACAGGCTATCAGCCAGATTACCATGCGGCACAGGAGACGGAAGATGATAAACCCCAGCAACAAGCGATGGAGCAGTGGCACAGGACCGGCTGGTAGGCTATAGGTGTTGGACGGCACGGGTTCTACACATACTGCTAGAACTTTGATCTCGTACGACCTAAACCTTGGAAGCCTTGAAATTTTTGCCTGTTCAACAGCCGTCCGAAATGGGAATAGAAGCAGTGTTGTAAAGATCTGAAGTAATCGTGCTAGCTGGGACGCGAGTCTTTGATATTAAGAACCAAGTCGGCCGTCAAATGATTGCTGCTGGTTTTCGGGTACCAAACGCAAGAGATGCCGCTTTCGAGGGCGATACAGTGGAGATTACATAGCAGCCCCGCTATTTCAGATTGAACAATGCGCGTCGTGGGGTGGCGGCTAGCCAAAGGTGCGAGAGAGCCTTGGTGCCTGTCAATCGGGGTACTGCTAACATAACCAGCTAGAGTTCAAAGCTTTGCGGTAGTCGATCTCACTGTCGGGGCACGTTGACGGCCAGGGGACGTTGTAGATCCATGGGTTCCAGCTCAACGGCAAATATAAAGTGGGTGGCGATGGATAATATACTGCCGTGGTGTAGCTCGTGGAAATGGTTTGCCCTCAGCTGTCGATAGTATTGGTACCCGGAATGCGACCAAACAAATGCAAGCCGCTAGGAAAGCTTGCTCCGGATCCACTCTAGTGCCTCATCTGTAAAGGTGAAAGGGCTAGAGGGGTTAGAGAAGAGATACTGGGGTTTGTGCTCTGTTGATATTTGCATCAGTTCTACCACTCAGGCAGGGTGGGGAAGGGCATAGGAACGGCTAGAGAGAACTCCAAGGAAGGCTTCAAAGGATAAGATTGATGTCTTGGTAGTCTCATCCAAGGAAACCATAATTGTTGTTTCAGGATGGCCTCAGCACACAATCTTTGTCGACTTAGACCATTAGCCGGTTCAAGTAGCCCGGATAGGCAGCTCAAGTGGGGACGGGATCTGCATGGTTGCAGCGCGCCCGGCTCCCGAGAGGGTGACGTCTCTCACCCTCCAGGGTTCCGTGGTCGCCCAACGCCACCCCCGGATCCCAGAATCCCAGATATTCAGCCACAGTTCCCTGTTCATCGCTCGTCCCACCCCCCAAACACCGTCTTTACTCTCACGCGGTTTCCTCCCTCACCAACTTCCCGTTCCTGTCCTTACCATGTCAGTGTCACTGCGCGGCTGCAGAGCCAGAGAGAAGGAACCAGAAAAGTCATTCTGGCTCGAGTTCCAGGTCTGCAGCGACGCCCACTACGGCCACCAGGCGCCCCGGCCTGCTGCTGCGGCCGCGGCCGCCCCAGCCACATTCACATGCTTCGGTGACCTGCCCGTGGAGCTGCGGCTCAAGATCTGGGAGCACCTCCTGCAGCCGCGCGTCGTGATCGCGGCCTGCCTGGACGAGGAAAACGCCGCCGACAAGCGGGCACAGCTGGCCCGGCGGCCCAGCCTGCCCGCCACGCCGGTGCTGCTCCGCGTGTGCCACGAGGCGCGCGCCGTCGCCCTGCGGCGCTACGAGCGGGCCTTTGCGTGGCGCGTGCCGGCGATGCTGGTGCGGCCCCGCTCGGCCCCGGCGCGCGTGTGGTTCGACTTCTCGCGCGACACGCTGCTGCTGCTGGGCGAGCTGGAGCCCTACGACAGCAGCAACATCAACGCGCCCATGGTCTACTTCCTCGACCGGGCCGACGCGCGCCGCGTCAGGCACGTCGCCTGCGCCTTCGAGGAGCTGCGCTTCGGCGAGGTCGAGAGCGAGCAGATATTCGGCTGCCTGTTCCACGTGCTCGACTCCTTCACGGGCGCCGGGCGGCTGCTCATCACCAGCACCGACGACGACCTGCGGACGCACACCATGATCGGGTGCCTGCCGAGCTCTACCGACAATGTCGTGCAGAAGATCTGGTGGGCGTGGATCAACGGCACGAGTATTGTCACCAGCAGGATGAGGGACCGGCAAATTCTAATGGTGAGGGAGGACGGTCTTGCGGATTTCGTTGCCGAGCATATCTAAAGGTGTTCGGCGTTGCATCGAGTGGTCGGCCTGGGTTTCACATTGCTATCTAGCATAGATGGGAGCATCTGATGGCGTGCATATACTGTTTTTTTTTTGTTCTATCTGCCATAACAGCGCTTAGTGGATAGTGAGTGATGTGAGGGGATAGGGATGTCAAGCTTAGTCTATTTCCTTCACAAGGTTTGTACAGTGTTAATGGGTATGAGTGGCGTGAGAAAAGGAGTATCAATCATACAGGAAGAAAGGTTCCAGGGACCCCACCCCCGGACGCCGGCCATCCAAGCATCGCTTCTGTCATCTGCGCCGTTGCGGACGCTGCTCCTGATGTATCTCAAAGGCAGGACACCCCTCCCTCCCTCTCATGCCTCCAAGGAGCCAGTCAGTCAGGCCGACAAATTTTGCCCCGATGCCCCGGTCCCAGTCCCCTCCAGACTGGACGTGCTCGATCGTATGACTTAGCACCCTGCCTTCGCTGTCGAACTCGAAGATAAATAGGCCCCAGAACTCCTTGACCGCCTGCTCGCCGCCCAGCCGTAGCATGTCGCGGAAGGGCAGCCTCCACCCGATCCCCTTGCCCGTCGTCCTCCACCTCACCACCAGCTTCTCGCTGACGGCGCCCTGCCGTGTCCCTGGCTGCTTCACCATGCGCTCTGACATTATCTCGAGCTCGACGTCGCCGATGATGGGCAGGCGGTTCCACGCCACGGGTGCCGTCCACAAGGCGGCAATGTAGGCCACGCGACCGGACACGGTGGGGAGGTGTGGGTGGGTTGACGGAAAGAGGTGCAGGGAGATGTTGGGCGCGAGTATCTCTTGTGGGAGGGGAGACTGGAGGAGCGTCGGGAGTCGTTCTTGGAGGATGCGCAGAGCTGGGAGGCCTGGGTCAGCATCTCCGGGTTGGTAGCTATCTGTCGCATAGAACTGGGCGGTTCTGGGCTCACTTTTGCCTAACTTTGCTTTGCGATCATCTGGTGGTTTGCTGGGTCCTTGGCCCAGAGGTGGCGTGGTGTTTGCATAGGGGAAGGTCGGGTTGAACCATACTTCTGGCAGGTTCCGAGTGTTGGCTTCTTGGAGTGTGGTAAGAGACTTTGAGGTGCTGGAGGGGGGCACTGGAGCTGGTGCCGATGTTGCTTGCGACGCGGTGGGGAGGAAGCCTGCAAGAAAGGACCTCGACCGGCGGGCGGCGGCCCTTGTCACGACATTTTTGGGATGGGCTGAGGCGGTCCTCGAGAGTCGGGGAGCGGACATTTGGTGTTATTGCTACTACATGAATAGGGACAGCGGCCTAGTAGTAGCAGAGGTGTGGGGGTCCCGGTGGCCTGGCTGCCGCTGGGGTCGCTGTGATGGTGCAGAGCTCAGAGGTTTTGCTGCACAGGAGAAGGAAGCATTTGGTGGGCTTGGAGGAAATTCGGACGACGATGCAGATGGAGTTTCTGGTTGGATGCTGTTGAGGTGCAGCTCGGGGGAGACATGCACCCACCCATGGCTGTCTAAGCGAGCTCCAAAGCCCAACGGGGCGGACACTACAACCCTCCCTCTGCAAATCCGGCGATTCTGACAGGCCCCAAAACAGAACATGGGCACCCTGGAGCGCCCCGCATCTCCACTGCTTGATTGAATGAGATCTCCAGGTTCTTGGAAAGAAAACATGGGCCATGTCAATCCTCTACCGCTCTGCACAGCAGTGTCGGCTGGTGGGATGGTCTTTACAAGACCCGGAAACTGACCACTTGATCATCTACGATGAATCAACAGTATCATGAGCCGGTGCCGCCAGGCCGTGATGAAGTCTGCGCGAACTAGAATGGGCTTCGTCAAGACTGGGCCAAGTGAAGTGAGACAGACCATGGAGACTGACCTGCAGGATGCCCAACGTTCAGGCCTGAGGACTCGTAAAAAGAAGAGAGAAGTGTCCAGCATATATTGCAGGCTCAACGGACAGCGCAGGAAGTGCCCGGAATGGTTACGGCAGGGTTGCAGCTAACAACTGGCACCTTGCTCACGTCTAGTCCAGCCACTTCCAGGTAAGATAATTGGCTAGGTACCCAGTCACTTCTCTCTTCATCTGTGCTTGTCTCCTGTGGATGGGACGTGATAATCATCGTCGAAAACTGGTCTGGCTCAAGGAGATAGGCACAAAGACAGTAGCTGGCCTGCAGATGGTTGATCCCTAGCTGTCCAACGCTGGCTCTGGCTCGTCAGGATCGCATTCCAGCCAGGCCATTCACGTGAACCGCTCACAAAGCCCGAGGCAGGCCGGCCCCCACGTGGAGTGGCAACCGCAGTCAAGTGTCCAGTTGACAAAGAGTCCCAGGGTGTGGTGTGAGTGAGACACGCGGGATCATCAGCTGTACCCCTTGGCTCAGCCTGAGATATGATGCGGCAAGCGGGCCTTCTTTCGTCCTGTTTGCGTGCCTCTGCGAGCGCCATGCGGTCCCAGACAGCATATGCCACAGATAGTTATCCCACAGGAAGTTGTCCTATAGGAGTTTATCCTACATAGAGTCATCGCACTGAAGCTTATCCCCATGTATCAAGGGCAGACTTTCCGTGACGGAACCGTCGGGCTGTATGTACCCTGTAAGGTTGTCGTCACCACCCGGGCGTTTAGTTGTGTGGTGTGAGCAGTAGAGTGAAAGTAGAGCGGCAAGCAACAAGTTGAATGCGTGCATGGGGATTTGGACGAAGCTGCGACCATGCTATTGTTAGGAATGAGACACAGCTGCCGAAGACGATGTGTGAAAGACTGACTGTCACGCGTTACCAATGCACTCACTCACTCACTTAGGTTGTTATGTCTTCCTGCCCGTACTTGACCGGGCTGGCTGGCTGACGGACTGGCTGCAGCGATCGGTATGGGTACGTAGCCTTGCATCATCACGTGGAAAAGCGGGAATGTGGCCCGTGCCCAGGCGTGTACCGGTCTAGAGCAGCCTCCAAACAGTCAGTCAGTCAACCGACCTGCGGTTCCTGATGCAGCCTGTCCTGTCTGCCACCCTGCCCGTCGTCCTCCTCCATCAATCCATCAACCTTCCGCCATCCCCTTATCGCTGCAGTCCTCACTCCTCCATACCTACCTCAGTGCATACTCCAGAACCCACATTTGCCCAGCGCTCCGCAACACAGTCACCATGAATCCCGAGTGGTATGGCCTCCTGCCGACAACCTCCCGTCTCTGATGTCCTCGTGTGCTGACCGACTCCCAGAGCCTCTCCGCCCCGCCATCGTCCTTGCAACCTCAACAGGAATCACACGGGACCGACTTGACTATCATGAATGACTTTATTGACATGAACCAGATACGACTACCTCTTCAAGCTGCTCCTCATCGGAGACTCCGGTGTTGGAAAGTCCTGCTTGCTCCTGCGATTCGCCGACGACACTTACACCGAGTCCTATATTTCCACAATCGGTGTCGACTTCGTACGCTCTGGTCATCACCGCACCCAAGGCTCACCCCGCTGACGCTTTGGCAGAAAATCCGAACGATCGAGCTCGATGGCAAGACGGTAAAGCTGCAGATTGTGAGCCAGCCCAGGCCCATCCCCAACAACTGTAACGGCCGAGGGCCCAAGAGACAGCAGCTAATAAGGGCTCACCGCCACATAGTGGGACACCGCAGGGCAAGAGCGTTTCCGAACCATCACCTCCTCCTACTACCGAGGTGCCCACGGCATCTGCGTCGTCTACGATGTCACCGACATGGATTCGTTCAACAACGTGAAGCAATGGCTACAGGAGATCGACAGATACGCCACTGAGGGCGTCAACAAGCTCCTCGTCGGAAACAAGAGCGATATGGCGGACAAGAAGGTCGTGGACTACACAGTTGCCAAGGTGCGATTCCACCGTCAAGCCGCGACCGCTGCTGTGATGAGCACACATCATCACATGCTGGCGCTGCTATCTAATCGAGACTACCCCCGAGACCCACTTTACTAACTACAAAATAGGAGTTCGCCGACAGCCTGGGCATCCCCTTCCTCGAGACCTCGGCCAAGAACGCCAGCAACGTCGAGCAGGCTTTCCTGACCATGGCCCGGCAAATCAAGGAGCGCATGGGAACCACAGCCACCAACAACACCAAGCCAAACGTCCAGGTGGGCCCCGGCCATGGCGTGTCGCCCGGCTCCAGCAACAGCTGCTGCTAAGCGCCCGCGCCTCCCGTCTCGACAACTTTGTATAAGTACCGCGACCATCGCCAAAGCTTTTTTTGGGAGTCCAAACACTCACGACCGTCACGAGATGTGGGATATACGCGAGACGTGCAGGGTAGTCAGGAGTGCTGGTTGGCGGTCATTTTGGGATCCGGATTGCGACTTTGCCCCGTTTCGTGGTTTTCCCGCTGCTGTTTCTGCGCATAGATTGAAGTGATGGCTGGCAACTGGGGTTCTCTTCTACCGCCCGGGGCCCCTGTGCACGCAGCATAAGGCGTCATGATGGACGGGGAACCAGGTAGCTCCTAAGACGTACTGCTATGTCATGTCATCCTTGGACGGGCTGGTGCATGGAAGAGGAGGTCCGTTCCGAGTGGCGAATCATCACACATAATACATACACCACAGCTGGAGTTCTTTTTGTCGTTTTGTCTGTTGTGACTTTTTTTCTTTTTCTTTAATGCGTCGTTCTACCTGTTTCTAGGAGTGCTTTTACGACTTGGTCTTCGAGGATAGGATCATAGCAACGTTCAATGCGATTGGGCATCCCAGAGAAGTTTCGAAGAAAGCCTGCATGGCATCCGCATACTCAAGAGTCTGGGAAAAGGCCCGGGAATCCTCCTATGAGGCTCTTCAGAAAAGGTGGCAGGAGGCTCCGTAGAGCCCGTGCTTCGCCGGAGTCAAGGGTTGGTCCGACTGAACTGTTTGTCGTCGGTCCTTGTAGTTGCTGAATACATGAGACTGTGCGCAGTTGGGCCGGCCCAGAAGCCACTACCCACACTGCCACGGGAGATCAACATCCAGACACACGCGAACTCGCTCTCGTAGCTTCAAATCGATCTGGGCACGGAGCCATGCGGCCGGCACGTGCGTGGGGCCTCAACCTTCAGGAAAGCATATTGTAGACCGACAGTCGGTTGGAGAGGGGGGACGTGATTCGTTGACTGGAACGAAACGCATCTTGAGCCAACATCAACAAGGGAGCAGGCGAGGAGTAGACAGTTGGTGTCGTGACATCGGTTGACGGCCTGGACCGGGACTGTCACGGAATCAACAACGCGCGGGACCACGACTAGCGAGGCAAGGGATAAAGAAGTAGAGCACCAGGATAAATGATTATCATTGCCGCCGCGCCGACAGAGCCTCCTGGCCCTCCTCACCCAGCTCGCGGCTCATGTGGCGCGGGACCAATCCAGTCCACTCCATCTCTGTTCCTTAACACAGATGCTACCTTACTACCAGTACTAGTAGTACTACCACTAATACTACTACTATCACACAATACAATTACTAGTTAGATTGCTTTTCCCCTGTTGCAGGCGCAACATGAAGCAGTCAGGCGGCCAAAAGAGGGCGACGGTGCCGCCTTCTCTTGGGCCCGCCTGCATCATCGTGCACCCGAGCCTGTGTCCAGCTCCGCGGTCATTAGGTACAGTATTCGCGCAGCCAGTTGCAAATAGCTCCAAAAACACCATCTCAGGTTATCCAGATCTGACATTCCATGCGTTTGGTGCAACAAGCATGCGCAGGCAGAGCATCTCAAAAAACACGCCTTCCATCCAGTTCATATATGCAAGACGGGAGCAGACCAAACGTCAGCACCTAAAACCCAAAAATCAGTACTCCAAGAGTATTAAGCCATCCGGTTGTCTCAAGAGAAACATTTCGTCCCATCGATTGCATACAAACAGCCTTCTGCTGCCTCGCAGACGCCTTTTCCGTGCACGTCGTCTTCAGTTGGGGTGAGTCATTCCTTGCTGGGTGAGTAGTCGTCACTGTTGCTCGCCTCAACGGGCATTAGGCCAGTCGCTTTCTCTTTCGGTCATCGTCTCCTCGAAGGTCATCCCCGTCATCATTGTTCAAAATATGGGCCATGCTTCCGCGCCGAGTTGGTGGAGCTGAGCTGTCTTGAAAAATACTCCTTCGGCTCTGTGTCGCCGAGCCCCACTCCCAGTTCCTCAGCTTCTCAAACCCGTCACCATTCGGGAAGTTGGGTTGTGGCGGTGGTGGGCTCGATGGTCGAGAGTGGGACTGATGAGTTGCTGGGAAGGGATATTGTGAGAACGATTCACGACGTTCATCGGGTGGGCCAAGGTGACTAGGTGAAGACGGGAGATGGCTGGAGGGTGGCCCCGAGGAGAAAGGGGGCGGCTGGGGCTGCCATCCGTGAGCGCGTATATCTGCTGAGGTATGTCGCCGAGCGAGACTGCCCGGATGCTCTACAGCGGCGAGTGGGTGAGGCGCCGCAGGAGGGGGCGGAGGGGCTTGTGGACGTAGGGCAGACGGCGATTGCGCCGGCGGGGTGGAAACTTGGTTCATGGTGCTGCCGCCAATGGAGCCATACGGGCGACGTGTGGAAATAGAAAGATTGGAGGGGACTGATGGCCGGTAGTCGTACGGCGCACGACTTTGGCCTGGTGGAGCAAGACTCGACCTTCGCTGGTCGTCCTGTGGCAACTGCCGGGGCGAGACCGGCGCGTTCTCCACACTGCCGAGGTATGCACGGCTGGTCGAGTACGGTGCTTCGTGAGGATCTTCCAGACCACGGATGATCTCAACCTGACGCTGTATGTCTCCCCGTAATGCAAGGGCTTCAACAATGTCAGCTGCGTCTCCAAAGGCTCGACAGCGGTTGCGAAAGCTTACCGTCTCTGTGGATGGGGTTTTCGGGTGACACCAAGTTCATCAGAATCCGCGACTGTTCTTGATTAAAGGACAAGAGTCGGTTGACAGAGTCAAGGAGTGCCTGGTGTTTGACCTGCATGTAATGCGCGTTTGACTCGGAACGGTCAAGCCTTGCATAAAGATCCTGAACACTGCGCTCGATTCCAAAGAGCCTCGGGTCACCGCCAGCGTCTTGTATGGGCTGCATTGGCTCGGCGGGCGTCCCAGGCTGTGATGGCGGTGCCTTTTGGGTGACGAGGGCGTGGCGCGAAGCGCGCCGCTTGATCTCTCGCAGTCCGACCAAGTCGCCCCTCTTGAAACTGTTGTTTCCATGCTTGAACTCCCACAAGGGGTGCTCGGGGCTGCCATTGTGGAACACGTCGCTCACTGGGGCCCAATCAATTAGCTGTGATAGCGCCCCTCCTCTCAAGAGACAACGTACCCTTGTGAAAGCCATACATGTTTAGCTGGCGGACGAATGAAGAAATATTGGTGTGTTTGAAGTATTGCCTAGGGAGCTTCACGTCAGTGGGCGTGAACCCTGAGGAGTTGAGCGTCACAGGTCGACATACGCAAGAACCTTGGAGAATTCCGAGGTTGGCGACATGACAAAACTCTCTTCAGTGCCTGACCAAGATATGAGATGGGAAATGTTGCTGTCCTCGAGCATACTGTAAATAAGTCAGCATTGGCATGTTTGGGCGCCGGGAGGCAGGTAGAGAGGTGGCGCACTTATATAGCTTATGTATAAAAGCTGTCTGAACGATCTTGGGACCATGGACTGCTGCCGCTGCCGCTGTCGGCGCAGGCATTGTCATGGAGCCGCTTGCCCCTTGACCTTCTGACCGAGAGGGAGTACCATTGGTGTCTCGGTCCCTCTCCCGGTCGGGGCTCTTGGTGGCAGAGGCAGGCGCGGATGAGTTGGTAGGAGTTGTGATGTCCATGGGCTCGCTATCCGGGGCCGACATCTGGATGGTTGGCGTAAGAATAGGAACGGTTCGCGGGGCCATGGGGTCGTCTTTGCCATGCCCGTCCCCCAGTAGCGATCTATGCGGGCTATCCATCACCTGTGCCATCTGCGGGTAGAAAGGCAAGGCCGTCAGCATTTGGTCCAGAGCGGCGGGCGGGGAGCGGGAGGATGGGCGGTGATCGGCAGAGCGAAAGTGGACCGGAGGAGGCAACGAGGCTGCCCGGGGGTTCTCCTGGGCCACGAGACCTGGGGCCTGGAAGCTGGGAGAGGGAGGTGGGCTCTGCAAGGGACGAGGCTTAAACACACCGCATAGCTTCTCATATGGGGCTCGGAAGGTTAGGTGTTGGTTCAGGTCAAGGCCCGTTGAAGCGGCCCCTCTTTGTCTGCCAGAAAGACGGGCTTCCTGCCGCCTCCCGAATGACCTGGGAGCTTGATCCCGGGGCCCGTTTGAAGCAGCGGATTACCCAATGTGGAAATGCTGGGCTGGGCTGGGCCTCACAGGTATGCGCCGGTAGGTACTGCGTGTGTATGTGTGGTATATGTGCTGTATGGCTGGCGTGGGTGGGCAAGCTGTGGCCGACTGTCGAGCACACACGGGTGCGATCGGTCAATGCACCCCGGTCACAGGCTGGATGGAGGTGGGCACTGCAGGGCTGGTGGGTATCATGCCTTTCGAGCTTGGGCGTCGCAGCCTTCGCGGCCTTCGCAGCAGTCGCCGCAGCTGTGTCGGAGGGCGCGCGTGGTTCAAGTTGTAGCAAGAGGAGGCCAGGCTCGGCCTTGGCCCCACGGGCGCGTGTGTAGGTGGCAGAGTGCAGCGGAAAGGCGGTAGTATCTGGAGGGCGGGATGGCAGCCCAACCAGGCGTCGCGACAGAGGATGGGACTGGGAGTCGCAGGTCGAGGGCGACTTCGAGGGCGGAGGGCGAGAGGTCGGAAGTCGGAAGGGCGCTCTGGCTATGGCTCTTGCTCTGGTGGACTTGGTGCCTTCGTGTCGTCGAGTGCGTGGCAGGCAATTGGAGGGCGAGCTTGAGATTAGGTCGTCGAAAAGGAGCTGGACAATTTAGAGCAGGCCCGCTCGAGGTTATTAGGGGGGGGGGCCAAGGAAGCACGCCCAAGGATGGTGGTGGAGGGGGGGTAGGCACGTACCACATGGGCACATGCAGGAGAGGAGCACGGGGAGGAGCACTGGGCCAAGTCCAGAGTCGGCTCCCCACCCCGGCTGGGTTCAATGGTGGTTAAAAGCCCCGAGCAGAACTCTGAAGAGGCTGCTAGTGCTATATCTAGCATGCACGAGTGCCCACCTGTGGAGCTTGGGACAAGAGGGGAGGAGGGTACCTGGCCTCACCGCTTCATGACACGACGCTTGCAGGTAACTGGCTGGCGGGCTGGCAAGCTGACAGTGCTGTAACGGTACAAGCACGAGCAGGCCGGATACCCTCACCACATTAGGCGTTGCGCAAGAACGCCGTTGTCAACCAAGTACGCACTTACCTACAGCATGTAGACCATGTACGTGGTCGGCTACCCGAGTTACTATGTAGGTACTCGGGTCTGTAGTGTAGACTGCACACAGCACGCATGTGCCGTGCTGGTCTTTTCGTCTTCACCCACGCGCGTTTCCAATCCCAACCCGCGTTTTGCCTGATGAGGTGAGAAACAGCGGTGCTCTGGGCTGGGCTCCATTCCTGACCCGACGTTTGAGCCACCCACCAACCCACCCTTCCATTCAATCCATCCACCCAGCCCAGGCCAGCCAACCATCCAACCATCCAACCGTCCACCCAAGCAAGTATCCAACCCGTGGGGACGGGGCGGCAGGGCAGGGCAGGGCAGAGCAGGGGTTGCAGCTGATCGTCAACCCCACCTGCATCCCCCCAATCGAACATCTGGAAACTCGGGGTCTGGCCTTCCAGAAGCTGCGCAGGGACGAAGAAGCAGAGCGCCAGAGCGCCAGAACACCAGCTACCACCCACCCATCCACCCACACAGACACCCTGACACGGACGGTACTCAGTCTGCCTCTGCATCCGCATCTGCATCTGCTTCTGTCTCGTGCGGGAGGAGGAGGAGGAGGACGATGACGATTCCTTCACCACGTTCTCCCAACGCAAGCAAGTGGGCCAGATGGATTAGATGGACCAGACGGACCAGACGGACCAGACGGACCAGACGGACCAGACGGACCAGACGGACCAGACGAACCACCCACGGTACAACCACGCCACGAGATGCGATTTGAGCGATCTCGCTGCTCTTCATGCACTTGCTGCCTCGCAACCGTGTCAAACATCCACCTCCAACCTCGCCGCGACGGGATGATCTCGAGGGGACTCTGCCCGTCGGACTGCTGGCACGGCGTGGTCTCGTCTGTTGAGTTCTGAGGATTGAGGATCGGCCGGCCAGCCTCCCGCGCACCGTCACCTGCACACCACAGACTACACAGACTACGGTACCCGAGTAACTACTACGCGGTCGCACATGCCGTTTGACGCACCTTGGGCCTGGCAACTTCAGATTGTCCACCACCGGACGCACCCCAAGATACGATTCGCCATCACCTGCGCCTCGCTTCAGCTGCGACTCTGTGTCAAAATGACTTGCAGGAAACACGGGTGGAAGCATCAACGTCGCGATCGGCCCGCCCAACAGCACCCTCAAACTGCAAAGCACCGAAGGATGCGGTAGGTGTCACGAGCCGGCCGGCCCCCATTGTGTTACCGTCGCCTTCGCAATGCCTCAATTGCCCGTACAAGGACATCCATCCACCTAGCTACATCATCTCATCTTGCGAGTAAGGGACGGCCGGCCAGCCAGGACCGTTAAGTGTACATCCATATCTCACCTGCGGGTCTGGGAAGCCCGGGCCAAAAACCGACCCTGATGAACGCACCGGGGCAGGCCGCCGCACGGGCAGAGCTCGACCACTGCCAGGTGGCAATTGGACAGCTTCTCCGCCCGGGAACTAACCCGCCCGAACGAATCCAACACGCCCAACATCTGACATTCCCGGACAAGCCTGGCAAGCCAGAGCTCCCAGTCCGAATCAGGAAGCTTGGTGTTTCTGCTGGCCTGAAGGAGAACTAGCCTGCCTGTTGCTGTTCTGTATCCAGACCAGCCATGAAACCATGACCCCCCTGGTTGTCTCCCGTTTCTCAACGTCCAAACAACAACTTGGGGCACAGGCAGGCCACGCCAACCTTCACTCGGCCGACGGTATATTATATTGAACGAGCGGCATGCTGGCAAATATTGCATGTTTAAACTTTGGCGCCCGTACGATGTCGTGCAGCCCTGGTGGCCCCGGCCCAGCTGACTCTGACCAGCATGGGATGATGGATCAAGCTTCCCGGGCCCTCAGACAGAAATTTTCCCAACGGCAGTAGTAGCAATAATGGCAGCAGTCGCAGCAGCAGCAGCGCCACCAGCGCTGCACATCTTGAGCTTCTCGCGTCGAGTCCGACGACGCTGGCGCTGTGGCTGGGGTTCATTTCACCCTTCTGCATGTGCGACGCCGAGGTTTCGGGATGATCGTCTCCCTGACACACCGTTGAAAAGGCAGAAGCGAGGCAGCTCTCGGTGATATTCCACTAAAAGTTTCATATGTCATTGTCGAAACCTGGCATCTCGTCTCCCACGGGTTCGACCCGCCTCCGGGGGCTATCCTGGCGGCGATACTTGACCGTGTGTCACCTGAACCTGCACGCAAGAGTCCACATCCTGGCTGCAGTTCTCTGCATTCCCGAAACTCCCAATCTACTTCCTTTGATTGAACGTGACCGCTCTTTTCCACCGCGTTGTCATCAGCGAGGAGAAGTTGAAGGACGCAGCACCAGCATCGGCGCGCAGGATCGACGCGAGTGGTCGGCCTGGGGATGAATCCAGCCCGGTATCCGCGCTGCACACGCCTATGCGTAACATCATGCCAACAGGGCTGTCCTGAGGGCTCACAGACTATGCGTTTCCATGTCGTTGGCCGTCGATTGGGCGGAGCCTCAAACGCGCGAAAATAACCATGGGCAGCATGACCCAATACCACGGTAGATTCTCCCACCCTATAGCGCGTTCGGTATCTTCCGCCCGTCGTGTGCGCCTCAATCGGCCGTCCAGAAGGTTTCCAACTACAACGTTCCGTGACGAACTTGTTTCTGTTCTGTTCCTTGTGTGCGGGCGATCGCTCGTCCTGGTATGGCGCCCCTGGGTGGCTGATGATATGCACGACGATCGCCTTCCTTTTGCTTCTTCTCCTTCCGCCGCTACGTGTAGACTGCCGCACAACAACCCAGTCGTCCCCAGGCCCTCCCACTAATTCATCCTCGCTCCCCCGGCCGTCCTCCGCGATCGTCAGGGGCTAGAACGACGCCAAAGGCGCCGGACCCCTTCCCCCGCTCCCTTTAATCATGCCCGGCGACCTTTCCACGGTTTCTGGCAGCTGTCATAGCGCGCAAGATCGCCAGCAGATGGCCCATCTGGTTTCACGGTTAAAATGCACGATGCCTCCTGCATGCTCGTCTGTCAGGCCGGGACCCCTACCCGGCTGAGCCCATTCCAAATCCTGGCAAGATTAAACTACAAATACGATCTGCTGTCTGAGTGCCGTCAGCGGTGGGCCACGAATTAGGTTTGATGGTGTGTACACTCCCAGCTACGGCACCTTGGTGGGAGCCTCGACTGTGTTCATCGCGAGAGCCGTCTGTCATGACGAGTTTCATCGCAGTCATTGCCCATTGTGGCCTGTTCTCACTTCAGCAGACGCGCACTAAGAATCCGTGTGGCAGGAGCATGGGCAGGAGCATGGGCAGGAGCATGGGCACGCCCGGCTGTTTTCTAGCTGCCCGGTCACCTAGGTTCGTGCGGTCCAAAAGCTAAACCATACGTGGTGGGTATGTATGCCTCAGCATAAACAGTAGTACCGTCGTAGAGAGGCGCCACAGAAATCGTGCGTACGCCACCGTAGACTATATGTATGTCATCGAGTAGAGCAAACAATGCGCAGACCCGCCCTCCTGTCATTCCAGTGCCAGCAATGAGATAGTCCAAATTTGTCACCCAGTCACGCCTACGAGTCGTCGAAGTCCATCCCATTAGCCCTCTTGTCGCCGAGCTCCCTGATCTTCTCGCCCAGGATCGCCCTCCCGTACCTCTCGGCCACCTTGCCCGCGGCCTCGACCATCCTGCCCGTTCGGTCCCGCATGAGCTCCACCATCTCCAGCGCGCGCATGCCGCGCTCCTCGCCCTCGCGGCACTCGATCGCCAGCAGCTGCAGCAGCGCCTTGTCGATCTCGATCTCGAGCCGGGCCAGCGCCGTGCGCTGCGCGTGGCTGCCCGACGTCGACTCAACCAGATCCTGCACCTGCGCAGCCTGGATCCCACGCAGCATGAACTGCTGTTCGAGCCTGCGGGACTCGGAAGACTCCTCCTCGTCCGCCTTGAACGCGTCCTCGTCGTCGTCCTCCATGTCCTCGTCACCGTCGCCGGGCCTGGTCCTGGTCTTGGGCGGTGCCGAGGTGAGCGGTACGGAGAAGTCGAACTCGGAGAGGAGGGGTCGCGGGAAGTAAGGATACTGGTCCCCGCCCTTGAGGATGATGCAGTGGAACTTGTTGTCCGCCACCGCGATGGGAAAGTAGCTCTCGTTCTTGCGGCCCGAGGCCAGGCGCGGCAGGAGCTTGGTGTCCAGCAGAGGGGTCCATGATGCTCGTGACGGCTGGCGCCAGTGCAGGAGCGTCAGGAGTGTGCCTGTAGAGTCGTAGATGCATGGGTCCTTTGATTCTTGTCAGCTTGTCCGTGCACTTTGGCGGCTGGCCGTGACATGGCAACTTACCCCATTGTCAGAGAAGAAGACGCTCTTGACGGTGGCGCCCTCTGGTAGAGCAACCGTGTCTTCATTCTGACAGATTTCATCGCGTTTGACGTTCTCGATCGAGTAGAGAAGCCTTGTCCTACCATCGGCACCGCAAGGTCCGTTGCCTATGGTCAGAACATAGTCCCGCCAGCTGGCACACGTCACCATCGGAGTGCTTTTCGGCCGGTAAACTCGGTAGGGAATCCCGAACAAGGTGTAGACTCGCACGTAATTCGCCGACGTTGTCACTGTTATGAAGGAATCGCCCAAGGACATGGCCAGCACGGCCTCTCCCCTAGGAAGCTCTGTCCTCCAGTCATTACGCTGTGTCCATGTTTCATGCGGCCGATAGAAGATCGACGCTGGCGCATCGTCTTTTGGAGGGCATGCAAAAAGGGTTCCATGGTCGCTGAGGCATGCCTTGTCGTAGAGGAAAGTGTCTGTGAAATGGAAATCGCGGTGGAACTCATGATCATAGAACTCCACGGTCACTGTGTGGTGCGTGTCCTGGTCGACAGTCCAGACGAACCCGATCAAGTTCAGACAGAGGTACTTCCGGTTCCCACGCCAGGGAGTTGCGCCTGGTTGGAACGGCTCGTGAAACCGCGGCTGGAGGACATTGGCCCGCTTATTTGGATAGTCGCCGAAGATGTCATCGTCGTCAGCCGGCCTCTTGCGGCCTAGAGTGTATCCAGCGCCGTCGTCATCAATGACGAAGTTGTCGTCGTCTTCTCCAAAACCATCATCAAGCAAGGAGTCCAGATCGTCCGTCAACTCTGTCCGAGCTGCTTCCGGGCGGGTCTTCTGACCGTTCACTTGCGGTCTTCGGCCGTTGGCTGCTGTTTCGTCCAGAGGGTCGTGGATGAATGGTGCTGGCTGCCTTGACAATTTCAGAAGAATGGAGAATTGGCTTGAGATAAAATCAGGGCAGATATAGACCTCGCCGTCGGTGGTGGTCAGGGATAGTAAGTTATTTGTTGGATGCCACGCAATGTCGATGACATTCGGATATTCGTATCTTCCGATGACTGTCTGGTCCTTTGTCTGCCAGATGAGGACCTTCTTGTCCTTGGCTGCCGTTGCGAGCATGGCTCCGTTTGGTGACCAGGCGATGGCAGTAATGTCGCCTTCGTGCCCGTTCCTGAAAGATCGCTGGTTATCCCAGTCATTTTTGGAGACGACCTGGATGTCTCGAATTGGCGTGGGAACTGCGAATGCCCTCCCGTCCGGGTGCCAGGCGACGGAGGACGACGCGTCCTCATTTGTCTCCAACGACCCAATCGCCCCGTCGACCTTCCTTATCAGCTCGGGTTCTTCTGCCGTCATTGAGTAGACATAGACAACGCCGTCGGTACATGAGAGGGTGAGTATGCTGCCCTTTGGGTCAAAGGAAACATGCTTGGTCGGCTTCCCGTGCTCCTTCAGGTGGAATATCCTGGAGTTGTCGGCGGTTCCGACGACCTTGACGGTGAGCTCGTCGCTGGCCACAGCACACAGCTTCCCGTCCGGAGAGAGCGCAACATCACGCACAGGGAGCGTGCAGCGCGTCAGGAAGCGCTGGAATGTGTTGGTCTCCAAGGAGTACAGGCTCACAGTGCCGTCCTCGGAGCCGACTATGAAGAAGTCATCATTGGCGGCGACACTGACATTTTGCTCCTGGCACTCGTCGATGTTGGTCGGCTCTCCATCAAAGCCAGTCTTGTAGATGCGGATCGTGTTGTTGGATCCGACGGTGACCAGCTTCGATCCGTCTGGCGTGTATGCACAGCGAGTTGTGCCTTGTGTATGAGCCGGCCGAGGTCGAACACGTTGCGCAGCCGAAGCCATGATCAGAACTATTCAACCAATGAAGACCTCCTGCGCTGTTGTTGAACGGCGGCGACTTGGTCAAATGATGGATCTTCGAAACATTTGAAGTCCATGGGCTTGAACGCGCCCCGAGGGAGCGAGACGCGACGTGGGGCCCCAATTAAGGTCGTGTTGACAGGGGTGCCATGCTCCACGGCAGGGGTCTGCTTACTGCCCCACTGCAGGTCCTCATCGTGCGCTACAGCATTCACAAACAGTGATCTGGGACCCTCTCCAGAGCTAATAGCGACGACGTATTCCTGGCCTACCAGGTGTCGGAAAATCCCACATCTTCCTCGATATATCGGCTTGTTCCTCTCCGAGAAGCATCTCGCCATCAGCCAGGCTTTCTCTCCTTGTTCAAGGGGCGCTATTTGTCATCAGGAACTTGATCCGCCCAGGCTACAACGGCAGCGACACAAAAACGCCCTGCAGCTATCACCTACATTTCCAGCTTCCCCGGATTCAGAGGAGCACAGGTATTGCCACATACAAGCGGGATCCCTCGCCTCACCTGGACAGGCGCCTGCAATCGCGGCGCAGGTAGCAACACAAGATGAACTCATCGGATCCGAGGCACTTCTTTGAATCAGAGTGAGTATAACCACACAACCCAGCAGGCCGGTCTGTTGGAGAAATCAAGGAACAAAGGCCAAGAAATGCTGATCGGAATAACAGTGCCCAACGGAGCAAGAGAGAGCGGCGGGAGGCCAAGTCGAGCAACAAGTTCGGCAGACCTGTTGTTCTCAAATCGAAGATCGCGGCAGCCTGTGTGAACCCGCGCTCCTCCTCGAACAGCGTCTTCGTTGCTGAATCGGCAGGCTCTGTGAGAAGGGTCGACGTCGATGATCAAGACTCCAAGCCTGTACTCTACCGCGGCCCAGCCGCACCAATCACCTGCTTGACGGTGGGCGGCGCTCAGGACGGAACCTTGCTTGCCGGATCCTGGGACAGGAATGTGTGGTCGTGGGACGTCGAGACCCGTCAGCATGATCACAAGTACGTCGGCCATTCCGACTTCGTCAAGGCCGTCGCCTGCACCAAGGTTGGCGGCAAGGATGTGCTCATCAGCGGTGGTGCCGACAAGAAGATTATGGTGTGGGACATGGCCACGGGAAGCCGCCTGCACATCCTGCAAGACTCGGTGACGGCCATGCTCGCCGTGCAGTCGCTCGCCGTGGACCCTACACTGAGCTCCGGGGACGAGGCTGTGATTGTCAGCGCGGGCAGCGACCCCTTTGTACGGAGGTGGAAGGTCCAGTTGGACGGGTGGGAGCAGCTTGTGGATGCCGAACCGGGGGCTCAAAATGTCGAGCGGAGGTCGATCAAGGTGCACGAGACTGGTGTTTACAAGGTGCTCTTCGACACTTCAGGCGACGAGGCAGATCTATGGACGGCAAGTGCAGATGGCTCCTCGAAATGCTTGTCGCGTGGCAAGGGCTTCAGTACGGAAGACAGCTTCGAGCATGGCGACCACGTCCGCGCTGTGGTTGTCACAGACCATTGGGTGGTCACGGCGGGCAGGGATGAAGACATCAAGGTCTGGGATAGGGCATCTGGGAAGCTCTATTGCTCTCTGGAGGGCCACTACGATGAGGTGACGGATCTTGTGCTTCTTGATGGCGGTCATGGACAAGAGAAGAGACTGGCTAGTGTCAGCATCGATGGTACCGTCCGCACTTGGCCGCTTGACAAGGCTGGCATCGATACTGCAGTGAAGGAACAGCGAAAGGCTGTCACCAACGGGGCTGGAGGCGACCAGTCAAAGGAAGAGCCGGAGAAACTGCTCACCGCAGAAGAAGAAGCGGAGCTGGCGGAGCTCTTGGACGATGATTAGATCCCGGCAGCCTTGAATTTCACCTCAGCGGTATCACCTCGGCCTCTTCTAAGCACGGTCTCCTATTGATACAGGTTCAAGCGTATGCCAGACGATCCAATACCCGCAACAAAGCGCACCGCATTTGATGTGCGAAAAATTACGCCCAGGCGACTCCCCCTTAGGCAAGCATCATATGCCGAATTCAATCTTGACGCGCTGGTCGTCTATCGAAAAGGATCTTTGGCATTCGAGTCTGCAGGACTCGAAGTAATCTCAATTTCCGTGGAGCGGTCATGCATCGGCAGCTCGCATGCAACGGACACAAACTCGAGAAAGCCCTACGGTTGGTCTCTCAACCGGAACATATGAGATCAGACTGATCTCATCATTCTTTGCATCAAAAGCGTCAGAAAAGACAATGCGCCCTCCCCCCTTGCCACGAGTCCATTGTTGACCTGTCACTGGCTTTTGCAACAGGCGCAAACGGGCCCCGAGTGGAACCCAGTGTCCTGATGCCTTACCATCAATTAGTGAGCGTGCCTTTGACCACGACCCTGAAGGACGGACTTCAGCCCAGCGCAAAGCGGGCGAATGTCTCACAAGTACAGCACGGCAACCCGCAACCAATGCAGGAGAGCGCAGGGGTTCAGATTCTCGCAGATACTCCTTCTCCGCGCCACACAAAAACGAGAAGTCGGTAAATGATGGGTGGGAACCGGAGCCAAATTGCACATGTCTGCAGACACCAGTTTTGAGAGTTCCTGAGGGAAGGAGGGCTACACACGCTCTCATGGCAGCTGTCTAACGCGAGGATAATCAATCCGTGACCTAGGGCTCCCAATTGTGTGAGACGGGTCGGCCACCTGGTCGAAGATATATGGGAGATCCTCATGCAGATCCTCGTGGCGCTGGGTTTATCATCATCCCCGCTGTGCCACATTCCCACCACGGACAGTGCCTGCCTTTCAGCTCGCAAACTCATGACTGTTTGAAACGGTGCTTGGCAGTACACTCGTTACGCGCCAATGCAGTGTAAGACGCGCACCCACAAGGAAAGGCGACGGCAAAACCTGTTCGAATCAGTCTACTGCGTAAGAACACGAGTGCACCGTCCCTCAGCCTTCGGGTCTAGACATCCTGCCATTGGCCGACGGTAATTACGGCTCGCCACACATCAGACATGATTACCTAGTACTTCATCTCTCCGTGTGCGACCTGAGTTGCCTATTCTCTCTCACACCTCACTTCTGCGCTCCCAAATGAACGTCACCATGGCCACCCGCCCTTGTCTTCCTCCGCCTCCGACGTGGATTTGCCCTGTACAATATATGTACATTACACTGTACACCCCGTGTGACATAAGCCAACCTGGCAGCATAAGAGAGGGTCATGTACAGGAGTTGTTCTTCCTTTTGGGGGAGGGGGTTCCCCGGAGAATATCGTACCGGAGGTCATGATGCCACAGGAGATTAACCCACAGGGGGCATCCCACAGGAGGGTATCACACAGGCGGGTATCCCATAAGAGGTTGGGAAGCTGTCACAAGGAGGGCATTCCAAGGAGGGCATCCAAAAGAGGGTGTCCCAATCGCTTGTCGAGTCACAGGGTGCATCATCCTGGAGAACTTCCGCCTCGGACCCCTCGTCTGTCTCCTTGCAGCAAAACAGACGAGCTAGTTCAGAGGCAATGGACTAACCAACGAGGTATACTATTGATGATCACGCATCCGGCGCTTGCGTGAGAAGGGCTAGCACATTGCGGGAAGGGGACTGCAGCAGAACCAGCAAGCTAATGTCGTGCGTCATGAGGCTGCGGCTGCCATAGGCCACACCACATGTGGGCTTTTGCTAAGTGCAACCATCCCAGCGGCCCTGGCGGCCTGCGAACCAATTCCCAGCAGGCGTTCGTCGGAAGGCCTACGGACCTGGCGCTGGTACCTTGCTAGACGCCTTCCGGCAAGGTCGAATCTCGGACCACCCAGCGCCCAGTCCATCTCGCGTCTTTAGATCGATCTGAACGACTACTGACAACCTCTACCAATCCAACGCTCGGACGGATGTGAGCTGTGACCTGCATGCTGCCCTTCCTGTGCCTCACGAGCGCTCAGGCGCGGCCTGTCTCTTGCTCATTGGCTGTCGGCGAGAGCGATGTCGTCTCTAAGCTGTCCAAGGAGCCGGAGCCGGCCTGGCCTGGACCGTTTGCCGTTAAAGCTCGAGCCATGCTAGACCAACATGGTTGGCATGGGTGCGCTTCTGCATCATTGCCATAGTCATTCGCCCATCCTTCTCACGTTGAACGAGCGAAGCCACTGCCCGCCCATCTTTGTCCTCGGGAGGGACCTCGCTGTGGGCCACCCGCTCGCCGCCCAGGCTCAAGAGCCAGCCAGAAAAAGGAAGGGGTGGGAGGAGTAGGTAGGACAGGTGGGATTCTTGTCTTTCCTCGCGTCTTCTTTTCGTCTTCTCTGCCACCTTGTCTGGCCATCTGCGCTGCTCTCATGCAAGGTATTGAGTTTGTCGGCTCCCTGAGCATCAACTTGACCCTACGCATTCGGTCATCATTCACGTTGCATTCACCAATCTCACCTTGTTACTTCCTCGACCTGCGTGATTACGCCCGCTCCAGATGAACACATTGGGCACGGACTGAGTCAAGCTCCTCGTCACTCGCCACCCTTGATATCTTGATTTGGTCATTCACGAGCATTGCGCCCGGCGCTGTTATAAGCATAGAGCAAAAGTATATCACTTTCTAAAGGCACCAGCCTCCGCCAACACCCAGTACTCAGTCTTCCGCTCACCGAAAATCAAAGGACGACTCGGGCGACCCCTTGAGGCTTGGGGTAACCGACATGGAAAACCGAAATCATAGCTATGGGAGCTTGATAGCTCTCGAAGGGTCCCCCGATGCCGTATCAACACAGTTGCGGCTGCTGCCAGTGTCTTCTCAGCTTTTGGTCCTGCCCAGTCTCCAGGGCTACATGGGAGAGGCCAGTGATGGTCCAGTTAAAGCCCGCTCCTTGATCAAGCAAGTACACGATGCGGCTCAGAAGAGGCATGAAGCTGCCGTCCAATTCCTAAAAGACGCGAGTCCCACCAACAAAAGGCTTGTTTTCCTGAATGGGGGAACGGCAGGCGCCGTGACACACTGTATAGCAGCCATCAGCGAAAACCAGACGGCCGGAGACATCCACCAGGCAGAATTGATGTTCAGGAATATTGCTCTCGAAGGGCTTAGAGGCTTGGATCGTGAAGACAAACAATCGGACCAGGCGACACTGTGGATGTTGGGCAGGGAACAGACTTCTGGCGACTCAATCTTGGATAGTGAGGAGCCCGAGGATCCGATAACCAAGGCAATGAGGGCGGCTGATCTCCTCTACAAAGAGACCGATTCCCTGCAACCGATCGACTGTTATATAAGAACACGTCCACGGAGTCTGAGCCTGCCCATGTACGGATACTCGGATGGGATGGGCGAACCGTCGCCCTTCTTTGTTTTTGGACCGGCACCTCACGAAGAGACTCAATTTCACTCGGATGCCGACGACAAAGAGCCGGGAGGCCATCAGGGCATGGCAGAGGATGAGTTTGCGAAGCTTTGTGCGATCAAAATCCAGCCCGGCATTTCTGAAGACAATCCGCCTGTCCACGAGCATGCAGAAAGCTGTGCAGGCGAATCGTACAGCCACCGTATCGCAGAGGCAAGATCTTCAACGCGTAGATCGGATGCTTTTCTGTCGCCTCCTCCGACTCCTGATGGCGTTGTCTATGGCGAGGCACGGGTGGTGCAGATGCGGGCGTCAAAGACACAGGTGACATTGAGAGAGACTCGGTCACTAGACGACCTGGAGTTGGAGCAGACTCGATCCCGTCGTACTGACTTCGACGTGGCCTCGATAACGGAGCAGGTGGCACCACTCGCCGATAACCCAGAAGCCAAAAGCCGGCACTTGTCCATCGCCGACAAGCCATCTTCAGCAAACGCCCTTCTTCATTTGCCTCAGGCCCGGTTTGTCAAAGCTCACACGACGACGATCCGAAGGTCTCCCACGTTTGTGAGGCGCCTGCCAAAGCCTGCGAGGGATTCTTACGTCCACCGAGGGACGGATGCAGCAGACTTTCGGGAAGAGAGACACGAGCTAGACGAGCCATTCCAACCTGTGCTGCCAGTCGTTGAGGACCTTGTGATCCACATGACTGACCAGACTCCTGATGCGATTCTGGGCATGGTGGTCCAGTACTTCAAGGCCGGGGCGTTTCCTGTCGTACCATTTCCTGCTTCATTGCAGACTGCGCCAACCGACTCCTGCCCTTCAACCCCCCGGACGGCAGACCTGTTCGATCTGGAAGATGTAGATGCAGGCTTATCTCCGGTGATTGAGCATCCAGGGGCCGAAGAGATAGGGGAGTACGACCCGTTTGCGGCGCGGGGACGCGACGTGCGAGCCTCTAGTCTTGCCCTTCAACCACCGAGCCCACCCCCTCCGGCAAATGTGCCACCGGATTCGCGTCAGCCACCCATCACAGCTCCGACATCTCCGCCGACACAAAGAGAGAAGGAATCCAGGTTTCATGACTTCTCGACAGCAGGACGACCGAACGCAGTCGCAACGCAGAACGCACTCAGGTCTGTGTTGGAGGTATACTTTCCTCCTCCGGCAGACAACGGGTGCGTCCACCATCTCGGCTTCCCAATGTTTCGCGACATTGGTAGCCTGTGGCGGCCAATTTTCGGGAACAAAGAAGTCTGTGATGGTGACCGTGATGAGAATGCGCCGGATATGATTCTGGCGATGGGACGCCAGAAAGGTGTAAAGAGGGAGTTCCTGTTCACCCTCACCGGCCAGGTTGAAAAGCTTGGCGCAACGTCAAGTGGCATGTCTCGAAGCGGCCGGTTGGATCTGAGGTATGGTATTTGCCAAGATAGATAGGATTGTGTGAGACTTGGTTGCTGATGCGGTCGCAGATATCTGATAGCCAACGCGATGCAGTCCCTTGCTGCCCAGCCACTGGCTCACCAAGCGCAGAATAACCGGTTCGACGACCACTACCTGCTGGCCGGCCTCATAATCCCTCACCTGGAGACGTTCCTGGCAGCGAACTATGGTACCCGCTTCCTCCTGCTCGACTATCCAGCCGAGCATTTAGCTACGGTCCTGGCTATTCAGAAATTGGTTGGCGCGGCGGTCTTCAAGGTCGCCGGTATAATTGACTCCGAGGCGACTTCTCCTTCCCCATCTGGCATCTCATCCCCGACCTCGAGCAGACACAGCTCTCACTCCGCCGCCCCGTACGGCAATGCAGACACCAATGGCCTGGACTCGTTCAACCTGCCGGGCTCCCCCTTCCCAGATGAAAGAATAAAGACATCACTAGCCCACCAGAGGAAGTGCTCTTTCTCCGAAGCCAACTACCTCCTCACCAGCTCGGCCACCGAGTCCGAGATTTCAGTCTTCATCGCGACCATCCTCAAGGACCTCACCGACGCCGACCCCTTCTACACGCCCGAGATCAGCATCCCTCCGCCCGCCCGGCCCGGCACAGCCAAATCCACAAAGACCGCCGCCGCCCCGGGCCTGCCAACCCTGATGAGCAAGTTCACCCTGCAGGGGCCCAACGGATCGCCCGCATACACGCACACCGCCGTCTTCGGCCCGCCAGCGAACCTGCCCGTGTCGCCCCCGTACACCAACGACGGGGACGGCGGGTCCGGGAGGAGCACGCCGCGTGTCGTCACGGCTCCTGGGGCCGCGGCAGCGGCGTACAACTTCCCCTTCCCGCCGCCTCCGGCCCCGCGGTCGCCCTCGCCGGCCCCATCTGCCGCCAGTTCCAGGTCCCGCGGGCCCGGCGCTGGGCCGCGGGCGCGGGCGCGGTCGCTGACCCGGAGAAGGCTGGGGAAACTAGGTAACGAGGGCGGCCCTGACGATGGGGCTAGCATGTACGCCGTCAGTGTCGTGGAGGACGGGGAGTTCTATGACGAGGAGGAGAAACGGCTGATGCCGCTGTATATGCGGCAGAGCGAGTTGAGGAAGGGTAATAGTCGAAAGGCTTTGAAGTGGCTTGGTTTGGCGTAATTTGATTTGGTGATATCCCTTTGCAACGAGCATTTGCTTTGTTTTGCATTCGATCTTTGCTGCTTCGAGCAATCTACCCAGGGGGCAAGGACGGACTCGATGAATGTTCACTGCGCGGCGATCACATGTATAACATAATTAGCCCTGTCGTTTGTTGTTGTACTATAACTATGGGGGAACCCGGCCAAGTGGCAAAGTAAATAGCGATTCAATGACAGAAGCAGCTGGTAGAAGTTGCATGAAGCGCGGATGATACCTACCTGCCTTTAGCTAGCACTCGACGGAACCATTCAACGGCAGAACTATCCAAGTTCTGCTGCTGAAGAGAGAACAAAAGCGTCCATTTTGACATCCATACCGTTGTGAGTGGATACGCGTGAGCACTACTCGCCAGACTGTGTTCTCTTCGCCCTCATTCCAGAGTCGAAGTGCTTAGGGGGCAGGTGAGGCTGGCCAAGTAGAATGATCTGAGCAGTATTTGGAAGGCGTCCCGGCTGCGTCACGCCAAGATTATTTGCTACTCCGCCTTACAGCTAGTGGCAATCGAACGGGCACATCTGTGAGGTCATCACATGGTGTTGACTGCAATGTTTTACACTGCTGCCCTCCATTCTGAAGTTTAAGGAATTACACATCTAGGATCTATTCCAACGGCGGACTGTTCAGACGGGAATTAATCCCAGGATAGTCAACATGGGACGAGTCCACTCATAGCTAGGTGCTCTCACTTTGGTCTGACTCCGATTAGTTACGTATTGAGGATATGAATTTCACTCTCGAGGTACCTCGGGCTTTCTGTATCAAGAACATTTGCATCATTCGGTGGTGAATTGGCCGAGATACGCTAGCAAACACGGGGTCGATTGCATAATATCAACCGCCGGCTTCTGAATATACATAATCTCTTTTCTGAGGTGTTCAAATTTGACACTGATCTATCATTTTCCTGCGTTATTAATTAAGCTGTATCTGTGAGAGTGATGTACTTGGTTTGTCGGAGACTATATCATGCTTATGTTCTCATACTTAAGCATATCAAGCAGGGTAGGCACGCACGTAGTGAACACCCATCGTGGCATGCTGATGTTATTGATACCGGTAGATATCGCAGATACTAAGCTGTCTGATAAGCATCCAGGGCAAGCTCCAGGTACCAATTAGTCTCGGGTTGGTAGTGATTGATCGGCCAGAAAGGTTCCTTCACAGATGTCTGGCATCCGCCACTGCCGGCAGTTGGCACGCCGTCGAACCTGGCGTTTATCCAGCCTAACCAGTCTCGCTGCGTCGCGAACAGCGTCGGCACATGGGTTGTTCCATTGACCAGCAGGTACTCGAGCACGCTGTCCGGATGGGCCGAGCAGGTCGCGTTGACCGTCGCTGTTGTCACCACCTCGGGGATAGACTGATCCGCCGTGCCCTGGATCACTAACACAGGCCCCGCGACGCCCCGACCGCCGACCGACGATGTCGTCAAGTAACCCTGCAAATACGAGTTGTCGTACCAGTCGTCACGCAGAAGGGGCGGCTGCGGCGTGCCGTCGCCCTGCAGCAGCGCCGTCGTCACCGCCTGGCAACCGGCAATCTCTGCCTGCAGCTCAAGGCGGGCCACCCCCAGCGGGGTGAGCACGTCGGACAGACGGAAGTCTGGGAACATGCTCCGCACCGCCCATGCCAGGAGGGTGGCCCCGGGGACCTCGGTTGCACCGAGCGACAGGGCAAAGTCCACGACTGCGGAGAAGTTCGCGGCCGGGCTCCCGGTTACGGTACCGAGGTACCCCGAGACGGGTTCCGTTACCTGTCGCTCTGCTGCCGCCCATGCCGCGCCGCCTCCCTCGCTGTGGCCCATGATGACGAACTCGTCGGACAGGCGTGACGGAAACGCCCGAAGGGCGGCCTCCCGGGCGTAGAACAGGTCGTTGGCAAGCGATGGGCTGCCCACGAGCGGGTGGTGGAGTGGTTTCCGTGCCCCCGGCTGTCCTGTCTCGCTGTCGAAATCGAGCGTGTAGTTTACACCCAGCCCTTGGTAGTCAGGCGCCACCACGGCGAAGCCCGCCAGGGCGAGAGCGTACGGCGCCTGGAACTGGTACAGAAGGGTGCGCATGTGGGACGGAGTGCAGTCACCAAACCCCCCTGACGCACCGTGGGCGAACACAACCGTCCTCGCCTTGTTTGACCCAGGCTGGAGGTTGGGGGAGAAGGGCCATAGTATGTACGCCGATGCCGGGACTACCGTCTTGTTGTGCGTTTCGGTAGTGAATAATATACGAGACAGTGCTAGATTGGGCGCGAGGGTGTAAAATGTGGTATTTGTCAAAGGCTCGACCTTGAGTAGGGTTCCGGGTGGTGTGCTGGATGTGAAGTTCTCTGGCACGGTATAGAAGACGTCCTCTGTGATGGAGCCGAAGGCCCAATTTGAGCGTTCATAGTTGAGCGCGACCTCGATATTGTTCGCCAAAACCGACGATAAGTTGGCCTTCGTGATTTGCTCAGCGCTCAGCCTGAAGCTGGAGTTGAATGTATTTGTCTGTGGCTCAATAAAACCCTGTCCACTTAACAACAAAGTGTGTAACATAAAGAGCGTGCTACAGATGTGTTTCAACATGACGGGCAACTTGTTCCCAAGTACCCGGTAAATGCAGGAGGAGAACCAGCCTCCTCAATCGAGGGGGTAGGAAGAGGTCAATACAACAGCGCCTTCATTTAGTCAGCTTCCCCGCATAATCAAGTAGGATTCCGACGGTTGCCCTGCCCTCAAAGCTAAATAGTGAGACCCCTGACATGCTTCATCAATTGCTCGAAGACCACTGCAAGCACTTGTGATCGATCGATCGCGCACTCGATGCCAAAGACCTCCGACGTCGTGCCTCTCCTAATGTGTGGTCATGTTGGGGGATATCGGAGCTTAGGATACATTAGCAGCGGCCTAGGCGATCAAATCACTCGAAGACGGGAAACGTTACGGAGCCCTTGAAAGGTTACACCCAAACCATTAGCAAACCATTAGCACTTTATGGGCAATGATCTTGTCCAAGATGAGCGACTGGCACCCACTGCCTGGTATCATGAGCTACCACCCGCAAACTCCAGGAATACTTTGCGGACGTGCTGATTTCCCGGGCCTCTGGTCCACAAGGAGACCGTGGTGAAGATCAAAGCCCCACAACAATGCTTTATGCCCTCACTCGACGAGCAAGCGAGGATCATCATCCTGAAATCGCAAGTAACGGCGAATGCAGCTGAGAAGCAAGCAAGCACATCGTTGAGAGAGAGGCACAGTGTTCAAGGCCGGCGGGACAGCCTAGCCCAGAGGACTCTGGGGTGGACTCGGAGGGTCATCAGAACGCACCCTTCCGTCTCTTGCTTTGATGATCTGGGCGATGACAAGGCGACTGCCAGTCAATCAGCATCAAGGTCAAAGTCCAAGGTTCCCGCAAACGTCCATCCCGAGGGATGTAATCACGATGTGATAAAGGAGTGAGAACACATGACCGCCGTTCCCGGTGAATTGAGATGCTTTGTAGGATGCTGCAGAACGGCTCACCATCAAGACATCGCGGGCTTAGGATCACGCGAACCTGTGCAACCCCCTCAACCCCTTCTTCTACCCCTTCCCAAGAGGCCAACAGTGTGCACACCCCAATGAACATCTCAAGAAATGCTCCCAGGGCCATTTCTCCCTGATAGACCACTGTTCCCAGGAAACAAACAGAAATCCGGCGGGGTTGTGGCACAATGGCTAGCGCGTCGGATTCCAGTCCCGAAGGCTGCCTGTTCGACTCGGGCCAACCTCATGAATACTTTTGCTCATCGTTTGTCTGTCTGCTTTGTCGGTAGCGGCAACCAGCACACCATCCAAGCAGCTTTCCTGCCCGATGCGGCATGCGGATGTGTGCAGCATGCGAAGGCGCCTTCATGTCCGTCCTTCATTCTCGAGCCAATGCACCCAGCCGGTCGCGGAGACAGTCGTGTTGTTGTTTGGTGTTTTGTGTCGTGGCCTTCGGACTCCGTCCTTGTTTTGCCTCAAGCTTCTGTGCTTCCACGGATAATACTTCCATCGCTCTCGTGACCTTGAACAAAGGGCCGTTGTATGGGGTGGAAAGGGACACTGTGCTGCTTGCAACCTTGCTCAAGAGGCTTCGCCCACCCTGTCCGTCCCACCTGCATTCGGCACGTATTCGCCTCTCAACATCCGTCCAGCACATCGTTTGATGTTGTGGATCATAGAACATCCAAACCCCCCCCCCCGGGCGCCAAAAAAAAAGAAGGCCTCTTGACGGCTTGACACCGGGCCGTATCTCATGGTGACAAGGCTGCAGGCTTTCAAAGCGCCGCAAGCCATACACTCAGTGGACCTCTCTCAATCAGCCCCTCCTTTCCTCCCCTTCTTCTTCCTACCCTTTCCAACCGCCGCGCTTCGCCCCTCTTCCTCATCACTGCTGTCCGGCTTGGCCCTGGCCCTCTTCTTCCGCGCTTCCTCCCTCTGCTCCAGTGCCCTCTTCCCCAGCAATTTGCCCTTCAGATCCCTCGTCTCAGCCGCCCTGGAATCGCCCGCCGCCTCCTCGCCAGAGGGCACGTGCCCTATGCCTGAGTTCAAGGGCGCTTCGTTGTCGTCGTCGCCATCCTTTTCCCTAACACGGGGCTGGGAGAACGTCTTGCGCTGCTGCTGCGATTTCTTTAGGCTGGTGTGAGGCGAGGGCTTGTTTGCGAGGGAAGAGAAGGAGAACCTGGGTTTCTCCGCTCCGTGGTCTTCCAGCTTTGGCTTGGCTGGTGACGAAGCACGGGGTTTTAAGAGGTGGCTTAGGTTGGCGCTGCGTTTGGAGAAGGCAAGATTGGCCTTGTTTATAAACTGGTCGATGTCTACGGCCTTCCAAGGGGGAATCTCATCTGTCTTTGGTTGAGTCATTTTGACTTTCGTCGGTGATGACTATCAAGGAATGCGAGACCATCAAATAGAGCAGAGAAAAGATGAATGCACGGCTTGAAGTCATGGAAGTGATAGACCCGAGGCGATAAGCAGTCCCACTGGCTTATCGAACTAGGAGCTCGGGCCACCGGCAGTCCATCAAGGTTTGCACTGTGTGTGGAAAACGAAACGCTTGCCCCCCCCCCCTTGTCATTTTGACTCACGCTCCCCCTTCTGCACAGAAAAAAAGGCCTTGGCGCGCGCGCCTGCGCAGCGTTAAGTCAAGCCCTCCTCTGCCTAAGCGCGCACACGTAGCGTTTTCGCGCCTTCTTCGCATATAATGCGCATCTTGCATTTCTCACCTTTTTCATAATTACTTACATTATTATGATAATTAAAAAAGCATAAAAAGGTATTGCTTTATATATATCTATAGTAATTATAAATATAAGCCTCTTCTTTTTACTATAATTAAGTTTTTTTTAAGAAGTGGAAAGTAGCGCAAACGCTGCGTAGTCGCGCGCTCTAAGGTCTTTTTTTTTTTTTTGCAGAGGGTCACTGTGAGTTCCGTCACACCAAGGACTGAAGTGGTAGTATTCAAATTTTCGTATACATTGATTCAGATCAGTCTACCAGTTGGTACTGGTGCTTCCAGCCTGCAATGGCGCTGTCATCCGCTATCGTGCTAGGCATGCACTGAAAACCGAATTACCAATTCACTCAAGCCATATCGCCCTTCTGAGCTTCGTGAAATGCCACCGGGACCCCTTCTCCCGGACAGCCCACGATCTCCGCCTTGTGATACTGCGCATACCAGTCGCCCCGGTACTCAACGCGATCGTATTTCTGTAGAATTCGCACCACTGGGACATGGTCGATCAGAAAAAAACGTCCAACAGGCGCATGTGGGAGGTTCAACTTACAAGCGAAAGCCATCTCGGTCATAGCAAAGTTTTGGCCTACGCAGATCCGCGGCCCACCATTAAAGGGGACATATTGCCAGGCCTTTGGCGTCCAGTGGTCCCACCTATCGGGACTGAACACGACCGGGTCGGCGAATTTCTCACTCTGCGGCGGATAGAGGTCTGCACGGCGTTGCATCGACAGGGTGCTGTAAATCACGATGTCTTTCTTCAGCACAGCAATGTCGGGCTGGCCTGGCTGTCCTGGTAGGGTCGTGTCCTCGAGAGCCGCGCGCAGGTTATACGGCACAGCTGGGTAGAGTCGCAAGGTCTCGTTGAGTGTGTGCGTCAGGTAGGTCATGTTTTTCAGGTCCTCGTATGTCGGTGCTCTGTTTTCTCCAACAGTCGAGAGAATCTCGTTGCGTAGCTTGGTATATATGGCCGGGTAGTGCGCAAGCTCATAGATGGTCCATGATAGTGTTGCGGCTGTCGTGTCACGGCCGGCCAGCAGGATAGCCATGATCTGGTCGCGGAGGACCTTTGGGTTCCTCGAGTAGCGGGCAATGCTGTGCAGGAATGTAGCGCTCTTGTCCGACTTGGAGAGCTTGTCGAGTTCGGATGGTGGGAGTGCCAGTGCCTGCTCGATGTAGGGCTTCATGAACCTCTCAAGCACCCGAATGCCCTTATTGTACCGCCGCTTGGGAACCAGCCATCGGAACGGGCTGTCACAGTCGAATCGTGTCAACCATCCATACTCTGCAGTTGAGGGGTTTTGACTTACGCGAGAATTGTGAGCATCATCTGGACCCGCTGGACTTCGGTAAACGCTTCAACAAACTCGTGCTTAGGGCTGAGACAGTCAGCTCGTATCCCACGTTGGCCAGTGCCTGAACTTACTTGTTCAGACTGTTCACGCTGGTCCCGAGCAGAAAATCGGTTGTAACATCAAGGGTCATTCGATAGAACAAGTCACAAATGTCAACCGTCTCCCCCGAGGAGGGTATCTTGGAAATCAAGGTCTGCGTCCACCTCTCGAAGATTTCAATGTCCCGGACCTTCTCCTTGATGAACATTGGGCGAATGAGGCCGCGGCTGTCTGACCACAACTGGCCATCGGTGGTGAAGATGCTGTCACCCAGGAACGGGCTCCACGTGTCGTGGAACCGCTCCCCCTTTCCAAAGTCCGAGAACTTGGTCGTCAGTATGGTCTTGACATGATCGGGGTCTCTGGTCATGATGAACCGATGCTGTGCCGAGATGGATATCTCGACGCAGTTGGGGCACCCCGGGGGTGACGACTTGTACAGCCCATCGTAGAATTCCAGCAGCTTATTCTGGCCCTGTTTGATGGCAGCATCGATGAAGAAGGGAAGTCCTATAAGCGGGTTCGTGGCCAGGACGGGTGACCTGACAGCCCCGAGCTTCCTGATCTGGTAGTCGACGTAGGCTGTCCTCAGGACATAGTAGGAGAAAATGACGAGAAAGACAAGCAGGCTCAGGTAGGCTGGCCCGAGGGCAAGGATCTCCCGAAACATGGTTACGATCGGGAATGGCTGGCTTGTGACAGTGAGGTTGCACGGTGCAAGATTCAGTTTGGCGGGTGTAGTCAGACAGGTTGGCGAACTCCGTCCGGCAGGTTTTCCAAAGAACTACTGCGGATGAGGGCCGGGCGAAAGAGGGGATGTAAGTCTTATAGCATGTGCCGTCTGATTTATCACGGGTCTCATACAAGCTCAGATGTTGACAAGCATCGCATTGAAACCTCGGCTGGATTTGCAGGCCATGCAAGAACAGTCGAGGCTGGGTGCTGCAAACCATACAAGGGCAGCCCATCCCCAGACTGCACCGCACCGCACAGCTGTGGGCTGGCGGCTTCGAAACACCCTTGGATGGACTGAGAGCACTAGTCGCCGTTGGTGAGATGAAGTGACGCCCACCAGCAGCCACTTGGCCCAATGGCGGCGACGCATGCATGGCCCATTGACCACTGCCGCAGCTTCGCAGTGCAGGCCAGCTCATCCGATAGATGGATGGCGGGACGAAACAGCCGCAAGGATATGCCAAAAGCGGAAATCGAAGAGAACGGGTGGGTGGGCATGGCAGGGGAGGCCGGTACAAGATGTTGCTTGGACGGGGTCCTGACGATGAAATGCTCCCCGAATTGGAGGGCAACCCCGCAAACTCAAAAGGCGAGATCGTCGATGTGACGGCGAGGGGTGTGCATGGCTCACATGGCCCTCACCTGACAGCACCCTACTGTTAATAAGTCGAGCGAGTGCTGCTGCTAGTAGCGCCGCGGTAGGATGGACTTGAAACGGCCATGAGGGAGCCCGAGGTTGCCCAGAGAGCTGCCCGTTGCTGGCCCGGCCTCGGGTTGCATGAGCAGGCAGTGGAGCTTAACGACGGGACGGTATTCACATGGTCGACGGTGAACTTTATTGATCTGTCAGCCAGTCCTGCCTCCAGTGCGTGGTGCTTGCCGACACCCAAGGTTTGGATGAGGTTGAGGCTTCCCAGACACCACGAGGGTCGAGGGTTCAGACTCGAGGGTCTAGGACATTGGCCCAGCAGGACCAAAACATGGGGCCACCCGAATGAGCATGAGTTTGACGGATCGGGAAGAACTGAAATCCCATCGATGAGGATGAGTACTTGTCCAGCTTGAGCGAGGTAAGCAAGGCAGGATGAGAGCACGTGAGAGAGACCGTGAGGTTGTGAGCTTCCTCAAAGACTCGAGCAAGATTGCGGCTTGGGTTGGGACATGCACAGCTACATGGTAGCCAAGTCGTCCAGACTGGACTAAATGCTTACCATACAAACAGGCGGGCAAAACAGCCAAGGTCGCCCAGCCAGCCGAGGTGTCGCCAGCTTAGCTCCAGGGTTCCTGTGTCATTGGGCCGGAAATTCCCGCTGCTGCAAAACGGTTTGCTGCGGCAGCTGGCAGCTGTTCTGAATCGTCACTCGCTGTCAGCAGCAGGTACAACTCGACCTCACCTGTGCTGGACCTGGCAACCTCGCGATTTTCGATCCTTCTCTTCACACCTCAGCCTTGCCTCGCCTTGCCTCGCCTTGCCTCCCCCTGCCCTGTCTCTATCCGGGAGCCACTCCGCACGCGCACACACACACACACACACACACACACTAGCCGTCAACATGTTCAGGCTCGCCCGCAGTCGAGCTGTGGCTTCGGCCTTTGCCGCGCCAAAGGTAAGTCTGCGCCGTTCTTATCACATCCCCCAAGAGACTTCTCGAGCTCTGAAACCGCGCTGCTCGGGACACATAGGCTGATATCAACCACCTGCAGGTGTCTCCCTCCGTCAGATTCCCCGGCCTGGCCCAGCAAAAACGGAACCTCTCCATCCACGAGTACCTGTCTGCCGACCTCCTGCGCCAGGTATGCCGCACCTGACAGAACCCACCCGTACCCATCAAACGCCTGCGCCGCGGTCCGAGCTAATAATAACCTCCCCTCCCAGTATGGCATCGGCGTCCCCAAGGGTTCCGTCGCGAAGACGGCTGCCGAGGCCGAGTCTGTCGCAAAGCAGATCGGCGGCGAGGACATGGTGATCAAGGCCCAGGTCCTTGCTGGTGGCCGTGGAAAGGGAACCTTCGACAACGGCCTCAAGGGTGGTGTTCGTGTCATCTACTCGCCCACCGAGGCCAAGATGTTCGCCGAGCAGATGATCGGCCACCACCTCATCACCAAGCAAACCGGTGCCGCGGGTCGGCTCTGCAACTCCGTCTACATCTGCGAGCGCAAGTTTGCCCGTCGCGAGTTCTACCTCGCCGTCCTCATGGACCGTGCGTCTCAGGGCCCTGTCATCGTCTCGTCCTCGCAGGGCGGCATGGACATCGAGGGCGTTGCCAAGGAGAACCCTGATGCTATCAACACCAACTACATCGACATCAACGTCGGCGTCACCGACGAGATCGCGACCGAGATCGCCACCAAGCTTGGTTTCAGCGAGCAGTGCGTCGACGAGGCCAAGGACATCATCAAGAAGCTGTACCAGATCTTCCTCGAGAAGGACTCCACCCAGATCGAGATCAACCCCCTGTCAGAGACCTCCGACCACAAGGTCATGTGCATGGACGCCAAGTTTGGCTTTGACGACAACGCCGACTACAGGCAGAAGGAGGTCTTCTCGTGGCGCGACACCACCCAGGAGGACCCCGACGAGGTCCGTGCCGCCGAGTCCGGCCTCAACTTCATCAAGCTGGACGGCGACATCGGCTGCCTCGTCAACGGTGCTGGTCTTGCCATGGCCACCATGGACATTATCAAGCTGAACGGTGGCCAGCCTGCCAACTTCCTGGACGTCGGTGGTGGTGCCACCCCGGCGGCCATCAAGGAGGCCTTCGAGCTCATCACCAGCGACCCTAAGGTCTCTGCCATCTTCGTCAACATCTTCGGTGGCATCGTGCGATGCGACGCCATTGCCCACGGTCTTATCAACACCGTCAAGGCCCTGGACCTCAAGATCCCCATCATTGCCCGTCTGCAGGGCACAAACATGGAGCAGGCTCACGCTCTGATCAACGATTCCGGAATGAAGATTTTCTCTATTGATGACCTGCAAAGTGCTGCTGAGAGGGCTGTGCAGCTCTCCAAGGTCGTGAAGATGGGTAAGTTGGAGGCTACAGCCGCCCGCCGGCCCCCGGATTCCCCGCCCCTTTTCCCACAAATCTGCGACAGTCAAGGCTAATATCTGCTAGCTCGTGACATTGACGTCGGTGTTGAGTTCACTCTGGGTATCTAAGGAATCGTGTCGTGGTGCTTCTTTCTCTGTATTATCTCACATCATGGGCGGTCGTCTTCCTACGCAAACCGCAACGTGACCGCGGAATGGATAGAGTTCACAACATAGCATCGTCTTTTTGTGCATAACACCGTGTTTCCTCAAAATTGTTCTACAAATGCCACTGCTCGCAGCACATGTGCGCATGAGTTTTTTCTCTTATGATGTATTGTGGTTGCTGCTACAGAACCCGTGTCCACTGCCTTCGTCTCGACCAGATTATACTTACTCGTCGAGGCCGTCGTTCTCACTAGGGGATAGTTCCAAATCAATTGCTAACGCTGCTCCCAAGGCCCAGATTGCTGCAGAGACCAGCGCGATAAGCACACCCCACAATATTGTCCAGACTGTACGAATTGGGGGCAAGCTAAGAGGGAAAGGCAGGGTAAATATAGTGATGTCTGCGGAGGATAAGGCCGTCGCTCCGTATGGTGGGCCCCGGATGCCATCTCCAACCGGACATACCCCCGGCTCAAGGAAGGCCATTCCGGTTACGGCTCTACTCATGTACTCTGGACGCAGCGTGTAGCTGACCAGGGCGGCCCGCGGCCATTTAATGCTCACGTCGAACGCCCAGGCCAGCACCTCCAGCAGCGCCACGAGGAACACCGCGAAGGCCCTGTGCACGGCCAAGGCGCGCAGGACGGTGGGGAGGCTAGTCCAAACGGCAAGCGCGGCGAGGAAGAGGAAGATGGCCCACCGCGTGGCCAACTGCACCAGGGGCCCGGCCACCTCGACCACCGCCAGCACGACGGCGTTGATGAAGCCCGCGACCGCGGCGACCACGGAGCGCACGTAGCCGAGGAGGTCTCCTCCTAGGTTGTAGATCGCGATCAGCGGCGGCACGTTCAGCTCGCGCGCTGTGCCTGCGTTGCCGTTCCGGCCGAGGAGGATCACGGGACGCTCTGCTCCTTGGTTCTGGCCCGGCTGCTCCCTGCCCGCTGGTGCTGGGGCCGCCGGGGGTGGAGGAACCGCACCGTTCCCGGTTGGAGGGGACGACGCCAGGTCCTCGCGGCACCGGTGGTGCCGGTGGTACTGGTTGTGCCGGTGGCGCTGGCTGTGCTGGCTGTGCTGGTGGCGGCGGCGGAGGAGCACCGTTCACGGGTGGAGGCGCGACATTGGGTCCTTGCGGTGGTGCCTGCGGCAGTCCAAGTGCACGCGCCTGGAACCGCACGTACTCCTGGTCCGCTTCGTAGGCGGTGGCCCTGTTTGGCCGGCGCTGTACGTTGATGTTCAGGCCCCACTGCCCGTCCCTTCGCAGGTTCCAGCGTGGCTCTCGGGGCTGTTGGTTGAAGACAAAGGGGGGGTTGATCCCCGCTGGTCTGTTTGCTCTGTTTGCCCTGTTTGCTCGGTTGAATGGATTCGGCCCGTAAGTTGGGGCCTGCTCAGGCTGAGGAGGTATTGGTGGATTGTTGTTCAGTCTGTCATTAGCGAAGGGGTTGAAATTGCCAAACGGCCTGTTTTGACCTGGGTTTGCCATCTTTCAATTCTCTTGGGATTCTGCTGGGTTATTATTAGTGATGAAATGACTTGGAACGGGGCAGAGTGGCGCTCTGTAATTTTCTGTGCGGAGGGTTGGGTTGCTTCTGTGCTACTTCTCAAACGCGGGCTTTCTCGCATGGACTGGTCCACAGTCTCACAATGCTTACTTTCCAGAAGTTGGCAATTAGGTTGTGAAATCTTGATGATGATTCTGCTTTGGAATTGCACAGGGGCCACAGCCGCCCCTTTAAACGGCGATTATCGACAATGTGAGCTGTGACGAATGGGATTTTCTTCCGCCAATGCCCTCGGGCGACCCCAAGAATAGGATCATCTTGGTACCATCTGGTAGACGGCTCGTGTAAAAGCAATCACAAGGATGTATTCCCGGGGCTCTATTGTCCTCGTCTCAGTGGGCGGCCCATGGCTTTGTGTCCATGGACGTTCAACCCTCCACGTGCCGCCTGCTTTTGTATTCTCTGGACACAATACAATTGCTCAACACGGCACGCTTTCTATTGCCTCGGAATAGCAAGCAAGCATGAGGTCGAAAGACTGTTCTATGAATAGGCCAATAGACCCTCTTTGATCGGGCGGTTAAACAGTCACATTAGGTTGTGATGGTGACAGCTGTGGATAGAAACTTCTTGCAATCTGCAACAAGCTACTGCGTGCAGCTCTCTACCTGGACCTCAAAAGAACAAGGCACGTATCCATTCATAGGTTGGGCAGTGTTTCAAATTTTCAAAGCAATGCTATACTTCATCGCTGTCTCTATACGACGAGGATTTCAAGTTATCCTTGCTTCAAAACCACCAGCGGACCAGTTTAGCTAGAGTTTATGCGTAGGGGCTTCGCTTTGTTCCTGTGTCTTCCGTCAGTAGTTTTGGATCTCGGCTTTCTCTCCAGCTACTGAGGCAAAGATCTTCCGCTATTGAAGCTTAGGCTGACTCCTTTGATATATTCTCACCTGTAAGATCGGGCTGTTCACGTCCAACACGATTAATTATCTCTGCGATAGTGCAGGCATGAGGACCGGAAAGAAGCAACAATTTGATATCACATCGGTAGGTGAATTTTACCACGAAAGAGGGATAAGAGCTGGAATTTTTGAAAATTGGGCTTTAAGAAATTTAATGCGAGGAGCATAGTGGAATGAAACCCATCTGTGTGGTATTTTGTGGAAGGCGATAGACTGTCAAGGCCAAGATCAAGTTGTCGTGGTTTTACGTTTGTCCTCAATTCTCCGTAGTCACTCCATTTGAGAGCATTTCGTTGTTGTTTTCAATAGCTGAGCGGAAGACCACCTGATGCTGCCATATCACTGACTTAGCCTGTGATGAGGAGGCATGTGGATTGAGAAGTGTGTGGAGGCGAGGTAGGATCGAAAATGACATGGACAACAACAAAATGGGAGTGCTGAAAAGACACGCTCGACATGCGTTGAAGTATGCTTTACTAACCCTTCGGGACCATGTATACCTGCAATGCTTCCTACATTGGCCAACAGGACCGGCCGTGAAATGTTCCATAACATTACCTCTCGGGTGAATCTGGATATGCCCGGTATTGAACGTCATGTACGTCATTTTGCCTGACCACCAAGTCCCTAGGCTCAGATGCAAACCAGTCCCTCTCGGAAAATTAGCCGTTGTCTGTTTTACTCTAAGAGGCGTCATCGTACGCTAACTTCAAAACCCACGCCTGGTTGTGTCACACAAGACCTTCCTCAGTCCAATTATTAACTCTCCGAAGCCGTCGACTCGTCGTCCGCTGGGTCCGGAACAGGTTTCGGCTTTCTACCGAAGGGCAGTGCCCTCGGCGCGGGCATCTCCTCATTTTCATCATCAGCCGCAACTACGGGGGACTTGCCGCGCAGGTTTGAGCTGGGCGGCTTGTTAGACTTCGTGGTAGCCTTGGATGCTGAGGGCGAAGAGCCTTGCCCAGCCTTCTTGCCGGCCGATGAGCGAGAAGGATTCTTAGACTTCGGCTTGGGCTCGGGCTCAGGCTCACTGGCCGTCTCCTCGTCTTCAGTCGTCTGCTCAACATCAGACAGCTCCTCGCCCGGACTGACCGACTGCTCGTCGACGTCCATCTCGTCAATGTCATCGTCGTCGGTGTCGTCAGCGGCAGACTCAGCCTTCCGCTTGCCCTTTCTGGAAGACCCAACAGCATCCGGATGCCTCGAGGCGACTTCCGATTTGTCTGATCTCGCCTTGGCCTTGAGGGCTGCAAGCTTCGCCTCATCTACGCGTGCTGTGGACAAGATCTGTTCCTGTGTGCGAATTTTTAGTTTCTTCTCGTTCAAGAGATCCCTGAAGAATGAGTCGTGCTCTGACTCAAACTGAGTTCTAGTACGCTCGAGCGCTTTGAAGTGCGCCGTCTCCTCGGTAACGCGCCTCTCGAGCTTGTCATGATTGAGCTTCAGCGCGGCCAGCTCCTCGGCCAGCTGAGCCTGCCGCAGCACGGCCTCATTGGCCCAGTCGAACATATCTGCATTCTTGGTGCCAGACTTGCTGAGTCTCAGAACAAGAGTGCCGGCGATAACCTGTGGGAAAGGGCTCGCGTGAGTTTTGGTCTGTTCTCGAAGGTTTGGTGGGGACCAGGGGCATTTGTGAGGCGAGGTCCAAGCGGGAGATAGCAACGTACCGTGGCTCCGGAAACTCTGTTCCCAATCTCGATTCCCAGATTTTCGTCAGTGAACTGCGCGGCAACGTGAAAATTGGCGATCGGCTGGGTTCCCAGGAGCAGGGACGTCAGGCAGGACTCCCATTCCTCGTCTGTCGTGTCCTCGGTCTTGTAGCGTGAGATCTTGCCGTGTTGCACTACCAAGGAGTTAGAAGCTGAAGATGCCCAAAATTAGACACCCGCCCCAGAGTGGTGGAATGGTGGCCGCATCTGGAGTTGCAGTTTCGCAGGTCCTGGTGCGGGCCGCGGAGGCTGAACGGGGTGGCACATGGGGTGAGGCTGCAGGATGATGACGGCCCGCATGGAGGCCGAGATGCAGGCCCGGATGCGGCCCACCGGGCCAGATTGGCGGGGGCCACCGGCAAAGAATAGACGATGACAGGTGTGGGTGTGAGGGTCCGGACTCACGTGGGAGCACAAAGGCGCGCACATCGTCTGTGGCCCTCAACTCGAGGTCTAGGGGGCGCGACTTGGTGGAAGATCTGGCCGTCACGCGAACAAGGACAGGGCCTTGCGGGTGCGGCACCCTGAAGAAAATTGGCAGTGGAGACATTTGGCAGTGGCTTGTCGGCCCTGGAGATCGAGGGCAAAAGGCAGGAGGCAGGAGGCAGGAGGCAGGATACAGGCGGCGCTACGAGACGGTGGTGTTGGATTAGCAGAAGCCCCCGTACGAGTCGCGAGGTGACATCAATGGGCGCAGGGTCCAGATGGAAGGTGGTTGGGTCGAGGTGAATTACGTATGAACGGCCAGATGGCGCGGCGTGTTGGGCCACAGCAGGCCTCACCTGGCACCACGGCAGGAAAAATCTAGATACCTTGCCCGCTGTCACAGTAACAGCATCGATTCAGGGTCAAGACCCTGGGCGCAGGAACGGGTCCCGTATGGTGCAATTTTATGAGATGAAATGAGACAAGAGACAATACAGGAGTGCGAGGGAGACGGATGGCCGATGGCCGATCAGAGTGTGGTCGAGGTCCGCCGTCCTGCTGGTGACGTCCCTCGGTGAGGCGCTGCAATGATGCAATGGGGGAGCAGTGCGGTTGTGCGGTGGCACCGTGTGTATGTGTGCGAGATGAGAGGTGAGAAATGAGATGCCTGGCTGCTTGGTTGCCCGGACAGAAGTTTGAATTTTATGCAGTCAATCTCACCATCCTGTGACCTCGCAAGCAGGCAGTTAATGGCTTCCCCGTCAGGCTCCCGTGGGGATCCTCTCCTAGGCAGCAAGGCGGGCTGGGTGCGACACCTTTCCCGAGGAACGAGGCCTGCCGTCGCCTTCACCTACCAAGTCAAGCTCTCCGTCTGGAAATGGGAATATGGATGTGAGGGGTGATTGCTCCCCTTAGAGTTTTACAAATTCAAAAAAATCTTGACGAGTTACGAGGTCGCCTGCAGCGCCGCTTCTTCGTGTTCCTCGTCCCCATTTGCCACAGCAACGGGTTTGACCTGACGGCAACCGGGAACGGGGCAGAGTCCGCGACGCGCATGGACGGAAGCTCTTTGTCTCTTACAAGCGGAACCAAAAGGACAGTGGTGATGTTGGTGGTGGTGGCGGTACACAAAAGTACGTAATGGTCCTCACCACACAGCCAGACAGCTTGCAGGGGTCCAAGCGGCCTACCGGACAGCCGGACTGCCAGGCACCCATCTGGCATCTGTACTTCAAGTGGAAAGGGACCAGGGAAATCCACGCCCGGATACAGGTATCAACGGATCATCTCACCTGTTTCAAGAGGTCATCCCATTCCGCTGGAGATTTGTGCCACTGCAGGTCAAGTTACACGCAGACATTTTGCACCCTTGTAAGTTGTAAAAAGCTGTACACGGTGGGTGGTGCTGCTTGCGAACTTCGGATTCTTGTTGGGGGTGCGCCGGTCCATTTGTTCCGAGAGTGCCGGAAATGACTGTGGCGAGAATCGGCAGATGGCTCGGTCATCTCTGTCTTCTTCACGCATCATGATAATCAAGGAAGCTTGGAAGCCTGGGCGACACATATCTTCCTTGCTCCTTTTTGATAATGATCACCAGCGGCAGAGTACCGCACACTAAGTCACCTATATCCATATCCAAGGTCGAGAGGCGTTGACATGGGTCCCGGCTGGTCCGTTCGATCATTCCACCATCTAGCCTGGTGTTTCGGCCCTCTGAGGTTCCTGAGCTGGACTGTGTAGTAAACACGATGAAACAACAGTCCAAGAAGTGCCTGGACACACTGACCACCAGGCACGCGTCTTCGGCACGCCTTGCACGCGTCGCACTGGCATCCTAGCTCCCTCGGCCACCAGCTGTGATTGGCCAGGGGGGGCTTACCCCGGGATCCACTCGACCGACCTTTGGTCACGCTCGGGCCACACGTACAAACCACAGGGTCCAGGAGGCCAGAAGGCCAGGAGGGAGGGAGTGAGGGAGGGAGTGAGGGAGGGAAGGTGGGCCCAGACGGAGCTTCCTCCCTGTGGGCTCTCGCTTTCCTCCAAAGCGGCAGAGCGGCTGGGGAGCCATACACACTGCTCCGTCCCTTGGCAGGTGTGCGTGCAGGTACCTCGTACCTGCCCCCAAAAGCCTGCAAGCCCACCTCGGGGCCAGCTCGGGCCACCTGGGCCTCTGTGCTTCCTCGCGCTCCCCTGTCCCAGCCTCTCACTGCTCCTCTCACCACGCACCTGCCGCGTCCTGCATGGCCCGCCCATGCCCCATTCCCACTCTGCCTCGTCTGCAGGTTCAGGTTTCCTCCACTCAACACCCGACGACCTGCTCTAGTGTCACCCTCACCACCACCCACCACCCCTCGTCTCTCCTCTCACATCCAATTTTTCAACCTCCCCGTTCATCGTCGCCCCATAGCGCCCCCCCCCAATACATTCTCTTTCTTACACCGTTTCTGAACATAGGAATCGCATATTTCCAGAAGACTTCCATTTGTTTACCTGTCGATCACCTGGGTTGGACTGGACTGGACTGGATTGGACTGGCAACGCACTGGACAACCCACAGCTGGAAATAAACCCTGGCCCCGAGTCCCAGAACAGATACAGACTGCTCCACTTGGCTGGTGGCCTCCGTCGAATATCTCACTCAATCCATCGCATCTATCCACCTTGTTTCCCAGCCAGCCGCGCCCCTCCACCGAATTGACGTGCATTACGCAACCTTTTCTACGAATTCCCACTCTCCACCCCCCGATTCAGATCCAGGGACCCGACTGCCATTTCTCGTGGAATCAGTCACAGACATCACGTCCAATTTCGCCTCTTTCACCACCTTCTGCAAATCTCGTCACCCTCCAGCGTCACTCATATCCACATTCCCCGAGAAAGATCAGCCTAATTCCATCTGGACATTGCATCATCCGAGCATCCGTCCCCGAAATCATGTTCTGAAGGCACGCGAATTATCGCTATCTATGATCATGCTCTGTGATCAATCGCCCTGTATCCAATCTCGCCAAACTTCACTGTGCTCCCGCCAGTGACGTTCCCCACAGATTATCCCTTTGTGTCCTTCTCGTTCACCATCTATGAAGGCTGCCCAGGCACAATCGCATCATGGAGACGTTAAGGCTGAAACCGCGGAAACCGGTCGAAGACGATGTTGAAAACTGGGACGATGACGACTTTTTAATTGATGGCGACGATCTCGCCCTTCGAAATCCTTCCGCCATGGTCAATGCGCCCCCGCATCGACGAGACAGCCTGTCGTCACATGTCTCCGTGCGGTCGGAACTAGAGTCGGTCCAAGGGGAAGAGGAAAGAGTGGTTCACCTTCCCGGCGAGGATGAGAAGTCCACCTCGCATGCTATCGCAGTCGCCGCAACCGCCGGCATCCCGATACCAAGCAGCGTGCCCTCGACAGCCCTGGCCGGCACCATTAAGAGACTCGGCGGCCGGAAAGTTAGGAAAATATTGCAGGAAGACTGGGGAGACGACCTCGAATTACCTGACGGATGCGAGACCCTGCGCATCAAGACGCAGGATCCCAATAATTTCCCACAGGCTCTGAGGCAGGTCAGCTCGTCATACCTGAGCCCAGCCAAGCCGCTCAATTCACCACCGGTGCTGCAGCCAGGACAGTCCAGCAAGACTCCCGTGCAAACCCTTGGCGCGCCCATCAACCTGGAAAGATTCAAAGACAGAGACGACGACGACGACTTGTTCGGGGACGGCAGTGAGACGATCAAGGTGTCTAAGACTCGCCAACCACTCAAGCCCGCACTGCCGAGAGTACCAGCAAAAATGCCCGAATCACGCGGCCAGGCGGACAACGACTATGAACAGGACCTGGAATTGCCCTCGGACGGGACGTTGAAGCTGTCATCCCGCCGCGACATACCGAAGACCCCAGTCAGCGCTCACGATGATTTCGATTGGGGAGAAGGAAGTCTTGGAACCCGCTTCGGAGGCACGCGGAGAGACGGCCGGTCCAACCGGAGCTCTTCTGCCTCGGCATTCAGCCCGAGCATCTCGAGCTCTATCACGGCCGAGAGCGAAGATGAGGCACAGCTGGATGGCATTGAGCTTCCCCATGGACCGCTGGATTTGAAGGAGAGGCTGAGGAGGAAGCGCCAGAACCGCTCCCCGGAGCGCACCATTGAAGAGGAGCCCGCGCCGCCACCAAGGTCTGTACCACAGCCCGATGCCGATACCAAGGACTTCTTCCTTGATTTGAACGTGGGCGATGGTTCTGTCTTCGACTCGGGGAAGCTGAAGCTCCACACCAATGTGAAGCTGAAGTCCGCGCGGCCTACGAGCCCCGTGCGCCCGAAAACAGCTGTATCGCTGACGTTCACGAATAAGCCCGTGCAGACGACATCGCGTCTACCGCGGCCGACGAGCAGCCACCACGAGAGGACTCATACTCAGTCGTCTCTAGAGCCTGTCTCGGAGAGCGGAGGCCCAATTGTTTCTCGCCCGACGAGGAGGTCCCAATCCCGGCTTGGCCACATGTCACAGTCCTCACAATCATCCACCGCGAGCGGCAATACTCCTGTCACCCCTTCCGCACCAAGCTTCTCTGGACCCACGACACCGCAGAAAAGACAGATCGGCCAGAAAAGCTCGACCGCCTCCCTTCGAAACGAGCCGACCACCACCAATGCTCAGCTTCTACGGCTGAAGCGGTCGCTGCCGGCCATGAGGCCGTCTGGGTCCCCGGCAAGGCCGATGACGGTAAGAGGCGCCGAGCGCCCTCCATCAAGAACGGAACCGGCCTCTCGGCCTACGTCTGGCATCAGGCCCAAGACTCCCGTCGATCGAACCCGTCACTCTTTCGGAGAAAACTCGGCCGCACAGGCGAGAAAGCCGTTCTTGCCCGCAGGCGGCTCAAGCCTGCAGTCGTACAATGTCAACGCCAAGAGGCAACTCCGCCGTCATGATTCAGACCTTTCGAACGACACAAGACCGACTTCGCGCGCGTGTCGCGGTCGACTGTGAGATCGCCCAGTCCAGTCAAGCGGGATCGGAAACTCGAGAAACTCGCCCGTGCAGGAGTGCGGTTGCCGCTGAGTCTCCCGAAGCGCCCCAGGCACTTCGGGGACGGTCACGAACTTGACGCGTTTGACGACTTGCCGACGTCTGCGAAGACGGAATCTGAGTTTGTCAAGCAGCCCAAATACCCCAGCCCGCAATACCCAACGCAGTTCCGGAACAAGGTTATGCAGCATTTGTTGCCGGGGAGGACGAACTCCCCTGCACCGTCCTCGCCCCACTCACCTGCAAGGCCCGACTACCAGCCCCGGTTTGCACGTGACACGGCGTCGAGCAGGATCGCCAGGGAGACAAATCTTGCGCATCGAGTTCCCTCCTCAGGTCCGCTCGCTCCTCTAACGTCGCAACGCGTTGCACAGCTTTCCACGAGAAGCAACTTGCACCAGCCACAACCCAGCGTCAAGCCGAAGAGGGCCGCTAAAAAGCAGCCCCAGCTTAAGCCACATCTGATCGCCAATCTCAATTCCAACAACGAGTCAAAAAGTAGGTCCGACCCCTGCACGCAAACCGTGCACGTATGCTAACGCTGCACAGTGGTCAATGGCATGTTTTACAACCCCGAGACTTACCAATGGGAGGGCAATGACAACGTACTGAACTCTTTTGACGTACCTGCATCGTCGCCGTCGACGGTGTCGGTGCCACCCTTCTCAGTCCGGGAGAAGGAGAATGCCACGCCCAGACCTGCACTTATCACTAATATTAGTACCACGAAGGGGGTGCAGGTCGTCGGAGGCATGGTCTTCGACCCCCAGAACATGTGCTGGCTCAAGCTCGGGCCACAATCAGCCCAGTCGGAGATCACGGACCCCCTTGAGGGGTTCAATGCCATTGATGACGAGGACGATGTGTTCAAAGACATCCCCGATCTTGACGACAATACTGCTGACACGACTGAGACTGGCCGCGTGAGCGAAGTCAAGGATGACTGGCTCGTCGGCGAAGAGTTTGACGTTGGCCCCGAGTTCATCAGAAGACAACGCGAAGAAGAGGACAGATGGCGGAAGAAGTGCGAAAGGTGGCTCGGTCTAGGTAACCGGGATCGCGAGGCCTGGCGATGGACCATTCGTGGTGTGATCACCGAGGCCACCGAGCGGTAATGGCTCACCGCCATTTCATTTGATCTGGCTGGTTGGGCGGGTGGCGTTAAAAGGGTTATCACTTTTCATGATCTTCGTTTTCTGCTTCTATTACCTGTTTTGTTTTACCATGTTTAGAACGTTTTATTGTTTTCATGACGAATTGTATAACGAACGACGCAAAGACAAAAGTTTACGGAAGCGACCCGAGCCGGAGGTGGCTGGCTTACGAACCAAAAGGAGGGGAAGGGAGGACGACTCACCCAAGGTGGACGACAGGACGCTCCACGAAACAACATACAGACGGTCAACGGCATGTTAGACCAGATTGGGCTCTTGCACCTGGCGGGCAAGTGATCTGGATACCACGATCAGGGTGTTACCTGCTGATCCAGGAGCTGACCTGAACACGGATGGTCACGGGCTCCAGGGGCTCTCATAACATGTTACGGATGGATGGAATGGGTTTGGCTCAACAATTGAAACTAACGACGGAACGACTATGACCAGAGATATCATTGATGACAATTAACGATGGGCGTTTGTTTTTGATCACTTATTTCTTGTCACTTGTGCATCATGACGGTGGGACGTGCTTGGCTTGTTCCGAGGACGAGTCACATTCGACGAAGAGGAAGGAAATCAAAAAATGAACAAAATATGAATCAAAAACCAGATGAATCCAGTGCCAGAGACTGGTTGAGCACGGCGAGCAAGACGATCAAAGTCGGGCTCGGGAAGTCATGAAGTGGGGGCGGTCGATAGTGTTTGAGGCATGGTTTCCGAGTAACACGCATGTAAGACGAGAGACAGAGGGAGGAGGAGACTCTGCTACGGGACTAAAGGAAAAAGCAACGGGTGTTCACAACGCTGTGGCCTTTTTTGTTGCCGTGATATGATTTGATGAAGACGAAATAATGTTTTCATGACTTTGATGTCCGTACAAAGCACAATAATCATGACAATCACGACTAAATGAGGCTTGCTCGGCTTTTCCTCTTCCACACCTCCCCTGTACCAGACGTCAACGAGTTCTAGATAATCCTAATGCAACATAATATTACGACTACCGCTCAGCCAAAATGAATCTTATCTACCCTGTCCCTATTTGGACGTCTTTTTGGATTTAGACTTGGTCTTGTTCTTGGCTGGGGCGGGAGCAGCAGAAGCAGCATTGGCGTCAGAGTCAGTGCCGGTATCAGCACCAGCAGCGGTATCCTTCTTCTCCTTGTTCTTGTTCTTGTTGAGCGCCTTGGGGTCTAGACCCCTCCTCCTCATGGCGTTCCTCTTGGCACGCTCCATGATCTTCTCATCCTCGTCCTCGTCGAACCCGCCGAAATCATCATCCACCTCTTCCTCGTCGTGGCCGATGGGCGTCTTGTCAACGACCTCCTCGTCCTCATCGTGCTGCTGCTGCTGCTGCTGCTTGCCGCCGTTGGCCCTCTCCTTGGCTGTGCCGCTTCGGTCCGCGAGCACGGCATTGACCGGGGTGGGCCCAATCTTCTTGAACTTTGCGACGAAAAAGCCGTCTACATTGTACGTGTGCGGGTAGTAGCGGCGGGAGAGCTTTAGCGAGGGGTGGAACGTCTTGCCGCGGTAGGACACGAACCCTTCGTTCCCGAACGGCAGGTTGGTGTCGACGAGCTTGACGTTGGGGCGTTTGGCCAGGGCATACGCGACCACCTGCTCGTTCTCTTCTACTGAGACGGAACTGTGATGGTACCCAAGTCAGTCTGAGGGAACCCGAAAGGGAGTCAAGTGTCCTCAAATGTGTGTCCCGGACTTACCATGTAGAATAGACAATATAACCGCCCGTCTTGCTATGATGGTTCACCGAGTCGATGGCAGCAAGCAGAAGCTGCTTCTGAGTGTGCGGGATGGCCATGAAGTCCTTCTCCGTCTTGTTGGTCTTGACGCTGGCATCCTTGGCAATGACACCGGTACCGGTGCAGGGCGCGTCGAGCAGGACGCGGTCGAAGCCGCCGATGGGCTTGGGGAATTCCCTCGCGTCATAGTTGCAGACTACCACGTTTCTGCAGCCCAGACGGTGGATATTTCCAATCAGACCCTTGGCACGGGACTTGCTCATATCGTTCGCAAAGATGCATCCTGTGTTGCGCATCAGGGCCGCCATGTGTGTCGTTTTACCACCGGGCGCAGCGGACATGTCGAGCACTCGCTCGTTCTCTTGGGGCGCAAGAGCCATGACGGGGAGGAAAGAGGACGCTGCTTGGATGATGTAGTGGCCCGCGAGGTACTCTGGTGTTGCTCCGAGGGGCACGTTGCTCTCGAATATTTGCAGGCCGACCTTTGACCATTTTCCAACGGGCTCGAGGGTGACACCACGGTTGATGAGAGCACTCGCCAAATCCCTTCGATTGGTCCTCAGGGTGTTTGTCCTGATGACCATTGGCCGAGCGCTCTCGTTGGCCTCGAAGAAGTCGAATGCCTCTGACGGGCTGAAGAGGTGATAGAGCTTCTCGGCCATGTATTCTGAGTAGCCGTAGTAGGCGCAAATGTCCTTGATGAGCTGTGCGGTGTATTCAGCCCTTGATCTTCCTTCCTCGGCCAGTTTTGAAAAGTCCTCGAGTATGCGAATGTTTTCCGTTATCCTGTTCCTCAGGAGCTGCAAGTCGGGTGCCAGCAAAGCCTTGTTCTTCGCGTCCGTTGCCTCTTCCTCCTCTTCATCGAGCACCTTAAGCGGGTCGCCACCGATGTTTGTCTGTAGCGCAGCCTCCTCCAGCTCTGCTTGTGCATCGGCAGCTTCCTCTTCCATTTGCTTGTCGAGCTTCCTCGACAAGCCCTCAATGTTGGCAGCCGTCAGTTGCTCCTCCGCGTCCGAATCGCCCTCGTCCTCAGAGAAGACGAACTCCTCCTTTTTTCTGTCATTGTCGGAGTCGTACACCGAGTCGCCCGAGTCGGATCCCAAGAAATCGTCCCCCAGCTTTACAGGCTCGTCATCATCTGAATCCGACAGGTCCTTTCCTTCCAGGTCCGAGTCGCCAAACTCGTCGTCGATCTCGATATCAGAGTATCCTTCGGGTTCCGGCACGGCAGCCTTCTTTGACCTGGAGGGTTGCCTGTTGCTCTCCTTGCCCTTGAGCTTGGGGCCGTTCTGTTGCCGGGCAGATGGCTTCGCAGCCGTGGCAGCCTTCTTCGCCCCGTTCGATTTTGGGGCAGAGTCGGCCTTGTTCGTCCTTCGCTTCTTGGTTGGGGCTTCTTCTGGGGTGTCGGCTGGGAGGCCCTTCTTGCGCTTCAGCTTCGCGAAATGTTCTTCGGACAGGCGCTCAGGAGGGCCCTGCTTCTTCATGCGACGACCGGTTCCCATTTTGGATTGATGACCGTTTGTTTACGGCACGAGCAGTAGTAACGGGGGTATAAATCCTGCAGGTCGGGTCGCAGATATTTACCAGGCCGCGCGCAAGGGTTTGGGGAGAGGGACGGGACCAAAAAATTTGGGCTTATCTTATCGCCTTACAAGGAGGATGGAGCAAGAAGGAAGAGCATTCCGGGCCTGGAGTGGGGCACGCCTATGGGCGCTACGTAACGGCGACTTGGAGCATGCGTCCCAGCTCGAGCAGTACCAAGCACCACTAGCCAAGCTGCAAATCACCGCCTCGTCTCTCGTACAGCCGTGCTTTTCTCCCTCCTTGTCCCCTAGAGCCCCAGATCACCATGACAGAAGTTATCTTCGCCAGATCCTTCCTGACAGCGCTGGACTCGCGTCCGCAGAAGCTGTCAGCCGACCATGTCGAGGACCCAAAGAGCTACCCGGCCCGGCCGCCTGTAGGTCTCTCCACCTCCAGGCGCCCTGCCATGCCACCATGAAGCCGCTGCCGAAGCTGACACCGGCCGTCTAGTACATCCTGCCCCGGATGCCCAAGCCTATGTCCAAGGCGGTCTCGCTCGCGCCGGGCCAGGAGCGCAGCATAACGGTGCGCATCAAGTCGCTGCGCAACCCGCCCCTCGACATCAGGCTCAGCTCCCAGCCGCTCAACACCTCCATCCTTGACGTCAAGACGTCCGTGTCGACCGAGACCACCATCCCCGTCGACAAGATCAAGGTCCTGCACAAGAAGAAGCCCGTCGCCGACAGCAAGGTGCTCAAGGACCTGCTGGGAGAGGACGAGACCAGCGTCGAGTTCTCCGTCATGGTGCTCGGCGGTGCCGCGGCCGCAGCATCACCGGCCCCCAACAACGAGGACGGTCCAGCCGCCGCCGCCGCCGATGCTGCCTCGACGGCGCAGGGGACGAGCGGGGAGGCGGTGTTGCAGACGGACGCGTTCTGGACGGACCTGAGGGGTTTCCTGTCCCAGAGGATACGTGATGAGAAGATCACCGAGGAGCTTTTTGGCAAGTTCCTCTCGAGTTGGGAGTCAGGGCGGTAGCGCGGGCGGTAAGAGGGCGGGCTGTGGAATGGGAGAGATAGCCACGTAATCTTATACGCGAAATTGCATTCATCGCGCGGGCCAGACACCAGCAAAACATGTGCCTGCCTCCTATGTCACGAGAGAGAAGATCCATCAAAGAAGATCACATCAAATAATTGCGGATGTGCACGTCAAGATTGTGGGTGGGCCGTTGGGAACATTTGGAAGACGCCCGGACAACCGGTTGATTTGCTATGGTAAAGCAACGCCGACATCGACCACCTAGGATCGCCTCATGTTCTCCATCATGGACAAAGACGCGCAAAACTGTCCCTCCCATGCATGATATTTCCGCGGTCCCTTCCTGTGGTCGGAGCCTTGACTCTATTGACGCAACGCAAGCTTGTGATGCTATCTCTACGGGCTCGCTTAGCCGGCCATGCCCTTGCTGACCTTGGCCAGGATGGAGTCGTGCTCGATGTCGTCGGCGTCGTTGGCTTGGATCTCGACGGCGATGCCGCTCAGTGCCCGCTTCAGGGCGTCCTTGGACGAGGCGTACACCATCTTGGACTGGGAGAGGGTCAGTCGTGACACGTTCGAGGGGGCAGACTGGAGGTTCCGGGCTCACCTTGATTCCGGCATCGTCAGGAGACCAGGCAATGAAGGTCAGCTTGTTCCTGCAAGATCGTCAGCGCCGGTGGTCCTTGGTTTCTTGTAGGAGGGGGATATGCATGGCACGCACCGGTCACCCTCACCAGACGAGAGGCTGTACTCGAAGTCGTAGACAGCGTATCGGGGGCCGATGCCCTCCTGGCCCTATATTCGAAGGCTTTGGTTAGTCGCGCGAGCATAACAGTCTGAAGGGACAGCCGAAATCGTACGGTCTTGGAAACAGTCTTGGCGTTGACGAGTCTGTTGCGGAACTCCTCCCAGTCCTTGTTGTCGCTCGTGTGCTCGACGACAATCTCCTTAAGGTCGTCCGACAGCTTGAAGATGATGTACTTGTGCTTCTTGCTGAGCTTGAGGTCGTTCCAGGTGGAGACGCACTCCTCGTTGACGGTTGCTCTGCCCGAGGTCTCTTGTCAGTCTCTGGCCTCTTGCGGGCGGTCGAGCCTCGTCATTGCCTTGACCCATCGCACGCCGGATGGGTCGAAAGGGGCAGCCGTGGCGTCAACTGTGATAAGGGGGGGGGGGAGAAACCAACCCGGATTGCGACTAGAAAATCAATGGATTAGTACAAGCCCTGCAGACATGTCATCGAGATTGGAACTCACCATTGTGGCTGTAGTGTGTTGGTTATCGGCTTGGGGTCGATGTGTGGAGCGTCAAGTGCTCGACAGATAGGTAGGCTGTCAACGGTGAGGGGTCGTCAGCAAAGGGGCACGGTCAAGAAGATGACGTGACTCGAAGAAGCTGAAGCTTCAATAGCAGCAGCGGCAGCGAGGTGGGAAGGGAGAGGAAGCATACCAGCAAAGGGGGGTTGTTTGGTCAAAGGACGAACGAACGCTAAGATGGAGGTATTACAATGGGAGAGTGAACAAGGCCAGATGAGTGCACAGAGCAAGGTAGGTGGATGAGGAATCGGCGGGCAGAAGTTTCCAAGGTTACCTGGAAGTTGACAGCATTTGGGTCCATCCAACCGGGGTGGAGAGGGGGGTTTGTTTGGTGGGGCACAATCAGATTGACGCCTGCATTGGTTGTGCTAGCGACCGCAGATTGGGGGGGGAGGGGTGGGAGCGGGATGAGTGTGGTGCAGGCCGAGGACAATCACCAATCCTTGTTCGTCAACTTCCTGTTTATCTCTAATGCCGAGCATCCCAGAGCACGCCGAGGGTTTTTGACAGAATTGAGAAAGACTCGAAACGACTCACCTGGGCCGAGGCGTTACTCTCTATTACCCAGCAGCTGTCTCAGAAGCTTATCCTACGCGCGGTCATGCCACAGGACAGTACCCCACGGAAGGCTATCCTTTGCCCACCGGGGATCCCAGGAGTATACTTATACTGCCCAGGTGCAACACATACCCAAGGCATTTGGGATCGCTTCGAGCTGTAAGAGAGTAGATAGATAGGTTATTCCGTACACCATGACATGTGTGCACACGCGTCCGGCTTGGTTGATACTCGATGCCTAATGCTCAAGCGTCTGCCTGGCCTGGTACGGCATGTTGGTTTTGGCGCCACCATGCCCCAAGACCTCGATATCTTGGGGGCCTGGACAGGTATTGATGCCTGATTCTGACCTTGAGCATTCATGATCACCGGCGGCGTATTCTACACACATCAAGGCAGCAGGAAAAGCGCAACCAATTTGTCAGTGCAGCGTTAGAATTTCTCTCCGTCGCTCTATCTCGGTGTGGCCCAAGAGGTAGTGTAATGTACAGGCCCAGGAGCTGATCCCAGGGTATCGCGTGCAATATGCGAGGTGAGATAGAGGGGAGATGCTACACATGACCGCCATGATTCCGCCTTCAACACCGGAACCCAATATGCCCAAATAAGTCCGAACCGCTTGAATACAAGGAAGCTTTTAACTTTGCCCTTCAGAAACGTCTCACATCATCCCTCCCATTCCCCCCATCCCGCCCATCCCCCCCATACCACCTGGAGGTCCGGCGGGCTTCTCTTCAGGTGCCTCGACGATGGCAACCTCGGTGGTGCCAAGCAGGGAGGCCACGCCGCTGGCATCGATCAGGCCGGTCCGGACAACCTTGAAGGGGTCCAGGATACCGGCCTTGATCATGTCGACGTACTCACCCTTGGAGCTGTCGAAGCCCTTGTGGAAGTCGCTGCCGTACTCGTCCGTCAGCTTGCCGACCACAACGGAACCCTCGAGGCCAGCGTTCTCGACGATTGTGCGGGCGGGGCGAGTGATGGCGTTCTTCACGATGCTGATGCCGAGCTGCTGGTCAAAGTTCTGCGACTTGACGTTGCCGAGGGCCTGGCTGGAGGCCTTCAGCAGGGCCGTACCACCACCAGGCAGGATACCTTCCTCGACTGCGGCGCGGGTGGCGTTCAGGGCGTCGACGAAGCGGTCCTTCTTCTCGCCGACCTCGACCTCGGAAGAACCGCCGACCTTGATGACGGCGACACCGCCAGACAGCTTGGCAAGACGCTCCTGGAGTTTCTCCTTCTCGTAGTCTGAGGTGGTGGGGTCAGAAACGACGCCACGGATCTGCTCGCATCGCTGCGAGATGGCGTCCTTGGTACCCTCGCCGTTCAGCATGATGGTATCCTCCTTGGTGATGGTGATGGAGCCGGTGGAGCCAAGCATGTCGGCAGTGGCCTTCTCGAGCTTCACATCGAGCTCGTCCGTGAAGACGGTGCCGTTGGTTAGGACGGCGATGTCACCAAGGATGGACTTGCGGTTGTCGCCGAAGCCTGGGGCCTTGACGGCAGCCACCTGGAGCTGGCCGCGAAGCTTGTTCAGGATGCAGACAGCCAGGGCCTCGCCCTCAATGTCTTCAGCAATGATGACGAGAGGTCGGCGGCTCTGGGTGGAGATCTCGAGGGCGGGGATGATGTCTTGGACAGCGGAGATCTTCTTCTCGGACAGAAGGATGAGAGGGTTCTCGAACTCGACCTTTTGGGACTTGGTGTCGGTGATGAAGTAGGGAGAAATGAATCCGCGGTCGAACCGCATACCCTCGGTCACCTCGAGCTCGTCGCTCATGGTCTTGCCCTCCTTGACAGTGATAACGCCCTCCTTGCCAACCTTCTCCATGGCATTGGCAATCAGCTTGCCAATGTGTGTGTCGCCGTTGGCGCTGATTGTGGCAACCTGGGCGATCTCCTCGCTGGTGGTAATGTCCCTCTTGTTCTTCTGCAGGTACTCGACGACAGCCTCGACAGCGGCCTGGGTACCGCGGCGCAGGTCCATAGGGTTGCACCCAGCAGCAACGTTCTTGACGGTCTCGGAGAAGATGGCTCGGGCAAGCACGGTGGCGGTTGTGGTACCGTCGCCAGCGACCTCGTTGGTCTTGGAGGCTACGTCTTGTAGCAGCTTGGCACCGAGGTTTTCGAACTTGTCCTGCAGGGAAATAGCCCGGGCGACAGTCACACCGTCTGGAAATGTCACACGTCAGCATTTGATCCAGGAGCGTGGGTGGCAGAATATCACAAACCCTTGGTGATCTTGGGCGAGCCATAGCTGGACTCGATCAGGACGTTCCGACCCTTGGGGCCCAGTGTGGTAGCGACTGCTTTGGCGAGAGTGTCAACGCCAGCCAGAAGAGCGGCGCGGCCCTCCACGCCAAACTTGAGCTCCTTTTTTGCTTGCTGTCAGCTTTGTGACCGGGGGATTCTGGCCTGTGCGCCAGCGTTGTTTGGCGGAGGGTGCAACAAACCTTGTGGGCGAAGCGAAGCTGTTGTGTGAGAGCACCGCTTGAACGGAATCTGGAGGCGGCCGAGGGGGACAGGACCGAGGCGGCCGTCCGACTTGTCAATGCTCGCTGCATGTTGGGTAATTGGATAGCTGTACTGGACTGAACACACGAGGACAAAGGAGACTCGTCAAAGGGTATCTATCAGGCCGTCCGTCGGAAAAGCTGGGAGAGGAGAGGAGAAAGTGGTTGCCAAGGTCGCGGATGAAGTCAAATAGTGATGCGGACCTGGAGCTCAAAAAAAATTGGAGTTGCCGCCCCAGCGACGAGAAGAGCCGGCACGGGGCAAGCTTTATGCACTAGGCCACGGCTGGTATAAGTCATTGGTTCCACGCCTTTCTGTGCCCCACAATAGAACCTGCACCCGGACTGTAGGAGACATTTGGCCCGTCGGCCTGCTCATCGCATGGACGTCGCCGGTAGGCCGCCTTACTCAGGTGCTGCCCGACAGCAGCAAGATCCACCGAAGTTTGTAAGTAGGCCTATTTGCCCACGCGGTTGACATTCACCTCATCGCTTCGTTGCTCCTGGCCGTCACCATGCAGCCACAGCCTCCCAGAAACACCAAGCCCTGAGCAGACAAGATTGAGGAAGGGACTGAGGAAGTCCACCCACGCGAGGTCCTCCTGACCGCTAATGCCGTCCATGCAAATTTTTCCAAAACGCTACATTGCGATAGAATGGATCAAAGGCATTACTGCTTCATCCTGCACAAATCACGGTTGGGAGGCGAGAGAGCGAGAGTACGGCGTGAGGACAATGGGATTATGTGACTATCTGGTCCCAAGTGGTGGAGCAGAAGTCAAGCCGTTGCTTGGACGAGCCGAGGTTTCCCCGGCCTTCGACGACGCCAGACTTGGTCCTCTCGTACCGGCATCACACAGTTCATCATCACAGCATCGAGCATGGGCACATTGCGAAGAACCAGTGCTTGATCAACGTGTTGTGTTCCAGGAGTTGACTCGCTCTCAAACTCGTGACTCGGGTCTGCCGAAAGGAAATCAACAAATTAGGTGCCTCTCCGCGTGAAGACCATCAGTAATGCAATCCTTCTCCCCCAAGTCTGCCCGAACTTTTGACAGCCTGTCATCCTTTCCCACCCTTTCCCCCTTACTTCAGAGCTATGCCTCAGTCGTGCTTGATGTCGCCGTGCAGTTCCAAGTAGGCATCACTCCAGAAGAAAACCAGGTTGTGATGGTGAAGCCAGTGGCGCCCATCAGGCGGGAGTGTCGCCGCCATCGTCTGTGTTGCATAGTCAGCATGGCCGTACTCGTACCGGATCGGGACATCGGTCGCGGCAATTGGGTGCTGTGGTAGATGATGCACGTTGGTCGCGGGGTCGACGAAACCGTAGAAGCCCTCGGTCGGGGGCGGCAACAGCACCTGGTGAGCAAATACCACGGGTGCCGCGCCGTCCTCTCTTCGAGACTCCGAGACCAGTAGTACATCATCGTTGTTCTCGCCATCATGCTTGGCACCGTCGGGTGTCCTCACGAGCGTGTCGGCCGCGGGAGCCGCGGTTGGGGGATTGTTCGGGTCAATAATGTACGAACCGTTAGGGGTGTTGGTCGACTCCTCCAGCTTGGCCTCCTCCTTGATGTCAAGCTTCATGTCCTCCTCCTCGTCGACATCGTAGCCGGGAGCAGCCATCTTGCGCTTCTTGCTGGCCGGAGTGGCACGGTTGCTGGCGTTCTTGCGACCAGTGGCAGGCGTCTTCGGGGTGGCTGGGGTGCTTGGGCCAGAAGCACCAGCAGAGTTGGCACCGCCTCCGTTGGACTTCTCGATGCCATGAGCCTTCATGAGACGCTCGTACCGCTTGGCACTGTTTGTTTGCCAGTCAACAAGGGGAGTCTTGGCAAAAAGGTAGACTTCAATGCTTACGCGGCGCCCTTGGTGACGATGCTCAGCTCCTCAGCGACTTTGCCAAAATCAACCTGCCATTACTGTTGTTTAGTGACGGCAACAAATGGAGTCACCTGGGAATACCCACCTTGCCAGCATTAGTGTGCTTGATGCAAGCGATGAGGAACTTGAACTGAGACTCGGTGTCGATCGGGGCCATGATGGAAGGTGGATGAGAATGACGAAATCAGATGGGTTTGGCTGTCAGGCGGGCGGAAGCTGTCAGCGTTATGTGACAGGTACGTTGGGCAGCCAACGGCCGTGCTGGAAGCAAAGGGAAAGACACGACCAGGATTCGAGCCGTCCGGGGTAACTGGGCCATACGGATGATTTTGGAGGCTTGCTTACCTTGACGAGGAGATGTTCGGACCTGCAGTGCCGGATGTGATGTCTTGTGAGGTGGCTTGTCAATATCCTACTTGCTGAGGTAACTGAGGGAAAAGGTTGGGTCGGTGGGCTTGGGACTGGACTGCAGTTCTATGGCAAAGGGAGACGGTTTTGTGGACCACAGGACAGGACGTCAAGCAGCTAGGACTGAGCAGACGCCAATGGTCTGCTGGCAGCATCGCCGGGTCTCTGTCTGTCCAGTGGGCTCCAACCAGAAGGGGACAGGGGACAGCAAAATATATGGATTTGTCCCAAGAACGTCTTCATCTGGTCAGGGGCAAAGCTGCCTGGTTTTGCATTCAGTCTTTACTCTATTATTAATGACATTGCATATGCTCCATTTGTCTCTTCTATCCGATCTTCCAGAGTCCTGACAAGGCCATGGGCCCATACATCAGACAGTCTGATGCAGACTTCGATCTACATCTTCATTCAGTCCACACATAAATGGTACAGGCATAGTCAGTCAGGTGGGAACTCTCATTGCCTTAGAGTGTTGTCTGAAAGACAAAGGCACATGGGCAAGCTTGAATAATCCAGAACAATGCTGGCCAATGAGTTGATATGGAGACCTCGGCTGCTTCCCCCTTTGATCCCTTCCCTGATACGGTCATCTGTCCCGTCTAAGCATCAGGTGCTTAGCTCTGACTGACTGGGTCGGGGTACTATTTTGTTCCTACCAGAAACCAATCTCAAGCCTTTGATGTTGCTTGGAAGTCAGGATTGAAAAGGAGAAGGGAATCTTGTCTTCTTCCCAGGAAGCAAATCCACTATGAAACTGCGGCCCATCGTTTTGAATTTTCAAGGACGTACTTTGCGTTTCTGCTCGAGAAAAAGCCATCAGACGAAAATGCAAAAATCATTCAACAACACTTTGCGTAGACAGATCATTCCGTGCCTTCTTCAGCGCTTTTAACTTCTGCAAATTCCACCCGTCGCCGTCTTTTCCTTCTGTCCTTCACAGCCTAACACCGACAGCATTTCACGATACTACTTGTCTTGGATTCGTGACCCCCTCAACCAACTATCTTCGACCACCAAGTTCACCTTCAAGCATTCACGTGTAAGTTGATGCCTTCCAAACAAGTCCTTTTGTTTCGTAGCCATTCATGCTCATGACGCATGCCAACACGGTCATGAGGTATCTGCCCGGCCGAAGCAACCGCGATAGCTTGCTAACCGTTGACAGATCAAACTGACTCGCCATCATCAACCATGTCTGACCCAATCGATTCTCCTGAGACCCCCAAAAAGGGCCAGTTGAACGAGAAGCAGACCAAGCTCCTCGCCGCCATGACCCAGAATACCATCGGCAAGGTTGAGTACAACGTGAGCCTGACAGAACCGCCCGATATACCTTGGTCCGCATCCTAACCTGGCTTTGACGTCTTCACAGTGGGAGAAAATTGCCATCGACACGGGCTACAAGAACGTGGCCAGCGCGAAGAGTACCTACTCCCGCCTCTGCTCCCAGCTGAACGGCGGCGGCAGCAAGAGCTCTACCGATAAGGGCGACACCCCCGTCTCTGGCGGCCCCAAGACCCCGACCAAGGTCTCCAAGCGCACCGGAAAGGTCGGCAGCTCCTCGACCAAGAAGCCCCGTGGCAAGAAGGGCGCGGCTGCGGCTGCGGCTGCGGCTGCGGCTGACGCCGGCAAGGATGGTTCTCAGAAGGAAGAGCAGATTGAGGTAAAGGGCGAGCCCGAGGATGAGGACGAGGTTGACGCTATGATGAGCGGTGCGCTCTAAACCAGGCAAACATGGTTTCCTTGAATGTTCTCGGGGTAGTGCGGAAGAACTCTGGATGATTGGATGCTTCGCCAGCTGGGAGTTGCACGAGGACAATGGGCCAGTACATACGTTGATTATGCTAGCCTACAATACCGATCAACTTCAATCATGACATCTCACGATGCATTGAGATTTTCTCTTTCTACGATAATATCATTTCTTCAGCTGGAATTACGACCTCAGGTGTTTGCATAAAGTGCCTCCAACCTTTGGGGATTCAGGATCAGTAGCCCTCTTGAGCTGGCCGCTGAATACAACTCAAGCGTAGGCACATCACGGTCAGCAGCGTTGCCAAGCAGAGAGTTCTAGGTCAAACCATCAGTGATTTGTATCTGGGATGTCCACGTTTGATGTTACAAAGCCCTGCATCTAGCTAGCATGGCCACCGGGCAGGCAGCAACCAGTACCGATGTCAGGGGCGACTGAAGCTTATTTTGCTTCCCAGTGTGTAGACATCCCTTTTCTCATCCCCCCCCCCCCGAAGATCAGAAGCCGACCTGCAAATTCCTTCCCCAAGCATAGTGTCCAAGACTCCTCCAACAGAAAGATCATTCCATCCCTGGGTTAGGCGCAATCGTGAGAAGCAGCTATGGTGACCTTGTCGAGATGCTGTCGGTGTTGAGCCCTGTAGATGCGGGATGTTGTGGGCTTAGATGCCGTCGTGCTCCCTGTGATTGATACTTGTAAGTCCAGGAACTCGATTGTAGCAAGGGAAGATACTTACTCCTCCTCGTTCTTGAGCTGCAGCTCGACGCCCTCGTCGTCATCATGGTCGTCTGACTGACCAGAAGCGGCCTTGTTGGGCGCCTTGCGCTGCTTCTTCTTCTTCGGGGACTCGTCATCGTCACCCTCAGTGGCGGACTTGGTGCGCTTGTTGGAGGTGGTTGTCTTCTTTGGGGCTCCGCCTCCCTCCTTGCGCTTCAACTTTTGAAGGTGCTGACTAAAGGAGAAATTAGCAGAAGTACAATAGACCCAGGCAGTGTTAGTCTCGTGACTGCGTGTAGGCTGATGAGATCAACTTTAGGCTCCCCACTTGGAGAAGTGATTGCGGTGAAAAGTCTTGTGGAGTAATGATTACAGTCTGTGAGAGGCAGCCTTCTTGGTGAAGCGCTCTCCGAAGTTCTCCTCGAGGATTTCCATGGCCTTCACCAAGGTGGCACCCTTCGGCTCGTCAGCCGCGACGAGACAAGCAGCGAAGAGATCGCGCTCTGAAGCAGGATCCCACTTGAAGGCAGGGCCCTTGGTAGGAGTACCCATGATGATGGTGACAGGGTTTTTGGAAGTGGTTAAAGTGGGAGAATGTTGAAGAATGTGATGGAAATGTTACGGTGTAGAGGGTTGGGGCTGGAGGTTGAAGATTCGTGTGTTGTACAAGGGAGCTTCTTGTAGGAAGGCGGTAGGACCCGATGAGTTGGGTGGAAAGCGCATACAGAGCAGCCGAGAGGGTGTAAGTGTAGCCCTTGGCTCGCAGCTCGGGCAGGATCTTACTGTCCCAGTCTAAGTTGGAGATTGCGATGTGATTGAGAATCGCAAGCAGCAGGTCCACATGGGCCTTCTCGCCCCAGGTAGTGCGGTCAGACATCTTGGAGGTGGAATGTAGGGAAGAGCCTTGGAATCAAGGAATGTGGGTGCTTGTTGAAGAAGGTGCAAGGAGTGCGTCGAAGGAGTAGTGAGTGGGTGGAAATGGAGTGTAAAGGACAACGGTCAGGCATAGAAGGGCGAGTGAGCAGGAAAGAGAAGGGTGGAAGAGACCAGGCACCGCTTGGAAACTTTGGATGGGGAAATTCCTCCACACTCTAACATGCACCCTCGGTGAACTGCCAGCCTCCCATGGCCTTCGCTTTGTTGGCAATCTGCAGTATGTCCTGCTTTGATGGGTTGAGGTGATTGACCGTTGCAGCGAGCAGGTCCTCAACGAGTCCAGGCTCGTCCCAATTTTGGGTGTTCTTGGGACTCATTTTGGATGCCTTGATGATGTTATAATGGAGCAGTTGTGGTTTGAAGGTAGGAACCAGAATGAAAAGACACGTCGAGGCCAAAGCGGTTGAAGTTGGGAATGAGAAGGTGTTCGGGCAGGGGAAAATAATCAGGCGAGGCTGTCAGCTTTGCTGGACTTGAAAAGCAACTGACATACCGAATCTTGTCCCAAGACATAGAATCGTAGCCACGCTTCTGCATGAAGGCTACTACTTCCTCCTTCTGCGCACCACTTACGTCTGAAAGGACAGAAGTAGCGGTAATGAATGCGACCAATAGGTCACTCATCATGGTGCTATCCCAAGTTTTTGATTGAGACATGTCGCCAGGGAGTTGGGTGGTAGATAGATGAGTGAAGGTTGAGGGCATCAAGGAAAAGGCGTGAGTGGATTTCGGGATCGAGATGTGTCAAGGGGAAGGTAGCTACTTGGTACGACTGTCAGGGCAGCTTACCAGATACCCTCCCAAGTCGCGTCGGTGTGACCGCGACTGTGCATGAACGCGACAATGCCTTCGCGGTCTGCAGCCGGTATCTGGGTCAACGGCGGCGAAAAAGCGAGCACCGCCTGGAAAAGGCCGGCCTCAGCCCCGGCATTCCAGGCCACACCCATACTGCTTGATCAGTCGTGACATGGGTCGTGATGTGGGTGGTTAGGGGTTTGGTATTTTGAAGACGTAGGTAGTGGCAGGCAGACGCAGACACAATGCCACTGGGCAAGGGCCTGGGATCTCGCAAATGTGTATCTTACCGAATGGCGTTCCACGTGAGGTTCTGATAGCCTCGCTGCTTCATTCCCGCAGCAACAGCATCCTTGTCCTCTTGGGACAGCGGCTGGCGGGAGGACAGTACAAGGTAAATCTCCTCGAGCAGATCTCGCTCGCGGGCGTCATCCCACACGGCAGGCATTTTGAGGTGTTTGGGGTTGCGACGGTCAATGCTTGCTCGGTGCCTGTAGGGCTGGTTGTCGCTTGTTTTTGTTTTGCTTTTTGCGGCGCAGGTGCTGGAAAAGTGGGAAACGCACGGTGTAGGGGAATGACTGCTGCTTTTCTTGGATTGTTCTTGAGGGACATGAGGGGAGAATGGAAGCAAAGTTTGGTGGGTTGGTTCTGAATGATCAGACAAATAAAATAGATTGACCTTACCGAATGCCCTCCTTGGAGAACTGCTGGCCTCGCTCTGCCAGACTCTCGACCATAAGGTCAAGATGAGCCCGCCACTTCGTGTCAGCGGAGTCCATGACATCCAAGAGGGTACCGATGAGGGCCCGGTGGGCCTCCTCGTTCCATTTTGTGTTGGCAGTCTTTGGGCTGCCGGGGCTGCTGGTGACACCGGCGACAACAGCCGCCTTAGAGGTGGCTCCGGCCATGGTGAGGAAGGGTACGATATCTTGAGAAGGCGTGACTTCAAGAAGCGCAGTTGATCTTTGCGCTGTTGTTGAGTGTGGACGGTGAGATGTAGTGGGCTTGGCAATTGGTATCAGGGTGGGAAGATTTGGGTATTTAGGACTCAACTGGACTCACGTTGCCTTAAAAACGGACATTCGGGCCTGGAGAGATGAACCACCCTGCCCAGGCAGGACTCACAGAGTTGGATGACTGGCAATGCACAAATCTAGCCGGTTCGTCCATGGACAATCCACTCAGAAGCCAGGGTGACTGAACAAGCACATGGGCAAGGCACGTGGGTAGATAGCTCGCCAGTTTGTAGCGGCACATAGGCAGTCATGATATCCCAGGATAGCCTTGAACGTATCCCAGGACAGGTCAAACGCAAAAGCAGGACGTATAAAATTATGTGACTTAGAAGTGGGATTGCGTCGATTCCAACGAGTCTTCGCCTGGACACAGGAGCTCCGTTCTCCTAGTTAACATAGTCCGGATTCCCAAGCCAGATCGGGCTTATAACGCTGGTGGCACTGGCCACGTCCAAAGCCGAGGGCATCCTGAATGACAAAAGATACCAGAACACCAAGAGAAATTGAAGCTAACACACCACCGTAACACCAAAGCAACGCCAATGAGCTCAACGCCGGGCAGCCCGGACTTGTCGTAGCCAAGACTCAACACTCTTGTGTCCATGTCCTTGTGGTGCCATCAGGCCTCTCCGTAAAAACTTCCACACTGTCAGCAAAGGCTGCAAGGGGCGCACCTGGCATGGAAGATGCTTACTCTGGATTGTAGTGGTCCACACCTGGGCTGGTGTGGGCCGCCAGCGCGCTCAGGATGGCCTCGTCGTTGAGGGCAGGATCGTGGTTCTCTTCGAGTTTAGGACGCTTAGCAGCATGCTCATCAGGCTCCTCACTCGCACCCTCGAAAGACACACCCTCTGGCTGCAGGACCATGGGCTGCGGCGGCTGCGGCTGCGGCGGCTGCGGGACCGGGTCCTGGTCCTGTGTGGGCGCAGCATCCATCATGGGGGTCGGTGCAGGGCCAATCGTGGGATCCATAGGCGGCTGGGGTTGCATCGATTGTTCCAGATCCAGTGGTTGTGCCTGCGATGGTTGCTGCTGCTGCTGAATGTGGGATTGAGACGGCGAGGAGGGACTGGCGCTCTCGGAACCCTGAGCATCCGCAGAGGCACCGCCAACAGACTTCCTGGGCCGTCCTCGTCCGGGGCCCGGCCGTCGGGTGATGGGATTGAGGGTAGGGTCGACCTTCCTGGGGTTGTCGCCCAAGGCGCCATTTGCCTCAGCCTTTTGCTGTGCTCGGCGGAGACCTTGGAAGTGTTGGCTAGCACTGCTGTCAGCCGTATTCTTTAGAGCGAATCGAGAATCCCACAGAAATACAGGCCCGGCAGAGAACACGGTTCCTGGAAAGAAGGAGCTGGGACGACGAGGCGTTTTCATATTCACATCATCAAGTTGGAGAGGTCCGGGCGAGGATGGGGGATGGGACACGAGAGATGAGGGGGGTGGATTGGCACGAAAGAAGACATGGCAAGGCCGAATGGCTGCTCGGGACGAGGACCGCGTTGAATCAAGCAGAATCAAGCTTACCGGCAGCCTTCATTTGTGAAACCATATCCGAGAGACCGCATATGGTTTCCAATGGTGGTCCATTCCGAGCCACTTATGACACCAATGTTCTTGACGGAGAGTATCGTGAAGAACAGATCCTTATCGGCTTCTGGAAAGACACGATATCAGTGGAACGCCTGACAGTGCTGATGGCGGCAGCGGCAGCGGCGGAATTCATGTTCACATGACGATAAGGAAAGAGCAGCAGCAGCAGCAGCAGCAGCAACAACAACAACAACATCATCATCATCATCATCATCATCATCATCATCAGACGCCACAGGGCCGTTCGGTTGGCAAGCCGGGCACAAGAGCTAGAAGAGGGACAGAGGAGAGAAACACGGAGAATGACAGGATTGAGCAGGCAGGAAAGGTACTGACTGTCGCCCCAGTTTTTGCTGTTCATCCTCGCGGGCTCCAGGAAACAGGCGCGGGCCTAATTGCGAATAGCCTCAAAAGGCGTGGACGACTATGGACCGATGGATGGTTGGAGCGAATGGGTCTGGTTGATCTGATTGACCGGATCGAGATGGGCAATAATTGTTAGACCGGTACCTGGGAGCCTCTGGCAGAAGGGAGGAAAGAAACGACCTGTTGATAGCTGGCTATCTGGGGACTTTGCAAGCGGAGGGAGGAGCTTGGTAAGAAATGCGCGAGCGGAGCTGCCAGCCAGTCACCGTTGGGGCAGACGGAGGGGAGCTGGAGAATGTGGGGAGGGGGCGGGTAGTGAGCTGTGCTTGCCTCTCCGTCCCCACCCCAGGCCGTCTGTGCAGATGGACGCAGGCTGGGCAGGACGGCAAGAGGCAGACCAGCCGCCCGGCCGTCACGTGCACTCGTGAGCCATTTCGCGTTTCCAGTCCGCACTGTCCTGTCGGCCAAGCCCCGCTTTCCAGGATCCAGCGCGCAACTTTGCAGCTCGGACGCGTAGCTCGGCACCTCTCTGGCCAATCGAGGTGCCAGTTCGGCGCAAGCCCCAGACAAAGTTCCCAGACGGAGGCTCCAGTGTCTTGCGTCTCCCTCTGAACCAGAGTCATCCATGAGTCGCTCGGTCCTATGGCACGCAGCAGCCCTGCCTTGCTCATTTCCCACTGCACAGCTCTGCAGCCCCCATGCCGCATTCGTCGCCGTCGCCATCGCCATCGCCATCGCCATCGCCATCGCCATCGCCATCGCTGGCAAAGCAACGCCATCGAGCGGCGCCTCGAGCTTCGTCTGGTGGTAGGCTCAAGCTTGGTGATACAAGGCGGGCAACTAACAAGCACCAAAGTCTTTGCCACCGCATCAGCACACCTCCAAGTCGGGCGGAGGATCGTCCAACGGTTCGCATCCTCGGGCTCCCTGCAGCCTGGACTGGCCTTGCCCCCACCGCCATTCGTCAATCCGACAAGATAATAAAAAAAAAGTCGTCCGTCTTGGCCCATCCAGAACCTGGTGGCAAGGCAAGGACAGAAAAGTAAATCTTGCAGTGCTTCGTCGTGACTTGGCCCGGCTGTTCCTGGCCTGGTTCGGCATGGGTGTGGTGCCCACCGGGGAAGAGACGTTTCCCGTCGCGCATTGCATCGTGTTCCAATTAAGATCCCTGAACCGACAAACGACCCTGTCTCGTGCGATAACTATGACTCACAGTCTTGTCTTGCCTGCGTCTAGGGTGCCACCAGCTGTTGGCTTCCTTCGCTCTGCCCCTTGGCCCCTCGTTCTCATCGATGCAGCCTCGACATCTCGGCTGACTTCGACCTGGGTCGCTCGTCGGAACTCTCGAAGGAGGGTCCGGGGAACTTACGACATTGGGAGATCAGATCAAACGACAGCATGCCCCCACCCCCCGGATTCTCCCATCATTGCCAGCGTCAGCTTGCAAACGGTCACTTTCTTGTGGTAGTGTACCGTGTAGAGGCACAAGGCAGGGGCAGGGGTCAGGGCGGGATGCCAGATGCACGTTGCAACCTCGCTGTTCCGGAATGCCACTTTACGCGAGTCCTCCGCGAGATCACGTTGAACCCACACCACCCTCGTGTTGGACCTTTGATTTGTTGGGCTTCCTAGCTGACCAGGCAACCACAGGCATCATTCTCGCGGATGACTTTACCAATACAGACAAGCCCCAGTCAAAAAGCAAGAAGTCCCGAGAAAATGAGCTCAGAGCCCCTCTGCATTCCTTTACTTCTCGGCTTTGTCAGCCCCTCTGCTCAAACAAGAGCAATCAGTCTTTCATGCAGAGGCCTTCCCTTTGGTCATTGTTACGAACTTTTCAAGCATCTCCGTGGCCGATCATCAGCACATTGTTGCTGAGATCCTATGTGCTTAGCCGGCTTGCTGCCGACTGTGCCCAACCCAGGAGTTCTGGCTATCAGAGGGTTGCTGGCCCTGAGCAGCCACTTGATCTCAACTCCAATCGCCTAGGCTGCACTATCAAGCCATCCCTCCCCAATGGTACATGGTGGCATCGTCTGGCAGCCCAGACTTATAAGACTACCCTCTTAAGCTTTGCCTCACTGATCTTCACACACCCACTAAGTGACTCACCCCACACCCTCCACCCTACACCGAACATCTTCCACTATTCAAACTGTGTGAGATCCTGGGCAGGCGGCCCTTCCAGCGGAGCTAGCAGTACACCGTGAAGCTCAAATTGGACCAGAGCCCCCTTCTCCTCCACTGTGGGCAAATCTTGCCGTTCCTCTTTGGTTGGCCCTTCAACGGACTCGTCCGAGCACTCGCCGTTGACATTGTCATCATGTCTTCCAACAATGACAATATCATGGCTCGATTCCTCTTCGCGATACTGCAGCAGAAAAACCTCAAAGATGTAAGGGCACCCCGGGGACATTGAGGTGGACCTCAAAGACCCAGGCCGCTGACCCTGATCAGATTGACTGGAATGCTGTTGCCCACAACCCAATATTGGCCCAGGAGATCACAAACGGCCATGCTGCCCGAATGAGGTACTCCCGATTCCGTAATTCCCTGCTGAATATTGAGCCTCAACGACGAAACCGAGCGGGCGCCAACAAGTCGAAGATCACCAAATCCAAGAAGGAAAAGACAAAGAAGGAGAATGATCAGCCCATCAAGCACGATCCGAGCGCATCACCGGACACACAACAGCAAGAGTCCAAAGCGCCGTCACCAAAGGTCAAGGGCGAGGCTTTGGTCAAGAGAGAAATCCAACAGACGCCCTCCGAGGCTTGCATCGCTCCAGCCGAAATGCCACCCAACTCCCTCCCCGACACCCATATGGAATTCCACAACCGGCTCCTAACGCCTTGCAGCGATACCGACCTCTTCGCCATGTCTCACGGGTATGCCACTAGCCCTGCGAGCGATGTGCTCCACCAAGAACCAGGACACTACGACTACACGGGGGCGACTGCTCACTGCGGCCACGACACAGCGTCCTGGCAGCCAAGCCCGTCCTACTCGCCCTTTGCGATGCCGTCGTACGACATGGACAGCTACAATGCTCCCGCTTCTGCGTTCTGTGAGCATCATCACACTACTCATCCAGACGGCTTCGGAATCGCCCCGAGTGTCATGATGGCACCTGACCAGTCTCATGCTCTTGTGAAGCATGAGGAGTGGGACAGCCGCTTTCACTAAGGAAACGACTTTGTTCCATCAGCCCGGCCTCACATACCATCAGGAATACAAAGATAGATCCTGAGAGGACGCAGTGCTCAAAAAGTAGCATCGACTGCCATAATTTCATTCTGTTATTCTGGAATTGGTCTCGATTTATTGGTCTGTCGGGTACGAGTCTGGTTGTGCTTTGGAAAATCTCACGTTGAACGTTGTATCTTGTGGTTTCGGATCTTCATAGAATGTATTACTCCCCGCTGTCTTTTGTGTTGGAATGAGTTATGATAGGTTGTTGTGGGCATCTTTCCTCTTCCTCTTTGCTTCCTTTGAACACGGTTCAGGACCTACACACGCAGCTAGACTGACTTGCTGGAAAAGGGGATCGATGGTTTCTCGAAAAGCAGCAACGAGCATCCGATTGCTGTACATCATAAATATTGGTGCCATGCCTACTTATCGCAGTGACCAGTTTATCCCCTCTGTCATTCTAAATGCCCTTCAAACTCAGCATTATTTCGCCTCATCAGATACCCTCAACCCTGCGACCAGCCCGAGTGGGAATATCTCCTTTCCTAAGCCTGCCGGCCTGTGACTATCAGGCGACATTGATTATCCCCCGGCCTGCTCCGGTTTGACACATAAATACACACGCAGAGTACCTACTTCGTGCAGACACGCACATTTATATCACTTAAAAGACTCATCTCAGTCACCAGAAGTTTGGACCTGGCTCATAAACTAGATAATCTCTCTAGTGTGTCATTAAGGGTATCGAAGCCCTCCTCCGATTCAGTCGGCGATGAGCATATTCCCCTTCCGTCCATCAAAAACGTTTTCCATCCAATCGTACATCGCATTGAGACCATGAAAAAGTACTGAGTGATCCTGAAAGCTCACTGCAGTCAAATCAAGTCCCTAGGCCACCGCAGATCAGCCTTCAAATCGCTCCTTCTCACCTTTGTCGACCGATTGCTATGACCCGTCCTCGATACGTATCTGTCTGTTGCAAAGTGGACTGATGAGGTGTTTCAGCATTGAATAGCCTTGTGTGGAAGGCGAAGTATCCTCTTCACCAAGTCAGGTAGTCTCCATCAATAGTACTCGGCCATCTTAAATCTCCTCGAGCTTGAGCTTGCCCTCGTGCTCGTGGTTGAACTCATCTCCCTCCTCATGCTCGTCCTCCTCCTTGGCCTCTGGTGTGACCTTTCTCTTGACTTCAGCGCTCTCAACGTCCCACTCGTCCTGGCCATCGACATCATGGCCGAGATGTGCTTGGTCGAAGAAAGTGCCGCCTCCGTTATAGATGTCGGCTGGATACTGCTCGCTGAATTGCATCTGGGTCATGTGACCAAAGGGAACATTACCACCAGGCATGTCTATGCCACGCATGTGGTAAGGGGACATCTGCATGAACTCGAAACGGTTGAACTGCTGCGCCTGAGCCTCCAGCATTAGCTGGTGCCGCTGCCGCTGCTCGGCGGTCATCTGCTGTGGCTGCATCTGAGGAGTACGGGGCGCCTGCAACGCGGCCAGTTGGTTTGGGTTTAACGGTTGGGGAAAGGCGAAAGAACGGTTGCCATCGATGGAGTTAGGGAACATGCCGGGTTGGCGGAGCTGGAGCTGCATCATCTGGGCCTCGCCCATGTTGGATGGAAGAGCGGTCTGATGATAGCCTGGGACCCCGAGATGGGCACCACCAGCGCTGAATCCTTGGGGAGCCTGGCTGCGGGAATACTCCTGAGGGCTTGCGCTGTCGGTGCCGTCAATGCCACCTGCCACACCGTCATCGTTGGGCAGTGGCATGATTTTACTGCCAGGTTCAGACGACTCTGTCTTTGAATCCTTGATCTCGGTCTCGGGGTCAGTCTTGGGCGCTGAGGCAGGAGATCCGACGATGCTATCGGCAATTGCCTCCTCATCGTCCTGCTCATCTTCGGATTTGACGCCCAGCTTCTGTCTCTTGCCACGCCCACAGCCGGCGCGAGCAGATCGCTTGCGCACACTCGCCTTCGCGGCGACGGGGCTGGGATTGTAAGAGGATTCGCCGTCCTCATCGTCATCTAAACCGTCAGACTTCGGCGCAGCCTTTCGCTTCTGAGCCTGGGATCGAGGGGTCTCAGGGGCCTGGTCCATCAGGTCATGTTTTTTGAGTATTTGACGAAAGCGAACCTGTTTATAAATGAGAAGAATGAACTATAGATTAGATACGGGTGAGAGGGCATTAAAAAAAATACCTTCGCACTCGCAGCGTTCTTCAGGTTGGAATGAGAAGCTACCAAATTCCAATCGATCTTGTCATGGTTGCCGTTGAAGCGTCTAGTATGCGTCAATCATCTGCTACAGGTCCCAAAGTGATGCATTCTGGAACATTCCAAAACATAAGAGACGAGGGGGGGGGACCACAAGAGGAGAAGAACAGTGCTTACACCATGTTGAAGAAGAGCAGGGACTCGATGGGAGTCAGCTCGATCTGGGTCATGTTCTTTCTACCCTTCTCAGCACTGGTAGGAGTCTTGGGGCCGCTGTCCTTGGTGATGCCATCCTTGGTGCCACCTTTCTTGGGACCGCCACTCTTGGGCAATGCGCGGGGGGTTTTGTTGTCTCCGTTATCAGACATCATCAAGACTGAGGAAGGGTCAGACGTGCGAGAGAGTTGAAGAGTCTACAAGCGAGACTTACTTGTGATTTGGTTGGACTGGAGCGTTTTGAAAGAGAATTGGCTGATGCGATGAGCTGAGAGGAAGATTAGGATCAGACGGAAACTCAAGTAAAAAGCGCTGCTGCGATCCAGTTGAAGTATCAGGTGCGGGAAGCATGAAGGAGGAAGGAAGAACCTGGACAATGACAGGTCGCAGCACGACCCTGGGATGGTGTAGGATGGGATAAATGGAGAGGTTGCTGTAAGTACACTTTGCAAGGCCATCCTGGCATGTGTGCATGGAGCTTACCTACCGACAGCCTGGGACAGATCAGGAGATCGACTGGTGTGAACTAACACGGCCGTATGCTTGAGCACGCCAGAACAGTATGTCGAGGATTGAATTCGAGATCCCACTTGCTAGTGGAAGGAGTGAGCAAGGGGAAGGGGGTGTGAAGGAACGTATCAAGTGCGTGGTGTTGATGGCTACATGGGGTGGAAGGGGAACAGCGCAGAAAGAGATTAGGCGGTACTGTTGCTTGTTTCTCATCTGGCCGAGTTGTCTTACCTGAATATGTACTTGGTGGACGGACAGGACAGTGGTCTGTTTCTGGTGACGTGTGAAGTAGGCGTCGATGGTCTGGACTGGGCAAGTTCTGGACGAAGTCGAATGTGTTGCCCTGCCCAGAATAGCTGTAGATGAGTCCCAGAGGAAGATGGACGCGTAGGGGAGAGCTGGGGGAAGGACAGACTCCCGATGAAGTATGGAAAGGTAGAGAGAGAGAGAGAGAGAGAGAGTGTGTGTGTGTGTGTGTGTGTGTGAGTGAGAGGTGGAAGGAGGGAGAGCTCTGGGGCCTTCATGCCCATGTGGAAGATTGACACGGCTGTGCAGTCTTTCGCCCTACAAGTCTTGGACACGGTCACCATAACAACATGACACTTCGCAAGCAACACCCAGTGCCTCTGAACACAGAGCATGGTATTACTGCCTGGGGGACGTCTACTACTTAGGCACTCCATCCTGCCCCTCTTACTCTTTCCATTACCAACTTTCCCTACCCCCAACATCACAGCGAAAGCAGCTTCCACCCACCTCAACCAGAGGGACCTCATACCACTCAGCCATTCAGCAACATCAGCTACACTTTCTTCGACATCTTGCCCATCATGAACACCAACAAGAAGTGTATGTTCCCTTCCTCTTCCCCATCCCGTGCAAAAACGAGGCCCCCTTGCCGCACGGTGGCAGTCTGCGGTGGAATGCATCACACGCCCGCCAGGGCTCACCTTCCTTTGTGGTACTTAACGTGATGCTGACGCGTTCATTAGGGGACGATACCTCTCAGAAGGATCTCGTTTTCGCTATGCTGATGTCAACGGGTGACGGCAACATCAAGGCAGACTGGCAAAAGGTTGACAAGATCATAAGCAGCTGGGGTTACAACTTCACCATCGGCGCAATGTGTAAGTCCTCCTGCCTTGACGTGCCCACCTGTGGTTCCCTATCTTTCCACGCTCTGTCGCGTACGCGTCGATTGGGTCTTTGGTCTTTCACGCGCCGCCCCCGCGTACCATCGATTGAGGCGATCCGGCACCATACCGTAATGTCCACATGAGATTCGCTCCAACAACACCCCTATGTGGTATTCCATTACCCCAAGCATCGGAACTAACGCCACTGCACACAGCCCAGCATTGGTCCAAGACCATCCTGAAGGCCTTCAAGGAGCGCCACCCGGACAACGCGAAGGATGGAGACAACACCGACCCCGCCACCCCTTCGAAGGCCGGCACTGGCCCTCGCACTCCCAAGACCCCGGCGTCCACAAAGGGCAGTGGAAAGGGCAGGAAGCGCCCTGCTTCAGATGCCGAGACGTCTCCCGAGAGCGGTGGTATGAAGAAGACTACCCGCACCTCCGCGAAGAAGATGAAGTACTCCGAGGACCCTGACGAGGATGACGAGGAGCCGGCCGTGTTCAAGGGCGAGACCGTGGACGAAGACTACGATCACGCCATCTAGGCTTGCCGGGTGGTCTATTCGCTTGTCGACCTTGTCGTCAATATCCTCACGTGGGGGGATTGAGACAGGAGGGGGAGAAATGGTGTGGAGTGAATGATCCGTCAGTCCTGAATCACTGGCATTGTCTGTTGGTGCTCGAGCTTTCTTCAACGTCGGGCTTGCACATCTTTGCAAGCAATACCGCCTTGCCGACGCTTGGTAGGACCCGACTTTCGCGTCGCGTTCTGGGTTACTTGATCCTCATTTTGGACGGTTCAGATTCCATAGGAAATCTTCTCTAGGAGTCAGAGAGGATCACCCAGGATAGAATCATCAATACCCGCACACCCTGATACTATACTCGCGTGACATGCGAAACGTGAACACAATTTTCATAAACCTGTCTTGTCCTGTCTGCCGTAAGGTTGCACCCCGCAACGCCCTTGCCCTGAACCGAAACGCCTGGCTGTCCACGAGCCTTGAGGACCAAAGAAAGAAATCACGTCTACTGGACACTCTTGCCGTCCAAACGATGACCGACTTCAGGTTTCTTCACGACTTCTGGCTTCTCCTCGACCTCGGCCTTCTTCTTGACTCCTCCCCTCAGCGTTTGGCCCTGGCCTGCAAAATGGGGTTTCTGTGAACCTTCAATCTCCTTCTCCTTCTGCTCCTTCGACTTGTAAGGCGTGATCTCGTAACCCAGGAACAGCTTATTCGGGGGCAGCCGTAGCGGCAGCGGCCCGTTCGTCCGTCTGCGAGGTGCGCCAGAGTCCTTGTCCGCCGGAACTCCCGGGACGGGTGTGGCTGGCTTCGGGGTGGGGGCCTTACCGCCCTTCTTAGCGCCGATACGGTTGCCCTCGCCGTGGAAGTTTGTCGCCTGCGCCGCGGCGGAAGAGGGCGCGATGGAGTCGTAGTTGATGGCCTGAGCCATGGTGCCCTGGTTGTGCAACAATCCTCCAGCTGGCAGGCCGCGGGTGCTTCTCGGCGTGCTGGTGCCGCTTCCCGATGACTTCGTCGGCTCCACGTATCCCACTGGAGGGGCAAACTCCACCGACACGTCCGTCTCGATCATGCAGACGCCCATCTTCTCCGTCTCGGGCTTCACGTCCAACACTGCCACATCGTAGACTGTGTCGTTGTACTCAAAATTGAAGACGTCGCCCTTGGTAACGGCAGCGAAGTTCCGGAAAGCACGCTCAAGGACCGCCTTGGGATCGCTGATTTCGAGGAAGTTCACAGACTGGGGCTGGAGCTTAACCAGCCTGGCGAGCTCGAGGGAGGTTGTCTTGATCTGGATCATGTCGCCGACATCCAGGAGCAGGGTTTGCATCATCCACTGCGGGAGGTATGCCCTTCCCTCCTCGGCCACGAACTCGAGCACACCAGCATGAGAGTGCCTCTCCTTCTCGCCGTTGATGAGTTCCATCAGCAGAGGCCACTGCACGTGAAGCTTGGACACCTTGTCGAGTGCCGACGGAGGCAGCAGGATCTTGGAGCCATAGTTCAGCTCGCTGCGCTCGGGACCGGGATGCATCACCATGGGGTAGCAGCGGTAGTACTCGTCGAATCGTTGGGTGACGGGCCGGCGCATCGACCGCGCCATGTTGAGGAAGTCTTGCGGGTTGGCCGGGTCCATTCCGTATCCAGGGGCGAACTACAGGTTGTCAGAGCCAAGTGTCAGCGTTGGAGGTCTCGTTTTCGTTGAGTCACGACTTGGACCACATGTGAGTGAGGCCGGGAAGAGAGGGAATAGAAAGAAGCTCGGTGTCGATCGGTACGGGCGTGACTTACCATGTTCGGCTTCTGCGTGCCAAATGAGAGAGGTGTTGCGATCGATGCTTGCCACCAGAAAGAAGAAATGGCAGATCCGGGGGGTGGGAACCTTTTGGTAGGAAACGGAGTGCGAGGGTGTCCAGAAGGAAAAGAATGGATGCTCGTCTAAATAACGTGGGGAAAGCTCCAGCTCCAGAGCGAACGGACGTTGAAGCTGTTAAGTATCCGGCAGCGGCAGGCAGCCTGAATGACGAAAGTGGGTGACTTGCCTCCATCCCCAAGCACTCCCCCAATTCAAGATTAGATAAGCTCATGCAGTTGGACCCAGCAGCCTACCTAGGTACCTAGGTATTCTGGGTGCCTGGAAACATGTAACAGTATCCCCACCAGACAGACAATGTTCGCCCTCACCCCACAAGCAAAAGAGAGGTAGTCGTGCCTGGAGACAATCTTCTTTGAACACCATTTTTGAAGCTCCCAGACTTGTGCAGAATTCCTATTGAATTATCACAGGCTATTTGCAGTGTGCCGTGCCCGCTACGTGCAACCAAGAAATTAAACAGACAAAGTCCAGGGTATCTCTAATAGTGCTCCAGCAACCATGGTCAATCTTTCAGAAGCCTCTAAAGCAAGTCCGGAATTGTGGCAAACACACAGATCTTGTATGATTCCGTCACACCTCTCATTTTTATCCCAGTGCACGCAAGACGGCGAGGTACCAGGGCACCAAACCGTTCAATCCCACGGCAGAGCGTTCCATACAGAAAAGAGGAAAAACGAAAACTCTCGCGTGCAGGCCATTATGGATGGACGTAGCCATTGCCATAGCCATTCACGCCATTCTGGCCCTCGATTCTTGCCCGCTTGTCATGATGGCCGGGGAATTTTTCCTCGGGACCCAGGCCTCGTTTAGGTGCCTTGGCGATATCGTCGCAGACGGACTGCATTCCCATGGACAGGTTCTTGCGCTGCTCGCCATCTTCTTGGACGAGTTTCTCCACGTCTGACAGCCTCTCCTGGAAATGCCGTATCTCAGGCACGAGCTGGGCGGGCTGGAGTCTACTGAGCTGCTCCAGGATGGCATGAGCCATTTGGGTAGTGCTCGTGTTGTTCCACTGACTACTCAGGCTTTCGACCATCGTTTCCAGAGCTCCGTAACGCCGGTCCGCCTGGCTTCCGAGTGCGTTGATGCTGTCCTGCGAACCAGCCACGATTTTCTGCACCTCGGTCACAGTCTCCTGTAAAGCTGTGACCTTCAAGTCGATAGCGACGGTCTTGGACTCAACTTCCGTCAGGCGAGATTCCGCGGACGTCACACCAGACGCAACGGCTTCTGACTCCGGGGCGAGACTTGTGCTGATTCTGGGAGTCGACGCCGTCGCAGGGCGGCTGGCTTGTGCCACGGCAACGGTACCCGTGGCCGACTTGGAATCCTGCAGGCTCTTGATTTGCGCCGTGTGTTCATCCAGTTTTGTTGCGAAAACCTGCATAAACCTATCAGACCATGCCCTGAAACTCGCAGGGAGATCCGCGGGCATCTTCTGAGGAATCCTCGCAAGGCATTCGGCCACGGATCGCTTGGCACCTTCAATGACCATATCCTGAGCGTCAGCTCGGCTTTTCAGCGCAGCGTAGTCCGCCATTGTCTCATCGAGATTCTCGACATCGATGTTTGCTAGCAGAGCCTCGTGGTCCTTCACACCCGTGTCCAGGGCCGCAATCCGTTCAGTGTGGCTGGTTGATGTGTCCTTCAGATTCTCGATCTCTCGACTCAGCTCGCCACACTTCTGTCCTAGATCCGCCATGTCCTGGAGCAAACTCCCGTTCTGGACTGCGCTCGGCTTGTCCTGCGTTGTCTTGGCAGTCGAATCGAGTCTCACTTCCTCCACGATCTTGCTGAGTTCGGCTTTGAGCTCGCCTATTTGTTTGTCAACGTATGCCCGGAACGATTCGGTCGGTTCGACCGCCCCGAGGCGCTGGGCCAGGCTTGTGACTTCGGATCTCAAAGAAGTCACCTGCGCCCTCAGCTGTTCGTTCTCTTTCGCCAAATCTGCACGCAGTATATCTTTTTCCCTATGCGCGGCCAATTCGGACGCCTGCTTGTCTTGAGTTTCCTTCAGCGAAGCAATCTGCTTCTTCCATGTCTCCTCGAAGCCAGCCTGTCGCTGATCTAACTTCTTGAGTCGTTCTTCTTGGGCTGACTGCGATGATGTGGTGACTAGGCCCAGCTCTCCTTTGGAAGCTTCCAAAATCTGGCGGATCTTGATCTCGTCGAATGGCAAAGCCCTCACGAGCGTCTGGGCGTACTTGTCGAAAGCGACAGTCTCCTTTGAGGCTAGCACGGCAAGTTCCTTATCAATGCCTGCCAGAGTCTGTTTGTGGTGGTTCTGGCTCCCCTGGAAGGCGTCATGCACAGCCGGAAACTGCACGGGTTTTGAGATCTGGCAGTCGTAGTCTTGTTTTCTCTTGTGATATGCCTTGAGCTCGGCGTCCCTCTTGAGCGAGAGCTGGGTCCTCTGGGTCATGAGGTCGGTGACTTGATGGAGCGCCTTTGCCAGCTCGGCCGAGGCCCGGTCCGGGTCCATCTTGGCTGGCTGGTCTTGTGGTGTGTGGATGGTGCGGGCCAAGTCTAGGTCGCGGTCGCGGTCGTTCCTCCGATCGCGATCGCGGGGTTCGCGCTCGTGGTGTCGATCTCGGTCACGCTCTCGATCACGGTCCCTCACATGGTCCCCTGAGGCAATGCGAGAAGGACCTGGCCTAGAAAACCGGTCGCGGGAGCGGGAACGGTTTCGCCGGTAGTTGGCAAAAGGAGCGTTGAAGTCCCGTGAAGAAGACATGTCGAGGCAAGGTGTGCGGTGCAGTGTGGCACCTGCTCAAGTAGCTAGACGATTCAGAGACATATGGCGTCAAGGAGGTCAGGACGGGAAAGAGCAGGTGCTGCACTGATTAGACTGAGGGGCTGCAGCAAAGCTGGGTTGATGGGGAAAGTACGGGGTATGGCAGACACAGTGGGTATGTGTCTCCTGCTGTTCTCTTAGCAGATGCCCATCCCATACATCATACATACATACATACATGCATACCTAACTTGGTAGCGCGTACTGCTTGGGCACATGCGCGTATGTATGCAAGAGGTAGCAGCATAACCCGGGCGTGCAGCAACGATGGAGGCTGTGCACTGTGCCGTCTGAAGTGTCTTGGGTTCCCCGCCAAACCAAACACGCCTGGACTTCGTGTTGTTGGTGTAACTCCAAGCTGTATGTCGAAGGTGGAAAACAGTAAGGGGGCAGGGGTCTCGCGCTAAGGCGGGCGCGTAAAGTGCTTTTCTAAGGTTTTTTTTTTCTCTCTCCCTCTCTTCTTCTTTTGGGGTCCCCTCAGTAGGTACCCACTGTGATGCTTTTCGTCCGTCCGTGCACAGTTGTTTATTGCGGATTGTAGATACCTAGGTAGGTGCTCTCGAGGTGCTGTTTGACTGTCGGGCAGCAAGCATTCGAGAGGGGAGGAAAACCCCATTTGGGCATGGTCCACACGTATGTAAGACAGGGCACGCCTTAGCAGGGTAAACCCAACAAGAACCTTGAAGGTGATGTTAAGGCCGAGGAGGAGAGCACGGAGAGTACGCAATACTTGGGGGCCCCTGCCCTGTCTCTCTGACCGTTTCTGCCTCCCATGGCTGCAGGGCTGTCAGTCTACTAGTGCTGAGCAAAACGGCGGCAGCACTCACTGACCGTTCGTCCTACTCCGTATCTGACCTTGGTAGAAAAGCTACCACCCTACAGGAGCATACCTCTCTGCACGTCGCGCAAACAACCATAGCCGCTCGTTTTGTGTCTCCGTCGCGACCCGCCTCATTCAATTGCCTTCAGCAAGTCGAGACCATGGCTGCGGTATGTACTTCAGCTTGCTTGCCCCCATCTCCCCCTTGGCTGTCCGGCTCTCCTAACGCGGTCGATCGCACATAGCCCGTCGTCACAGTCTCTGAGAGCAAGGAGCTCCGGGGCATCAGCCTCATAGCTGCCCACTCGCACGTCCGCGGCCTCGGCGTCGATGCAGACACCTTGGAGCCTCGCGCCGCCTCTCAGGGCCTCGTTGGCCAGCAAAAGGCACGCAAGGCCGCCGCCGTCATACTCGAGATGATCAAGCAGGGCAAGATTGCCGGTCGCGCCTGTCTGATTGCCGGCCCACCAAGGTAAGTCGGCGTGGACACCTCACGGACCCTTTCTTTCGCGCGCCGCTGACGCACACGGCCTACCAACCAGCACAGGAAAGACGGCCATCGCCATGGCAATGGCCCAGTCCCTCGGCCCCGACGTCCCCTTTACATCGCTGTCGTCTTCCGAGATCTTCTCCCTCGAGATGTCCAAGACCGAGGCGCTCACCCAGGCCTTCCGGAAATCCATCGGCGTACGGATCAAGGAGGAGAGCGAGATAATGGAGGGCGAGGTGGTTGAGATCCAGATCGACCGGAGTGTCACCGGCGGTGCCAAGCAGGGCAAGCTGACCATCAAGACCACCGACATGGAGGCCATCTACGACATGGGCGCCAAGATGATCGACGCAATGACAAAGGAGCGCGTCATGGCTGGCGACATCATCTCGATAGACAAGTCGTCCGGAAAGATCACCAAGCTCGGCCGATCCTACGCGCGGTCACGCGACTACGATGCCATGGGCGTCGACACGAAGTTCTTACAATGCCCCGACGGAGAACTGCAGAAGCGCAAGGAGGTTGTCCACACCGTCACACTGCACGAGATCGATGTCATCAACTCGAGAACACAAGGCTTCCTGGCTCTTTTCTCGGGAGACACGGGTGAGATCCGTAGCGAGATCAGAGACCAAATCAACACCAAGGTCGGCGAGTGGAAAGAGGAGGGCAAGGCCGAGATCGTGCCTGGCGTGCTCTTCATCGACGAGGTTCACATGCTCGACATCGAGTGCTTCTCGTACGTCAACCGCGCCCTGGAGGACGACCTGGCTCCCGTTGTCATCATGGCGAGCAATCGCGGCCAGTCGCGTATCCGCGGCACCGACTACAAGAGCCCCCACGGTCTGCCGCTGGACTTTCTCGACCGGGTGTCAATCATCCAGACACAGCCCTACAGCGCAGACGAGATCAAGCAAATCATCTCCATCCGAGCCACGGAGGAGGAGGTCGACCTGTCTCCCGACGCCTTGGCGCTGCTGGCTAAGATTGGCCAGGAGGCTGGTCTGCGGTATGCCAGCAATCTCATCACGACGTCACAACTGGTCGCTGCGAAGCGACGGCAAAAGCAGGTCAGCGTGGATGACGTACAACGTAGCTTCAAGCTCTTCTACGATTCTTCGAGAAGCGTCAGCTTCGTGGCGGCATCTGAGAAACGACTCATCGGAAACGATGGCGCGGTGGATTTCTCGAATGGCAACGGGGATCAGGCTGGCGGGGAAAGAATGGATACGAGCTGAGGGGACAGTAATGGAGCTGGGTGAAGGCGTTCCGGTCGTAGAACAATGTCACGATGACACGAACGGGAAAATTGCGGTAGATGCTTTGTGTGGGAATTTCGGACGGCGTCATATGGATATCCAAAACATCCTTGCTGGTTTGAAGAGCTTCATCAAACTCGTTCCATTGCCATTGCCCTAGGTATGCTGCATTTTAGGCGCCTTTGGTTCGTCTTGTGGCGAGAGCTGAGTCCAATATGGAAGAGACTCCGAAATAAGACGGAAGCGACCTGATCAGCACGCCGGAATATATATGCCGCTTAAATCGAGGCTGTGACTGCCCATTCACGCCGACCTCCATTTAGCCGGAGCGCATCTGGGAGTCCACAAAAAGCCATCTCTGTATCTGCCGAATCCATAGTAGAGTCTCTTAATATTCGACCAGCACAACCTACCTGTGCGGGATGAGTATGCTTGTATTTGTATATAAATGCTTAGAGTCTGCCATGCCTCCTACCTCCCTGTCTTGAGAGACTCATCCTCGCGACCTGTTCGCCCACATCCTTGAATGCCCCATTATGATGTTTCTCAAGGCTCTTATCGCCGGGTTGCTGGCCTCACCGGCTACTCTGGCTGCTCAGCTTACCAAGGTCAACTATCCCAACGATGCGATGTCAAAAGTAGATATGTACATTTATGTTCCCGATAAGGTCGTTGCCAACCCACCTCTCGTCGTCGTCATCCACTCTTGTCAGTCCTCCGCGCAGGCCTACTTCCAGAACAGCCTGATCCCCTGGCACCGCGGCTCCGATAATAAGGGGTACATCACCGTGTGGCCGAGCAGTCCTCACAGCGGGACGTGTTGGGATGTGTCTAGCAAGGCGACCTTGACACACGGAGGCGGGGGTGATACCCAGGCTATCTCTAACATGATCACGTATGCGATCTCGCAGTACAAGGTGGATGCGAGCAGGGTGTTCGTGACGGGAGGAAGCTCCGGAGGTAAACATCAAAGTCCTGTTTGGGCCCCAAAACAAGAGATGAGGGGAGGGTTTTCCCCCCGGTGTGTCGAGACCGCATCGGTGGCCTTTGGCTAACAGTTATCCCGGTATCCAGCTATGATGTCCAACGTTTTAGCGGCGACATATCCCGAGCAGATCAAAGCACTTTCGCTGTACTCTGGGGTGCCAGCTGGCTGCTTCTTGTCGTCCTCCGGGGGCGTGGACCAGTGGAACTCCTCTTGCGCATCAGGCCAAGTCAGCGCCACGGCAGAGGCTTGGGGAAATGTTGCAAGGAACATGTACCCGGGGTATAATGGGACCCGTCCAAAAATGCAGATATGGCACGGTTCTGCGGATGGGACGCTGAACCCACAGAATTACAAGGAGGAAATCAAGGTAAGAAAAGCCAGGAACCCAGACCCGCACTTCCAGTTCGCTACGGAGGCACGTGAACACACTCTAGTTTGCCCAGCCAGGGCATCCGAAGCAGGCTCTGTGAGAGCAGCAAGTGCCCTGGGGCTTCCCCTACTGAGTGTGAAAAGCGTTTCATGATTTCTGACCCGGGACAATTCAGCAATGGACGAATGTCTTTGGCGTTAGCCAAACGCCCACTTCCTCGGTCAAGAACTACCCACAGTCAAACTATCAGACTGATAACTACGGCCCAAACGTTCAAGGCATCTATGCCACGGGGGTCGGGCACAGTGTGCCATCTAACTTGACCGCGAGCGAGGAGTGGTTCGGTCTCTAGGGACCTGTTCGTATCCGCGGCTATAGAACAGCAAAGTCAGTGATGGTATTTGAAGACAAGCTTCAAGCTCAGCGAGAAGTTTATGCTGGACAGAGTTGGTGCGAGGCATCTGTTGAAATGAAGCGCCACGCGAAATGAAAAGCCATCTCTCGACTACTTACCATAGCCAATAACAATATATATTATCGTGAGGCCTTGTAGCCCAAGGCTTAGGTTTAGGCTTAGGCTTAGTAGCAAATAAATGGCTACACGCGTGTGCCGCACGCGCATTGCGGGCATTTCAAACATACGGGGGCGTAAGATACTCAGGAGAGCTCGGATCCTGGGGTTCCGCGTTCCTGGCCAACGGCACCCAGCCTCCCTCTTCCTTGTTATATGCAACCTCCTGGCCCTGGTTGTTGACCATGGTGAATTTCCGCAGGTCTGGATTTGGGTGCTGCATGATCTGGTCAACCTCGGCCGGCTCCCAAGCGTGATTGCCTCTGATCAGCTTGGCGAGTTCGACCTTGTCGTGTATGGACATGGCAGCCCGCGGGACGCTGAGGAGCGGTTGCCACTCGGGGCCCAGGTGATCGATGATGTCTTGAATACTCCTATCCCCGATTCCTAACATCCACCAGACACCTTCGACCATTTTGAGGAAGGAGAGGTAATGAGCCAGGATGACCAGGGCTCGTGGGCGTCGTTTCCTGCCGAGCTCTATGAAAGGGTTTTGGGAGGAATGTGAACCAGGTGATGATGCGCATGCTCAACACGGGGCTGAAGCCGGTCTCCAGCTCGAGGTACAGGCCGCCGAGGAACTTGAGGGTGCTGTAGTAGGCCTCGACGTAGGGGTAGTCCTCGTCGTCCTCCTTGATCGATGTGATCATGAAAAAGAGGTTGTTCGGGATATGTAGGGCAGTCTGATTGAGATTGAAGGCCGGGCGTGAGAAGAGCTTCTCCAGGCCGGATGAGACAAGTATCTCGATGGGGATAATATCCATTATGAGGCCGATGCCGCGCCAGAGCACCATCCAGTCTATGATGTATAATGGCTTCATATCCGGCTCTCGGAACGCCTCGGAGGAAAGCATGCACAGCAAAAGGGAACAGGCGAGGAGAGCTGGGAAGTCTTTTGGGTCAGCCCTCTCGATGGCCCTGCGATAGCCGGAAAAGGCCCGTGCCCTGTAGGTGATTGCCTTGGACACGGGTACCGTCATGTGCAAAGATTGCATGTGCAGCGCAGAGAGCCCCAGTATGCAGTCCATCAGGAAGGGGCTCTGGAAGGCGAAAGTGATGATGTGAGACTTCAGGATCTTGTCGATGAAGGGTATCCGGCCGGCCTCGATGGAAAACGAGGCATAAGTCTCTGTAGAGTAGAACCACAACAGCTTCATGTCGTACTCGTCAGTACCTGCAAGCTTGACTGGAGGCTCGTCGACGATGATGAGCTCGGTGCTTCCGCTGCTGTTGGAGGCGTCATCTTGGGAACCGCGGCGACAGTCAGAGGGCGGGCCTGGGGAGTAGTGCTGGTAGGGCAGGGCCGGGGAGGCGGCCGTGCGTACCGAGAGCGGCGAGCCGTATGCGAACCGGACCGAGGTGGAAGCCGCAGATGCGGACGACGAGGGCTGGACCGGGAGAGGAGCCGGGGGTGGGGCAGCGGCGATGCCGGACGAGGACGAGGGCTGAGCTGCGGGAGCCGCGTTTTGGGGGGTTGGATAGTTGCATGTGTCCTTTCTCAGGCTGCAGGTCCCACAGCTCGGTTTGGCCTCATCGCATTTGACCTTGCGAGCCTTGCAGTTCCGGCAGCCTAGGCGAGACTTGCGATGAGGCCTTTTGGCATGGTATGGTCGCTCCTCGGGAGGCGGCGGAGGGGGTGGAGGAGCAAGCGGTGCACCAGGAGGACGTAGTGCTGGTGGCGGCGGCGGTGGTGATCCGTCAGAGTGCCCCAGAGTGCCCATTGTGGGGGCCAAGGGCGATGATCCCAAGGGTGGTTATCCCAAGGGTGGTTGTCCCACTGGATGACTATCCCAGGACACTGGGGCGATTATTTCATTGGATGACTACCCAGAGCGAGGTTGTTCAAAGGGCAGTCGTCCCAAGAGTCGTGAATCTGCAGTGTCGCCTTGGATGCATGTGAGATGGTGTGTGCAGCCTGGTTGGGTTGGCGGCGCTGGCGACAAGTCCAGGACGGGGAAACTGGAGACTCACTCGGGGTTGAGAGTTTCATTAAAGGGGGCCAAGGCGTGGCAGGAACAGGAACAGGAACAGGAACAGGAACAGGAACAGGAACAGGGAAAGGGCCATCGGCTGAGCCATCAAATAGACACGTTAACGGAGGGCATGTGTGTCTCGTGAGAATCGGACGGGAGGTGAGAGGTCAGAGGTGAGAGGTCAGAGGTGAGAGGTCAGAGGTGAGAGGTCAGAGGTGAGAGGTGAGAGCGAGAGGTGTCGATGACGCTACACCTGGTGGTGGTGGTGGTGGCAGGCAGCCAAGGGAAGGGGACGATGAGAGGCTGGGCGAGAGGCTGCTGCAAGGTGGTGTGGCAGGTTGACGCGTTGCGAGGAGATAGCCTAGAGCATATTCTATCTAAGCAACGAGGGTGTTGTCGCGAAGACCTCAATGACACTCCCACTGCGACGGCGGCGCCAGGCGTGGGCGGGGCGAGACGAGACAGAGACAGACACAGACGTTGGACTGCAATCACTGGCCAAGCTGACCCAGACGGAGCGGCCCTCCCAGCTTGAGGTATCCCTGTACATGCACTCCTGGCCATGTACAGATGGCACCTGGGGGATCGCGGCATCATGGATCGAGCAAGATCCCGAGCCAGCCAATTCTGGACAAGCCTATTCCCGTTTGCATCGCCCAAGCTGTCCCTGCAATCGCGTCCCCTGGCGGACCTGGTACTTGATAGAGCCTCGTGCTGTCCCACCCTGGCAGCCCTGCATGTGGCCCCCCGAATAGACCATTTGGTGTGATGGTGCTTAGCCCGCCAAACGGAGGCTTCATTGCATAATCCTAAGGTACCTAGGAAGACAGACCCCTTGCTAAAAGTACGGTAACAGTATGCATGTGTCCACGGGCACGACCTGAATGCAGGTCCTCCGTCTCTGTCCCCTCTCCCTGGGAAGGCCTGGCCAGGATGATGCAGTGGCAGTGGCAGCGGCAGTGGCAGCGGCAGTGGGCCGCTGTCCTTGTTGCGCGGGAGTGCAACCATGTGAGTTCCCGAGCGCCCGCAGACCTGGCCCCACAGGCAGGTGCACGTTAGCAATAGAAGGCATTCAACGACGGCACAGTCTTTCGAAGCAAGGTCCTCCTTGCTCAAAGAGGAGAAATGCGGCAGAGAGTGACTGACTATAACAAATCGATCGACCATGCTATATACTACCTAGGCATTAATTTGCATTTTTGGCCGCCAATCTCGCAAACAAAACCCTAACCCTGTGGTCAGGCGCCAGACACACCCTCCCCCACCGACAACCTCGGGCGCGTCTTGCTCGGTTCTCACGCGTCTCGCTCAGCCTAAGGTGATATCCCATGGGCAAACCAACCGCCCACTTGGTGTGACATGACAAGAAAAGACATGCCATGACAAGAGCCATACACTGCACATAAAAACTCGCAATCATGGCCCAGCTCCCAGACGAACTCGTTTTGTCAATCCTTGACCAAAGGTTCCCCTGCCGGCAGCGGCAAATCCGCGCTCTGACGACCTTGATATCCGTGAGTCTCAGCAACCGGCTTAGCATCACTTCCATTCTCTCCCTCAGATCCCTGCTGACCTTCGCCCAGCCAGACGTAGCACCATGTCGGAACTGTATTGTCTATGGCACCGAAGCCAGTGGGAAAAGTGCCATTACTGAGGCTCTGCTCCAACGGCTTGGAGACACTCAGCCCACCGCCCTTGCAGACTCGCCCGCATTTCAGTATGCCATCGTCAACTCGGGCGAGTGCGTCACAGGACGACATCTCTTTGAGACGACCGTCCGGAAAGTCTCCAGCGCTCTTGACTTCCATGACTTCGCTACGCGTTGCGAGAGCCTGGCGCAGCTGAATTTTGAATTATCCAGGATGCTCAAACAGGTCGTCCAGCCCGAGCGCCGGCATTTTGTGCTCGTCTTCGACGCCATCGATCGTCAGAAGGAAGCCCCGCCCACTCTCCTCCCTGCCTTGGCAAGGCTCTCTGAGATGGTAAGTCTCGCCCTGTGGCATGGTCATGCGCGGCCCATGTGCTAACTGCATCACACCCAGATCCCCAGCCTGACCACGGTCTTCATCATGACCAGCCCGCCACCAGGCTGTCTCCGTACTTCCCAGGTTGCCCATATCCACTTTCCTAACTACACCAAGACAGACTTTGTCAGAATCCTCTCCGCCACACCGCCAAAGCCCCTCCCCAACACCACAGCAGCGGAGACAGCCGACCTCTGGGCGCGCTTCTGCGGCGCCGTCCACGACGCCCTGACCAAATCCGCGGCGCGCACATTACCAGCATTCCGCGGCGCCTGCGACTCGCTCTGGCCGCGCTTCACAGTTCCCCTCCGCGAGGGTAATCTCCGGCCAAAGGACTTCACCAAGATGCTCATCGCCGCCCGCGTGCACTTCCAGGATGAGAGCCTCCTTGACCCGGGCATCATAGGGCGTCCTCCCCACGAACATGCTGCTGCCAAACTCCCCATCCAGTCCGGGGAGACGAACGTCAAGGCACCCGCCCAAGGCAACATCGCGCCCGCAACGCCAACGACAAGCCTTGCCGCGCTCCTCCCCACGACGGCCCGCGTCCTCCTCATCGCGGCATACCTCGCCTCGCACAACACCGTGCGGCACGACCTGACTTTGTTCTCGACGCACCACCACGGGAGGCGCCGGCGCCGGGGCGGCGCCTCGTCCGTCGTCGCCGGTCAGAGGAGCAAGCACCGTAAGATCGCCCGGAAGCTGCTGGGCGCGCACGCCTTCGTCCTGGAGCGCATGATGGCCATCTTCACCACCGTGCGCCACGAGTGGGGCATCGGCGTGCGCGGCGGCGACCCCTTGGACCCCAACGCGGGTGCGGATGCGGACGTCAGCATGGCGCTCGCGACGTTGTCATCCCTGCGCCTGTTGGTCCGTGTCGGCGCCGGCGGGGATCCTCTGGATCACGGCGGCAAGTGGAGGGTCAACGTCGGGTGGGAGGTCATCAGGAGCCTGGGGCGGAGCATGCATGTTGAGGTCGAGGAATGGCTCATCGAGTAAGCCACCAAGAGTGCAGTGTTTAGTATCTAAGTGAGAAATGTGTATCATTAGCCCAACTTGGGCAGAAACGTGTTGCCACAATAGTATCAGAGTTCGCACATTTTCTGTCTCTGTACTAGGTCATTTTTTTGCAGGTAAATGACCCGTCAACGGGTTACAGATAGGTTTGCATGACAATCGTGCGAGTGTTCTTTAGTTACGAAACCTGGGCAGGATCACAGGGACCACACACGAGCTCAGCTGAAGGCGGTCAACCATGCACGCCTTGGGCGGTCATGGGCACGGCACTCCGAAGTGCATGCAAAATAAATGGTTCGAAGAAAACACCTGTGGAGCAGAGATAGCTCCATGAGATGATTGTGTTTGTACATAATGCTTACACCTGTAAAGACCCTTATCCAATGAACGCCAGTCCTGTTATAGTTCGTCACCATATCCCATGTCTATTTCCTCGCTAGCCATATGTACAACCGACACATTGCCTCATGTCCCCACTGTGCTGGCCGAAGAGTGAGAGTTACCTGACCTGCAGTCTTTGAAAGCCTCCGAACACGCAGACAACAATCCTCGTCAAATCACGCCGGGCGACGAGTATCCTGATCACCCAGCCGCCAAGTCTCTTCCTGCCTCGTTCCCGGCGGCAACCACTGCGCGTTGCTCTGGGCTCTTGTCCGTGCAGTGCCAGGGTCATCCGACTTCTTACTGTCGTCACTGTTACCATTGCTGTAGGAATAGCCGTTTGTGTAGGGATGCGCGGTAGGGTTTGGTGTGATAGACACAGGGCTCTCGAAGACGGTGGCGGGCTGGCTCACTCGCAGCCCATCTGCCGTGTTGAGAGGTAACAAGGGGGTCACCTTGCTTTCGGTCATATTGCGGGCCCTGCGGTCCGCCTTGTTCTTCTCGCTGCTCCTGTCGTAGAGGTAGAGGCCAAAGAAGGTGAGCGCGATGCCCACAGCCTGGAGCGTAGTTGTCGGGCTCCGAAACCATAGGATGGCAATGACAATGACAAACACTCGCTTGAGGAGACTCGCGACCGAGTATGTCACAGGTGACACCATCGAGAGGAGGACGAAGGCCAGTATGTTCTGGCCGAAATGGAAGGTGCCATTGAAGACGTACTCAACGAACAGGCGGCCATGGTCGAAAGTGTTGGGTCCCTCCTCGAGATCGACAGCGCCGTCATGGAGGAAGTCGCCGATGATGCCGATCCCTTCGCTCCAGAACCAGATTGGCGCGGTCAAGACAAAGGCAAGGCCGGAGGAGTAGCACAAGAGGTTCAACTTGTCGAGCTTTCGTGTCGTTGCTGTCAGCCCCTCGGCCTCGGCCCGGGCGGCCTCGTTGAAGAGACGTTTGGAGAATATGTTCTGGGTCACGAAGATGAGGGTGGCCAGGAGCGCATAGACGATTCCAAGGATCTGTCCGCCGAAGTTGGAGTGTTTCCCAGAGCATGCAAGCATGACGCCGGCGGTGAGGGGAATCAATGACAGGTAGGTGGCGGACGGGTACCTGATGTCGTAGATGAAGCGGTAAGCCAGGACGGTGAACAGAGGCGAAAGCCCCTTGATTGTATGGACAAGGGACACGGGTATCAGCGTGGTCGCGTTGGAGCTCAACAGATGGCCTCCTATCTGGAAGAGGGCCAACGGCATGGTTGAGCGGATGACATCCATGCTCGGCGGGCGGATGCCATACTTCAATGCCGGCACGGCTGACCTGACTGTTGAGGACGAAGCCGCGAGCCATGAGAACAGCAGGCAGTAAGCGGATACGAAAAGGAACTGGATCATGGTCAAGGTAGCGGGTTTGGCGAAGGCGTTGAGGATGGATTTGGCCGAAGTATTGGTGAGCGCAGATGACGCGTACCACATGATGCACAGAATCTACAGATACAAATCAGCACAAAGGCACATGCTGCAGGCGCCCCCCGGGGGAGGCATCGGCATGGGAAGGGCATACGATGAGTCTCGGAGAGACAGGGGCCTTAAGGGCGCCGGCGATCTCGTGGGCGTTCTGGCTGACACTGCCGCCTCGAGCCCGAATATTCCTAACAGCTTCGGTGATGCTCTTTTGTCGGCCGTGGCCGCGCGCCGGTGTGCCCGTGGCACCCCACTTGACACCCCGCGCTGAACTGTCTTTCCTAGGGGTCCATCGCTCGCCGCTGGACAGTGCCGAGCTGCCGTTTGAGTAGCCATTCTGCCTGCTGCCGGGGCGCGCTTGGGCGAGGGCAGGGCCGGAGCCGGAGGTGTAGAAGCCGGAGGACGAGTCGAAGTCGGGGAACTTCTCGGTGGTGGCTTCGCGGGAGTCAACGCTTGCGTCTCGGTGGCCCTTGGAACGGTTCTGCGAGTGGTCGCGCCGCTCCGACGCGGAAGACGTCGAATGCGGCATCAGGTGAGGTTGGCCCAAGAGCTGAGGCGATGCAAGGCGAGGCGAGCAAGAGAGAGAGGGCGGATGATTGTGGTAAAACGAGTGACTGGAGAGGCAAAACGAGGTGTCGTTGTCTCTACCGGATCATTGCGTTGACAGCAGATGCCATGGATCGTTGCGCTGGTTTGGGCCGGTGTCGAGGTGCACGCGTGTGCCTTGCTGTCGACTGAGGGGGGGCACAAGGCGCAGGCTTCGGCTTCGCAAGCAGCGATGATGCGATCTTGGAGTGTGTTGGATTGACGGGGAGGGAAGCTGATGTTAGACAGAGTGGAATTGCCCATCCAGTCTACTCGATACTTAGATAAGATACAGCAGCATCACTAGAGTGGGCTAAGTACCAGTATCCAGAAAAAAAATCCCGGCAGGGGCTGGTGCACGCAGGGTGGTTCCGCAGCTTGCAGGCTTGGCATCTCGCTCCATGTACCGCTGCGGGTCTGCTTGCTGCAAAGATACATCCTTGTGGCCCTTGGGTGCTCTGGTCCATCCCTTGCCGCTAAGCACCCGGCCCAGAGCGATACAGTACCACAGTGCCTACAGCAGTAAGTCAGGTACCTGGGTACCTAGGAACCTAGGTAGGTAGGTGGTCTGGCTTGGAGCCACTCCACGCCCGATTTGCTTGAGGCTAACAGCAAATCCACCCGCGTCCTTGGCGCGAACTTTCCAGCCGAAGCTCATCGACATCCTGCACTCAAACTGCCACCACGCGCCTGGCCGGGCTTGACTCTCCCAGCGCAATCCTCTCTCGCTCGAAAGGTCAGGCTTGTCGCCACAGACAGACACCCAGTCCCTCAAGATGGCGGCCCCAAAGATGAGCAAGAATCAGATGCGCCGCGCCAAAAAGAAGGAGCAGAAGAAGGCACAGCCCGCGGTCAGCATCCAGAATACTCCCCAGTTTCCCGTTTCCCCAGGCGCTGACCATATATCACAGTCAGCCACAGAGCCCGTTGAGAGCAGCGAGGCACCCGCGAATGGACAGGAGAATTCCAGCAGCGAGGACGCCCCTGCCAAGGCAGACGACTTGGAAGTGAAGACAGACCATGACGCGCGAGACGCCGCTCCGTCCGATGGACCCGTCGATGTCGCCTTCGATGACGAAGACCCAGCTTTTGCCGAGTACAAGGATATTTTCCAAAAGTTCGGACCGGCGCTGGATGAGACCGAGGTTCAGCGAGAGGCGAATGCCGGCAATAAGGGCGATGTCTTCTTCGACCAGGACGACGACATACCCAGCGAGGAGGAGCAGAGCGGGCAACAAAAGATGTCCAAGAAGAAGAGGAAGAAGCTTCACAAGCTCTCTATCGCCGAGTTGAAAGCTCTTGTTAGGAATCCTGAGGTTGTCGAGTGGCAGGACCCGTCGTCCTCTGATCCGCGGCTACTAGTCCAAATCAAGGCGCAACGAAATGTCGTGCCCGTTCCTGGTCACTGGTCCCTGAAGCGGGAGTATCTTTCGAGCAAGAGGGGGATCGAGAAGCCTCCCTTCAAGCTGCCCAAGTTCATTTCCGACACTGGCATCACCGAGATGCGGGACGCGGTCCTTGAGAAACAGTCCGAGCAGACAATGAAGCAGAAACAACGAGAACGGGTGCAGGGCAAGATGGGAAAACTCGATATCGATTACCAGAAACTCTACGACGCCTTCTTTCGGTTCCAGACAAAGCCAGATTTGACGCGCTTCGGAGATCTGTACCACGAAGGCAAGGAGTGGGAGGCTGATTACAGGTACTTCAAACCGGGTGAGGTCAGCGACTCTCTGCGGGACGCCCTAGGGATGCAGCCAGGGTTCCCACCACCATGGCTCTTGCAGCAACAGCGAGTGGGCCCTCCTCCATCATATCCCCTACTCAAAATACCAGGCCTCAACGCTCCCCTACCAGCTGGGGCATCTTGGGGTTTCGGTCCCGGTCAGTGGGGCAAGCCGCCTGTTGACGAGTACAACCGGCCGATCTACGGTGGTGATATCTTCGGCGTCACGGCCGGCAACCCCGGGGCTCAAGCACAAATGCAAGCCGCGCAGCCACAAGCAGAGCCTATCGACCGCACACTCTGGGGTGAGCTCAAGCCACCGGAGGAGTCTGAAGAAGAGGAGGAGTCCGACGAGGAGGAGTCCGACGAGGATGAGGATGAGGATGCTGATGTTCCGGGTGGCCTTCAAACGCCCGGGGGATTAGAGACTCCTGGCGGTCTGAACAGTTCCGTACCAACGGATTACGGTGGGCCTGGTGGCGTTGAGAGCAGCATGGCGGGCGAATTCGACCTGAGGAAGCAGCGCCGTGGTTATGAGACGGAAGAGAGTGCCGGGCCACGATCAGCATACCAAGTCGTTCCCGAAAGACAGGCCCGGGCCGAGGGCTTCTTTGGAAGCGATAGAGTGTACGACCTGTCCAAGAATAAGACCGGCGTGCCTATCCTTGGCCAGGATGATGAGAGTCGCAAACGAAAGAAGCCAGGCGATGTGGACGTTGCTCTTGACCCAGAGGCCTTGGCAAGCCATGATGGCATTAGCAAGGATGAGCTGCGCAGGAGGTTTGAGGAGGGCCGCAAGGAGGATGCGATCGGCAAGCAGTGGCAGTATGATGACGACCTCAGCGAAATGATCGCGCAGGAGAGTCGCAAGAGGGTCAAGCGGGATGAGGAGAAGCGCGGCGGTGGTGACAAGAAGAAGGAGACGAAGTACCGCTTTTAGATTTGTGGTAAACTGTCAACTCTTTCAGAAAGCAATCGCATTGGGGACGTGGAGAATTGTGTCAGCCCATTCCGTCCGTATTGGCGATGAAAGTGTAACACGTTTCCGTTCAAAGTAAATTCGCGGGTTAAGGAACAAACAGCACCCGAGGAAACGGTCGCTTGGGCAGCCATAATAGTGGTGACCAAAATTGACATCGGTGGCTTCGCACACAGGAGGATCGCCATGGTACCTGGACTCGTTGCAGCAAGACCCGGCAGGGTAGCCACGGAGCAAGCCATGCTAGCAGTAGTTTCCGGGATTTTGACATCCGAGTGCACGAGAGGAAGTATTTCAGAGAACAATCAAGTACTCGTTGTTAAGTTGTCGACGACATACATATGCTGTAGTGAGATGCTGGTAATGCCGCAGGATGTGGAAAGTCACAACGTCCTTCTTCGGCCCGGTGGTTGACGTCCAATCCTGCGATATGTCTGTCACAAGGCCGTGGACTTTACGTTGTCCGCTGCACAATTATGCACGCAAGAACCATTCTGCGAGCGCTGCACGATCTACCTAGATTGTTCACGGGGCCCTTGTAACAGCCAACAGGTGCAGACTACAATATGGTTAGGCGTGCACGCATGATAAAAAGAGACAGTTCATTGGACCAGCAGGAATGGGTCATCTACTCAACTATTTCCATGGTCGTAAAAAGACTCATTGCTGCTCAGGATCCAGGGAAGACTGTCCTTGCGCAACAGACGGCGGTGCTTGTGAACTCTGAGCACCTTGGAGACCAGCTTCAACACACTAGTACGACAGTATCTCTGACGAATATGTCGAGAACGCGAAGTCAGGCTTGATTTCCAGGTCGGCGAAAGGAGCCGGGGCAGTATCCAGAGACATGGGAGGCTTTGTGGCATACGGTTGCACATGGAATTTGGAACACATCGATATCGGAGATATATCACGCGACAAATTAATAACACGGTCACACTTGCATAGTTTTGCCACAACCTGGGGATTCAGATGCTGCGACAATCTCATTTTCGAGCTCGAATTTGACTTTGCCGAATTGTGCTGCCTCAGACAAGGGTATGCTGGCCAAGTAGACGTGATTGAAAAGCTCTGAGAATATTCGCCTTGCAACACTCCTTGCCCGATTGAAACACTCATGATTTGTAGCTCCCTTGTGTTAACATAGGAGCGAACGAGCGCACGCCCGGGAACATCCAGTGTCCCCTCATAGATGACCTTGGGAATCGCACCCGTTCAGGCCGGCTATTAAATATGACGCAGGCTCTGAATCCAGGATCCCTTACAACGGAGTGGAGCGCGAATCGGAGAAAAGAACTCAATAATTCTACTTGACACACTGTCTTTCTTCCTCGTACTTTCTCTGTGGGTTTTCTGTTTTTCTCGCCTTCCCTTTCACCCCATCCACACACGTTGTTTCAAAGTGCCTGTACTCGTAGCATGGTCACTGTAGCAGTGCATCTCTGGAGTTGAGCATTCTTGGATAACAACTTCCATAGTGACGATGTTGACTTATTAATTGTTGATGCACCATAGGAAACTCGGGTCAAGAGGACAAGGCCAGCCGTTTTCACAGAACAATTTCAATTTTGTGGTAGTAAATGGGGGTCACAGTTAAGTGGGAGGGGAGGGGGATTGTACATCTTTAGATGACATGCTCTCTGGCCCTTCTGCACTCAGAACCTGGCCATATGTCCTCTTCGAATCGCGCATTCTGCCAGACTTATGGTGCCTTCCACAATTTCGGACTCTGTTGAGTGGTTCGTTTGTGCTTCTTCTGGTTATCTCCACGTTGTAGCGGGAATGAAACTTTGAGGGAAACACAAGTCTCAGTCCAATCATATTTAGTTCCGTCTTACTTTACTCACATCCCTTTCAGTACAAAAGCATGTTATATCCAGTTCTGTCATTGTTTTGGAAGTCTCGGGTTAATAGAAGCCAAGGGCACTGCAGTGTATCTACTCATAGATGCAATGGTTTCGGGCCGGTATTATTCGAAAGAAGTGATAGGATAAAGCCACTCTCTATTCTCCTCTTGCACGAACAGGGAGCTTGCTTGAAGAAGTGAAACGGCTTCACGCATTGTGGAAACAGATCCCCGAGTCCGTATTTCCTGGGCTATAAATTGTTGCACCTAACTTCCAAGATCACTCCCAGAAAGCGGGATTTCTAAAACAACTTCGTTCCAATAACGTCGATATAGAGTTCCGTGTGCACACAACTCTCGCGCACTGTTCAAGCCGGATTGCCAACCAGGATGACTATCGGGAATCAAAAACAACTAGAGACAACAATTGAGATTGGTTGAGGTGGTGTGTGATTTCTTATGAAAGGATATTGTACGCGTAATTTCTCGCTACCTTAACATGCTATAACCACGAGTCCCGTAGGGACTTTCCTAGAGGTCTGTTGCCGTCCTGACTAGGCGATTAAATAGCGTGATGAAAGTATCACTAGACACCGAATTCGCCATAGATGAGCTTCGATGCAGCCATGAACGACGATAAGGCACAGTCGGATCTGCATACATGGCTTGCTCTGGCCGTCCGTGCGTATGGGGGAATGAGGAAGTGAGCTCTAGGTAACCCCCGGACCAGCGGTGTGCAAGCGGTTCAAGATCAGGAGTGAAGCTAGACCGGTTGGCAGATTAAGCGGTTCGAATTCCTGAGCGGGTTAGACCGATCTAAACGGTTTGAACAGTCAAGCGTCTAGGGGGAAGGAACAGGGGGAAGCAGAAGACCAATCCAGAGGGCCTTCGACATGAACTGGAAAGAATCAGATTCTGAGCTGGAACCATGTTCTGGAGATCCCTTCTGAAGTTCCTTTTAGGAGCTCTTTTCCCTTCCCTTTCCCAGCCCGGCCGGTCGACTTAGTGATACTCTGTACGGAAGGAGCGACTTCCTCTTGAGTGTGTGTTGAACCGCGCTAAACCTGAACACCAGCTTTAAACCGCTTAGGCATTCTAAATCGCTTCATCTTGTGAGCGGTCCAACTTCCTCTCTCAATTACCCGCGCTTTATATCCCCGCCCAAACGGTGACTACACCGCTCAACCACCGATTAAAGGAACCACCAAGCCTCGGTATCAAGCGCGAATATATCGACATGGCCAAGTAGACAGGACATGCTATGCCCCTTGCGTCCACCAGTGCACCGTGTTCCACCACAGATGCTGCACCCAAACGACACAGGAGAGACTCGCAACGTCCCGATTCAAGATCATGTCTTGCATTGAGTAATCTCGAGCAACGAATATGGTGCGCAACTTATATTCGACCTGACCTGGACAAACCCAGACAACTTTAGAAGAGATGCTCCGCACATGCTGCCGATATGAGGTGTATTATCATTGACTAGTAGGTTTGATGCTATCGCAACTGTAAGGTGAAGATGCTTTTACAGATCAGGCTGTCTCAGACGCCATGGAGACCAGACACCACCGGGGTGGGAGCCGCTTCTCTCGACTTTCCCACATCTCGCTCGCAGGGTTCGTGTGTGTGGATGGTGTGATCTTGTAGATCACCTATGCGAAATGTCTGTTGCCACTGTGCTCAATGTTGCAATCTTCAACGGGAAAGTATGCTGTCTGCTGCCCACCAAAGCTGCAGAACCTGTGTCCTCCAGGACATATCGGCAATGGAAAGGCTCATTTGACTCCATCTGTCAAAGCTATGGCCTTCCCGGGCTCTCATTTCTCGAATTGAGCTGCTTCTGATCAGGCTGGGGGAGTGCGGACCAAGCGTCTTCGCCAGCTTGAGCGTCCACGCAATCCAAGCCTGGCGAATTGCTCCATCGTGCCGAAACTCGCTGCAGCGGATGTGGTGATCACGCTTCCTGAAGCATCATGCCTAGACCACTCAACTCCCATAGCCAGCCTGCGAAGATGCGCATTCATTACATCGCCAATCTTGGTGCTCAACTGGAATCTGCGCCTTGTCCTTGACGCAGTCCTCGTGATACAGAGGTTTCTTGCAGTCCTGTGGATTTTGCAATTAGCCAACGCTGACATTGCCTTCTAAAGGATTCGTAACTTACCTCGTTCGAGCAGATAAGCAACTGCGGGCCGCGAACATTCCGCCCACAGACCGCGCATCCCTTGGAGCTACGGTGTTGGCCCTCCTTAGGAGGCTGCTGCGAAGACACTTGTTCTGTCTCTGGCGGCTTCTGACTCCGGGCTTCTTGTATGCGAGATTGTACCTGCCTGACGGTGTCATCATCTAGACCCCTTGCGATGAGGACCGTGAGATGTTTGCCGAATTCCTGTATACGAGATTGCGAGCTGAGAAGCCACTGCATCTTCTCATTCACGAATTCAAGCACCGCGCGTGAAATGAAGGCATCCGAGCTTATGTGTCTCTTGTGGATGAACGCGTCCCACTGCTTGATGTAGTCTTTCTCGGCAGCATCGACGTCAATGAAATCCTGGACAATATCTCGATGCTTCTGAATGAGCCACGTATCATCGGCTACAGACTGTCGAACCTCTGTACCAGGTATCAATTTGGCCTTGCTCAGAGAGTCAAACAGCGGCTGCTTGGTTTCTGGAACAAGAACCTTCTTCTCCTTTCGACGGCCTCCAGATCTCTGCAACTGTGTCAGTATTGAGTCCTCGTGCAGGTGGCTTCGTGGGGCCCTTCTTCCTCTTCCACGCTTACCTGTGATGGCCTCACCTGGCCCGTCCTTGTCTGTGACGCTTTGTGGGCCGGCACGACTGGCCCATCGTCGTTATGCGGCCCTAAGCGGGATTTGACCCAAGAGTCGTCACCCTCCACGTACTTGTCTAAATCGAAAGCTTTGGTCGGCTTGCCCAGCTGGTATATCGTGGGCCGCAGTAAAGGGCCCCCGTTGACGGGTACACAAGACACGTCCACTGGGCCTCCCGTCTTCACAGACGAAAGACTGACCTCAAATTTATATTGCGGATGGCTGGGAAGATGTGCGCGAAGCTGAGCCAATGACTGGTGCGAGGCGTGACAGAAGCAGCAAGCGAAACCTAGTACGAGAACTTCCTTGACCGGCCCGGATTCTCTGGGAAGATGGTAGAGAATGCGATCTGCGTCAGCCCTCCTCGCTTCCGCCTTTGCCAGCCGATTGCGGCCTTTTCTCCCCTGTGCTCGGTTGCTGAGGTCTTTGAGGTTATAATTTTTATTCCCCCTTATCCTGAGCGAGCGGCTAGGTGTCAATTCACCTTCCGCTTCCTCCTCCATGTCATCCTCGACAAGGCTGGGGTGCCCATTCGTCAGGTTCCCGTTCAACAGGTTCCCGTCGACTTGGGCTCCGTTGACATGACCATTTGTGACTGGCGGGGGCTCATCTTGCTGATCTGCAAGGGCTGCAGAGTAGGGGGAAATCCTCTCCCGATTGTTCCACAAAGGCCGCTCTGGGAGTGCTGTCGTCGCTCTCACATCAATGTCCAGAACAAAATCGGTTCTGGCACCTTGACCAGCTCCCTTATGTAGCCTCAAGAATCCCGACCTCCGACCTCCATCAATGATCTTTGGGATCTCGGCCGCAAGCGTCCAGTGACGTGATGTTGTGGAGTGGGCAAGAAACACGTCTTCGTCGGAGTTTGTGTTCACCAGGTTCAAAGGTGGCCAATTGCGGTCACCGGCTGATTCAAGTTCCAAAAACATTGAGTACTGGTCCGCAAGGTCGAAGACTGCGTCGTCGTCGCGCTCCACGTAGATCTTCTCTTCGGGAATGTGAAATGGCTGAGGCAGGTAGACTCTGGCCATCTGGGACAAACCAGCCAGATTCTGAAAAGTTTTGATGGTGCATATTTGGCTGTCACAATAGAGGCTGCGAACCTCACCAGGCGTGTGCCTCGCGGTGGTGATTGTGATTTTGCAACGGGCTCTGATGCTTGTGGCATCCTTGGTAGCAGGAGGAATGGTTCCATTCAGAGCTGGGTTCAGCCTTGGGTGAGCCAAGTCCTTGTGGGCAATCTTGAGGACCTCGATCCGAACTGCGCGTTGAATCTCGCCTGGCTCACTGGGCAGCAGGAGGCTGTCAATATCCTGGCCTATGCCGGAGTCCGGAGAACTCTCAGCAAAACGACGTCGCTTTGCGGGGCGCGCGTAATGATCGTCATGGCCGTTTGTTAACTTGGAGTGACTGTCGTCGGACTTGAATCCTACAGTTGCGGACTGTAGATAGTTGATGGCGATAATCCAGTTCCTGTGAAGAAAGGGAAGACTTCGGGTGCGTGCGACAGACTTCGTCATGGTCGCGCTGAGGCATGCGAGCCGCAGGGCCGAGGCTGTGAGGGCCGATCTAGGATCTTGAGACCAGATGAGTGGTCTCGCGTCTATTTCGTGAGTGGGAGCCTCGTTGGTGTCAGACTGGGAGTCTGCGAGGCAAATTGCGACGCGTCGCGCTTGCTGTCCCGGAGAAGTAAAAGAAGGATGTCCGCAGACGGCACGCTATGCAGCCCCAATACTTTGATGGACGAGCAAGGGCCGAAATGGACAGGTCCGGGTGAAGACCGGCTGGATACCAAATTTGACGCTGACGATGTTTTTGCAGGGGCCGGGAGCGACGGGCGACGGGCGACGGGCGACGGGCGACACAGCCGGCTGCGAGTGGCGGGTGGATGACAGCTGGCAGGGCTGTAGAGGGAACAGATGATGAGGCAAGATGGCTGGCTGGTGATTTGCGGCTTGGGAGGGTGGTGGTAGAGAAGAGGCCGGGCCAACCTGAGATTGAGGTCTATTGACAGACTGCCTCTGGGGATCCCATCCTCAGTGCAGGGCGACCCGTGTTCGTGTTTGTGCCTGGGCCTGGGTCTGGGTATCAGTGTGGCGCGGGAGTGACCAGAACAACAAGGCCCAGGGCAGCAGCGGAGACGGGACCAGTGGCGAGGCGACCTGTCTGAAGCGTTGAGGCTGGCGATCAATTCATCGAGGCGCGACGCGTGTCTGATCTTTCACTCTCACGCACTCGCTCTCTCACTCAACTCGCTCACTGCGGCGCGGTAGGGAAACAGCCTGGAAGAACCCATCGCGATTGCTACTGCTACTGCTGGAAATGGGCTGACCCTTGTCATGCTTGGTGGCCAGTGCTCCGGCCAATTGCAGCCCACGAAACAGGGTGGGTCTCCAGATAGTAGACTACCTGTGCTCCCGCCAAGAGGGAATGAGGAACCTATGTCCTTCGCTAACTTGCTGGCCCCCCAAACAGCCTGGCCCAAAGGGAAACCTGGGCTGGAGAAGCCCGAGGCAGCAGAGGAGTGTGAGTTGTCCAAGCAAGCAGGCGGCAGTAAGAAAACAGTTGACCGGATGCTTATGCCTGTCCTGTTCAGCCTTTGTTCTTACATTGAAACACGCTTCTGCCTGGCGCAATCGCCCGCCAAATTGCGCGGGATTTCACAAGAAAAGGCCAGGGCTGGAGCCTTGCTAAAGCCGTCCAACTCGCGCAACACTCGGCATCTAGCCGTGCGGGATTCAAAGTATAAGTATAGTCATGTTGGATCAATCGCATCTGGAGGCCAAGCAATTGATACGATCCGTGTCGAATAGAAATAGAGCGGGTGGTTGCGATGTCTTCTATCCTTTTGCTACGGGCGCTGACTTCAAGGATCCCGGCCCAGGCAGAAGCACAACAGTAACCCGGGTTGATCCCACTGACTGCAACGCAGACCTCTTTGTCACAGCGTGCACCCAAATTCCTGCAACAGGTGACCGGAAGGTCGTTGGGAAGGCAGGAAGGCGATGCGATTCTGACTGCTGGGAATGGCCTTGTCTGCGCCAAGAACGGGGCCAGAAAAGCTAAAGGCTACAGTTCTCCAGCCTTGCTTGAATGCCGATAGAGCAAGCTCCTCTTCGGCACGTACCACTACCTGTGGAATACTATTTATGCTCAAGTTGGTCTTTTTCGTTTGTTTTTGAAAAACACCCAGTCCAGGCGGCGACGTGAGGAACATTTCAAACTAGCTGTCCATGCCGACCAAACACTAGCGACTATTTTCGCCAGCCTTGTGCACAGGTGCTGGGAGATTTGGGAATAGAACTGTACAGTGATCTTCAACGCTCAATCGAGCGGTGTACCAGGCGCACAATTTTTTTTTTTTTCAAAAAAATAAAATATGGCAATGCATGATTAGATTGATCGGTAATTTGATGATGTATTGGTCCGCTGCCACTTCTGTGAGAATAGAAAGCTAAAGCAAATCTGAGCCAAATCTCCAACCCCCTAGGTAGTAGACTTCTTGGTGTTGATCTCCGAAGCCGACAATTCTCCCAACGGCTTTGTTTGAGCAGCGAGGCGTGCTGCTTTCTTCCGCGCATACCTCTCACGACGCCTAGCTTTCAGCCTCTCGTGTTGCTCTGTACTCATATTCTCAACACGTTGTGAGGCATTCTTCTTTTCATGTTGCTCCATACTCAGATTGTCAATGCGATGCCTATCCTTCACCTTGTCATGTTGCTCCGTTCTCATATTCTCAACACGTTGTGAGGCATTCTTCTTTTCGTGTTGCTCCGTACTCAGATTGTTGATACGACGCCTATCCTTCACCTTGTCATGTTGCTCCGTACTCAGATTCTCGACACGATTTCCAGCTTTCTTCCTGTCGTGTTGCTCCGTACTCATATTCTCGACACGATCTCTAGCTTTCTTCCTGTCGTAGACCTCAGTGCTCAGATTTTCGACACGTTGTGAGGCCTTCTTCCTTTCGTGTTGCTCCGTACTGAGATTCTCGACACGGGCTCTAGCCTTGTTCTTCTCATGTTGTTCCGGACTTAGATTCTCGACAAGTCTTTTGGCATTTCGTAGTTCAGGAGTTGAAACTCCAGTGATGGTCTCAGCCCATGCCGGTCTGCTGCAGGCTCCTTTCCAAGACGGATTCGTGGACCATATCGGAAAATTCCAGTAGTCTGCCTTGTGTCCGGAGGTGCACATTGTAAGGAGTACCTCAGCCAGGATCGTCAGGACGCGGAAGTGAAGGAGTTCTTGGACGTCGTCCAACTCTGTTATTGGTACCATCTTGTGAACACCATCCACGATCTTGGGAACCAAGATCTCCAACTTGGAGGCTTGAGCCCACTGAACAGGCTTATCTTGCTTCTTCGCCTCCTTGATGATCGCCAACAGAGTGTTAGTCGAGTTGCGAGAAGTGTTCCGGTCGTTTTGGCGTGCAAGACCTCCCGAACTTGAAGGAGAAGAACCCAGGCGGGTCCCTGATCCGCCGTAAAAGTCATCACCAGCTAGGCAAAGGTAGACGCTGAATGAGGCAGAAAGTTCTTGGACTTCAATGGCGTGCAGGTTCTGTGGAGTTTCTCCGGACTCAAGCCAGGTGACGACTACTGGTAAGACGTAATGATAGATCTCCGCGGCCCAGTGAAGTGAAGGAGAGCTGGTAAGAATATGGGTGTTTAGCTCATTGGAAATCTTGTCTCCCCTGTTGATAAGAATATTGACGAGAAACGTAAAATGCTGGACAAGCTTTGGTGGATGTTCCAGGATCTTGGAGTCATGGACGCGGGCTTTGAAGATGACTGGGTTTGCGTTAATGTAGGCCTTGATGTAAGGAAGTTGAGCTGGCGTCGGGTCGGTAGTGAAAGAGATTGGATGGTTCTGGATGTCGACAATCAGTTTGCCGTCAACGGACGACTAATCCGAAGACGGCTCCATGATCAACGCCAGGGTTCGAACGCAGATGAGTGCCGTGATGATGCGTCTGAGTTGCCAAGTTGGGGGCTGAATGCTGAAAAGAGTGGGGCTTTGGCTGCAGGCAGCGGCGGAGCGGAGTTATTCCTTCCCGGCCCGCTCTTTCCTTCATTCTCACCAAAGGACTGGCAGCACGAGAGCACCTAGCAATGTGCGCTATAATTTTGTTAGTTCGGCAGCAAAGTGGATTTAATATAGCTCTCCAACCTGCAGGTACCTTTACACCATAACCACACCCAACAAGTACTTACTGCAATGGGGATGCGTTTTAACACTTAAAAGAAATTATAATTTTCCTTAATTATATAAATAATATTAATAAAGGAGTCATTGAGGATTAAGGTGTGTTTTTTTGCATTACCAGCTAAATTTTAATGTAAGAGGGGAGAGCTGATCTAAACGACAGGGGGGGCATCACTTCATTTTCCACACACAGCGGAGAAACGTCAGTATCCTTCCCGTCTCTCCTCGAATGTATGTGCGATATCTACGGGCACAGGCACTGGCGAAGGCGAAGGCGAAGGCGCAGTCACTGCGGTGTGAGGGCCTCTGTTCGCCAGGGCTGCGACCACCGTTTGGTGCATGGCTACGCCCTACCCAGGCTCGTCCTGTGTCCAGCAAACCCAATGGCCCAGGTTCGCCCGACAAGCCGGGAGGGAAAGAAGGCGAGGAAGGAGAAGACAATAGCGAACAGGCACAACCACCCGGCGTATCCGACACGAGCGAGACCAAGCGACAGCAGCTGTTCTCCCCACTCCCCTCCGGCAGAGGACGTGCGACCAACTCCGCGACGAGCAACGGGCTCCCTCCACTCAATCTTCCCCGCTGGTTCCTGGACGATCATGTACACATCTCGGATTCGAAGGACGCAACGGGAGATCGACTGTGGGACAGCCTTTGGCGCTACTTCCGATCCGAACGCCCTGTGTCCAGCCCTGGGCAGGAGCTCGGCGGTATTTGGGCGTCCGCCTCCCAAGAAGCGAGCGCACCGTCTGCTGAGCGGGCCATCGGCCGTGAGCTCGTATCGACCATCTCTGCCGAGCTGGGCGCAAAACCTGCCCCAACAAGGGCTACCAAGGAACCCAAAAAGCGCCCTATCTCGCTACTGTACGTGCACAATTACAAGGGCAGCCGGGTCGCGAATGACATTGTCGGGCATGTTGCTACGGAGTTGTCCGCCGATGTCATACATCTGGACGCCGCAAGATTGGCTAGTATTGTTGGGGCATACCTTGGGTCAACTCTGTACTTTGGACGCAGCCAAATTTCGATGCTGGGCTATGCCGCAGCTGAAGCGAATGGCAGATCCTTCACCACGCCCTCGACGTCGGAGGGTGACGACGATATCCTAGCCAAGGGGATGAGCGTTGTGAAGCTGCTATCGCCAGCCAGAGACGACCGCGCCACCTGGGATGATCTGAAATCAACACACGCCCTCAAAGAGATTGTTGGCTCGGCTGCTGCCAAGAGGAGGCTGGGCGGGCAGTTGGACAAGCCGGAGCGGCTCATCGTACATGTGCATAACTATGTCGAGCTCATGATGACTACGGAGGGTGCATCAATCCTCGAGAAATTGAGGACCGTTGTCGACCGTCTCTGGCAGGACGGATCCAGCGTCGTCATCGTCGGCTCTGTTTCCAATGACATGAATGCCTCCAAGCAGTGGCACAGCAAAGTCAAAGAGTTGAGCAGCGGTGACTGTTACCCTATCGTCTTCTCTTCCAGCACTGACGAGCTTCCAGAGCTCAAGACATGGGAACAGCAGGACAATGTCCTCGACAATCTGAGTAACATCAATTGGATGCTGGAATGCCTCAGAGGTGAGCAGGCACATATACTGCTGCTCAATGGCTCGGAGTCTGACTCTAACGAGGCTGTACGCGAGCTTGTCATCCATCTTTCTAGCGGCATCTACTCAAACCACTGGATATATCGAATTTGTACTCAAGCCATTGGTTTGGAAAGATTGACTGGCATTCTTGATGCCTCGACGCTTGCAGAGGCTCTCAAACAGATGAAACTGGTAGATCGGGCGCGCTCCAATATGTTCGGAGACCTCGCAAAGTGCTCCGCCGTTCCTACACTGGCCCCAAGCTCCCCAATTCAGGATCTCATATCCTTGGGCAACAGCATCACTTCTGAGGCCACATCTTCATCCGGCCGACGGAAAGGCCCCCCCGGGGATCTTGACGATGAGGAGAAGAAGCTCCTCTCAGGCATTGTCAACGTGGACGAGATACATACGACGTTTGACGAGGTGATTGTGCCTCCAGAGATCCGCGAATCTCTGATGGCCCTTACGACCCTCTCCATCCAGCACCCCAAGGCATTCTCATATGGAGTACTCGCACGTGAGCGCATCCATGGATGTCTGTTGTATGGCCCGCCCGGCACCGGCAAGACCCTGATGGCCAAAGCAGTCGCAAAAGGCTCCGGGGCAAACATGCTCGAAATTAGCGCAGCTTCTATTAACGACATGTGGGTTGGAAACAGCGAGAAGAACGTGCGAGCCGTTTTCTCTCTTGCTCGAAAACTGTCGCCCGTGGTCGTCTTCCTTGATGAGGCGGACTCACTCCTCGGCTCGAGGGGGCGCCAGCCCAACAGGGGCGGATACAGGTAGGCTTCCAGATGTCCTTCTCCGAATTGTAGAAGCCTCGTGAGAGGGCATGGCGAGGAGCAATCGACTGACAACCTTCTCACAGAGAAACAATCAATCAGTTCCTGCGAGAGTGGGATGGCCTGACCAATGCACTAAACACAGCAGATATTCGTTCTAGTCAGCACCAACGCCCCACAAGACCCTTGACGAGGCTGTACTGAGACGACTTCCAAGGAGGATACTACTGGATCTTCCGTTGAGAGCCTCGAGGCTGGCGATCCTTCAATCGCTGCTCAGGGATGAAATGCTGGACCCTGCTGTCTCACTCGAACAGCTCGCGTCCGACACAGAACTCTACAGCGGCTCGGACCTGAAGAACCTCGCCGTAGCGGCAGCTATGGAGGCAGCCAAGGAGGAGCTCGCGGCGAAGGAGGTAGACGTAGCGTACGAGTTCCCAGTAAAGCGTATCCTGACCAAGGCGCACTTCGAAAAGGCGTCCAAGGACATTAGCGCCTCCATCTCAGAGGACATGCAGAGTCTCAAGGCTCTTCGCAAGTTCGACGAACAGTACGGGGACGCCAGGCGGAAAAAGAAGAGAAGTCGGATGGGTTTCGAGGTTGTACCCCAGGTTACCAAGTCCGAGGACGCAATGATTAGAAAGTAATGGGTCGGATTCCCGAATCATTTACTTGTAAATACAAGATAGACTTCGTGTATAAAGGACTTCACGGTGGCTTACTGCTTGCTGGATATCGCGGCATCATCTACTGGGCAAGGACCAAATGGCCCCGGTGTGCTGCTTCGGGGGCGCTTCTGTATTGATATTCTCCCCTCTCAGCAGTGGTACACTACTCCAGTCAATCAGGGTTAGTTGAGCCTCCAAGGGGATGGTAGCCAAATAGTGTCTTGTTTTTAGGAAAGACTCCCCCCCCCGGGGCTTTGTTCTCATCATCATACCTCATCACTCGTCACGTACCGAGCCCATTTACTCACCCGCGCCCATATAACCCTTACTATTTCGCGAGCAATCCTCACACACTCGCCCATAATGGTCACGGCCAACCAGCTCAGCGTTACAGGAGGGAACGCCACCAGACGGGTCGGCTGGTCTTTAATGCAGCATAATTCGCAATGGTTGCCTCATCTGGCGCATGGGGACACTCATCACTGGCTATTGGCAGGCGTGGTCATCGTTACTCAACGTCGACGCCTGGAACAGAGAGCCGGTGCGCTACATTTATCAGGAAACGAGAACTCAATGAAACTTCTAGAATGCAGCTCGAGTTACATGACACCAAGAGGTTTAACAGATGCTTACTTGCTGGGCCTGGTGATAGCCCTTAGTGGGTACAGCATTTTCTAGGTTAATCAGAACGGAACTAAGTGCGGCTAGTTGATAACCTCCATTTTCACGCTACGCTCTACCAAGGCCGAAACCCTCCTATTACAGTATTTTCTGTTCCGAGTCGGGCCAGAGTTTGTTCGCTCTTTGCTGTGTAGATCTGGCGCATGTGTTGTCTGTTATCGAGCGGTTATATGCTCAAGGTGTCATGCCAGCTCTGTTATGCTTTAGATGCTGACCTAGCCCCGGTTTGATTTGAGGTTGGAAGGCAGATGCCCTCCTTAGAAGTGGTCGCCCACAGCCTACATCAACCAAGCTTGCAGCACATGTTATTCTGACCCGGCAAATCCTTGGATTACTTTGATTGTCTTGGTGGTACACGTACACGGCTCACAAAGGAGAAAAGATTGATTGAGCTACGATGACATTTCCGTGAACTCGATCCGCGCATCTACACACGGGGCCCAACTCTCCCATGCAATGCCCACTTTATTCTACATCGCACCAGCCTCCTTACGAGCTCTTCTCCAGATCAGCCAGAATCTGCTCACCCTTTGCCCGGGCGGAAGCGAAGTCGCCAACCATGTAGAAGGCACCCTCAGGCAGGTCGTCACCCTCACCGCCGAGGATGGCCTTGAAGGAGGAGATGGTGTCCTTCAGGTCGACGAGCTTGCCCTCGATACCAGTGAAGACCTGGGCGACGGTGAAGGGCTGCGACAGGAAACGCTGGATCTTACGGGCACGCTCGACAGTGAGCTTGTCGGCCTCGGAAAGTTCGTCCATACCCAGAATGGCAATGATATCCTGGAGAGACTTGTACTCCTGGAGGATCTGCTGCACACGGGTGGCGGTGTCGTAGTGCTCCTGACCGACGACACGGGGGTCGAGCATACGGGACTTGGAGTCGAGAGGGTCGACAGCGGGGTAGATGCCCAGCTCAGAGATACCACGAGACAGCACAGTGGTGGCGTCCAAGTGAGCGAAGGTGGTGGCGGGGGCGGGATCAGTCAGATCGTCAGCAGGCACGTAGACGGCCTGGACGGAGGTGATGGAACCCTTCTTGGTGGTGGTGATACGCTCCTGCATACCACCCATGTCGATGGCGAGGGTGGGCTGGTAACCGACGGCAGAGGGGATACGACCCAGCAGGGCAGACACCTCAGAACCGGCCTGGGTGAAACGGAAGATGTTGTCGATGAAGAGAAGCACTGTGGGACTGTGTCAGCTAGGCGCGCGCGCGTTAATCGCTCCGAGGTATGGGATGACGTACCATCCTGACCCTCCTGGTCACGGAAGTACTCGGCAACGGTGAGACCAGTCAGGGCAACACGGGCACGAGCTCCTGGGGGCTCGTTCATCTGACCGAAGACCAGGGCGACCTTGGACTCGCCCTCAAGCTGGATGACGGAGGTCTCCTGCATTTCGTGGTACAGATCGTTGCCCTCACGGGTACGCTCGCCGACACCAGTGAAGACAGAGTAACCACCGTGGGCCTTGGCGATGTTGTTGATCAACTCCTGGATGAAGACGGTCTTGCCGACACCAGCACCACCGAACAGACCAATCTTACCACCACGAGCGTAGGGGGCGAGCAGATCGACGACCTTGATACCGGTGACCAGGATCTCAGCGGTGGTGGATTGCTCGGTGAACTCGGGAGGGTCGGCGTGGATGGGGAGGAACTTGTCGGTCTTGAGGGGTCCACGCTCGTCGATGGGGTCACCAGTGACGTTCATGATACGTCCCAGGGTAGCAGGGCCGACGGGAATGGTGATGGGAGCGCCGGTGTCGGTGGCCTTGGCGCCACGGACGAGACCCTCGGTACCTAGGCGGCGATTAGCAACAAGACGACACATGTCCGGGCTGCTCGCGACTTACCGTCCATGGCAATGCAACGGACGACATTCTCACCGAGATGTTGCTACAGGCAGGGTTAGCTTCGGGGGCGTTGTCGGGAGCTACCGAGGTGGGCGCCGACGTACCGAGACCTCGAGGACAAGCTTGTTGCCCTGGTTGTCTGTCTGGAGGGCGTTGAGAATTGGGGGGAGCTTGGCCGTGTCGAATTTCACTGCGACGGGAATCAGCGACTCGTTCTCGCCAACGAGGAAGCCCGGGTAGAGCTTGGTGATGCGGTTGACTGACCGTCGACGACGGCGCCGATGACCTGTTGAGGTATTTTGTTAGCCTTGGGCGGGAAGCCGGGGCGGGACGGGGCGCGTCGCAGGAGGGCGCGGGTGTGCGTGCGGGTGAGCGTACCTGGTAGATCTTTCCATCGCCAACGCTGGATGTGCTGGCGAAGCGGCTGGTGATGGGGAACTTGAAGGGAGAGGCACCGGCGCGCCTGGTGGCAGCGGCCGCGAAGGAAGGTCTCGCGCGGGCGAAGTTCCTGATGCCGCTGTGGTGCAGGAATGCTGGTCAGCTTTCGGACGACGTCAACCGCCCGCCGAGGCCACCTGCAGCTCAATTGGGCTCAATTGGCCGCTGGGGGCATCGTGGACTGTGGGAAGGAGTAGCTGCTAACCTCTTGAACATCTTGCCAGATATCTAAGAACGACTTCTGATGGGAGTGGAGTTGGGTAGTGATGGAGGCTGGAGGAAAAGATTGAGTTGACGCGGGAAAAGTCGTTTAGCTAGAAGCTGGAGATCCGAGCTGCTCCACCCCCTTCCCTTCCTGCACGTGACCTGTGCCTTCCGTTCCTCGGGCTGGTCAAACCGGACCAAAACGCAGCCAGCCGCAGCGAGAGAGGCAACTCACTCTTTCTTTTGAACTCACTCCCACGCCCCGATGGACCGATGCAAATTGCAAGAGACTACTGATTGATGACCGCGATTTGCAGACGATTTGTGCACGTCTCATCAGTCTCTGTTGAATGAGGAGCACCGGACAGGCCTGTCGAAGCTGCTTGCTGGAGCACTCATCCGCCCGCTGGTCCCTCACTCCCGGTCACCCGGGTTGATCGGACGGCTACCTGGAACCATCTCACCTAACCCGGTCCCCGGCATGCAGAATATCAGAAATCCAGAGCTTTACGACTTGACAAAGGCTCTTCGTTCCGTTGGGAAGACTGTTGACTCATTTTTCTACACGACGCACGACCCACCGGGCGACAGGAAATTCATGCCCTGCCTGGTAGACCAGATGGAATGGGTGGTTGGACTGCTCACTCTCGTTGATACGACTGGATCTGGGGACGGCCTAAAATTTTACAGACAAATTAGTCCCCAATTACTGCGTCTGCACAGCAAACTTGTACATTTGTTTTTCTCTATTCAGCCTCAATCTTCAACTGCGCAAAGTTGTGGATAAGCCCCCGTCAATGCCCCGTGAACGTTACAGGCTCAACCGTGTTAGGTATCAGCTGACAAGGCGAGCCGCTCGTTTCCTGCATACCGATCACTATGGCGCTGCTAGGCGGTCGATTCCAGGGCAAGGACCTGTGCAAAAGTGTCAATCTTCAAGGTGTCATCTTGTTAGATGAGGGCCGAGCAACTTACAATGGCGCTCCGCGACGGAATATAGACATGCGTCCAGTTCTTGCGGTTGTTCCACTCCAGTGGAGTAGTACTTGCCCGGTATTAGCACCTGCTTCTCAGAGAGGGCTATTAACAGCAATAGTCGACTTACAAGAATCTGGTGTTTGCGTCGATCGAGTTGAACCCACCCACGTCCTTGTCGTCTGTGTTCAGGACGATCTTGTAGGTCCCTTCAACATCGACCCCAATCCGGTAGTCGGTATAGCTGTTCGTCGGGTGGAAGTTGAATACAAAGACCAGACCGGCACGTTCAAACACAACTACCTTGTCCCCGTCGTGCTTTAGAGAGATGTATGCCTGCGGAGAGTGCAGCCACCCGTACTTCGCTTCGCAGAGGTTCATGAGTCTGTCGAAGTGGTCGAGGAACTGGTACCTCAACAAATGGTCATCCGTGAGGTTAAGCTGTCGTCGGGCGTACCAGAATGAATTCTGGTTGCCCTCGCGGGGAAAGTCGAGCCACTCGGGGTGGCCAAACTCATTGCCCTCAAAGTTGAGATAGCCTTCGCCACCCAGGGAGTTTGTGAGCAGTCGGATCATCTTGTGCAGGGCCATTCCTCGCGCAATGACGGGTGTCAGGGGAGTGAGCGTCGACATGTTTGTGTACATCTCTGCGTCGCAGAGGTGGAAAATCAAGGTCTTGTCTCCGACCAGACTGTCTCAGCGTCAGCAAAACATGTGCCCCGGTGTGGCCGTGAATAGAGGTCCTGAAAACCTACGCCTGGTCATGACTCTCGCAGTAAGCGATGCATTTCTCTCCGTGTCGCCTGTTTGTCAGCGTGAAGCAGATGTTGGCCAGGTCCCAATCCTCGTCTTTCTTTTCCTTCAAGAGCTTGATCCACATGTCAGGGACGGCCATGGCCAGACGATAATCAAACCCCACACCTCCCAAGGACAGTGGCACGCCCAGAGCTGGCATACCCGACACATCCTCGGCAATAGTGATGCACTCGGGGTAGAGCTCGTGGAGCATTTCGTTGGCAAGCATGAGATAAACCACCGCCTCCTCGTCGACATCCGAGCCAAAATATTCGTGATATCCGCCGGAAAACCCACTTTGGAATATCATGTTAGCCCAGCCCGCATCGAGTCAGAAACGCCGGAATGGTGAACTCACGTCCCCAAGCCATGGTGGAGATAGAGCATGCTTGTCACGCCATCGAATCTAAAACCATCGAACTGGTACTCGTCCATCCAGAACCGGAGATTGCTTAGGAGGAAACGCATGACTTCGTGATGCCCATAGTTGAACAGTCGGCTGTCCCACTGGTCATGCTTTCCCCTGGGGCCCCCGTGGAAGTACTGATGATCGGTGCCATCAAACTCGTTCAGTCCATCGAGTACATTCTTTGAGGCGTGGCTGTGAACAACGTCCAGCAAAACAACGAGGCCCAGGCTGTGGGCAGTGTCGATCAGCTCCTTGAGGTCCTCAGGAGGGCCATACCTGCTGCTGGCGGCGAAGAAGTTGTTGACTTGATAGCCAAAACTTGCATAATAGGCATGCTCCATGACGGCCATGAGCTGTATGACATTGTAGCCCAGCGACTTGATCCTCGGGAGCATGTTCTTGGTGAACTCCTTGTATGTGGCAACCCTGAGCTCAGGTGACGATATGCCGACGTGTGCCTCGTACACGCGAGCACTTAGAGGCTTCTTTGGCCTGGGGTGCTTAAAGACGTACTTCTCCTCCTGGGGAGGGTTCCAGAACCTGGCATCGTATGCAGGTGACACTGAGAGATCCTGTGTGACATACTTGATCCAAGCCGGGAGACGATCGATCCTGTTGCCGTCTGGAAGCACCAGTGAGATCTTGTGGGCATGGTCAGCCAGACGCACGCTGGAAGAAATAGGCGGGGTGGTAAGTCACCTTGATCTTGGAATTATGAGGAATTGCGACTTGGCCGTGCTCGTTGGGAGCAACTGTGATCTCGAAAACCCCAAAGGCATTCTTCTTCATGGGATGAGAGTCACGGTTCCAACCGTCTACACAGCGTTAGCACGGGGCGACGATGCTGGTCAAGCACGGGGTGTTCAGCCCTTACTGAAATCCCCTATGAGGAAAGCCTGTTGGGCGTTGGGAGCCCACTCTCGATAGACAACATTGTTATCCTTATCAACATTGAGACCGAATATATCAGTTCCCTACAGAGTGCAGTCAGTATGAATGTGTTCCCTCGAGAGTACCGCGTGCGTGGCGTTTGGAAGCAGCGTGCCTTGGTGAACTTGGTCAGGCCACCTTCTGTCTCGTCAATCTTCTTGATCCAATCCTTGGCTCGGGAGACTCTTCGCTTCAGCACGTCCTGGAAGGGCGAGAGCCAGGGATCAACCTGCAGGACACCTGGGAGCAGGTCAGCTGTGTCATGGGAAGTGCTGGCGTGGCCGCAAATGTCCCCACCTAGGTCTTGAGCGGAATCGGTGCCGGGAGCAGCCTGCCCACCGTCTTGGACCAACGTGTTGGATGCATGCTCGGCGGTGTCGGCCATGGTCACGCTGTCTGTGTGCAACAAGCAGGAGCCGGGCGTATCGCAGCTGGACGAAGCAATCGGGATGTGGTGGCGAGGCTAATACCTGGGGGGCGGGAGAATGTATGAACGGACTGGACTGGGATGAGCTTCTACGAGAGCTGCCTGTGCACGGTGATGAAAAGTAAACAGGCCTGACAGGGAGCCGAGGAATTGATCAGGACCAGTGAAGGGCAAGCGGACAAAACAAATCCTGCGATGGGGTTGCTTCTTTTATGTGCCGCACTTTGTACGGAAGGCCTTGTGTGACCTGTGATGCAGAGCATGCGTAGAGCTCCGTGGAAGAGGAGCCGAATGGTAGCGTGATGAAGCACCAAGTCGACCGCTTATGTATGTATTATGACGTCGGGCAGCAGCGACGAATTCAACGAAAAAAAGACCCAGACGCAGTGCCCGCTGTAAATACAGCACCCTACCGCAACCTATCTGGGGACTACATGCCTGGCAGGTAGGTAGGTAAGGCCCTGGGCATCTCTGAAAACCCAGCACAATCCCGCCGATACACGCAAGCCATGCCTGCATGGCCTCAACAATGGCTCGGGGCGGCCGGGTCATGTAGGGCGTCTCCAACGATCCTGTTGAACATACAAATTAGATACCATCAACCCATTTAACCTAGCTTTGATCTGTCTGGCAGTAGACTGCACGCTCCCACTATGGTCCTCAACCTTGGGGTTGGGGAAGAGGGATGGGCAGTGATCAGTGTCCAGGATGTGCTGGTTTGCCATTTCCCCAGACCCCAGACCCGGAAGAGCCCCTGTGAGCCGCTGCAGTGGCAGAGTGGCAGAAGTGGGCGGCTTGGGGTAGGAGCTTGGGGTTAGGACGAGCAGAAAGGCGGGCACCCAGGATCATTAGGTAAGGTCAACCCCGCCATTGTTTCAATGGTACTTGGTAGGAGCATGCAGGCGGGCCGACGCCGCTCTCGCCAACGCCACGCCTACGCCTACCTATCTGCCTGTGTTACCCCCGGACAGAGCTACGGACGGCCGCGCCGTGGAAGACTGCTTGCGTAACGCCCTCTTCTCTCACGACCATCAGGGCCCCAAGCGCCGCCACATACAATCGGCTGGACCATCCCCATCTTCTAGTCCTTCTGTTGAACCAATAGACTGTACCAAAGATCCTCCATCGTAACCTCAAAGAGCACAGAATAACCCCAGGCACGGGTCATTCTTAGCATGTTGTGCAGTTCATGGACATGATCATGGCTGCCTTGAGGTGGTCGCGATTGCAGCTGTTGCCACTTTCCCACGCCCGCCGAAAAGTCCCAGCCCCGACCCCCTCTCGCCCGCAAGCGCCCTTGCAGTGCTCTGGCTCTGGATATCGGGCCTTCTCTGTGTCCACGCCATCCCGAACCGCGAGGAGACCACACAGCTTCAACTCGGGCTTCACCAGTTCCTATGACCCCACCGATGTGCCCGACCGCGGGCCCATGTTCGCCAACCCGACCTTTGGGGTCCCACAATTCTACCCCCGCGATCTCAAGAGCCGCGTCGACGAGTACGTCGTGGGCCAGGAAAGGGCCAAAAAGACCATATGCTCCGCCATCTTCAATCACTACCAGAACCTCAGGAGGCGGAGGCACGACCAGGACCAGGATAACAAACACCGGGAGAAGCTGCAACGCCAAAACCGCACGCGGGAGAGAGACCGCCTCGAGCCGTATCGTGACCCACACCCGGTCGAAGGTCAGCCCTTTCAGCCCGGTCCACGGCGTCCATATATCGTGTACTGATGGCAGATACCCAGACGAGTTCCCTGGCCACTACGAGTCTATACACCAGAGCCATCAAGTCACAGATGTCGACGCCGCTGCCAACGCCGCCGCCGATTTCTACATCCCCGAAGACCCGACCATTCCTCACCACACCAGAATAGACAAAAGTAATCTGCTGTTAATAGGCCCCACGGGTGTTGGAAAGACATATATCCTCGAGTATGTCTCATTGCCCTAGCCATCTCCTGCGCCTTCCACCGGGTATACTAAGAGGCGCTCTAGGACCCTGAGCAAGAAGCTCAACGTCCCCTTCACAATATCAGACTGCAACTCCTTTACGCAAGCCGGCTACATAGGTCAGGATGTCGAGAGCTGCATCGAGAGACTCTTGATCGAATCGGGCTACGACACGAGAGCGACCGAGAACGGGATTGTAGTCCTGGATGAGTTTGACAAGATCGCGCGAAGAGAAACATCCAACGGCCGGGACGTCGGTGGGGAGGGTGTCCAACAGGCCCTCCTGAAGCTCGTGGAGGGAACAAAAGTAACAATAAACGTCAAGGACAACAAGTCGCCGCGATCTGCCGCCCCTATAACGAGCAACTACGGGTCGGGCAGCTCGGGCTTGGCTCCTCCCACTCCTCCCACCTCCGGCAGGACAGACCAGTTCACCATCGACACAAGGAACATTCTCTTTGTCTTCTGCGGGGCTTTCGTTGGCCTTGAAAAACACGTTCTGGCGAGAGTTTCGAAACCGTCGCTTGGATTCGGGGCTGAAATCGGTGATGGCCGGTCGTCAAAGAAGGGCAACAAGACTGTCCTGCCGCGGGAAATGTACTCCCACCTGCCGCATCAACCCCTAGCAGCGTCAGCGGATGAGCCTGGAAGCACTAGCTTCACACCAAGTTAGTCGTCTCGGGTGGCACACCGAATGAGGCCTCGCAGGACATGAAAGAGACTGACGTGAGCCCCTCACAGTGGACCTGACCACGCCCGATGACCTGCAGGCTTTCGGTTTCATCCCGGAGCTCATTGGTCGGCTGCATAACATCATCGCACTGTCACCACTGTCACAAGATGAACTTTTTCGGATCTTGACAGTCCCCCGTAACGGGCTTGTCGCACAGTATAGAGCATTATTCGAGACTTATCCTTCCAAGCTGTACTTCACCAATCGTGCCCTCCTGGCTATTGCCGAGCGAGCCCTCGAGAACGGCACTGGTGCCCGAGGGCTGAAGATGGAAATGGAGAGAGTGCTTGCTGAACCGATGTACGAGGCCCCCGTGCAACACGTTCTCATCACGGAAGCTTGCGTGAGAGGGCGGGAGAAGGCTGGCTACTGGGGCAGAGACGGGTGGTTGGAAGTTGAGAGGCGTATCAGGGCAGAAGATCAGCCCCAAGAAGTGGATGAGGCTGCTGTGTCGACATTTGAGCAGTACAGAGAGGCAGGGCAAAGCGGCGAATAGCGCACGGCGCAAGTGCAGCTGGTGAGAGACAGCCACAAGGACGACGCTTGGGGGCGTGGGTAAGTCGAATCACGGACTGGCGCATCGGCATCTTCAGCATTGCATGGATTAGCACACATAACCCCCACATACGTAATGGAAGCACATCGTCCGGCTTCGACAGACAGCGGGAAATGCGAAGCGATGTAAAACCCCATGCACTTGCAGCATCGTTTCTTGTCTGATGGTAGGTCGGTACGTCTTGTCCTGTGCCGAACGGATGTTCGGCATTGTCGGTTCGTCCAACGAATTGGGCCAGTCGGGTGGATCTGGAACTCTGACAAGACCTGGAGTCGATTCTGGGTGGGCTGGGGTCATAGGCTCGCAAAACCGGTGCTGTTGAAGGATCTTGGGATTCTCGTACACATATTTACATCCACGTATAAAATCACCACATCCAACCATGCCGCCACACCAATGCTCTCTCTTTCTCTAGACATCATTTCGTACATGGAGGTGAGGCCAAGAGGCAATGATGATATTGTTCCCGTTCCTGCTGCTTTTGTTTCTGCCTCTTCTACTAACAAAGGAGAAGACCTCTTCCATCCGTTGCCTGAGCGGCTTAAGCCTTCGCGGGCGGCGACTGGACCTGTCCCTGGCCCTTGTAGTCGGGCGAGGCGACGCCGGTGAAAGGGTCGGCTTTTTGCTCCTATTTGTGTGATGGCCTCAGTCAGCATGCGAGACGTACCCGTGCGGAATACAGAGCTTTGGCGGACCTTGAGGTACTCGTTGGAAGCCTCCTGCCACTCGCGCGTCATGGTGTGTGGTGGGGGCTTGGCGAACATGCGCATGGTAGCGAAGATGGTCAGGGAGGCACCGAGGCCGGCGAGGACGTAGAGTATGACCTTCTTGTTCTCGTCGGCGGGGGCCTGCGCACGTGGGCCGTGAGGGCCGAAAGCAATCCAGTAGGCTATGAGGCATCTGTGTCAGCGTCTGTCGGCTGGAGCGTGTTCATGCCGCATCAAGGACTCGGGCGCGACAGGCAGGGGCCAATTGGGCCCGACGGGCACGGAAGCACCTGTCTGAAGCCCGATGGGGCCCCTACAGGTGCGCCTGGGTTGCCCGGCGGAAGTGACGATGCTGCGTTGGGGCTCGGGTGGTGTGCACTCACCGGCCTTCTTCTCCTGGAGGGTCAGGTCGGCCCAGTTCTCCTTCATGCGGTCGCGCAGAGCCATCCACAGCTCAGCCTGCTCCTGCAGAGGCATGCCCTCCCATCTCTTCTCAATGTTGGCCAGGGTAGGATTGGAGATGGCGTGGGTGGAGGCGGCAGCCCGGGTGACCATGGCGGAAGAGGTGGTGGCCTGGCGGCCGGCCCTGGTGACAGTGGCGCGCAGGGCGGCTGATGTCGGGAGGCGCATCATTGTGAATGCTTGCGGAGAGGAAGTGGTGTACTGGTGATGGGGGTGAGGCGTGGCCGGTCGGGAAAGGATCGTGGATGGATGGGATCAGAGAAGTTGGTGGAAGGGTCGCTGGGGAAGAGTGGAGATGGAACCCAATTGCTAAGGTCGTGACCGTCAAACGTTGCTCTTGTTAGCCTCGAGAGTTTTGGAGCGTCCCGGCTTGAATTCTTCGGATTCCCACCAGCTTCCTGCTGCAGCAGAAATCAGGCCACCCACAGCTGTCACGCTTACATAAGCGCCAGCAGCCAATCAGTCCTTATCAGAAGGTCAACTGGTTTTCTGATTCATCATAGTCCAACAAGCAACAACAACACTGCTTGGTTCCCCGTGCAGCCAGTTCTGTGGGGATTGTATATACACAGCACTGTATCATCCATCACTGCCTACCTAGGTACCTAGGTACCTACGTGATTATGCAATGCTGCCAGTCTCCAAGGCATGGCAATCAAGCAATCAGCTGCCATCCAACAGTTTGCAGCTCGACCGGGGTTGGGATATATTATGGGACTAGTAGAAAGCCTTGCAGCAACTACAGAGGCAATAAAAACGATCATTAACTCATATATTATCTATATAATTATATATATATATATAAGTATTAACTTAATTTATTAATTTTAAATATTTACAAATCTAAATTTAAAAATATAACATTTTAAATATTATAATTTTATTTTTTACAAGTTTAAACATAATTTAAATTATAATAGTATATAAAGAGGTTTATATAACAATGATTTAAGAGGGCCTTAAGACTTAACGATTCTACTTCTAGCAATGAAAGGCCCCTTTTCTGACATCTGGCCCATCATCTGACCATGATATCGTGGATGACAAGCTGTGGTCAACCTCGGCTGGGCTGAACTTTCCAAGGGAGACCATCAAATAGAGAGGGGACTGCCCAAGACTTAACGGCTTGCTCCACCTCGGGCGTTGCCCAGCCCCAGGTCAACGTTGTCAAGGCAAAGGAGACACGATCGGCGGGGAAGAAAGAACTTGTCAATGCGTTCAAAGCGGTGGACGTGGAGATACGCCGACACATGCGCGGACGCTGTCGTGCACGCAGTATTGAATATTCTCGCTTCTTATTTCCCTTGTCCTTGGCCTTGCCCTTGACGATTTGGTGGCTGATTTTTCAAGTCGTGCTGGCCCATGTTGATACTGTCCGTGGCACTGCACAGTTTTGCTTCACTGCTTCAGGTCAACAAGAGGCCCGAGGGTGAGCACTTGTGCAGAAACAACATACCCCGGATTTCGCCAGAATTCACTCTGTTCCTGAAGAGTTGGCTTGAATATGTAGACTCCTGTGGGGTTCCTCAGCACTTGGTGTATCCTGTCTTTGTAACACGGAGAAAGCGAACCTGTGATGACGCCGATACCCACCGAGAAACCAAGAGCAGTGAGGTTGCGAGCAGACATCTTGCATACAGGCCGTGTTTCAGACAGTGACAGTAAATCGACAATGTCTGGTGGTCATTGAAACGCTCCACAAAGTTGCCGCTTCCTCAATTTTGAATACATGTACAGCCGCGGGCATGATAAGCTAAGTAGTTCCTGACCTACGAAGGGTCTGTGCGTACACTGTCCACAACGACCCTGGGGCTGCAATTCAACGGAATGATCTCGTAACAGCGCCCCACCTCCATCCCTCAACGCGTCTCGTTGATTCACCGTAGACCGAGCGCGTCTCCCTAGGCGTGACCTGGGATTCACTTGACCGTGGTGTACGTAAGCACAGAAACTCAGACATGGCAACCTGATCCAGTGACGACCCTTTCAAAGACTGAAACTCGGTTCGTCGAGCTCTACAATGCATTCGAGCTCTCATGGGGAACTGGAAGGAACTGGGTGTAGTCCCCGACTCGGACGACGAAGGCTTCGACTCTGAGGACTCCTTGCCTCCACCAGCACGATACAGTCCGCCCAAGCCACCGCTCGAAAAACGGCACGACGACATCTGGGAATTTTCAGGCTCGTCAGGGCCCGTCGATTCTCAACAGGAGACCACAACTGCTAATCTGCTGCATGAGAGAACCCTCGACAAGCCCAGTGAACCACCGTCAACTGCCTCGGAGGATCTTGGAACAGAGGCTCAACATGCATCCTATCGGGGACGGCGAGATGCACCCAGCAGCAGCCTTACGGCTGGAGGCGATGTGCCTGATCATATGACACGCGGCAAAATCCCCCAAAACAAGCTTGAAAGCAGCTCTGCGGTCCAGAGCTTACCCACCACGATCCCACCCGAGAGAGACGAGATATCATCCAGCGTTGTCCAGATACTTGCGCCTTCCGCCAATCCCTTCCCTGGCAGCTCCCTCAAACCCGGTCCCGAGGCACGATTCCCGGGAGTACATCGCGAGGCCAATCACAATAGTCAGCCGCCAAACCAGCCTCAGAGTACGCATATTCGGCGAGACAGGCCTGTGGAGTCCTCGCCACGAGCTGGTCGATCCCTACGACCTCGGAAGCCGATTCAAGAACATCCATATCTCCTCGAGAATGCCCAGTACAGTCGTTTCATGAAATCCCATGGCGTCAAGCCTATTCATATTGCTCTACAGGAGCAGAATCTCAGCAAAAGCCTCGACAAAAATGTGTCGCAAGAGCAGGACTACACAGGCGGAGAGAGCCAGCCAACTTCAGTTGGTCCAGGTGAAGAATCGCAGGGCCTTCGAACGAACACCTTCAGTTATTCCTTAGATGATGATGTGGATGAATTGGCCTTGTCGCCATCGCCACGAACTTCATCGTCTCATCGTCAGCCACAGACGAGCAGTGAGCACGGTCGCAGCCAACAGACGGACGACACAAGTATCAATGGAGAGGAGTTCCCAGACATCAAAGACCTTGCTCTAAAACCGACGAAACCCATCAAACCGTCAAAACGAACAACGCCGTCTAGGTCAACCACGTCGAGGAAGCGACTGAAAAGCAGGCATGAGATGCTCGAGCAGCTACCGCAGCCCGTACACGTGGATGACGATTGGGACATTCCGCCTTCGCCTGGTCCCCTGCGGGTGGACCCGGCGTTGGCCAACTCCCCAACTCCTGATTCCTCACCTCGGCCGTTCTTTCAGTCAATAGATGATACTTTTGCATCCACATCTCTTCAGCGACGGAGCAATGGTGCTGACGTCGAAAACTGGTCCGAGCTGGTCGACCTTACCAATGATTTGGAGGGTGGCGAGGACGAAGATGCTTCGGAACTAGAAGACCGCTCCTCAGGCAGCGATTCCGATATCATACAGAGGACCGGAAAGAGGATAAAAGGTGTGCTGCCTGCTTCATGGCTCAGGTTGGATCAGCAAACCAACAAGACTGTGCAGAAAGGCGCTCTCAAGAGGCCAACATCTCCGCGCTCTCCAGACGGGCGGCAGCGTGGAGTGGCCACGGTGAGGCACGCAACAGCCATGGTAACTAGCAATTTCCTCCAGGACTTTGACGACGACGACGAAGTAGAAGAAGAAAGAGAAGAAGACGCGCCGGGACAGACGGTTGACCTCCTGAGTCACGGCCTTGGGCACGAGTTAAGCTCTCCTAGCAACGGACTGGAGGGTATTGACGATAACTTGTCAGTAATCGAGGAAGACTACGTTGACTGGATGCTACCGGGAGGCAAACGGAATCGCACATCAAGAGGCATCCCGAACAAGAAGAGGAAGAATACACAGCAAAGGTTGTTCAAAGGAGAACAGCGCTATCGACAACCCAAGATCTCAAATTCTTTGCATTGTGCAAATCGCTCATCAAGCGGCGCCGTCAAGACCTGGCACCCCAAGACCAATGCCAAAAAGAAAACTCAAAAGACACGAGCTGCATCGCCACCGGCCCTGGGCATTACAGATGTTGTCGAGCCCAGTGCACCGAGGTTCATCAGGATCGCTGCAAGAGCTGCCAGCAGGCGTCAAGATCTGGGCAGATCGAAACCCAACAACAAGGCCATCAATCTCGGAACTCGCAAGGACAACGTCGAGGTTCACTCGATTCTTAGAGACTGGACAATGGGCAACATCAAGCAGAAAGCGTTACGCCGGCAACCGACCTCGGGCCTTTCGCGAACTGGGCAAGACGCGCGAAGGCCAAGACGACCTCTTGGGCAGCTATCGTCGAATATCACAAAACATTCTAGACCCCGTGCCGGCGTATCCTTCAGAAAACCTTCAAAGGTGACGAGACAAGTAAGCCTGAACAACTTCGTGATCACCAGTAAAGCGGCCGCGGAAGAACCTCGCCCGGAGCATGATTCCACCCGACGGACAGCTCCTGGAAGGACCCAATCGCACAACCTGGGTGACGACTACCTTAGCAGGCCAGCGCAGCTTGAGGCTGATATATTGCATGGCGGGGAAAACACAGCCTTCATTGCGAGGAAGAAGATGCTGGATCTCGTCTTTCGCAAAACCAGAAAAGAGATCTTAGCTCCAACTTTCCATTTCCAGAGATGCCCGTCGGACGAAGCACAGCCCGTGAAGAACCAGAACGAAGTTGCCTGCTCCGAGCACAGTATTCTTGGCCTCGGGCAGCACAATGGCCGGATATCCAAAACTACGAAAGCCCGCTTTCGCAAGCAGATTGCACCGAAGCGTCTTGACCTAGATGCGCCCCAATTCAGACATGCGAATGACCCACTCCTGCCATACGAAGCTCCCGTCAACGAAGAATGTCTCGAAGCACCACGTCAAGAGCAGAGTAAGATTGTGGGGCTGGGACCCTACGGCACACAGTATACACACCATTTCGATATCTTCCCCCTGCAAGAAGATGTCTTCTTTCATCACAGCACCCTCATTGGAAATGGCACGTTGAAAAAAGCTCTAGACTGCCAGTTCCTTGACGACATTACTCGGCCTCGATCTGTAACTTCTTTCAATCTGGCGGATCACTATTTTCACTGGGGGCTCTGGACCGATACAACGTCTTCCGAACTTGGACTACTTTTTGATCTGCTCTCAGAACAGCTGTCAACGACCAATGTGACAGATGCTGAGCAGAGCTGTTCTCAAGCTGTCAACTGTGCTGATCACGTCCTCCACTATATACTGCACTCGGTCTGCGTCGAAGATGGGACACACCTCAGTTCATGCGCTCAGAGGCTCTCGGAGCTGTTGTCTGCCTTCTCCGTTCTCGCTCAATCCTTTGCACCTGAACGTCAATCTCGTACTTTTGTCGAGGTCAGTACGAGGTTTGTCATCTGTGCCCTGGTACTTCTACGAATTTGCCAGAGTAACGTCGAGCTGTCGAGCACGGCTCTCCAAGTCGAGGAGTCAATGAAGCATTTGTCAAGGGCGATCATTAGGAGACTTTTTGAAATCGGCACCTCGGCAATCCGAGCGACATACGATGATCTGCAGCACCTTTCTGCCAGGGAGCGAGGAATAAGAAGTGACAATTCCACCATGGTTTGTTGGGTGGTTGTTATCAAAGTGCTGGACTCAGCCCACATTCCAAGGGCTGGCTTCTGGGACTTGACATACTCCCTTATGGGGACACCTGACCTCCTCGAAAGCTGCAACGCTCAACAATTTGAGAGTCTATGGAGGGACATCTTCACTCTGGTACCGCTTCAGGATTTTGACGACGCTGGCATAGTTGATAAAAGCTTGCGACACACCGATCTCGGTCAAGGATCGCAAGGATGGGGCTTACCACAAAAACTGCTCAAACGGGTCTTCGAGCCCTGTCAAAATAATCCGAAGCAGTCTCCCAGCTTCAACGAATACTGCCGCGCTCTGTTGGCTCGCTGCCACCGCCTTATCGATCAATGGGGGTGGTATAAGTGCAGCGGCGTTGTCGGCACTATATTTGACTTCTTTGGCCAGCAAAATCTCTCGAATCTGAGGAACGAGGAAGTTAACAAGTCGCCACAATTTCTAGAGAACCTTGGTGGCAGGACATCTTTATCTGTTGACGCCGAGGATCGATGTTTTCACATCTTCCTCAAGATGTTGGCACTAGCGATCCAGACCATGAGAAAACGGGGCCTCTCCAACGACATCCGAAATCTCATCGCCCGGACTCTCCCCAACCATGACCGCCAGTACTCAAAGGAGCAGACGATTCACGCCCATGATCTTGCTGCCTTGAGAAACCACCACGACTTATTGTGTACTCTCTTCTGGGCCGCCCCTCCTGAGGAACGGCCTGCTGTCCACTTGATCGAGAAACTGGTCTCCCCTGGAAGTTCTCATAAAGAAGCAGTCCTTGTCAACCTCCGGGCATGGAGACAGCTTGCGACCTTCGTCGTGTCTTCGGGTGCCACAGTTGACGTCTACGGCCCACTCATGAAATGGCAGAATCACGTCTTTGAGCAGGTCCTCGAACAATATCATTTGGCAGCCGGCGAAATTCAGCGCCAGTTCATGTCCATGCCCTCGGAAACCAAGAAAGACATTGGTCAGCAAGTGGTCGACAGCTTCGTCTCTGCAAATCAGACCGCGGCAAAGGATGTGTTGCACTTCAGTGTGATGGCGTCACTGGCAGTCATGAAGAACTCTCCTTCGTTGGCTTCTGCCATGTTCTCTTTCAACACAGTCCAGTTGAGAAAAGCGCTTACCAATGCCAGCACTGATGGCAAAGACCTGGATTGTGGTGTTCTGCAAGGTTGTTTTGAGACGGTCGAGCTCTTTCTGGAACGTTTGGAGAAGCTTGGCGATGTGCTCAAGGAGGAATCCGATGACTCTCTCTCATCATCAAGTGACAACCGCGAGTACGCCGATGCTGTCGAGTTACTAGATGAAAAAGTTGTCCAAGGATTCTTCATCGCCGTTCGTCAGGTGCTTTCCTCTTCTGTGTCCGTAAGAGGCTCCTATCACGATGCAGTCTCCATCATCCGGGAGAAAGCCATCACCCTCTCGGGTAGAATTGCGAGCATGCTCATCAGTGGTGGGAAGAGATCACTGAAGCATTTCTTCTCCATTGGGAAGTATGGCTTGTTTGAGAACGCCCCCCAAAATCTCAGCTTGGACAACAGAATATACCTGCCTCTTTTCGTGGCCACCTTACTGAAGAATCACGTCTTCGATTTCTCCAGCATCGGCTGCAGCCACTTCGACATCTGGCTGTTGTCACTGGTCAAACCTTTCCACGCCCTCAAGTATGAGATGCACCTCGCCGAGACGCTCAAGATGTTAGACTTGGGTTACATGAGGAGAGCTGCTGTCATCGACGGAATGCGCCCCAACTACCGTACGAACCGCGACTTCTTTGCCTGCGCGGTCTCTCATATGCGAAAGGAAATACAACAAAGCGACCCTTCGCGGCGGATGCCTCTGCGTGCCAAGTACGAGAAACTTCTCAAGTTGGTAATGCAGCAGATGAGGTTAGACATCACATCCTTGGACTTGAACTCGGACCAGCACAAGGATTACACAAGCTTCGTCCGCGAGATTGTGGCGCTTATTCAGTCTCATGGCACAGGAATCAGTCTAGTCGACTCGTTTTACCTCCAGGCCAGTGCGGAGTTCAGCCCTGCCACAGAGGATCCTAAGCTACACTCGGCCGTCATCGTTGGGTATGGGCTCAGGCTGGGAGAAGGCGACACGACAGCGGGTCCCCAGCTGTTCTCCTTCTTGTACAACCACTTCAAGCGTTTCATGGCCGACGGCCAACTCGACGCAGAGAGCAAAATTATCGAAAACGGCATGACCAATGACAATATACTGGCATTTGCTCTCGGCCGCATGATGCCCGCCATCATCCAGACGGCGTGCAAAAACCCTGAAGTCTGGCCACTTTTAGGGGTTTATTCGAAGGCCTTGGGTGGTCTCTTCGGTAGGTCGCCCTTGCCCAGAGAAATCCCTGAAAAGTCTATCGACCACTCTATCTCCCTGCTGGAGACCATCTTGGGCTATCTGGGGAGCCTCAAGGAGCAAAGCACGCCCGAGACAGCGATGAGTCCACCGCAGGTGCAATTGTTCGCGCAAATGATGGAAGTCTGCCATGCCATTCGCCCGAGGTTGATCTGCTGGCTGCTACAACCCTCGCTGGATCCGACGAAGAGGCTGCAGGGATGTATTGACAAGATTAGTCTAATCAGTAGGCAAGCAAATGCCTACCTCGATGGTCTGCGTGGCTCGCAAGGCCGAGAGATGCCGCTGCCACGGGTCATCGTCGGACAGCTCCTCGCTGGCCTTGCAGACACTGCCACGAGTGATTCCGTGTTGTCCGGCGCGGACGGGCAAGTGATCAACTTCGCGCAACGTCTCCAGCACGAGATGCAAAGCTGTTGGACCATTACAGACGTGGCCAACACAGCCACGGTGGCCGCCACCTCCTCGACGCAACTAGGCAGTCAGCCGGGGCAGAGGATTAGGTATGACTTGGACGCGAGGGCTGGGGAGCTTTTATCAGAGTTGCATGATCAGCTGAAGAAATGGACACAAGCGATGGGTGCATATGAAGAAGACGGGCGTGGTCGTCGGTTTAGGCAGGCCAGTAGACCTGGGCGAGCTGGAAAAGGGCAGAGGGGCCGGTCCTGGTGCAGCACGGCTTTCGTGTGATGTGGTCCTGGCCGCTGAGCAGACTTGCAAACTACTATATAGCTGTGGCAAAAAGCAGCCAATCGAAAAAGAATCCTTCAGAGCATTTTGATACCAGGAGAAGTCGTGTCATGGGACCATGGATGTATGTCATTGGGATGTGGCACTGAACGAACAGCAAATTGCCACCCTCCCTCCTCCGTGCCGAGTCGAAATATCACTGGCCGCGCATCATGGTCTCACACGAACTCTGCTAATCGATCCCAGGTGTCCTCGCCCACTGCGCGGAACTCGACACCCTCGAAGTAGCCTGCGTCTTGCCAGGCCTTCATCGTCGGGCCGTCGTAGGGTCCCTGGACCGACTCGCCGTCCCGGCCGTCGGTCCATCGATATTCCCACATGTTGGCTGCGCCCGCAGTGCTGCCGCCCGCCGCTGGTGGTCGCCTCGGCAGTAGGCGTGGGCTCCCTCCACCGCTCGCCCGCCTCGTCCTGCCACTCCCTCACGAGCAGCTCCCTCTCCGTCTCGTAAACATCTGCGTACTCCCTGGCGAGCAGCTTGTCTGCCGCCTCGGTGATGACGTTGATGGCCTCCTTGATCCGGGCCTGCGCAGGGTCTTCGGGCTCCTTGCCGTGGTCCACGTCCATGGCGTCCGCGTCGCCGCCGTCCTTGCTCTCCCTGCCCTTGAGCTTTTTCCGCTTCCACTTGGGCACCTTCTTCGGCTCGCTCTTCCGCGCCCGGCCCAGCCGGGCCAGCGCCTCGATGGGCGTCTCGCCCCTCTCGAGGTGCAGGACCAGCGACCGCAGCAGATCCTGAGTGAGAAGGCTGTCGTCCTCCTTCCTCGCGGCCCGCAGCTCCGCCTCGCGCTTCTCGTGGGCCTCGCGGGCCCTCTTCATCTCCTTCTTGGACACCCCATCCAGCCAGCGGTCGTGCACGGCGTCCGGGTCGACGGCCTTGCGGATGAAGTTTCCGGCCTCGTCGAAGGCGCCCTCCTCCTGCTCGTTCTTCATGTTGAAGGCGTCGATCTTGGGGGCGTTGCGCTTCAGGCCCCCCATGCCGATCTCCTCGTCGACGCCCTCCTCCTGGATGGCCAGCTCGACGTCCTCCTCGTCGTCGCTGCTGGCGTTCTGCTCGTCGAGGTGGATGTGCCCGCCGCTCTTGCTCGTGCTCTCCTGGCCCTCGATCTTTTGCGCGTCCAGGAAGCGGACCTCCTTGCCCTTCTTGCCCCTGGACGTGGTGCGCGGTGCGGCCGGGTCGTTGGTGTCCTGCTCGTCCGCGTCGTCGTCATCAGCGGCGAACATGTCCTCGTCCTCGTCCTCGTCTCCGTCGCCCCCGTTCCCTGGCCCTTGCGCACCCGCGTCCCCGTTGCGTAGATTCCTGTCGTAGTTGTCCAGCTTGTCCGCAATGTCGACGTCGCCGCCGCCGTTGGCACCCCTAGCGCCCCTCCGCTCGGCGCGGTCGTCAAAGGTCTCGTTCTCGGAGTCGCTGTCGTAGCCGTCAATGTTGACAGCGCCGCGCTTTGTGGCGCCGGGGCCCTTGCCGATAACGTCGGCGTCGAGGACCGCGGCATCGTCGGCGTCGGCGTCATCGTTGTCGCGGGAATCGGGGGCGAGAGCAGAGGGGTTCCGCACGTCGAACTTGACCCGCTTGGAAGACGAAGGCCCGTCGTGGTCGTCGTCTGGGCCGCCGGCGCGCTGCTCGCCGTGGTGGGCGCGCGCAAAGGACTCGCCCGCGCGCTTAGGGCGGGCAGCTGCGTATCTGGAGGACATGGTGATGGAAACGAAAGAGAAGTGGCCTGCCTGGTGGCGCGTTGCAAAGGGGAAAGGGCTCCCGAATTTCGGGGGTGGTGGATGCGGGGCGTGTGGCGATGCCCCGCCAGCCCTGCAAACGGGACGGGAGCTCGCGAAGCTTGCTACCTAGTCCGTGGGCTAAGCCTGTGTACCTGCGTGTGAGGCGAAAATGACCATTACTGTGCAGGTATCCAGGTACACCAGAATCCCTGAGCCCCCCGCGAGGGCTGGAGCTTTCAGCAGCTTCCCCAGCACCCTTGACCCCTGGCCGGGGACCTACGTCAGCGGGGCGCCTCTCAGCCCGCGCAGTTGGCTCTTTTTTCACTATGACAATTTTGTCTCATTGGAATACCTGTGTCAATCACAAGGACGCGCCGTTCCTCAGCGTCGTCGGGATATCATAATGGGCAGCCATTTCCAGCTCCAGCGACGCCGTTCTCCCTGAGCCCGCTCTCTTTTTCTGCCCTCCCCCCTATGGAAACCCCTCTCTCCCGACCCCTTCATCAGCAAAGTACAGCATACCTAGGTAGTAACCCAGCAAATCTCATGCATTGGACAGTTGTCTGCGAGTCCAGCAAGTCTCACGGCCCAGCAGGCGCGGACCCCAGCTGCGCCTCTTGCTGCCGCCACGGTCCATGTCTTGGCCGCTTGTACTGTTCGCATCCGTCGCGGACCTGTCCTGTGTCGTCCCGTCCACTTTTTTCTACAACCCTCTTCCCCTCTTCTACCATCTCTGGCGCTCTATGAGGTAAGGACGGTTCTCGCCCGCCTGCTTGCTATACACCTTCGTTGGGCACGACCACCTCGGCACGCCAGTTGACATGCTCGCGCTCTGCGAACCGCGCAAGGACCAAGAGCGCATCAGATGCTGCCTTGTGAGGCGTCGTCCAGTTTCCCATGGTGGGCGTCCTCAGGCTCTTGTCCGACACCTTGCCCCGGAGGTCGTTGGCCTCGGTCCATATCCTCGGGTTATTCTTCATGGCCTGGAACACAGCCATGTGCTGGTCTTTTCCGAGTTTGAGCTGCTCACCGCCATGCAGTCCCATCGAGGCAAACGCCCTGATGAGCTCGTTGATCACGATGCCGTGAAGCTGGTATGCGAGCGCCTGGAGTGAGGTCGTATGTCGCGCCATCTGCTTCAGCTCCCGCAGGTGAGGCTCCAGCGTGAGCCACGAAGTCATCTCCATCGCCGCCCCTGAGATCTCCGACCTCTGGTTGAGCGAGCGGAAAGCAATCATGTACGCCAGGATCATCTCGATCGTGAGCATCGCCCGGCGGTAGTCTCTCGACTGCGCCCCCGCGTTGGGCCCCGCCCCGGGCGCCGGGAATTCTTTGTCGCGCTTGTGCTTCAGTCTCTTCCCGATCTTGCAAAACTCGTCCCATCGCCTCCTAAGTGTTTCTTTGGCGGCGCCTTCACGGCCTGTCTGCGCCGCGTCTCCAGCACCCGGCGTCTGGGCAACCCTGCCCCCAGGCGTCTGCGTCTGCGTCTGCGAGCCCCCGGGGGCAGAGAGGCTGTTGGTAGTGGGGGGCTCGGGTGGTGTGTACGGCGCCTTGCTCCCGGTCGGCTCGGGTGCTCTCGGCCGTTTCGTAGCAACCGAATTCGCTGCCGGCTTTGCAATTGGCTCGGTGGCACGTGGGCGTTTGCTCGCAGGTGGTGGTGTGTCCTCAGCGCTGAGCGACCGCTCCTTCGGCCAGGGCCTCGAAGGCAGCGCGAGGAGACCCTGTACCCTCTTGCGGAGGCCTTTCTTGTATTTAATTGTTACAATCTTGGTTGGCCGAGCATCCGCATCAAAGTTGTCCGCTGGCGGTCGTGTCTTGCGCGCGCTCGCTGGCGCGTCCGAAGACTGGCCCGGCGGATCTTTCGATTCCTCTTTCACCTGCGTCTTCTGTATTCGAGCTAGTGCTTCCTCGACCTGGGGAGGCAACGTGGGCGAAAGAATGGGTGGCAACTCGGGCGTCGGGGCCTTTTTCTTCACTGTCACTTCTGGCCTCGATGGTTTGGTTTGTGACTTTCCGGTCGTGTGGCTGTCCACTGGCTTCTTCTTTGGGCTCCAGGTCTCCAGGTCGTCCTCAAACGCTAGCTTTAGAGGTGAGAGAATTGGAGGAACAAGGTGTTTTCCAGAAGTGTCTGGTTTTGGGGGTAGCGTATTGCGAGACGCAGAGCTCTGAGACTTTGTGCCGTTGACCGTGACCTTTGGCGAGACTGCGCGAGAAGGCTGGTCCTTTGAGCTTGGCGGCGCGACGCGGCCGCTTGGGTTCGACTGAGACACTCCTGTTCTGCCATCTTTACTAGCAGACCTGACATGTTCCCTGCTGACCGGGGTCTCTGGCCGCAGGGGTTTGCGCAGCACCTCTGACGGTTGAGGCTCGCTCGATTTCGTCTTCTTGTGTGGCCTCATGCTATCGTCCTGCTCCAATGGCCGCTTCTTGCCCTCGGACGACGGGCTCGGCGCATCTCGCGATGCGATTTTTGAGAGTGAGCTCTTAGACCTGCCACAGAGTATCAGATTTAGCACATCACCAACACTACATGTACAGGATCGGACGTACCTCTCCATGTCCCCATTACCCCGGGCGTCCGGGCCCTTGCTATCCCGTTGTGTGCCAGCCTGCTTTACCTTGTCCTGCTCTTTGCGCGGTACGTCCTTGTCGGGTCCATTCGCAGGCGCCCGCTGTTTCTTGTCGTCCACCTTGGCCCCCAAGACTCCGTTTTCCGTCGGCGAGGTTGCCACCTTCTTGCTCTTCCAAACCTCCAGGGTCATCTTGTTCCCGGCCTTCTTGACACCAGCTAGGGGAGTGGACTGGCGGGTGGGCAAGGGGGCTTCAGGCTCGTCGCATATGTCGTAGTACGGTCGTGTCAGAAGGAGGCCGCGATCGGCATCTGATAGGAAGGTGGAGTACTGTAGGGGGGACTGGTGGTCCCAGAAGTTTGGAGGAACTGGATATTTGCGGCCGAGTGAAAGGGCCAGATGGTGTGGCCTCTCGGGCAGTAGTTTCTTAACGGATCTGATTCTCTCCGCCGCAACCTCCATTTTCCACGTTGCTTCATGAAAGAAGCCTTGTCCCGGCGGCAAGTCGCGAGGAGAGGCGGCGCGGCGTTTCCAGCTCGTAGTCGGTTGGTGTCGGGGTGAGTGTCGGTGTCAGGACGGGAATCGAATGCGCGGTGGTAGCGCAATCGGGAGAAAGGTGTGGTGATTCAAGACGAGGTTTCTTCGGAGGCAATGACCTTTGACAAAGCACGGGGGGCTCGGGCTTCTGGCGAGCTCCTCGTTGGGCTTGACGGACGTCGAAGATGGCGGACGGGACAGGAACTGAGGCGGCCGTGTAGCTCCGTGGCCGCGCGACCGCAAGCACGGCGCCAATAGCGGTGTTGGTTGATTGTGGTAGTAGTTAGTGATGGTGGTGGTGGTGGTGGCGGCAAGGGGAAGCTGGGTGCTGCAATCACGTCAACAAAGCCAGTTGCGATGGGGGTTGGTCCGCGGCAGAGGGTCTCGGCGCAGGGGGACAAAGCATGGGGTCGACTCACTGCTGGCAATAGACGGGCCCGATTGGCACGATGGCGCGGTGCAGCGGGTTGTTGGGCCAAGTAATGGGTTGGGATACGGGGTGCAGGTTGTGGGATATCGGCGTGTCGTGGGTGTCGTGCGTGTTGTGCCGTGTCGTGGTGTCGTGGCTTGCAGACCGACAGCGACGGGACACCATACCATGCCTACCTAGGTATGCGTGCAGCAGACATCCACATCAAAACCCACATCCACACAGCACCCATCCATCGATCAATCAGTCAATCAATCAGTCAATCAGTCAATCAGCCCGTCCGTCCTTCACCCAGTCAGTCGGTCGCGGCGGATCGAGTCGTATCGTGTCGGGGGTTCGCCTGTCTCCACCACGCAGCGCGCCGCAGCCTCAAGTCTCCACCCGGTGGCCTGGCCCACCTATCGTTGCCGCGCTGCTGTGTTGCCGTGTTGCTGCGCTGCTGCAGCTGCGCCGTCGCCGTCGCCTTCGCCTGGGCCGTGGGAGATGGGCCGGAGCTGGACGAACACGCGCCGAGTGGACGATCCCTGGGCGTGCCCGGGGAGGATTATTCACCGATCCTGTATTTTATGAATTGGTTGTCAGGGGGGGAGATGACCGCTGACTGCTGCATGCGACAAGAGGATGAGGTATGATAATGTGGAAGGGGGGGGGGCGAGGCGGGACTGGGGAGAGGATGTGGCTGAGGACTAGGGAATGTAGTGCAGGATGCCCGGCAAAGCGAAGGATACCATGTGCGGGTGGGCAGCTACCTGGCTACCGGGTGCTACTACCTACCTAATGTGATCAAGGTAGGGGTGACGAGACCTGCACGCCTGGGCAGTAGCCCACCCACGCGGAGGCTGCCCTCAGCTCAGCGCTGCCCAGCTCGCGCGCAGTGCAGGGTTACACCTGGCCGGAGCCGGAGCCGGACCACGTCTAGGACTCGCCGCTGCAGCCAGGACGGCAGACACCACATTGTACGACTAACCTCAGGCTGTACGTGGTCCATGGTTTCTGATTTGCAGAGAAATATCTTATTTCCGGGATGGGAAAGGGGGGCGTGGCGGAGAGTAAGGAAATAAAAGAAGGCCAGGTCATACACTCACTCTCTAGCCTTGACTCGACCTGCCAAAGCTCCCGCGACGCAATCCATTACCGGTAATTCTGCAGCTGGGAGGAATAATGCAGTGCGTGGGGAGTGTTCTGCTAGACATTTTAATGAAAGGCCTGCCTGGCTGACTATCCGGGTGCGAAGCTATCTACACTTTCTACGTGCCGCACGCGACTCACTGACTCAGAATGCCCTTGCACTCGACACACTCACTGCCAATCCACATTTCTGTAGGCAACTCGCAATCAACGAGACCGCAGGAAACTCTGCCTTGACACAAACCTCAACTTCCACGCCGATCCCCTCAGCCATACCCGGTCAGTCCTCCCTACACAACTCGCCCTCTCGAAGGGTCCCTCGACGCCACTCCAGGACCGAAACCAAAACGAATTGAAAAGCAATGTGCGATGAGGTGCAGTGACTTGACGTCTTTGCCGTCTAGGGTATCCGTCAACCAACGCCGTGTCCATTTGCCGAGGTCCTTCCCGCCCGATCCGATAAGAAAGCTTTGCTGGTTCGATACAGCCAGCTTCACCCCGGTCTGATGCCGCACCATCCTATCCATTACCAGGCATACACATCCGAATCGTCGTCTCTGTCGCGGTCCGAGGTCCATTCGTCGTCATCCGACTCGTGCTCCTGATCGTCGAGGAAGTCCTCCATGCCAAGCTGGAATTCCCGAGGCTTCTGATTGTCGAATCGAATGTTGACCACGTCACACAGGCCATGCACGAACGGCACATCCCCGTCTGGTGATGCCGGCGACTCTGGTGGACTCGACGGCAGTGAGGGTTCCTGAGGTTCCTCTTCCTCACTCTCTTCGGGCTCAAGCAGATCAAGGTCTTCGTCCGTGTCAGGGTCTCTGTACGAGATAGCAGCTCGCTTCGGCCTCCTGAGGTCTCGCGCTGAGCTAGCACTTCGCTTTCTCTTGCGCTTGTTGTCTACCTTGGTCTCGACAGCGAGTGGAGCAGGAGCTGCGATATGAGTTGCAATGCGAGTGCTACGCCGAATAGGCGTGTTCTCTGTACCACCTCCTACGTCCGCGGTCCCCCCTTGTACGCCAAGTCCTCCCTTGAGCATTGACCACTGAATCAAGGAATGGTATGGCTGAGGCTTCGTCTGCTTCCGCAAGAAGACCCTCCTCAGTCTGCTAACCCACCTGTCACGGAATTCGCAGCGTTGACGCCATGGGACATCCAGCATGGCCTTGACGGCCAGGCATCTCAGTCTGGGCATGTTTGGCGCCTGGTCAACGAAGCTCTGGAAGAACATCTCCGCGGTAGCAGCATCCCATTTGGCGAGCTGCTCCAAGTCGATAACCTCGATCCTCTCAGGCCAGGCGGGGACATCGGTGACGGTGAGCAGCGTTTCGTAGAAGGGATCCGAATCCTTGTAGTATTCGTGGTGGGCGTAGTAGGTTAGATTCATGCTGAGTTCGCGCAGCTGCGGGCAGGAACCACCCAAGGTTGGCAAGAACGCCAGGCTGAGGGACTGGTTGTGATGCAGTGTCAGCCTGCGAATACTGCGACCGTGCGTCAACAGGTACTCGGCCAGCATTTCGGCCGTCAGTTCCCAGCAATTGACGATCTCAAGGTGCTCGACCGTTTTGGGTAGCAGAGAAAGGAACTGGCCATCGACGGCTGTCGACGACTCCATCTTTAAATGCTTTAGGCTTTCCAGGGGCTCCAAAGACTCGGAAATGCAGCTGATGAAGTCCTTGTCGGCTTCAAACACTTCGGGATCGGTGGGGTCTTTGTTCTCCTTCAGGGACGGGACCTGGAAATTGACCAACGTAACTTCGCGCAGCTGCGAGAAGGTCGGCCACTGGTGAATGCCCCTCATCTGTTGGGGCGGAACCACGTCGCGGTCCATCATCCTCTCGCTCCACCTCCACGACTTGAGCCTCATGTGAGCATCCGAGTCACCCGCCGACTTGAGTGCGTTGAGCAGCGCCTGGGAGTATGTCCACTTCCTGCGCTTGAGATCGAGTTGCCGATAGGGCGGCAGATCAAACTCATGATAGAGCTCCAGGTGAGACAGGCTGGGGAGGATCTGGATCAGCTCCGCGAGATCGAAGGGCCGCGACGTCGAAAGAGAGGTGACGCTGACGACAAGAGATTCGACCATGGTGCGCCTGTGATCCTCTCGCTCCCTGGCCGCGGCATGGTTCACAGCAAGGTTGTGCATGAGGGCGGCGAATTTGGTGGCCATGTTCATGGACATGATAGGCATTGGACGCCTGTACAAGGCTTTGAGCGCGGGGCCGAGGAAGAGCTTGCAAGTAAGGCCAGCTGAGAGAAGCCAGCGGGCACCCTCCTTGGATTCCAGCGAGGATGAAGCGTACTCGAGTATCTGGACGAGGATGGTCCATTCCAGGTGCTGCCACGGCGGGCGTACTTTTGAAGAGGGCCATTCTGGCTCATTGCTGGCGGAACGGGAGACGTTGAGTTTCTTTCTTGTGCTGCCCGTCTTGGACTGAGGATCCGGATTCCTTGCAGGTCTGGAAGGCGTCCTTGACGGCGGGTTGGATTGAGCGCGACGCGGGCGCGAGCTCGTTGGGGCGGTGGCTTGAGTGTGCTGGGAGCCCCGTGTGCCAGGACGGTGGTGGGCGATGGTCTGCAGACGTACAGACTGGCGGGCCTGGTTCCCCAAGGCGCGACGCGGGCGAGGGGCAGGTGTGTCGGTGGCGGATGAATCATCGTCAAGGTCACTGGAATCGCTTGAGGGCGAGGGCAGTCTTGTGGCGCTGCGTGTTACACGGCCGCTCGGGTTTCGCGGGCGACTGGGTGCTCGCGTGGTCGACCGCCGAGGGTTGCGGCGGACCCCTGCAGGCGCGGGTTGACTCATGGTGTCAGCGACAAGCAGAGAGAACCATTTGGGCCGGGCCAGCACTGTTGATGTGGGGAGGAAGTGCTGCACAGGGTGGGGGGATTTGACTGGCTGGGCAGACAAAAGAACAGGTTGGAATGAGAGTGCGGCCGGTGGTGGCCTGCGACGCCCCTGCAGTGAAGAGGCAACAAGGGGCAAGTCGAAGTGAGATGAGGTGAGTTGAAGTCAAGTGAGACGGGTTGGGGTGAGGTGATGCGGTCGGGCAACGGAGTCGGCTACCCCGGCGGCAGGTCAGTGAAGGCCGAGTCTCGACTGCGGGACAAGGTCTGAAGCCGCAGCGTTCGTCGTGGAGCCTCAAGCTGTGGGAGCGGGCCCGTGCGCCGTGGGCGGGCTCTCGTCCCTATAGCATGCATTCGGATGACTGGAAGGAGGCGTTGACCCTAGTGACCATCTCGAGTCGTTGGGCAGGGTCGAGATTGATCCGTCAACAATGACCGAGCTACAGGTTCCTTCGGCGTAGAGATGTCGCTGGAGTTGGCGCAATCGGAGGCAGAGAATTCGGACTGTCGTCTTCGAGGCCGTTTCTTTCGATGTCTTTGTCAGCCGGACAGGCGGGGGACCCCTGCTCCGACGCCATGCTTAGGTCCCTACTAGTCTAGTCTATCTGCCTACAAGTACCTAGGTAGGTAGGTATTTGCCTTTCCAAGTGCCCAGGTACTGCGTAGGTGGTACTCCGGACGTGAGATACATTACTTGGACACACCAGTGCCTGAGTAATATATACACGAGATGGGTCTGTGGCAGCAACTCCATCACCATTACATTTCCCCACTTGAGACAACATTAAAGGACTCGCAAAAAGCAGTGTAATAAGGAGAACGGATATTTGCACCCGCAAAAACAGAGGGTACACCCACACAACACCAGCACTAAACCAATACCCACGCCTAATTCGCATACCCAATTCATACACTCAATTCATACACCTAACACCTATATAAATTAGGTATATAAGTATAAAGTATATAAGTATTGGGTATGTAGGCATTAGGTGTATAAGTGTTAATTATATGGATATTAGGTGTATACGTATTAGGTGTGGGTATTGGGTGTGTGGGTGATGGGTGTTGGGTGCGTTACCGTGTGTGAGTGTGTAAATAGGCCTGGGTGATATGCTCTGGTTGGCTACAGCTGCAGCGCGAGTGATGAACGGGTGTATCCGTTTTTACGGGTGCAAATATCCGTTCTCATAGGAAAACCTAAGGGGGGGGGGGGCGGGTGCGGATTTTGTGGGAGCGATGCTCGCTGAATGTTGGCACGCATCAAAATGGCTCCTCTGGCCCGAAACTCCCACAATGATGAATTACAATTCAACCAACCACGCACTATGGCCATCACGTCCTGGCGCCTACTCGAACGAATTGTACCCACGTGGCCGACTTGTTGATCCTCTCGATCCCTCTGTAGGTGTGATTATACCTAACATCATCGCTCTGCTTGTACGCGAGCTTCTGGGATGTCTCTTCTGATTGAACGCCTGCCTACCTCGATCGTGGTCGCTTTGTTCTACTTTTGTACACAACCTTACAAGGCCGTCGGACGACTGTGGGATCCCACCCTCAGTCGTTCTCCGTTGATAAGGTGATGCCCTCTTGTTCTAGTGCTGCCTTGTATAGGCTCTCCGCTTTCGCCAGAGCTGCCATGGACGGGCCTAGTAGCGTCATGACAGCAGCCCGGCCACCGCCGACCGAGTCCGCCTTGAAACGTTGCTTGATTCGAGTTTTCTGGTAGTGTTCCCTGATCTTCTTCCTCTCCTCTTCGATCAGCTTGTTCCTCAGTTGCTCAGCCTCGTCCGCTATTGCTGTGATGCGCGTCATTGACCTCCTCAGCGAGTCCACGTGATATCCCAGCTCTTGGGCCCGGTCTGGGTCTCCCGACAGGAATGCGTTCCAGAACTGCTTCAGAAACTCATTAGTGGTCGCATTCGTGAGTTTGCACTTGTCCTTGAGGTCTTTTGGTATTCCCATAGGTGTGTTCTCGTCCGAACTGTGACCGTACTGCTCCGCCCGGCTCTGGGCCAATCCCGTGAGCACCTGCTTCTGCGCTGCTTTTCTTGCTGCCCGCGATCCTACGTGTGAGCTTTTGGGCGTCTCATCATCGCTATCGCTGTCCTCATCTATGCCGATGCTTCCATGCAGATCAACTCCGCCAGATGGATCTCCCTGTAAGAGATCAATGTCCGAGGAGACTTGCGCTATGACAACCGAGGGCACCTGTTTCTCATAAACCATGTCATTGACAGAGGTGGACGGGTTGTGCTCTGCGAAAAAACGGCCTTGTTCCTTGACTTTGAGAATGATCCTGTTCTCTTCATTGTCCGCTCTCAGGTCACGGAGCGCCAGCTCCCGCCACGTTGTGTCCTCGGCAGCCGGCGCGTCCCCTGGGCCTCCATCTGTCGGGGCCACATTGGAGAGGAGCTTCTCGCTGGTCGCGTTCAGAACCTGGATGATGGGTATGTTCCTCTTGGGCTGCATCTCGATGTCCTTGCGGTTGCCGCTCTTGACACTGCCCGTGTTCTCCTCGTTCCCCTCGACATCAATGATGTGAGGGACATGTGCCGCTAGGATCTTGCTCGTATACGCACTGCGGTCCTCGGAGGCATCATATTTGTCAAAGACAGGGTCGCGCCTGTCCGTGTCCGACACTCGCTCGCCTTTGAGCTGCTTGCAAAGTCTGGACAGGAAGAACCTGGACCAGAACTCGCCGTCGTTCAGCTTGGGGACGTTCTCGTTGTATGCCCTCTTGACTATTGGATGCTGGTTGAAGATCTGGAGGATCTCAGCCTGGTGAAGATTGAGTTCCACCCTCTCCTGGCCCGTCTCGGCATCCTGTATGGTCTTGGTCTTGAAAGTGGGCAAGATGTTGTAAGAGCCTCGCTTCTGATTGACGTCGATAGCGAAAGCGCGGAGAAGGTTGGTGCGGGTGGACCAGAACTGGTTGTTGAAGGCGGCGTCGCCGATGCTATCCGGCTTGGTTGCTCTGGCATCCATGTAGGTCTTGTGCAGCTCGCCATCCTTCCTCAGCAGGGCCTGCTGCAGTTCGATGTCCAGTTTCAGGTGGTTGTCATCGAAAAGGTAAGCGGCAGTCGCCTTGGGATCCGGAGCGTTGACAGGCGCGCCGTTGGTTGGAGCCGGAGTAGCAGGCTTTGGCACCGAAGGATCGGTATTGCGGACCTCAGTGATCAGCCTGGACAAGATGTCCTTGATCACATTGGCCTCGGCCCTGGGATCATCTGGAGAATTGAAGTGGAAAGTATAAGGCACCGGGTCGCCGCCCGTATTTGGGTCCTTCACAAATATCTTTAGCATCACCTTAGGAGCACTGTCCGGAGTCTTCTGAAGATCTTTGGGAGCCGCATGTCAGCAACTCTGCGGGTGAAACCAGTACGGGACGCTGCCCAGGGCTTACTTGTGATGTTGAAGATGGACAGAGAGACGGTCAGAGTGCCAGTGCCAGGCAGAGGGGTCCAGGTGACGGAAGCCTGGTCGTCGGTGATGGTGATGATGCCATCTTTCTTTTTGTAGACCACCTTACACCTCGGGGCAGCCATGGTGGGTGGGACGTGATGATGAGGGAAGAGAAGGCGCAGATGTTGTTGCGCTGGGTCGTGCTGTGTTTATTGGTGTATTGTGTCGTGTTGCGCGTTGAGCCTCCCCCAGGCGTGCCGCCCTCGATGGTCAGGACTGTCGAGGTGAGCTCATCCCGCTTCAGCACGTAAGCGTGTGGACTGCCTGTGTAGCCCTGGATTACACAGGCTGGGTCCTCTGTATCTTCTGGTGCACCCTAGGACATACAAAAGTGAGAGGAACGCAGTCCTTCTGGATCAGACCGTCGTGAGCGATATATTTGTTGTGTGAGCAGCCCAGCTCGCCGCCAGCATTGAGCATCACCAAGTGGCACTCACCAGAGTGGTTTGAGGGCCTAGAAAAGACATACGGCACATGTGCCTTGTACCTGTGCTAGTGGGCACACTGTCTAGGTACCTGACTAAACTAACTGTATGTGTGCAATAGAGGGTTCGGGTTTGTGTGAACTTTCCACCACACCCAACCAGGCCCTTCCCTCTCCCCCCCCTAGCTCTCCCCACCCCGGGCTGGGAAGAAACTTTGCAAGGCTCGGCAGCTCCGTGCCTTGACCGTTCAGAGGCTCGGAGGCTCGGGGGGCGAACTGCCTAGGTACCTAAGTTGGCACCTAGCAGAGTGCTGCGCTGGCCATCGCCTGGGCCCCTTTTGCATTCAGCCGGTCAAGGCACTTGCGAATGGAGGCAGCGGACAGGCCAATATGCCAGCCGGCTACGGTGAGCACCTGGCCCCGGGAGATGCGATGGACCACACACCACCAGGGCCACATGGCCGCCGTCTGTGCTGTCAGGGGGGGAGGGGGGAAGGGGTAAAGCAGGGGATGAACCAAGTGACATGCTGTGCTGTACACCACCTTGATAAAGGAGAGGGGGCTCGGACGGAGATGCAGGTCCGCACGCCCAGGTCTGCTCTGCAACTGCATCCAGCATCTGTAACGACAAGCGTGTGAGCAGCTTCTCTGGCAGACGGGAGTGGTGGGGAGCAGGGGAGGGGCGACAGAGGCTGAGATGGCTGGGCGGATGGATGGATGGATGGTTGGATGGATGCAGGCCAGCAGACAATGTACACATGCACACCTCTGGTCTAAGTATAGTCTTGTGTCGTTTCCTGCGTCATCTGCTGCTGGCCACTGCCGTCTCGAACTCCTCGAGGAACAAAAAAAAAACAACTCACCTGGCTCCTGGCCGGCTCCTGCAGCATCCCACACCTGTCCAGCTTCGTTCCTCGACATCGCCAGCAACGGCAGCCGCAAGGGGGCCACTTTTCTTATTCAGAGCTTCATCATAGCCGCTCCTGCTCCCAGTCTGCTCTTCTTGTCACCGGGCGTGGCGGGAACATCCGGCCCGGCTGAGTACTGCCTTCCTCGGGTACCGCACTGAGTCCTCGTGCGGCTGGTCTGCGCTCTCACTACCCGTAGTGCCGTAGTAACGAGTAACGAGCCATCAATAATACAAAGCCGGATTTTCCAATACCCAGCTGCTTGACTCCATTCGCACCCACCTTTCCGACACCTACCTAGCTCCTGCAAGCTACCTCATCGCCGTTTTCCTCCCCTTCCCTTTTCTTTCCTTTTTTGTCCTTTTCCTCCCCTCCTATTCTCCCCTCCTCCTCCACGCCCAGAGACTCCTTGTCTGCCGCCCATCATGCAGCGACTCTGTAGGGCAAGCAGCGCCGCCCTGCGTGCGACTCGCTCGCAATGTCTTTCAAAACCCTCATCCTCCCTCTGCGCCTCCCGCCGCCCTCTCGCCCTCTTGACTCAGAAGCGATACAAGAGCGCTCTCTTCAACGCCCCTGACCCCAACGACAACTTCCTCCAAGGCGAGAATGCGAACTATATCGACGAGATGTACGTGCAGTACAAGCAGGACCCAAAGAGCGTCCACGTCTCATGGCAGGTCTACTTCAAGAACATCGAGAGCGGCAACATGCCCATCTCGCAGGCTTTCCAGCCGCCCCCGAACCTGGTCCCCAGCTCCTCCGCCGCCGTCACCGGCCTGGCCGCCGGTGCAGGCGTTGGCATCGGCGAGGGCTCCGACATCGACAACCACCTCAAGGTCCAGCTGCTGGTGCGCGCGTATCAGGCAAGAGGGCACCACAAGGCGAGAATTGACCCCCTCGGCATCCGTCAGGAGCAGAAGGGCTTCGGAAACATCAAGCCCAAGGAGCTGGAGCTGGACTACTACCAGTTCACCGAGAAGGACCTGGACACCGAGTACACCCTGGGGCCCGGCATCCTGCCCCGCTTCAAGAGGGACGGCCGTGAGAAGATGACTCTGCGCGAGATCATCGATGCTTGCGAGAGGATCTACTGTGGCTCCTTCGGTGCAGAGTTTATACACATCCCGGACAGGGAGAAGTGCGACTGGCTGAGGGAGCGCATCGAAGTCCCCAAGCCATTCACCTATTCCCACGACGAGAAGAGGCGCATCCTGGACCGCCTCATCTGGAGCTCGAGCTTCGAGTCCTTCCTAGCCACCAAGTACCCCAACGACAAGCGGTTCGGTCTTGAAGGCTGTGAGACCCTGGTTCCCGGAATGAAGGCCCTCATCGACCGTAGTGTCGACTACGGCGTCAAGGACATAATTATTGGAATGCCCCACCGTGGGCGTCTGAATGTGCTCAGCAACGTCGTCCGCAAGCCCAACGAGTCCATTTTCAGCGAATTCGCAGGTACTTCGGCTGCCGAGGACGAGGGCTCTGGCGATGTCAAGTACCACCTGGGTATGAACTTCGAGAGGCCCACCCCGTCTGGAAAGCGCGTCCAGTTGTCTCTGGTTGCCAACCCGTCTCATCTGGAGGCCGAGGACCCCGTCGTCCTGGGCAAGGCTCGCGCCATTCAGCACTACAACAACGATGAGAAGACGCACCGTACTGCGATGGGCGTCCTCCTCCACGGTGACGCTGCCTTCGCCGCCCAGGGCGTCGTCTACGAATGTCTCGGATTCCAGTCTCTGCCTGCCTACTCGACGGGTGGCACCATCCATATCGTCGTCAACAACCAGATCGGCTTCACCACCGACCCTCGTTTTGCCCGCTCGACCGCCTACTGTACTGATATCGCCAAGGCTATCGACGCCCCCGTCTTCCACGTCAACGCCGACGACGTCGAGGCCGTCAACTTTGTCTCTCAGCTTGCTGCTGACTGGAGGGCTGAGTTCCAGTCGGATGTCGTCATTGACTTGGTGTGCTACCGCAAGCACGGTCACAACGAGACAGACCAGCCCTCTTTCACGCAGCCGCTCATGTACAAGAGGATCCAGTCGCATGACCCACAAATTGACATTTACGTGGACAAGCTGCTCAAGGACGGTACGTTCACCAAGGAGGACATCGAAGAGCACAAGAAATGGGTCTGGGGGATGCTCGAAGAGAGCTTCTCAAAGTCCAAGGACTACCAGCCCACGTCCAAGGAGTGGACCACGTCCGCATGGAACGGGTTCAAGTCCCCCAAGGAGCTCGCAACCGAGGTTCTGCCTCATCTCCCCACCGCTGTGAGGAAGGATACGCTGGATCACATCGGTGAGATGATCGGTGGCGCTCCCGAAGGCTTCAACATCCACCGCAACCTGAAGCGAATCCTGTCCAACAGGACCAAGACCGTGCTTGAGGGCAAGAACATTGACTGGTCGACCGCCGAGGCTCTTGCGTTTGGATCGCTCGTGTCTGAAGGACACCATGTCCGTGTCGCCGGGCAGGACGTTGAGCGCGGAACTTTCTCTCAGCGTCATGCAGTGTTCCACGACCAGGAGAGCGAAGACACCTACACCCCTCTGCAGCACATCAGCAAGGACCAGGGCAAGTTTGTCATCTCAAACTCCTCGTTGAGCGAGTATGGTGCCATGGGCTTCGAGTACGGCTACTCTCTATCTTCGCCAAATGCTTTGGTCATGTGGGAGGCTCAGTTTGGTGACTTCGCAAACAACGCACAGTGTGTCATCGACCAGTTCATCGCCTCTGGCGAGGTGAAGTGGATGCAGAGAACTGGCCTTGTCCTATCCCTCCCCCATGGATACGATGGACAAGGACCCGAGCACTCCTCCGGCCGTATCGAGCGATACCTGCAACTCTGCAACGAGGACCCTCGCATCTTCCCATCAGAGGACAAGCTGCAGCGCCAGCACCAGGACTGCAACATGCAGATTGCATACATGACAACGCCTGCCAATTTGTTCCACGTTCTGCGGCGCCAGATGAACAGGCAGTTCCGAAAGCGTGAGTCGAGAACATCGCAGTTGGAGCCTTTAGATCCCTGCTAACATTTGACAGCCTTGATCATCTTCTTCTCCAAGTCCCTTCTCCGCCACCCGATAGCCCGCTCCAACATCGAGGATTTCACTGGTGACTCCCAGTTCCAGTGGATCATCGAGGACCCAGCCCACGAGGCCGGCGACATCAAACCCCGCGAGGAAGTCGACCGTGTCGTGATCTGCAGCGGACAGGTGTACACGGCGTTGCACAAGTACCGCGCCGACAACGGCATCAAAGATGTGGCTATCACACGTATCGAGCAACTCAACCCATTCCCTTGGCAGCAACTCAAGGAGAACTTGGACAGCTACCCCAACGCTAAGACGATCGTCTGGGCGCAGGAGGAACCGCTGAATGCTGGCGCGTGGAGCTTCACGCAACCGCGTATCGAGACGCTGCTCAACGAGACACAGCACCACGACCACAAGCATGTCATGTACGCGGGCCGCAACCCAAGCGCATCGGTGGCGACGGGCCTGAAAGCAAACCATGTCAAGGAGGAACAGGAGCTGCTTGAGGTTGCATTTACGGTGACGCAGGACAAGTTGAAGGGAGAATAAGCGGGTGGTGTGCCCGGCATAAAATAAGACATCAGAGAACCTGTAGGAATCCCGGAAGGTAGCCGGCGGTCAACATTTATGTCGTATTGAGGAAGGACGCCGCGTCCAGGGCGGGAGTGTTCCCTTTGTAAAAGTAGTCCTTCCGGTGCTGTACAGGTTGCAGGAGTAACCATTGGGATGGGTCAATGCATATTCGCGCGTTTTGACTTGATCCGGCTAAATTCGGTTTTCTCAATAAGAGCTGCGGCTGTAGGAGTAGACACCACCTCCTCCTTAGTTTGGCCGTGTGTAGTGTCTATCAGGCGCTGGCCAACCATCCTTCTGTGACCAATCCAGGGTGAGCATTCACATAGGTCTGAAAATAGGGCTTGATGTGTGAGGTTTGTATGCCGCCTGCGCGCGACGCCAGAAATCTTGGGTATATTGAACAGTGGCGTCGGCTATGTGCGAAACGGCGCTTCGCACGGAGCTCTATGGATTAAGAGCCCAGCCTGCGCGACCCCTTTTGGGTCATCCGTTATTTGTCATGGCTCTAAGAGGCAATCACCTGCCATGGCTTGACCACTCCGTTGTCACCTGTAGTGACCAGCATTTCCTCCACACCACGGTTTTCGGTCCCAGAGTCGAACCTGCGGCACCAGGTGACATGATTGATCTCGTAGGGCCCATGGCCATTCTCCACACTGCCCACGACGCGCCACCTTGGGGGCTCGGAGCTGTCCTTGGCGGCGGCGGCCTCGCCGTTCTCAGCATGTTCTGAAGGCCCTGTCCCATCCGTCGTAGGCTCCGAACCGCGGCCGGGGGCCGAGTCATCCTCCTTGTAGACAGCGATGATCCCGTCGCTTCCTGTACTGGCAATGAGGCCGGACGCGGCACTCCATGCCGCAGAATACACGTCCCTCTTGTGCACAGCGGGAAGCACAGCTGTGCATTCCCAGTCCTCCCTGAGAGAGCGGCGCATCGTGCTGGGGATGCCGCCCAGACCAGGGCGGAACATGGGATTCTTCCCATCGCCGCTGTCCTCCTCCTCGTCGTCCTCCTTGAGAGTCCAGATCCTGATCGTCTTGTCCGCCGAGAAGCTCATCAACCGCGGAAATGCTTTTCTGTCCGGATCGGCCTCCCACTGTACACCCCACACGGTGCCGTCGTGACCCTCCAGAACAGCCACGCATACCCACTCCCCGTCGCCGTCCTCGCGCCAGATTCTCACGGTGTTGTCGTAACTACTGCTCGCCAAGACGTCGGCGCCATATTTGCCCTTGGCGGAGCGGCCGGGCACGTCGGGGCACCAGGCGACGGACTTGACGTCACCCTCGTGCTCGTTGAGGACGGCGACCGTCTCCCACTCATCATCAGCCTCGTTAGCGCCGACGTCCTCCCATATCCACACGGTCTTATCGCGGCTGCAGGTGGCCAGGTACTGGGCGGAGGGGGAGAAGGCGACCGACTTGACCTCAGAGTCGTGGCCCTCGAGGACGAGGGAGAACTCCCAGTCGTCGTCATCCTTGTCAGAGGCGCCGGAATCTCTCGGGGGGGACCGGGTGGCTATCGCGGCGGTGACATCGACCTCGAGGCTGGTGGGATGGGAAGGGCCAGGGTCGGACGGCAGGGCCAGGGGGAGGCTGTCGCCGTCCCAGCGCCACAGGGCGGCGGTTGAGTCGAAGCTGGCGGTGACGAGGCAGAGCTTGTGTGGGGGCATGGCGGGCTTCCAGGCGGCGGTGCGGACGGAGCGGGCATGGCCGCCAGTCAGAGTGCTGTGCGAGGAGAGCGAGGAGAGTGAGTAGATGGTGACGGCCTTGGAGTGGCAGGTGGCCAGGAGTGGCAGGGTTGGATGCGGTATCGAGGCCCAGGAGCGCTGGTAGAGCTCTGGGCTCAGAGCCGGCAGGGCCTCGAGCTTGATCCCGCCATCGCCTGGTGAAGCCATCAAGGGCAGCCTCGCAGTTGGGTATGTCGTTGGTACCGTCAATGTCTTTCTTTTTGGTCGAGGGGAAGGGGGTCGGGGGCGCTTCCCCACGGAGGCCGTGGACTTTTCCCCCCTTCTTTATGGCTGGACACAAGAGCGTGAGTGAAGCCTTGATTCCGTTATACTGTACTCCAGCCGAGGCTATGCCACAATTGGAGCCGGTTCCATAAAGAGAGGTCACCACGAGTTGTTGGAGTGTCTGGTTGTTGTTTGGTTGTCGCTATTGGTGGGTGGGTGTACTCTTTATTTTTTTGGGTGGTTTTTTTTTTGCTCTTTGCCGTCCCCGATGCCATGACGCAGTACCAGTACTATCATCCGTTGATAACGGAGGGGTGTGTTTGCCGAGGAGAGATAAGATTACGGGTACCTGGGTACCTAGACTACTTGGTCCATTGCTGTGTTTGGCGTTGGGGAACTGGGGGCTGGCCAATATCTCCTCACAGCCAGCCCAAATCGCAGCAGAGTCGAAGATCAAAACTACAGAGGTAGGAACACAATGGCATTCAACGACAGATGAGGCAGCACACCCTTCTGTGGCCTTCAGCCAGAATGCCACAACTGGCTGGCAAAGCCAGCCCCTCCCCCCTTCCCCCCTGGGACAGGGGATGGGACTGGAGCTGCACCTTAACCTTGCAAGGCCCGGCCAAATGCTTGTCTTCTCCATGCAAGTCAGTCAGTCCACCATCTGTCACGGACTGTCATCAGACTGTCAGTCACAATCTCTCTCTGCATTTCCACTGCATATTCTCTGGGCCCACCACCACCACCAATACACACCAGGCTCGTTTGGGCGTTCCGATGCGTGCTCAGGCACAGGCACAGGCACAAGGCATAGGCACAGGCACAGGCCTTCACACCCACGCCGTCGCACACCCTAGCGTCGAGTGACGGCACCGCCAGGAACAACTCGCAGCCAATCCGCGGCCGGAGCAGATATTGCTGCCTCCCTTGAATCATCAGAAGCAAGTGGTCTGGGCCACCGCCGTGTCATCCCGGGGATTCGCGTCACGACAATTGGCCCAAGGCCCGGCAGCGACAGGATCAAAAGCACAGTCGACAACAACTTGCCAGTCTCCTGGATGGCTCTTGGGAGACCCCAGGCCGCCAGGCCGCCAGGCCTGGCTGGCTGGGTCGAGATGAGGGTGGCTTGCCACGGCGCCCGCCAGACCAATTTCTGGACAACCACGTCCTGCTGGGCCTGCCTCTCTGTTGTCACCGCTCGACTCGACGACGCACGGCATATGCTCAGCAGGGTTCCCCCTGCCCTGTTGTCTCTCCTCACCCCAGTTCATGCACCTGCAAGAGCTTGCCGGTCGATCATCTCATCTCCAGGGATCGCTACCGCGGCGATGTGACCAAGATCATCTGCCCAGATCTGTCAGGTTCGGCTGCGACGCCGAACGCCTGTGTGATCCGAGACGTCCTCGACTGCGTCAACCAGTCGAAGCTTTGACCTCGACTCCCCCGCCCCAAGACACAGCCCTTCCTTTTTTCCATGTCTCGTTCGGGTCCAACAGTCTTTCGCTCTTTTGTTTCCCCCCGGCGCGGCCGCACCGCTGCTCCCTTCCCACGGCCCGAATCCATGTCCAGAGACAATGGGAAAATGGGAAGTGGAAAGTGGAACGTCAAACGTGGAACGTGGAAGACACCGCCGCCGCCTCTGTACGGCCAGTGCCGCCCAGGTTTGGTTAGGTTGCTGGTCTGGGTCCAATGTGTGAGCCGACGTGCCAGCGTGCCTCGTGGGTTAGAAGCCCAGGAATTAATTCCAAAGAGGCTCACCACTAGGGACGGACTGGTCGATGACTGTGCGCGGCATTCGAGTCCCTCCTGGCCTGGTCGTAATCACACTCCCGATCGACAAGACAGGCCGAGTCCGCACGGTTAGCGCCGCCTGCTTGGGCCTCGGGGCATGCGTTCATCGACAAACGCCAGAACGCACAAGAAACTACTAGTGCCTCTTGAACTGAATCACTGCACGACAGCCATCTCTTGCTGGCCCGTATCCGCTGGCCACTTGCGGATCTTGCCATCCACGGCAGCGCTGTCTCGATGTCTTACTCTGCGGTCCCCCACAGGACGGTCGACTTGGCCCTAGGACGGCTCGTTTCGGACCTTGTGCAGAAGTCCTCCTGCCCTGCATGCCTCCCGGTTCGCTCCTCTCCAGGCAATCCCCAGAGCGCATCTGGGTATATCTGTGTCCGCTCCCGCTCCCTAGCATGTACCTACCTCGTGGCGGCGGAGCGCGCGATTCCCTTGACTAAAACGTCTGCCTCCAGGCCATGACCAAGAGGCACTATTATAGGTCCTCGTGGGCTTCTGACAGACACCATTTCTCCCGCCGTCTCCCCACAGACCTCGCTCTTGGGCTTTCTCAGTAACGCGCCCTCCGCTAGGTGCTCCGGCTAGTCCACGTTTCTGGGGCCAAGCATCCTGAGCCCAGCAGTCTGGATCTCTGTCTCCGCGGTAGGCACGACACCACAGCCCCTGGATCCGATATTCCACTGCTGGCCCACCTCAGAGAGGGTGTCTATGCGCCGCCCTGTCGCCAAAACCGAACGTCGCCACTCCCGATCGAGATTCCGTATGCCGGGTCTTATGCTGTACGTTTGGACCTGTTGGAAAATCTCACAAGACCCGGCTGTGGGCCGGACCAGGTCGTCGCTCAAGAGCAGCTCGTCATATATACAGGACGCATCCCGACCCAGAGCTCTGTCCCAGGGGTTCCCCGTGTGCACACGCCCTTGATCTTTGCGTGCTACTGCTGTCAAATTCCAGAAACACAGCACCGCCCTGGCGCACCTCAGAAGACACACCCCATCTCCATATCTGAGGACACAGGAACCATGTCTCTAAACTCGACAGATAATGAGTTGCTCTTTGAGCAGTGGAGGGACCAGATTGTGCCACGGTCCTTCAACGCGGGCTTTGTGACGTTGAGCTATGTGGTCAGTCTGATTGGGGCGGCGTCAACATTAGAGTTGATCAACCGGAGGACAGCCCCCAAGGGGAAAATCAACCAGTACGTTGCCTAGCCACCTCGAGAGCCGTGACGGGACCAGTTCTGACTTTGTGTCGCCGGAAAGCTTGTTGCTCATCAGTGCGGCTGTCACAATGGGTGGCATCGCTATCTGGTGCATGCATTTTATCGGGAATCGAGCTATCCAGATGGCGGGCGGGGAGGCACCGCTTCAGATTGCTTATTCCAGTGGTTTCACGGCCTTTTCGTTCTTTATGCCGATTCTTGTCCTGGTCGCCGCCTTTGTGGCCATCGGAACCAACGACAAGGTCTCGTGGTGGCGTGTTGCCATCGGGGGCACACTCGCTGGCGCTGCCATTTGCGGCATGCATTACCTGGGCAACGCCTCCATCAATAACTACGTGTGTATTTACAACATTGCCAACGTCGTAGGGGCGGCTTTGATTGCGGTGGCTGCTAGTATCATCGCCCTCTCGCTGTTCTTCGTCTTTCGGGCGGGGTGGACCAGCTCGTGGTGGAAGCGCATCATATCGGCTGTGCTGTTGGCTGGTGCTGTGTCGGGTATGCACTGGTGTGCTTCGACGGGCACATCCTACAAGTTGATCGCGCTCGCCGGGGACAACAACCAACTTTCGAGGAACGAAACCGTCATTGTCGTTATATGTCTGGTAAGTCGCGCAACGCAACCCGACTCTCGAGACGATCTGGGCCAAGCTGACGCGGGGGAAACACCAGTCTGTGGGGGCCTGTCTCGTCATGGCAAGCTTTGCCATGTACACCGCTCGCATAATGCAGCGTTATGCCAGCAAGGCACAGCAGGTCGTGCTGGCAGCAGCCGTGTTCGACAAGCACGGACGTGTGCTTGTCAGCCCGGACGGGTTGCTGCCCAGCGAGAAGATCACTGACTCCTTCCTGGAGAAGACGCCACAGGACTCGTTTACGGTGGCCCACCCGCTCTTCCACTGGATGTTCCAGGCCTCGAGGAACTGGTCCAGCATCACCAGCATCATCAACGGGATTTCGAATCACCTGTCCCACCTTCCACACAACGGGCGCGACAATTCCAGGGGCGGCATCAAGCTCATCACAGACCATGGTGAGCTCATCGAGAACTACGACGTCATCTTCCGCGAGCTGTTCTGCGCAGCCGCCGCGGGGCTGGCAGACAAAATGAAGACGCAGCTGACCAACGTCGGGATCTTGTGGGACGAGATCCTACCGACCGGCGCGGGCGGGCGGGCTCAAGCTCAAGCCCGCCAGAACCAGCAGGGCGCCGAGAACGCGGCCGGCGGCGAGGGCCAGGCGCAGCGTGGGGCAGATGGCATCCACGGCGCGAGCCTCGAGGACCTTGCGGAGAAGGGTGTGGTCCGCCAGCCGTACCAGGAGTTTGGGCGAGGCAGCCTCATGTTCCTGGTGCGGCGTGTCGAGAACACGCGTGACATGGAGAGCCTGGCCGCCGCGGGCTACCGGTTCGCCGAGCTGCACCAGGTCAGCGGCATCATCGGGTCAACGATGCAGATTAAGACGCGTAGCATCGAGAACAAGCTGCGAACCATGTCAGCGTTCGCGGAGAACAACGCGATGCTGGAGCCCGGGGTGCACGTGGGGTTCTTTGGAGTCCAGGCGCGGGTGAACAACGCATACGGGTTCGACGTGCTGGCGCGGCGAAACGCGCGCAACCTACTGCCGTCGGTGCAGATGCCGCTGGCACGGCTGGACGCGTGGCAGATGAACTTCCTCCGGCAGTTTGAGCGGATGACACCACACCACATCGCGAGGCGGCTGGCTGGGCTGAAGAACATCTCGCACAAGGAGATGATGTTCGCATCGCAGCTGACAGACAGCATCGAGTCGCTGCGTGGGTGGGTCGAGGACGCCATCTTCGACGAGGCGGTGCTTTGCTCCAAGACCGTCGAGGTGCCGTGCCGGCCGGTGTCGGCGGGCTCATCACCTGGCACCTGCACGGTGATCTCGTTCAGGATCGTGGTGCCGATCCACCTAAACGTGGAGAGTCCCAAGTGCGAATTCGTGCCGCTCAACATGTTCAAGGTGCACCAGCTCGTGTACCAGGACTCGCCGAACCACCTCGCATTCACGCGGTCGGTGCATCGCGAGCTGGCGCCCATCATCAACGCCGTGCCGGCCGGGGTGGCGACGAGGTCGGGCAGGACGGCAGGGGCGGCGACGTCGCACTCGAGGCGGGCGTCGCTGCGGGACGCGAGGATGGCGAGCCGGCTGTTTAGGAGCGGACGGCCGCAGACGTCGGGCAGCGAGCGGGGCGGGGCCGTGGACGGGGACGGCGTGCCGATCCCGACGACGCTGCACCGTGGGTCGTCGTGGGGGGCGGGGTCGGGCAAGTCGAGCTCGACGTTGAAGCTGTGGAACGGCAGGCCGAGTAACGGGGGCGAGACAAGCCCCGGGGTGGGGTCGGTGGACTCGGCGTCGGAGGCGGTGCTCCACGGGCTGGCGCCGCCGGCGTACGCGATGGAGGAGCTACACTCGCCCATGTCGCCGGCGCCGCCGCCTCACACGCCAGGCGCGCTGCCGTCACCGTCGCCGGCGCCGCACGCCATGTCCGGGCCGCCACAGCAAGCATCATCGTTTGGCGGGATCATGGTGTCGCAGGAGATCACGGTCAACGTGCAGCGGGCAGGCGAGGTAAACGAGGGGTCCGGGGGCAGCCAGTATAGTGGGCATGGGCGGCAGTCGTTCTCTCGGGCGGGCTCGTCGCTGCTGCGGAGAAGGGCGAGCGAGAGCGGCGGGCACGGTGATCTGGGGCGAGCGTGGCGGCGGGTGTGGGCATGACTTGTAGCGGTGGCGGGGCAGGGCCCGGGGCCGGGGCGGCAGAGGCCAGGAGCCACCGCGGGATTGAGATGAGGCCGATCGGTGGTCACGGCAACGACCGATCGAGCGTGCACATTGGGTCCGGGGTGCAGGTTTCAAACGTGGAGGCGGAGAAGCTGACGGAAGCGCCGACGTTTGTGGATGAGCTGTTTGGGTTCTGCGTGGAAGGGAGGTGAGGAGACGTCCTGCTGCTGTTGCTGTTGTTGTCGTCGTGTCACGGATTGAGTGCAAGAGACGTGTGGCCAACTGCCTGTGTCAGTGTCCTGCATGTGTATGTATGTATGTATGTCTATGTGTGTCTGTAATGTGTGTGTGGTCCTGTCTATATATCCACAACATTATGAAGTCTATAGACTATTTGTATTCTTTAATTGCCTCTAGTTAGCTACAATGATATTGTTTATCCTAGTAGGATAAGAGATAATATAGGTTGTAGGTAATTGCAGTTAATTTCGCTATGCGAGGCTTTTAATAGTGATTATTCAACCTTCTGCAAAACAGTGTTGTGTTGGATGCCGCTAATTTGCACCAAAAGTCTTAGTTAGTGTCAGGCCGTGCCTATTTGTGCTGGCGCTGTTGACAAGCTCTATTTTAGGTGTTGAGGACGAAGCCATCTCAACCTGGTATGACACGGTCAAGCACTATGTTTGAGTACCTTGGCCCTGTGACTCAGGCAAATTGCCCAAAATGGACAATATAAAGCTGCAGTCCCCCAGACCAATCACAGCCTTGCTCCCCTGCACAAGACCATTCGAAGACAAAGGCCTAAAGTTGATCACAAGTCTGACGGAGAACGTGAGTGTGCGCTGGGCAGGAGTGTCTGTGTATTGAGACTGAGGTCGTGCGTGGACGTGCTGAATGAGACGGGTGGTAGGATGAGCTTGATTGGAGGAAAAACTGCAAGCTGGGCCTGCGGCCAGGGGGCGTCGAACGTACCTGGAACCCGGTATTGCACCCTCGGGAGCTGGAGGGGCTGAGGGGATGGAGCACTCCAGGCTGGGGATGAGATGGGGTGCCGGGGTCGGGGTTGAGGTTGGGGGCTGTCCAGATCGGGGAATCCGAGCCCACCCTCATCTCATGCCTTTTTGAGTCCTCAGCTCAGCCTCTATCCCCATGCAGCCTAACGCCGATGGCCCTGCATTTGCGTTGTGCGACCCCGGGAGAGAAACAGAGAGGGATGCGACAGCACCGCAACGCAGCGCAGCGCAGCGCAGCGCATCGCATCGCACCGAACCGCAACACCGACGATGCTCCCGTAGCCGGGCTGGCGGCCAGACCAGGACCCAAGCAACACACAAGCAAGGCAGTCAGTCAAGCACTGGCAAGGCAGGACAGGCTCACAGAACTCCGCCTCGACGCCCGAGTCCCGCCGCCCAACGTCATCATTTGGTCGACAGGCCCCACGCATCGTGCTGGCCTCAGGTCGACTTCCAGCCACAACCACAAGCCCTGACACAGCTTCACTTCCCTTTGCCTCATCAGCAGCCCACCATTGTTGGGCAGGCCAGTGATTGATCCCAGCCGCCAGTCCCACTATGATCGTAATCTTGCCCTTCTCCTAAGCCTACATAACATCATTACCGCATCGGCCCCGGTCTCCACGACGCCCTCTTGCCTGTGAGCATCTGTCTCCTTCACACAGACAGCACTGTCTGTCCCCAGCTATGCTACTCGAAACTCTAATTCTCACTCCTCACCCCCTTCCCTGATTCCCTACTCCGCCCTCACTCCCTTTTTCTTTTTTTTTTTTTCCCCTTCCCTCCCGTCTCACCCTGCCCAGCTCCAGAGCCATCTTCACTGCTGCAGTCGACCTCGACGACTGGCTGACTGATTGATTGACTGGCTGACCTCGCGGTGCTTGTCGCAGTAATAGATACACCACATACCCATCCGTCCTGCTGCTGGAGACTCTCGGAGCCATCGTCACTGCTTGACCAGCTCCCTGGCTCCTAATTGACCTCGTCGACTTCCCCCACCCGCTCTCCTGTTGCTTCGAATCTGCCGCATCGCCAAGCCGCCCTAGCTCAAAAGCCTCTCCTGCCTGCCGTCGCGCACGCCCAAACCTCGGCCCCCCGTCGCCTCCTCCCAGCCAGCTGCCAGTCGCAATGTCTGGCTTCACAAGAGCGCGCCCCGGCCTGCTCCGCCGGCTGGCCCTGCCCGTCGGTCTTGCCACCGCCGGTGGAGGGCTGCTCTTTTACGTATACCGGCCCCGCAACATCCCCGGCCACGGCGCCGCCGCCGTGCCCCCGCCCATCTACGGCGCAGACGGCACCTTCAAGCTGCCCAAATTCCCCCGCGTCAAGTCCCGCCTCGAGCAGATAGCAGACCTCAAGAAGAGCGCCAGCCCCGCCGCCGACAACTCGGACGAGTACGACATGCTCGTCATCGGCGGCGGCGCCACCGGGACCGGCGTCGCCGTCGACGCTGCCACCCGCGGCCTCAGGGTCGCCGTCGTCGAGCGCGACGACTTCAGCTCCGGCACCAGCAGCAAGAGCACCAAGCTGGTCCACGGCGGCGTTCGCTACCTGGAGAAGGCCGTCTGGAACCTCGACTACAACCAGTACCAGCTGGTCAGGGAGGCCCTCAAGGAGCGCAAGTACTTCCTCCAGACCGCGCCCCACCTCAGCTCCTGGCTGCCCATCATGCTGCCCCTCGACAAGTGGTGGAAGGCCCCCTACTACTGGGCCGGCACCAAGTTCTACGACTTCCTGGCCGGCAGCGAGGGCATCGAGAGCTCCTACTTCCTCACCAAGAGCAAGGCCATCGAGGCCTTCCCCATGCTCAAGAGGACCGACCTGGTCGGCGCCCTGGTCTACTACGACGGCGCCCACAACGACTCCCGCATGAACGTGTCCATCGCCATGACCGCCGCCCTCTACGGTGCCACCGTTGTTAACCACGTCGAGGTCACCGGCCTGGACAAGGACGCCAACGGCAGGCTCTCGGGCGCGAGGCTGAGGGACCTGGTCCCCGAGAGGGACGGCAAGGCCGCCGACGAGTTCCACGTCAAGGCAAAGTGCATCATCAACTGCACCGGGCCCTTCGCCGACGGCATCCGGAAGCTCGACGAGCAGGACTGCAAGGAGATCGTCGCCCCGGCCTCGGGCGTCCACGTCATCCTGCCCGGGTACTACAGCCCCGCCAAGATGGGCCTGATCGACCCGTCCACCTCGGACGGCCGTGTCATCTTCTTCCTGCCCTGGCAGGGCAACACCATCGCCGGCACCACCGACAAGCCGGCCAAGGTCACCAAGGACCCCATGCCCGACGAGGAGTCCATCCAGTGGATCCTCAAGGAGGTCAGCAACTACCTCTCGCCCGACATCGTCGTGCGCCGCGGTGACGTCCTGGCTGCCTGGTCCGGCCTGCGCCCGCTCGTCAAGGACCCCAAGGCCAAGAACACCGAGTCCCTCGTGCGCAACCACCTGATCGACATCTCCGAGTCCGGCCTCGTCACATGCGCCGGCGGCAAGTGGACCACCTATCGGCAGATGGCTGAGGAGTGCGTCGACGCGGCCGTCAGTGAGTTCGGCCTGCAGACCCGGCCCGTCCCCAACGCCCCCCGCGTGAGCGGCACCGATGCCATTGACGACGGCGCGATCCTGGACGGCTCATGCCAGTCCCACAGGGTCAGGCTGATTGGCGCCCACGGCTGGAGCCGCACGCTTTTCATCAACCTGATCCAACACTACGGCGTCGAGACCGAGGTTGCGAAGCACCTCTGCGAGAACTATGGTGATCGCGCCTGGGTGGTTGCCGCCCTGTGCCGGCCCACGGACAAGCGCTTCCCTGCGCGGGGCGAGCGCGTCTCTCAGCTGTACCCCTTTGTGGACGGCGAGATCCGGTATGCCGTCCGCCACGAGTACGCCCAGACCGCCGTTGATGTCCTGGCCCGGAGGACGAGGCTGGCGTTCCTCAACGCTCAGGCAGCCCTCGAGTGTCTGCCCCAGGTGATTGACATCATGGCCTCGGAGCTGTCATGGGACAAGAGGCGGCAGGAAGTCGAATGGAAAGACAGTAAGCACCCAGGCCCCAGATACAATCAAATTCCCCGGCAACCCCCTTCCCTCCTCCAAACTCCTCCCGCAAACTCTTCCCGCAGCCGCCACCGTATCAATTCGCGTCGTACTAACCTGTCGCGTCTCCCACAGCTGTTGCCTTCCTGGAATCGATGGGACTGCCCAAGCCCATGTTGAGCGCGACGCGGAGCCAGGTCGAGCAAGGAAAGCTCGACTTCCGCACGGGGCTGGAGTACAAGATGTACTCGAGGCACGACAAGCCCGCAGACGAGGAATAGACAGACAATCCCTTTCCCTCCGTATGCAAGAACACGGCTTTTGGGTTTGGGTTCCGGGTTTGGACAGCTGGCAGCATTGGAGTCGGCGTTTGGATAGAAGGCGCCCCCAGATGGAAGGGGACTGTTACATGAGCGGCACATTTCCTTCCACTAGCCTGCGCTCGTTGGGACGATCACAACATAAGCTAGCATCATTGGAGGTTCTTTGATCTGTCTAGGGCGAGTATCTATTTTTACGTGCATGAGTGTAGGTGTTTATTGTGTGTAAATAAGCGTCTCTCTGTCTGTCTCTCTGTCTGTCTCTCTGTCTGTCTCTCTGTCTGTCTCTCTGTCTGTCTCTCTGTCTGTCTCTCTGTCTGTCTCTCTGTCTGTCTCTCTGTCTGTCTCTCTGTCTGTCTGTCTCTCTCTCTCTGTGTGTGTGTGTGTGTGCGCGCGCACGCTTCCTTCTGGTAGAGGAGCGAGAGATAGGGATAGGGGAAAATGGCACGCTTGCGTATGAGGTACTCTCACGTCTGACCGACAAATTCAAACGCTGTGTATTGCCTCACCTGGGTCAAGTCACGATCACTCTTCAAGGTCTCAGAGCTTATCTATGTATATGGACCCTGAGACATGGCTTGTTCCGAGACACAGCCACATCTACCTGCTCGCGGTAGCTTTGTCCCGTACCTGTGCTCGTATTCTCACGCTCGGTGAATCGGTGAGGGACCAAACTGATCTGTTCGTTCGATGCCTGTGGTTGGTAAAATGCTCCGGATGGATGTCTTTGCACACAACGCCGCCGTGAAACCTACACAAGAATGCCGTCCGAGCAGGCCCCACATCATTGCCCGCCGCATCCGGAAGCCTCCAAGGCAGTCGCTATGAGAGCAGCTATAAGTTGGTGTCAACATCAAAATGGCTGGTATACCCACCGCGTCTGAGAAGCCTGGCGACCACTGTGGACCAGTGACGGCGGAATCCCTTCTCTGTGATTGCTGTTGATGATGAACTATCTTCCGGCAGTCTGTCCGTCTGCTCTCCAGCCGCCGTACTGGCCACGCGGTCGCCTTGTCCGCACGACCGGGCTTCGCTCATCGTGTCCCTCAGATGCCAGTCCAATGACGTTGTGGCATCGTGTCTCATGCGAACGACCTGTGTCTCGGACACACGCGACGATGCTCACCAATGGTGAAATGGACCCAACAGCGGCCGGCTACCTTGATGTGTCCTCTGATGAGTGAGGCTACACCATCCCCGCGTTTCTTGACACTCTTGAACGGAGACAAGGCATTTTGTGAAATCTGTTGGTCGGTCGACCTGCGAGGCAGCTAGCTTACCGAGTGTACATGGCGGCCGAGCAACCTGGGCCAGCCAGTCGTCACGGTTTCCCACGTCTCCAGCAATATACATGATTCTAGTCCCCGTTCCCCCTGCAGAAATCAGAGGGCGTGGTGCGTGTCACGGCCTTGCATGCGGAGGTACTACTCGATCCAGCTCATTCATTCCTGTCCGAGGATCCAGGTAAAGCGGTGGGAAAGGAACACGGCAAGCGATGGTACGTTCACAGTGATCAAAAAGACTAGGGCGGGATCACATGGGCAACGGTAATTGGCTGGTTTGCTGTCTGCGAGCCAAGATATAGTGCTTCTGTCCACGAGGTAAACATGAATATTAGCTGAGGCAGATTTGCCAAACTATCTCGAGGAAGTCCAGTTCATCAGTGAGTGAATGTATCATGTTCCATTCATTGCGTCCGCCATCTACAGAGGCCCAGCCAGAATGCCATCCCTGATCTTTGTGGCGCCGCTGCTAAATGCTTCATTTTCACGTCTTTTCGTCCATCCCTCGTCTGTGCTGCCCAATTGGTTGTCCTTGAGTGATTTCAAATGCCCTAAGAATAATACTCCAGTGATGCAACGCGAGGCCAAAACGGGACGTGGCCCAGCGGTGTTATGCATGGCTCTTTGCTGGGTGCGGTGGATGGTTTTGCTACTCAATGGCAGAGCCCAAAACCAACAAAAGCCACAATCATAAAAACAGGAAAACCAAACAAGATATTAACACCAGGAGAGAAGGAAACAGAAACTTAAAAAACCTGCCAAAGATCGAGACCTGATCAAAACACCCTGTTGAACGCCTCGCATGTGAATGGCATTTGTCCGTCTATTTTGTTGTCCTGATATGCATGCTTCGTCCATGGCGCCAAACGCAAATTCAAGAAAATGATCCATCGTGAGGGGAAAGGTGGGGGGGGGGGGGAAGCACGTTAAGTTGTAGTCTGATGACCAGATTCCCTCTGCTCGCACGATAGCTAGGGTGCTTCATCGTCGGCCATGGAGTAGGGACCTGCCGCAGAGTCCGAGGGGTGGATCCCGTGTCGACAGCCCGCTAGTGCTCAGAACGCGCTGCAGCAGGCTGCGCTTGGATCTGCTGCCGCGTCTCTGTTGAGACTCGGAGGCCGAGTTCTCGAACGGATTCGTGAACTTGGTGTCCAAAACAGCGTCCCAGCCGTACGGATCTTCACCAGGGGTTCTGACAGAGTAGGAATCGGCGTCCGAGCCCAGGGCGAAGGAGCTATGGTCGGGGTCTTCAATATCCATGCAATCGCCAAGATAGTTTGAGAAATCGGTGAATTGGAGACCTTGGGCAGGAGAGCTCTGGAAGCATGATCTTGTCCCAGTAGGAGGCGAGACCATGGTCGTGTCGCTCTCAGTATCAGTCAAGTCGGTGGAAGATCCGTCCAGCTCGTGCGTCATTGCTTCCATGATTGGAGCTTTCTGGATGATGCTGCCTTCATAAACGTCTGCCCGGGGCCGTGGCAGCGGGGCCGTATGTATCTCCGGCCTCGCGTCATGGCTCGAGCAGGTTATGATAAGCTGCGCAGGCAGGTTCCGCCCTCGGCCGTACCCGTGCCCGTACCGGTACCCATGCCTCCCAGCGTCGGATGATCGGCGGGTAGGATCGAAACCCATGCAGCGTGGCCTCTGGCCTTTTGCGGCCATGCCACCCCTTTCGTCCCCAATATACGTAACCCATTCGGTCGGCGTGTCAGCCGGGCAGGACAAGCGTCGACCAGGGTGCGGCTCTTCCCATTCTTGCAATGTGACTTCGTCAGGAGGCGCTGCGACTGTTTCAAGGTGGGTGATGAGTGATGAGGAGGTAGGTGGTGACATGGCCTGTCGTTCTCATAAGCTTTGATCGGCCGCAATGTTCGGTCTCGCGGCGCTCGTGCTCGACGTCCCGCGGTGGCCGGACCGGCCCTTCCTCCCCAAGCCCAGCTTCGCGCCCACCTTCTTCCAGCCGTTGCTGTGCGCATTGATGGCCTTGTGAAGGGTCCCGGGAGAAGTACCACTGAAGGCCCAGTCTGTTGTGGGCGGCGTCGTCGGCGGAGTCATGGGGTCGCAGGCGGGAGGTGAGTTGGTCCCGCTGTCGTCCGTCAGGTCCTCTGCGGGCTCGCTCGACGATGACACATAGCGGCTGTTCAGGTCACTCTTGCGGCTTATACTCAGGTGAGGCAGGAACGACGTCTTTGGGGACCGGCTGGGGTCGTCGCTGGGTGACAGTGTGTCCTTGGAAGACCTTGTTCGTGTACGTGACCTGCCGTGTCTTGACCTCGACTCCGTAAATTTCTCGTCGAGGTGGATGTCTCCCACGGGGTTCGAGAGAGACTCCAGGAAAGGGACCAGGACCGAGTCGCTCATCAGCTCGTAGACAATCCTGACTGCCTCTTCCAGTTCTGCCGGGTCCGGCGGAGCGGGTCCACACGAAAGGCTCAACAAGCGGTCCCGGACATGCGACGGCAGGTTGACCTCCCGTGAGCCATAAGGCTGGATGTACACCTGGATGAGCTTCTGCCACAACTCACAGACATGTTCGCCACTGTCCATGAAGGTGTGCTGGGACTGCGAGTGGGCCAGCTTGTAGCGGTCGGCTTCCATGGTGAACTCGAGCGTCTCGAGGCAGTGGTTCTGAGACAAGTAGGCCATGAAGGCTCCGAGGGTGTATGGATAGGGTGCAGAGTCAGCAAGGATCTCTTCCAGGGTGGGCAGGCGGATGCCCGTTGAGGGCGCCAGACTGACTGGCCGGGACGTAGACATGGTGGGCCCACCGCCGCGGTCGTCGTCTGGTGCTGGTTCTGGCGACAGGTCCCGGGGCGACGGGCTTGGAGACAGATAAGCGGGCGCGTAGCTTCGTATCCTCGAGTGTCTCATGTCTTCGCCGTGGAGAGCCAGGTAAGGGATGGCCAGGAGGAGTAACCGAGAGCCCAGCAAGACTGGGTCAGGTCACCTGCTACAGCCGGGAAGCATCCGCCCAGTACTTGTGCCGTGTCCGAAGGAGCGGGTCGAACGACCAAGCAGGGAGGCGGGCGTGCTAAGGCGAGGATGGATGAGTGGACCTGGATCGCGGAGCAGGCGCCAGGGCCATGCAATGCAGCGACCTTGGTCTAGGCTGGCTGAGCAGGCAAATGCCGAGCGAGTTGCAGGCAGATGGAGTGGTAAATGCGGTGTGAGGAGTGCTGGTGCGGGTCTCGGGAGCGGGCAGGTGTCGGGGAGGGTCGTTTGCCGCTGTTGTCGTCGTGGTCGATGTCCTGGGCCAGGAGGAGCAGGACTGATGCGACTTATGCAGGTCGGCTTGCCTCGAAGTCGAAGGCCTTGTCCTGAGCAATGGGTGAAGAACGACGACAAGAATCCTCGAGCGGGTCGAACGAGTGTTGGTTGGACGTCGCGGGCGGCGGAGTAATTGCGACAGGCCAAGGCGGAACGACGAGATATGCAGTGGTGCGTTGGGGCCCGAGTTCTGGCTACTGTTGTGCTGCTGTGGTGCCGAAGAAGAGATGAGGTAGAATGGCAAGTGAGTGAGTTGAGTGAGTGAAGGGAATCGGATGGGAATCGAAATCGAATCTGAGTCTGAGCTCGAAGTCGAGAGGCCGGATCCGGATCTTGGTCTGGGTCTGGGTCTGGGTCTGGGTTTGTGGGAGCGGAAGTGGAGGTGGATTTGGATTTGGATTTGGACTCTGGAGGTGGGATGAGGATTGAACGGAACGGACAAGACAAGAAAGATCCGGAGGTTGTCAGATCAAGTTGAGCAAGCCCAGGCAATGAATGCAAGGCAAGAGCGAACGAGCAAGACAAGGCCGACAGGGCAGGCCACGCCAGGATGGGGCAGGGCAGTGGCAGCCCCAAATAGGGAGAGATTCTGGAAGGCGCGTGGAAGACTCTGCTGACAGGGGATGCCCTGCACGAGGGTGGCGGGGATTGGTGCAGGGTGGAGGGGGGGAGGGAGCGGGCAGGGGGGCCCTCTCGCAGGGGGCAGACGGCCGATGGAAGACGGGTGATTGGAACGTGCTGGCGCGTTGCTGCGTCGGGGTTGTGTTTTGTCGCGGCTTTGGCCGGCGCAGAGGTCAACAGGTCACAGTGGTCAGGACGGCAGAAACGGGTGGAAATGATGTTGCAACACGCCAGGCAAAGCACAAGGCAGGCGGCAAAGCAGACGGCCAGACAGCTGAGGTGGGATCCCGGCAAGCAGACGCAGGCCCTCTCACACACAGCAGTCACAGAGGCAGAGAGGCTGCAGGACTGGCCAGGGGCCAACAGGACTGGTCCTTGGATGCTGGGTGCAGGGTGCTGGGTGCTTGGAGATGGGGTTGGAGGAGAGGGGGGAGGGAGGGATGCTGCATGCAGGTTCAAGGGTGCAAGCGACCCAATAGGCCGAGTGCAGGCGAAATGCCGGGATCGACAGAGCGAGGAGAGACAAAGACAACCCAACCCAACCCAGCCAGCCCGTGTCTGGTCCAGAGTGGAGCGGAGGAGGGAAGAAAGGTGGAGTGGAAGGTGGAGGTGGTGTGCCCTGCTGCTACCGTACTATGGACTGACTGTACAGTACATGCTGCACTTTCCAATCTGCACAATCACTGCTCCTGACTGACTGGTTATTGACTATTGATTACTGATTTATTACACCAGCCGAGGTGTCGAGCTTCACGGTACCGATTGGCCACGGTATTGGCTGGCCTTTCCTGGCAGGGTGCAACAGCAACGGCAGCCCGTGTCTCATGTGTCTCGTGAGTCCGCTGCCAGAAAACCACCGTCAGGAATGCCCGTTTCAAGAGGAGGATGGGCGACAGGGATGTCTGCCCGCCCCAGGGCTGGGTCGGCCAGGTCGGCCTGATGTTGCTGTTTGGGGGGGAGGGGTTGGCTGGCGCGGAGGGGCCGGTGCTGTCCAAGGATGGCAAACTCCAATCCGGTCCCAGACCCAGACCGGCAGCGGGTCCTCTCAGGGGCTTTGCGGTCACACGCCCCAGCGACCAGGGAGCACGGCGTAAAAATAAAATGAAGAAGAAAAAAAAAAAACACGGTAGTCAGTTCCCCCCTCTGCTGCTCGGGCTGGGGATGCTAACTTGACAATGCTGACTGACAGCGGTGCTGGTGTTGCTGTTGTTATCGTCCTGATATGGATGGATGCTGATGTTGAATGCCCATGCCCATGTCGTCGACATCGTCACTGCCCACGCGCTTGGCAGTGAGCTCCAGCACCCGACACCAACGGTGGGACATTGCCTCTCTGGCCCCTGTGTCCGCCTGCTGTGCTCGTGCTCGTGCTCAGGTTTGTGTTTGTGTTTGTGCTTGTACTTGTGTTTGTGTTTGCAAGGGACGCAGCCAACCGTGTCAGCTGTGCGAGTGCGACAAGGGCAGTGGAATACCAGCCTGCCAGCCGGCGTGCGGCATCGACGTCGGAAGGAGGGGGTGGGCAGACGGGGCAAAGCAGTCAGAAGGCCAAAACCTGCGACAGCCCAGCCCCAGCTCGTCGGGTTCGAGATGAGAAACAACGGGCCTGTTGTGACGACGTCGGCCGGGTTCACGAGCCTTGGGACCGGGGCAACAGTCAATGCGACTCGTCAGCTGGGGCGGAGCGGAGACGGCGACGGTGACGGCGAGCGGCGATGGCCAGGCAGGAGAAGGCCATCCGAGCAGGGAGGCGAGTAATAGCAGTTGCCAGCCAGACAGCTGGAAGCCAGGCAGAGGCGGTTGACCAGGTATTGACTGGTGCGCACTCCGGTCCGCAGTGGGGACGGGCGTTTGCAGTTGATGGGCGAGGCAGGGCTCAGGGTTTGCACCTGCCTGCGCGAGTGCTTGCGGTCTCAGCCTCGTGCTCGACTGTGAGACCACCCTACTATTTACCTCCCTTTTACCCAGGTGACGGTAGGTCGTGGATTAGGTAGTTCCGTCCATGTCTCAGACCACCACGGGAAGGACACTCTCTTCTCCCCCTTGTCCCTCGTCTGTCCTGCTAATCCAATCCTAACGGTAGGTAATATAAACATCGTAAGCAACCTTCCTTCTTTCGCTGGGCACTCGCTGGCACTGACTGGCAGCAGCAGCACACAGCAGCAGCAGCAGCAGCAGCCAAGCCGCCATGGCCGGTCGGCCAGGACCATGCCGGTTTCGAAGGTTCCAGCCAGCCTGCATGTCCATCTCCATCCCGATCCCGAGGCCCTGCCCTCGCTGCCGTCGTACTGTGTGCTGCCGTGCCATTCATCAGCATGGCCAGCATGGCTGGCTGCGTGGCCGTGATGGAGGGTGGCCGGGGCCATGGGAAGAGCACTAGAAGTTTTGTGGAAGGCCGCTAGAATTCTTCCATGCAGGCAGAGAGAAGGACAGGCAGGACGAGATGCGGGACACGCTGCCCGCATCTGCGCCCATCGGCCCATGGCTTTCCTCATCGGTTCCCCCATTTCGCCACCCGCCCGCCCTAACGACGGTGGTGGCATGCACCACAAAAGTCTGTTGACCGTCGCCGACCTTCGTCATCATGCCGATGCGGGTGGCCCTGGATGACGGCTATGACTGGATGACAGCACCATCAGACAGACTACTGTGCGCTGGTCTGATGCAGGCCGGTGTGGTGTCGTCGTCCATGGTTGCACCGCATTGTTAGTTATCAGTCTCCCTCGCTCGTCTGGACCTCCGCCGTGACGATCCCGCGCTCCCCCTCTCGTGTCCTTTGTCTGCTGTCTGCCAACTGACGCACTCGCGCGGTCATAATCGTCACATCCCCAACGGCACATCAGTCCATCAACATGCCCGGCTGATGGGCCGTCTCTTCAATTCATCTAGTTGATCTGTCAAGACGCCACGCCCGCACCCAGCCTGCCCCATCACACCATAGAACAAAGGTTCGGGCGCCGGTAGTGATGTTCGCAAAAGGCCAAGCGCACGTCGCAGATACCCATGCATCCAGCTGTCAAAGGATAGGGCTGCTGTCTGTCCCGTGGGCCCCGTGGAGCAAAACCCACCCAGAGGTTGGAGTTTCGTCATGATCCCCTTTGTCCCCCCGGCGTCACTCGGATCGTGTCTCAGTCTCGCGCTTCGATGCAACCGCTTCATCACTGTTGAGCCGTCATTTGCGTGCAACCTCGATGCCAGACAATCTGGCAGCATGCAGCGTGCGGTAGGCAGTAGGCAGTAGGCAGTAGGCAGTAGTCCACGTGTTGCACAGTACACTACGACACAGCAGCGATGGGCAGGGGCAGGGCCTCCGCGCACACCTCGGTGCTGCCAACGTCACCTCCGGTTTCGTCTGCCATCGTTGTCGTTGTCGTTGTCGGTGTCGGCGTCGGCGTCGGTATCAACCTCCATGTCTGTCCGTGGTCGACCCGACCGAGAGCACAGACTTCGGTCCCCTTCCCCATCCGTCCCACGCCGGTCGCGCGCATCGTCCCTGTACAACCCACTCCTACCCCAGCGTGCCTGTGGTGCCAACCCCAGTCCTCGTTTCAAGAGGGCACTGGAGCAGCGGGCAGCGGCAGCGGGCAGCGGCAGGGGCAGCGGCAGCGGCATCGAGCCCATGATCCCTGGCGCTCATGCATGCGCACAAGCTTTCCCGCCATACTTCCCATCTGCAGCCGGGTGCTGACAATTCCCTTCTGGATGGATATTCCCAGCTGTCGCGAGAGGGAGTGTGTGCGTGTTTGTATGAGTGCATGCGGCCAGTCAAGATCATGCCGGCCACTCGCTTCTATTTCCTGTCCTCCGAGCTCTCGTTCTGCTCGCCTGCGGGAATAAGCTCCCGTCGGGCTGCCCGGTCTTAACGCCCCGGAAGGACAAACCAAGAGATTCTCCATTCCTGCCGGCTCCCCAGACACATGGTCCTGCTGAGATACTGCCCTGATTCCCATGAGCTTTGAAGCTGTGGGCCGAGTGCGTTGCGACGACCCCCTCAGGAAGCGGCCCCAGGCAGACCCGCCGGCCTATGTATTGCAAGTGTCATACTGTAATTGATATATGTAGTCGCTGTTCCACCATTGCTAAATCTGTGCACGACAGGCTGGCCCTTGTCAGCCTCTTGCCCGGATCTTCATCGACGATCGGCAGGGGGGAGCCTGGGATGACGATCAGCTCACCTCTTCTTTTCATCCGTCCTCTCATGTGTCATGTACCGCCTGCTCCGCTCCCTGACAGCCTTCAGGGCCAGTACTCCCGGCGCCCGGCGGGCATGGGGATGGGGATGGGGATGGCGATGGCGATGGAAAGCCTAAACCACAGCACCGGGGCCGCACAAGGTGAGTTCCGGGTTCTGTTGATGTCTAGCACCTGTAGGCCAAAAGCATAACAGTCCCATTCTGTTGAGGACAAGGCTGAACTTGTCATGCCCGTCCTGGCCAACAGGATGTATGTAGCCGCGTCGCTGCTAAATGCATCCAGTCATTCCACCTCGGCCACCGACGCCGCGCCTTGGATGACTCGAGCTGCTGCAGCACGCCTGGGAACTCGGCCCTCAGCCGCATTTCTCGGCCTAATGGCTGTTTTTTCGGGCATCGCCCCCGCCGTACGATTATGCCGAGCGGATCCGAAATTTACGAGCAATTTTCCCCCGTTTTCTTTTTTCTTCCCGCCGTTCTGCCTTCTGCCGGCTCAAAAGTACCGATAGAACTTCTCTGTGCGCGTCGGACAGGCATGTGTGAGCCAGAAAAGAAGGATATACGCCAAGAGCCTATCTGGCGTTGAGGCACAAATTTGCCCGCGGCCTCGGTCAGAACCGGATACCTCCTACCGCTATGCTCGCCGAGATGCGCCGCCACATGGATCACTCTGGGGCTCTGCAAGCAGTCGGTCCAGCTCAGGCAGACAAGACGTCAGGGACTGGGATAGTGATGTTGCCGGAGGATTGCGCCCCTGGAGATGGTCGCTGAGAAAACATGGCTCTTGCCACCAGATTGCGCCGGCGCGTGACAGAGTTGGCGAGACTCAGCATCGTGATCAGGGCACAGGTCATCCGGCGCGCGTATACTAGAAGCTGGATAATGGATTACTGCCGAGCTCCGGGGGGGGGGGGGGGGCGGTGGGTCCCGTTGCCACAGCGGTAATATGGCCCTGCCTTCGTGGATCGTATGTCGACAATTCTATGGGCACCTCCGTCGTACCCAACCACTCCCTCCAATCTCTGCTCAGGGACCCTCGAATACCACCTTTGTGTTTGGTCCTTCACCCTTGGTATCCTCACCACCGCAAACCAGTGATCTTGTACGTTTTTACTTCGTGCGCAGATTTGTTTGGGGGAGGGGGGATGCTGAGGTGGGGCCATGTCTGGATCGCCTCATAGACGGTTCCGTGCCTGGGGCATTGGGCAACGATCGGGAGTCTGACTCGCCAGAGAGACGCCAGAGAGACGCCAGAGAGACGCCAGAGAGACGCCAGAGAGACGCCAGAGAGACGCCAGAGAGACGCCAGAGAGACGCCAGAGAGACGCCAGAGAGACGCCAGAGAGACGCCAGATCGCTTGCCGAACGGCGCTGCAGCTCCCCGGGGGGAGAAGGCTACACGAGTGACGGCAAAGGAAATGCCTTCGAGCTGTCGATCGCCATTAGCTGCACAGGCCGTACAAATGGGGGTAGGGACCCGAAATAACGAAACCGACCTTGAAATTGTTCCAGTCAATCTTCAAAAGACACTGCAGACGACAGGGACCTGTATGCCAAGGTGTGGATAGGTATAGGGAGTGAGAAACAGATACAGCACAGACGCTTTGGAGCGGTCGAAACCTAGCGCGCTGTATTTATTTGGCTTGACGACTTCCTTCTCTCATGTCTCGTCCTAAGAAAGTCGGAAGGCCTCTTCTTTTGTTGGGTTTTTGGTTGGGGCGGAGGGGGGGGCCTCCGACTCTCCATACGCATGATACCTTGATACCTCCGTGCTCGGGCATGTGCGGTTCCGCTCCGCCGCGAGGGCGAATGATATGAATGTCTAGTCGTCGTCAGGGTCTGAGTGCTTAGGTACTCATGTAGTGTTTGCGACAATGTGCGACAATGAAATAGATTGAGCCAGAACAGCGATGGGCAATCCACGAGTGTCTCGTTCTCAGCGGCCGTTGGGCAAGCCACTGCTGTATGGCCATGATGTTGGTGGAAGTTATCGCCCCAGCTGACGCGGGACAGATGTATTCTAAATATGCATACAGATTTCGGGGACCACGCATTGTGGTTGTGTCCACGTCCCTTAGAAATGATGGCATATCTGTTAAAGCTCTTGACGTAGAAGATTTGGGATGGTGGAAATATAAGCATTTGCGCAGTTGATGGCCTGCCTAGGAGATCAGTGCTGCGACTAGGGGCGAGCACTCATCTCGCAGGTGAGAGGCCCTGTAGTACAAGAGGGCGGATCGGAACACCCTACGGAACCCGGGGGAAAGAACGGCAGGCCCTTCTGCGCCCTGCCTGCATGCCCAAGCATTGATCGACCCGAAGGTGTCGCTGTGCGACATACGGCGTAGTAAATGTGGTAAGCCTCAACATAGGTCTGGATGGGAACACCTGGATGTCAGAGGTGTGAAGGACGGTTTAAATTGACCCCCTTTCGATTGCCTACTTGAAAGAGCGTCAAAGTGTGCTCTCTAATCAAATACACAGTTGCTTTGTCCAACACATCCTTTCCTTTTCCACTTTGAAAACAGCCAACTCCAGACTCCAAATCCTCATCCCTTGCATCGTCGTAACGATGCTGGGAATATGCAAATGTGCAAACCGTTCTTGAAACCTCGGTAAAAACACTGGTGCCTGCTCTGTCCAGGATGCAGAAAGTAATCTCCCGCCATACTCGAAACATGTTAAAAACAACCAGGCAAACAAACACCCATGATTACTCTGCGCAAGGACGCAAAACCTTGACACCCACCCATCCTCGAAACACGTAGAAACAATGCAGCCTTTCCTGCTTCCTTGTGGTGCGGAACACTGATCTGCGCCCATGCCATGAACATGCAGAACGCTGGAAGTCATTCTGCTTTGAAATGTGGGATGCTGACCACCGCACTCGATCAAACTTCGAAACACTGCAAAACATACTCTGAAAATGTAGACCACTGACCACTGCCCTTTATCGGAATATGTAAAAGGGAAAGCAGATGCTACCCTGTTCAAAAGTGCGGAACACTAAAAGCCGTCCAGGCTCAAGTCTCCCTTGAAGCCATCATTCAGCAGAACTGCAGCGATGTGAAGTCGCTGCAGGTTCATGTCGTCAGCTGAGTAGGACATAGGGTCGACGTGCATGGCAACACATATGCCGTTCGTGATGGTGTGTACGCCGCAGTCGTCAAAGTTGCGTTGACGGGGCGACGGGATGGTTGTGGTGGTCCATTCGGATGGGACAAATCGGTCCTCGAGGACCATTTTGACCCACTTCATCGCATTTGTTATCAAGGCTGGGTTGCCAGCTCCGTTCAGGGAATCGAAGTGGTGTGCCTGTCGGTACTTCGGACGGACTACGACGAGGGTCCAGTGAGCACCGCGGCAGATGGGTATGAGGACCGCCTCGATGTCCAGGAAGGTATCCTTTCGGATACCGGTGCGCCGCATCTGGCGCTCAGTGCCCTCACCTCCATTCTCGTAGATCTTCTTGCCGAAAAAGGAGTTGAACACCTGGACCTTTGGGGTTTGAGCACGGGTATTCTTAATACCAGCCTTCTGGTTGATGTAATTGGCCAAGTGAAGAAGTGTACCATTAATGATTTCATCGTTGAGCCACTGATTCGGGGTGACCACGGTTTCAAAGTCCTTGCGGGTAAGTGGAGTACCCTCAGGGGTTCTAGCCAGCTCTGCATTGAGGCGAGCATCCAGTGTGCTCTGGGCCCTTGACGTCCACTCGTCGCTGAGTGGGGGCACCACTGGGTTGCGTGGCTGGCGTAGCCCACCGACCTCTTCAACACGCCTCAGCTCTTCCTCCTCGGCGCGACAACGCTCTTCCTCTGCTTTTCGGCGCGCTTCTTCAGCAGCAAGGCGCTCCTCCTCGGCCCTTTTCCTCTCCTCGGCCCTCGCCTCGGCCCGGGACTGGTGGGCAGCGTCGGCAATGAGCTGCTTGCGCGTGTCGAAGTCGTCACGTTTCTCACGGCTGAGCTCGAGCCGGTACTTGTCCTTGTTCAATTTCTCGAAGCCGAGGGGGTCATCGTCGAAGAACTCGGCCAGGGTCTTGGCTTGCTTGAAGAGCGGCTTTTCCGCCTTGCGGGAGTCCACGATGCTGAACACGGAGTCATCTTTCTCTCTGACGCGTCGTGTGGTGTCATCGACAGATTCTTTCTCCGGTTCAAAGGGCACCTGCTTTTCCTCTGCGCGGGGCTGACTATCTTGGGGATACACGCGCTTCACCGGCTCGTTGTCCGATGGCATGTACCAGTGTGGTGGCGATTGCTTGAACCGAGCTGTCTTCTTGGGCCGAGCCAAGAGAAAGCGGTTCCTGAGAGCGCCCTTTCGCGGCTTTGGGGATCCCCTTTGATCAAAGTAGATGGGATTCTTTTGAATTAAGTTGCGCGGAGGGGTGTTGTAGGTCTCGAACTTGCGAGGGCTTGGATATTGGTGTTCGTAAAGTCGGGTTGCTTCGAATTTGTCCGCGGCGATGCTCTCAAAGAGGAGAGATTCCATCTCGGCATCAGGGAAGGCACCAGGCACGCGCTCGTATTTACCTGGCCAATCCACATAGCTGGGAGGGGCCTCGTCCTTGTGGAGGGCGTCAAAGTCGACGATAATACCAGCAATGGTCTGGACTGGACACATCTGGTTGAACGCGGCACGTTGAGTGAGGATGTACTGTAAGAAGACGACACATTCGTAGTAGACCAGTCTCTCTTGGTGGGAGAGCAGGCCGTTTTTGCCCTCAGACTCGAGGTGGTCGTATGGCTTGAAGCCCAGTTCCTTGAGGAAGGGAACGCGGCCCTGCCCGTTATAGACGAGTCGGTAGATCTTGGCAAGCTTGTTAAGCTTGTCGAAGAAGGTCTTGCCGGCTTGAACAAAATCTTTCGGGCCACGCTCTTGGGTGGTGTCGATGTAGTAGTTGTGTACCAAGATGGAAAGGGTTGGATCGTTACCGCTTGCCTGGAGCCTGTCGAGGACGAAGGCGGGGACATTGAGCGGGTCGATGGCGTAGTCGATGCCCAGGTAGTCTTCGACTCTCTCCGAGCGGACTATGAACATGAGGTTGGAGAAGAAGGCGTCGACGAGGAGGTGGTTCTGGACGCCGAGGTACTCCCTGACCCTATTCGTCCAACAGTACTGGCCGTCTGGGAGAGCTTTCAGGTAGGTGACGGGGAGCGTATTTTGGAGGATGGCCGTGGTGAAGGCCTTCTTGGGGTCGAGGGGCAGGCGCTTGAAGCGCTTTATAGAGAGGCCATCTGCAGTTGTATGGCGCATCTCGACCATGCTGTGCATGAATCGGTCGCGACGGGCGAAAAGGGAGCCGGCCGCACGCGTGCAGGCGCCCTTGACGGCCTCGACGACGCCATTTCGAATGTTGGCGCCAAAGCTGACGAGTCGCGAGTAGCATGTCTTTTGCTCAACGGCGTCGTCGTCGGCCACGTCGCGCATGACGACGTCCTCGATCTCCGGCTCAGCCTCAGCCTTGCGCTTCTGTGGGAACGACATAATGTGAGTTATGGCAGGTGCAAGTGGCAAGGTGGGACTGAATGAGGCAGGCGCGACTGTGGCGACTGCGAGATTGCAGGTCTTGTAGATGACGCGGCAATGCGATTGCTATGAGTGAGTCTTGGTTGATGAATTGATGAATTGATGGGGGAATGGACGGATGGATGGATGACGGTGCGGATGGGAAGTCTCGACTGCTCGCGATGCGATGCTGCGATAAAAGATGACGCCGCGATTGCGCGGTTGCGGGACGGTGTGAATTCGTTGTTTTGATTGACGGTGACGAGAAGACTCGACTTTCCGCGATGCGATGCGATGCGATGCAGAGCAGAGCAGAGCAGTGCTACGGTGTGATGCGATGCGACGCGATGCAAGCGTTGTGGAGGAGGAGGAGAGGGCGAGGGAGACAGATGCGTGTTGACGGGTGCTGATTAAAACAAGGTGGTGCGCATGGGGACGCGTGCACAGTGCCCAGGTACAAATCGACCTGCGCCAGTCTACGGTTGATCCGACAACGTTGACCTAAAAGTGTTTCGCGCCTCCAGAAAGACAGACCGATTGATGGCCCTGAAAGCAGGGCACATGTACGTACCGTAGGTCGAGCAAGCTCCTGGGCCTCGACACCGCGTGGGTTCCCTTTTGGCCCTTCCAGTTCACGTCCGCCTCGGCTTGCACTCGCACTTGCGCTTCTATATGCACTTCCACTTCCACTGGCGCTCCCACTGGCACTTGTGGCGAGATCCTTGCTGACAGTCAGTACCAGGTAGAAGGCCAGGCACTTGCGATGCGATATCGTCCACGGCCTGGACTGGGAATGGGTCTCTTCTCTTCTTGAAGAATTTACATACCGGGGCACTCACTTCCATCGCCAGCCAGCAGACTTTCACTCGTCAAGGACGAGCCTCAGGGTCGGCTGCAGACACTCGCTCGTCACATGCGCGGGAGAGCCGCTATGCTCTTCAAAGGCACAAAAGTATCTAGCGATGAGGAGATGGATGCCTCATATTTGGGCTCTGAGCTGATTACTTCCGGCGGGAGCGAGGTAGCAGGGGTGCTTGTGCTGTGAAGAAGGCAGGTGCAGGCCCCTGCAGCAAGGCATGAAGTTGTTCTCAAGGGATTCCACCGACGGGTTTTTAGCCGCCCAGACGCCAGAGCCGCCAGAGCCGCCGCAGACGCCATGCCAAGCCCTGAGCTGCAGGGACAAGGACAATCTCAGTTGGCCGTGTTAGCTCCGGTCACACAATCAGCCATGCGCATTGTTCAGGTACAAAAGACTGTGCATCATCATGGGCTAAGGCGTTGAAATTGGAGAACAAGTGCCAGAAGGGGAGATACGCAGAACTGAGTAGATGCATACGGCTACAGGGTGGATGGCGGTCTGCAACTTTGCCATTTTGGCACGCTGTGCTGCTTATATAAGCGCAGACACACGCTGGCACACCAGCAACATGGGAACTCTGGCGCAGGTAAGTGGGATTTCTGCAGCTATCAGAAGTATTGCAGGCGTCTATGTTGACGATCTCGATGGCTGGTGACTGATAAAATCGTACGGGTTGTAACCACCTGGCATTCGGATGCAGACCAAAAGGTCTTCAGACAAGCGTGGTAAGTGCAGAGTCGTGGCAGATGGAAAGCGCTCGGCACGAAAGCCGTTGAGATGTTGGCTCTTTAGGCTGCGCAGGTAGTCATTCAATTGAGATGCGTTGCTATGAGGTAGAGATGAGATGCACATGTAGGCTTGGCTTCAAATCTTGACCTCAAATCCTGACCTCGGAAGTGGGCGCCGCGCTCATACGTCGAAACCATCGGCCTGTGTGTGAGACCAAGTAGCACAGCTCGGTCGGGAGACAAGTTTTCCGGAGTCGGAGACATGATCGGGGCACCAGCAGACCCATTGGGTTGAGTATTATCTGGGCAGTCACGACTGTGCCTCGTGGCTTCATCCATCACAATGCAGCGTAGAGACTGGGCAAGACTTCTCGCCTCACACAGACGTGAGAGATCCTGTCAGTTGAGCAAGGAAGCTGGCTTCGAGTATCTATAATATGCACAACGGCTCTGGCAATGGTCTTTCAAAAAGAAAAAGAAGAAGCAACGGCTCTTACAGCTGAGACACCGCAGCCCCCAGCGGTCTCGTGCAGAAAGTTCCAAAATAGTGGTTCAGGGCATCCACGGTCCCACTGCCCTCCACGAGCGACACCACGATGCCAACGTATCCGTCAGGCCGGACCACCACGACGCCGCCCCTTTCCTCGTCCAGCCCCATCTTGGCATGCGCAGCCGCCTTCGCCTCCGGCACGCGTCGGTCCCACCGGTCATCCGCGTACACATGGTCCCGATAGCGTCCCAACAGCTCGGGGGTGTCGCGACTGATCTCGATGCTGCTGCGAGCGCCGGCAAACACGGTACAGATGGTGAAGAACAAGCTGTGGGGGTTGTCTTGCTCGTGATGCGACACGCTCTGCATGTCGGGTCGCTGGTACGCCGTGTAGAAAGAGCCCCGGCGGCTGAGATTGCTTGCAAAATCCTCCAGAGCCCTAGTCGTGACAGAGGGCTTACCGGCAAAGACAAAAAGTCGGAAGGAGCCGTTCAGCGGGATCTCTTGTTCGAGGTGCACCACATTGGCATCGACGACACGGGTCACATCGGCGTTGATCAGAAGCCGCCCTGTCCTCAGCTTGGTGCCCCTGGGGTGGACCAACGGCGACTGCACTGGGTGCTCGGATGACCAGTTGAGCGCGTTGGGCCCGTACGCAACTCCGTACCCACTGGTGAACTCGCAGGACTCCTTGAACGTCTTCACAAACTCGCTCTCCTCAAAAGAATTGCTGCTGCCCGTCCCGGAGGCGGCCTCCACCGTGCTTGCGGGCGGCGGCCGCGCCGAGAACAGCTTTGCGTACCGGTTGTCAAATGACAGCAGTGTCTCTGCAACCTCCTTGCGCTCTGGCTCGTACGTCTTGAGAATACCCCGGTCCGCGAACCCACCCTCGACCGCGTGGATCTTCCAGGCGAGGTTCTGGGCGTCGAGGAAGGCCGTGTTCATCCCCTGGCCTGCTTTGGGCTGCGGAGCGGTCTGTCAGTCACAGTTGCAAGGATCCGGGGGCATGGTGGGATCAACTCACGCTGTGCGTGTGGCAGGCGTCTCCGCCGAGGAAGACGCGGTGGTCCAGGGTGTACCGATCAGAAATACCCTGACCGATAGGATATACCGAGTACCACTCAACAGTCTCCCATTCTATTGAGTACGGTTGCAAGATCTTCTTGGCTGATTCCTGGACCTCTGCAGCAGTCGCCGTCTTGCGCGGGTTCCAATCTGGATCCGTCGAGGACGCAATTTGGATGTACAGTCGCACCATGTTGGCCTCGCGTGGGATGACCATAATTGAACCGTGCTCGGAGTGTATTGTGCATTTCATCTTGGGGCGGATCAGTCATCTCAACAAGACACAAGCTGCACGGGGATCACTATCTTACCTTGATGTCAGGGAAATCGGTCTTCACAACGCCATCCATGACACCCCATACGTGGGCTATTGGATCCTTGTGTGTGATTCCTATCTTCAACTGATCCCGCACAAAGGACCTTGCACCTTCACCTCCAAACAAGTACTTGGCCCGCACACTCTCACGCATCGTACCGTCCACGTGCTCGAGCTCGACCTCCACAGGATACTCGGGGTTGGTCTTCTCGTCGACGCTGAACCCCTTGATCGTCCAGGGCCGCTGCACCTGCGAGTTGTTCTTCTCCAGGTCGGCGATGAAGACGCGCTCAATGAGGCCCTGGTGCAAAAGGGTGGTGAAGGGGTATCTCGCATCGATGAAGCTGGGGCAGCTCGCCCAAGTCCCTGTCCGAGCGATGCCCTTTCCATTCCGGGGAGGATCCCAGAACGCCACTTCGTAGACCCTTGCTGGCTTGTGCGCCATGATGGCGGACTTGAGGCCCATGTTTCGGAGCAGGTCCAGAGAGCGAGTTGTATACCATCGGCACGGCCTGTTGGTGTTGGTTCTGCTCGATTGTCGATGTGCTTGATCTTATAGCCCCACCTTGCCAGGCATGTCGAGAGCATGAGCCCTACAGGGCCGGCCCCGACGATGACTGCAATACACGAATAATCAGCAAGAGGCTCTCAAGACACTTAAAAATGCACTGTCGCCTCACCAATATCATAATATGGCTCAGACGCCTGTTTCGCTGGTTGAGTTTCCATGACTTCCCTCTCGACAGGAATAATGCTGAACTCAGGCCTAGGAAGCTGAACGAGTGGGGTTCGTGAGGTCTGGCGCGGGGGGGGGGGGCCGGTGGGTGGTGGCGGACTCTCGGTGATATCAGGTCAAGCTAGGGTTTCATAAACGGTGTATGCCAGACCAAAAGCCAAGGGCACAGATGAGCTTTTTAAGCTGAGGCGAAGCGGTATGGCGGATGAGATACCCAAGGTGCCGAAGAGTGAGCCGTCCTCAGCTGTGGAAATAACTAGGTTTATGATGTGGTAGATATAGGGAGTCACTAAGGAGGCGGAAGGAATGGTTGCAGTGGACATTTGGCAGACTTTATTGCGCAGCGGCAAGATAGTTCGGCAAGACGACCCGCGTCATAGCCCTTCCAAGAAAGGAGGCGAGCTAGCTGTATCCCCGACGCCCACGGGCGCGGCTGTCACGAACGGCATCGTGCGAAACCCGCCTCCACTAGACGCCAAAGACGCCGAGGCGGATGGGCCAGTTGGGCCCGTTGTGAGATGAAGACTGGAGGCATGGTGGTCGGCGACGGCCAATCGGATCCTGCGGGGGTCGAGCGATGGCACGTTTCTTGCCAGGCCCAGAAGACTAAGACCCCGAGGCTTCCCAACCGGTTGGCAGCGGTTCCCAGGCCGGGCTGCGCGACAGCAGGAGTCGATTGCGAGGAGGGCATGACTCCCAATCCAGGCCTCGGAAAGGCAAATCGGTAATTGGAACAGCGGGGAACCCACAGCGCGGCTGAAGAGCACGGGAAGGGATGAGTGGGACCCTCCAGGGTCTGCCCACGGCCGCCAAGAGTTGCGGAGAAATGACAGTACACTATCTCGGCCTCAGTCGCCGTCTCGCCCGCATTGGCCGGCCGGCCGGCTGCCCAGGCACGATGGCTCCACCACCAAGACAGCAGCACACTGAGCCCCCAGAGACTTGACTTTTTCGGGCCAAGCCGTTCGCGACTTCGCTCCATCATCGTTGTCCGAAGTGGAACCGAGCCTCGAGCCCGACCCGGGCTGCTGGAGCTGGCGAGGATGTGTCTGTTGAGCCGCAGCCGGTTGAGGGCCTGCACAAGTTGAGCGCGGCTGGATCGTCTCTTCTCCCGGCCTCTCGAGCGCATCTAGGCAGGGATGTGACATTGGTCACCAAGACATGATGGGACGGGGCGGGCGACCCTGCAAGGCGTCGATGTGCTGTCAAACAGGGTGAGCCTCCTGTGGTATAAGCTGTCACCTCGTCGCGGGCTCTCGTGGAGCCTCTGTTCAGGTCACACCCTCGTGATTTCTGGAGAACCCAACCAGGGCATCTTCACTCAACCACCTGGTGTGTCCACAATCCACACACGAGGCTGGAAGCGTCTGTCCGCGGCGAGATGACGGCAGGTGTTGCAGGTGGGGCCAGGCTGTTGGCACCGGTTGTTGTCCATGCCATACTCTGGGATCAGACATGTCGGCGACGGCAAGGCGTCCACTCGGTGGCTTGGTCGCAGAGTCAAGCCCAGAAGACCGGGTAACTTCTTGGATCGTGACCCAGGGATCTCGAGCAGGGACGGGTCATGAGCCAATAATCAGGGCGGTGTTCCATAAGAAGGTAAAGGGGGATTGGAAGGGGGTTGGCCGAGTGGAGGAGAAGGAGGAGAAGGAGAGGGGGGGGGGGCTTCGGTTCGTGCAGCGGCTATGAGGTGAGCAGCTTGGTCGTGTGAGGTTCCCTACCGGCGAGGTGCAAGAATATTCAAGTATCGCGGTTCGGGTGACTGGGAGCTGGGGGAGCTGGTTGTCTGTAAACACTGGTTGGTGCCTTGACGGCAACCAGCGTGCAGCCCTGGGATGTTTACTTCTGCACCAACGACAACCCACTGCTGCTACCGCAGCGCTCCTCGACTCGATCGCATCGCGCTCCATCTCCATCTGGCCTGCCGCACCAGCTTCCATCACCACATGGATCCGTCCGAGCAAGCACCCACCGCGATCAGGGGAAACTTTATCTCTGTCTCTGGTTCACCTAGTCGCCAACACGCTGCTTCATCACCTAGTTGCCGACGCGCTGACGTCGGCGTCCACATCCACCTGAACCTCACCGATTCGCAGATGGATCGGCTTGCTTCCTCGTATGTCACTTGCCCACCGGCTCCTGGCTCCATTCGTCGACATGCCATGACAAACTGACAGCATGCTTGCAGTCTTCCCGGCCATGAGTCGCCTGGGAAGAGACCTCGAGACGCGTCCGAGATGATCCAGATTGGCATATCGCCCCGCCGCAACAACACGGGAGGGTCCCGTGACAGAGACAGAGATAGAGACACTTCGCCCACGCGGGCCCGCACATCTGGCAGCGATAGTCACCGCAGTCGTCACGCTGCGCGCCAGGATGACGTCGCCAACGAGTCCTTCTCGTCCAGAAGCCGCCCTTCTCTCTCGCTCCCCAGGCAAGCGGTCTGAATCCCCGGTCAAAGCCTCGACAATGACACGCGCCATGGTCGACGACGACCGCAACCTGCCCGATCGCAGGCAAAAGTTCCGTCCGCCCCCAATCGATGTTGAGTCAGCCCGCCAGTATGGCTTCGTGTCCAAGAAGGCTGTTGTCGTCCAAGGACACCCCCACACCCAGTCTCTGCATGCCGTTGTCAACCCGCCTGTCACTCCCCCTCTCCGGCGCATGCCCAAGTTGACGAGTCCTCGCCGCGAAGCCGACAGCATCTCCCCGGCCTCGTCATACTACTCCGAAGACGAGGTGGGACAGGCCCGCCCCTCCTACATCAGCCCTCTTCGGGTTCGCAAGGACCTTGAGAGCGACCGCAGTGTTCTACGACGCCACGACCCCCAGAACCGGTCTCCTTGTCCCGACCGTACCAAGTACGATCTCTCTCCGGTCCGCCGCTCATCTCTCCGCCGCGGCTTGCAAAAGACCGCCACCACGGGCGACCTGCGCGAGCTTCAATCAGACGAGACTTGTCCCCAGCGCACCTACTCTCCTCTGTCTGACTACCTTTCAGCCCAGGCCAAGCCCATCCGGAAGCAGCTTGTCGGAGCCCATGGCTGGCTGGAGCGTACCACTGGCGCCTCTGACAAGCAGCACATTTCCGACCAAAAGCCCATTCCCAAAACAACTCCTCAGAAAAAGGTCGGGTTTCTTGACAGCCTCAGAAAGATGGCCAAGGAAATGACTACCTCCGCCAAGGATATCACGTCTTCGGCTTCTCGAAAGTCACGCGACAATGAAAAGCGCCGATCCCGACTCACGGTCTCTCTAGACCCACGAGAGCAGAGTCTGCTCTACTGCGAGCTCGAGTTCCTGCTGACTACTGCTCTTGACGGCTATATCAGCAGCCAGTTCAACGCGGGTCGCCTCGAGGCCGACAAGTACAAGAAGATCGTGGACGGCTGGCAGCAGCGTGGACGCCCCAAGGTCATCGGCTTCCGCTACGACCTCGAGACCCAGTTGGACCTGATCCTCCTTCACAGCGAGGACTTCCGATTCTACGGCAAGCGCGCTGGCCTCATCGCGGCTGTCAACGGGGTGCTTGACATGATGCGTGTTGACGCTCGCGCCATGCGCATCCGCACATTCTGCCAACCCGACACCGTAATTGCTAAGCAACTCCTGGATTCTCAGTCTCTGTTCAACCTCGTGGGCTGCTGTGAGCAGCAGCAGATCCAACTGGCCGAGGTCATCCAGTTCTTCAAAGTCATCTTGGAGCGGGAGCAGAACTTTCGACAGCACCAGAACGAGGGCGGCACGGGGCAAGCAGACCCAGGCGAGGCCCGCGGGAGTGTCGGATCCGGCACTGGTTCTCAGTCCAGACAGAAGCAATTTCTTGATTAAGAAGTATGCTGAACTGCGTCATTGGTTCATCTGGTGGGCCTTGTCTTCGCTCCGAGCTCTTACCAGTCGACCGAGTAGGTTCGGAAGAAGGTTGGGCGGAGGGGGTTCATGGACAAAATTCCCGCCGAGGTCAGCTGCCGGAGCTGTTGGGTCCTGACCACATATTTGAGTGCTCTTGGGGACCATCCCTCGAGGGCCATCACTGAATCTCTGCGCACAAGCTACCGGCCATAATCGCTGGTTCAAATCGAGGCTTCTGCTGCCCTGCCTCATTGTTTCTTGGTTGTACTCGGCTGCGAGCACAGATGCTGTTGCACTAGAAGACTCCGTCACAGTCTTCGCTGTACGTTAATCAGCATGGGAAACCGTAATCACGACACTACTTTGTAAAATGGTTTGATTGGAACTTAATTCAGCCAGGACAGGCACATCTCTCTCGGACTTGTGATCGAGCAGCCGGCCTCTCCAGCCTCGAGTACGATGAGGGCTCGCTGGAGCAAGCCACTCAGTCTAGCTGCTCAATTAATGCTCTTGTATCAATGTCTCGGATCTCCTCGTATGCAAACAAATGAGACACTGAATGTGTAGACTGGATGTGACATGACAAAACCGTGGCTCATTAAAACACCCCGTTTGCTCAAGCGTAGCCCCCACAAGTAGGGCGGAGTGAGAGCCAGTGCAGTCTCGAGGTAGATGAGGGCCCTCACGTGTACAGATTTCGAATGCTTCGAACTCGGCCTTGAAGCTTTTACAGACGATTGACGAGACCAGTCAGTGCCCATGTGGACCCAGAGTTGGGCTGCCATCTGGTGGTTGGCTTCATCGTGCGGATCTGCCGTAGAAGTCGCCACCATCGGGCCCGTGGTCATCATAGTATATCCCGCTGGACCTCCGGCGGCCCCTCCGGCGGCCCCTGTCTTCTTCGGGGCCGTCGCGAACGTCTGCCCTGGAACACGGCCCCCATTTCCTTTCCCATGCCTCCTGCTTCTCCGCGTTTCTGACCTTGGCGACCTCCATCCTCTTCTCGAAGGCGTTCGCGGCCAGCCCGGCCACGGCCGCGCCAACAAGGGTGGGGAGCAGCGGCGACCTGTGGTCGGCGCCGCGACGGCCGTGGCTCCGCGCCCTGGACTTTGTGCCGCTGGCGCCAGTTGCCTCGTGGGCAATGAGGCCGCCGGCGAGAGCGCCGAGCACGCCGATGCCCAGGCCCGAGTTTGAGTTGGAGAATGTGTTGTTGATCAGGTGGCGGGCGTCTTGGATGGGGCTGCGTGGGCCGTCGTCGGGTCCGGCGGGCGAGTGGTCCTCGGCACTGCGGCGGCTCTTGCGTCGCGCTGGAGGCGGGAGCGATCGAGGACGGCGACGGCGGGGCGAGGCTTGGCGGGCGTCAGGGTGGAGGCTCGGGACGGAAGCATTAGGGGTTGCGTATGGATAGAGAGGCGACGAGTGCGGCTGGTACGGCAGCCGGGCGTTGGGCGGCACGGGAATGGCGCCAGAAGCGTAGGGCCCCGGGGCCCCGCCTGAGTAGTAGTAGTCTGGGGAAGGGGCCGCAGTGGCGCGCGGCCGGGGGTCATGATCATCACCGTAATACGCGGGCATAATGGCAAGCCAGGCAACGCCAGACAAAGGGCGGAGCGGACGGTCACGGCGAGATAAGAGGGGTATGTGGTGGGTGACGTAGTGCTTGGGTTGGCAGCGGCCGGGTCAGGTCAGCAACGGGAGGTGTGAGATGGGAGATGGAAAGTGGGAATGTGGGAATGTTGGAAACGGGAAAGCGACAAAAGAGGGACACCAGTCTCTCTCTCTCACTCTCACATATCCTCCACATGGACTGGACCGAGGCGGTCACTTGAGTGACAGGACCAGCAGGCTGTGAGGCTGTCAGCTGCATGCTTAATGCTTGCCGGCACACCTGGGAGACTGGAAGAGCGCGAGCGTGAGCGTGAGCGGCAGCGTGAGCTTGAGTGGTGGGTGCTGAGCGTGAGTGTGAGTGTGAGTGTGCGCACATATTACCCAGGTAGACTAGTGTGTGTGTGTATATGCGGGTGTTATGTGAGTGGTCAAGGGGCCCCCGTCCTGCACCAATCAATGCTGTACTGTACCCTGCCACAAACACGCACCTGTCAGCCCGTCTGTCTGTATGTATGTACGCTGCAAGCGGCTGAGGTTGCATCGCAGCAGGCCTATTTCATGCGAACCACAACATTCTAGCCAACTGCCAGAGCTGCCTGACGCCGCCTCGTCTGCGAAGCATATCTCGTGCGAAACCATAATCTCCTCCTGCGAAGCTCTGCTGCTTCAGCTGCTTCAGCGATGGCCAATTAAGCCCCCCAGCCAGCTTTGTCCTACCAGTTCCAGGCTATGGTCGTCACCATTGCCGGTTGCCTTCTTCGGAACCGCCTGTCAGATCTACTGCACAGTGCCTGGTTGGCTGCTGGGCCGGTCGGACAGCGATCGCCCGACACACACTCTCTCATGTGGTCGTGCTGTATGAGTTCGTGCCCCAGCCTGGTGGGTCCAGCTGTCGTCATGGCACAATCCCATAAGATCTATCTGACCCCCCCCCGTCTGCAGCCTGTACAACATTTAGCCCATGTCCGGCATTGGCTCCAGTAGACACGGCCGGATTGCCGATTCTGGCGAGGCAAGGCGAGGTCTCACGGGACACATGATACCGCCAAGGCTAAACTCCAGCTAACTTTCCAGCGCCGTGACGGCCCGGTCCCTATTGATCAGCTCGAGCAGCCTCGGCGAGCTCCCCGGCGAGCCTGAGCATGTAGAACTGCCTGGCCTCCACGGGAGCCCCATCGAATGCCTTCGAGATGCGAGCAATCTCCTGCCGGCCCTTCTCGTAAGCCGCAAGGTCCCTGTTCCCGTACACGTCGCGTCCGGCAGAATAGCCAGACTCCAGGTTGCGGAAGAAGACGTTGACCGCAACACTGGCGTTGCTAGTGGGCGTGGCCGTGTGCAACCAGAGAGGCGGCAAGAACAGCACATCGCCTGCGTTCAGGTTTGCCTCCCACGGATGAGTGCCGCCAAGAGCCAGGGAGCCAAGACAGCTGAACACATCGGTGCTCGAGCTTGAGGATCCCGGCGCAAAGGACATTTTGACCACGTCTGCAGGCGGGAAGAGAATCATCCTCTTCGACCCGCTGACCTGGCAGTAGACGTTTGCCTGGACATCATAATGCAGCCACATATCCACCTGTTGTCCAGTATGCCAAGTCAGCAATCGAATCCCGCCTGTGGGGACCATGTGAGAGATGGTGGCCCCCCCAAATGACGGTTGCGGACGGCGTGGTCGCAACAGAGAAAAGGAGAGCCCAGGCAGAGCGCGACAAGGCTGACACGTGTATCAACGTCGTGTGGAAATGTGGGGATGGTGCTGGGAGGCTCACCTGGCCAGAAACTCGAAGTACGGAGCTGTGCATGTTCTCCAAGCACATATTCAGCGCCTCGGGAAGCCTGAAGTCAGCAGCCAGCGAAGGAAAGTCGTGGGCCAGATTTGCGGGTTGGTTGGCGGGAGCATCAGCAGATAAAGCTCTCAGATAGACACGTGCGCCGTTGCGAACCTCTCTGGCGAAGTCACCAAATGCCATCGAGGTGTACCGGAAGTTTTTTGCGCTGAAATCCATATTTCGAACGTTGCAATCATGCACAACAACCTGGACGTGCGAGATATCAGCGTTGATAGTAATAAATTGCCGCTGGTTTTGCACCCCCAACGTACCTGGCGTTCTCCCACCTGTTCCGCGAGATAGTCCAGTGTCCACTTGCTGCGGCAAACGCCAATGTCCAACCCCTCCATCAAGACGGGTGATCCTTGCTGGACAATGTGCTCAAACGACTCCTTCGACGAAACATTGACACGGGGGATTGGCCTGACTTCAGCCGGTTGGCTGTCCAAGCCCCGGTCTGGGGCGATCGAGGGCCGCGGGTCTATCTCACCAATGCCCGAAAACTCCCAACCTGTTCGGCGTGGCAAAGGGCGAGGCGACATGCCACGGCTTAAGCTCTTAACAGATAGGGTGTACGAGCCCCTGGTCCCTTTGGAGAGAACAATCAAGTTAGTCTCTGTCAACAAGGCCAGTAACGGTAGTAGAACTGATCAACTCTGCCGGAACGCCGTCCTCTGGGTCACTCCGGCGTGCCGGGGTGAGAACGGTCCCTGCACTCTGCACTTGATGTGACAAAAGAAACCATGACACGGGCTCACATACAGAATGATCCCATAGAGAAACACGTCGCACCACCGCCAAGGATGACGATTTGCCCATTCTGCGGGGACACAACGGATGATCCCACGATCAGTGGTCTGGGGATCTCCTGGCCCTCCCCGGCATCCGAGAGAGGAATGCACCCTGTGACCTGTATTTTGGAGCCAAACATAGAGCACAGCAGTACTTCCTGTGTCTGTGGAATTACTCCATCCTGGCCGACGCCGCCCAGGACAACCAAGCAGTCTTCTTGTTGGACGCATGTGGCACCGAAGCGAGGCAGGAGTGTGGAAGAGGCCTCATCTGTCTCGACCGGCTTGAAAGTAATTGAAGGGGCCTATCCGCGTCAGAGATGTCGCGATACTCCTGTGGCATCTTCCACCTACCTCGTGATCACTCAGGACAAGATCCCAGGCCAATATCTGGCTCTGTATAACACCATCCGACACACCCCCGATGAGGAAACCATGGAAAGTGGGTATGCCCTCTTGCTCACGCCCAGAGCACGTGAGCATGGCGCCAAAGACCGGCCGTGGTGCAGGTGAGCCGTTGACTGCACACGTCACCCAGCCCTTGTCTGGGTCGAACACCATGACCGCGCTGGAGATAGTCGTCGCCCCTGACTTTCCTCCTATCAGGAGGGCAACGGCAGATCCCGGAAGTCTGCATACAGCATGACGATATAATGGAATTGGTAGGTCCCAAGTCCGCTCCCACTGGTGTGAATCCTTACTGAACAACCAGCAATCATTCTTGGCCCGAGAAGGGGAATTTCGCCCTCCCGCAAGGAGAGTACCGTGTGTGCCAAGATAAGTCATTGAGTGGCACATACGGCTCGAGGGCCCTGTAGGCTTCGCCCTGATGTCGACGCCGGAGCCGTAAAGCTTATAGATGTCGTACGACGGAAGACGAGTGGTGGGGCCAAGACCCATGCAGTTCAAGATGGACGTTCTGCCAAGGGTATCGCTCGCGATCAAGGCTGCGCCAAATCGACGAAGACCAAGATGGCCGGTGAGTGGCTTGTAAGTCGTAGTGGCCTCGATGCTCAGGGGCTCAGGAGAGCTGTCTGCTGAACACGGCCTCACGCGCTCCTTGCCATAGTTTGCGGCGTGCAGAATGAGATAGTGACTAGCGAAGAGACAGAACTCTTCCCACTCGTCAAACGGCTCGACTTCATCCAGCTTCCGCCGGTCATCTGCAGACAGGAAAAGATCATCATTCCAGGCCGACCATAAAGATTGAGCCTTGACGTCTGACCAACCCCTGCCCGCGAACCGCGCGCACTGGGTAGGCACATCCGGGTAGGTAGCCACTGACTTGATGGGCGTTGAGAGCTTATTGAAATCTAAACCATCAAATTAACCATTTTCATCCCCGAAGCTGAGGAGAAGGGCAAGGAAGCAACAATATAGAAGAAGAGAAGGGCGTTCTTGGCGAATACCGAGGACTAGGAGGTTTTCACTCAATGAAGAGCAGTGCTCCAGCGTGGCATGAGAGCCCATGAGACAGCATTACAAAGGGGAGGTGACGATTATGGGGCGAACTTACGATCCATCATAGTACGAGCAAAGGGATGGCCGGGTCCGTCGGGAAGTATCTGTTCGAGTAGACAGAATTCAGCTGGACGAAGATCAGCCGGACGACGGAAATACTTGTTGATCTGGTGGGTTTACCTTGGCCGAGGCTGCTCGCCCATTGTATCAAAGCGTCTGCCGAAATCTTCTCCATATACGTGATCGACACTTCCGCAATAAATAGGAAAATGCACTTTTTAGGGTCTAAAACCGAACTCAGCGCTTGCTGCAGCTCGGCGCTTCGCCGAAGATCGCAGCCCACGAGGTGATAGCACTTGCTCCGCAGCAACAAGTTTGGATAAAGCGTGTCTTCCCCGGCCTGAACTTCTGACAGCTGCGAGGCAAGCTCCGGCGTCTCAAGGATAACCTGACGCTTCCGCCGGGCCAGTTCGTTGAAGTCCACGTCGAAAAAGACGGCCTGGGATGAACTGCAATGCTCGGGGTAGCGAGTCCAGCACTGCCAGGGAACAACATCACTAAGTTTCCATTAGCTTTTCGGGAAGGGCAGAACACACGAAGGTCATGACCAGTATCCCACTTCACCCACTGTTTGCCCAGAAATGCCTCAGAGTCTGCGGCGTCTTTGCCCAGCAATGAATCAGAGATCCGGCAGGCAGTCGACAGCATGTGTTAGTGTGTGGTGACGACGGAGTCAGGGTTGGATCTCCGCAGCCGTAAGGTGACGGATCGTACCAGTATGTGTATGTAGGGATGTGCGTATGGGTGTGTGTGGGAGTGGGCGAGACAGACAGGAGGAAAGCCCTCACCTCCCGCAGCCTAGGTTCACGATGACCTTTCTCTTTTCCGAGGGCTGACGCAGAAAGTCACGCAAGGTCACGTCGATGACATGAAGCCTACCAAAAGTTGAAGTCCCGTTAGCGATGGCCAACAAAGCATATCCCGTGCTCGCAGGAAAGTTGGATGCCGTTGCATACGTCGGCAGCAGACCAAAGACGCCAAAGATGGCGAACTCCAACGCGAAGACATTAACGGTGACCAGCGTAAAAGTCTTGGACGCAAGGGCCATGAATTTCAGCGCGATCCTCCTCCACCGACGCTGGTCCGACGCACCTCAGATGGTAGCCTCTGTTGATGAGCGGGGCTCTACGCTGGAATTTGCGGACGAAGTATCGGAAAAAATGCGGTTCATCTGGGTAGTAGAGACGCTCAACACTTCGTTTTGAGACAATACTGCTATTGTTGGTCTGGTAAGAACGGCACGGTCAGTCAGGCAGATATTTCACATTTGAACTTACGTATATCAGCATGTACGCATATTGTGATGATGGGGGGATCAAGGTGCACGGGGCAGAGGGCAGAATGCAGAAGCTGGGGGGCTGACATTCATCACGAGGTCATCCTGGGCAGTCGCTCGTGGGAGATGGAGGCCGTTCGTGGCCGAGCTGTGGCCGTTGTCGATGCGGGCACCCATGCTTCAAGGATGAGTCGTGGAAGCCAAATGGTGGCAGGCGAAGACGGAGGAGAGACACCACGGGTGGTTTTACGTGCACAGCAGAGATTATCCAGGCTCGGATCCGAACATGGGCAGGCCCGTCGGGTTTGTGCCCTTCGAGCACAAGCAAGACCCATCAGCGCAGTAAACCAGGCACTCGAGCAAATTTAGGACCGCTACCTAGGTACCTGGTATGTAGTGAGGTACGAACAACCCTTGGGATCTTCACCTACTCTATGGGCCACGTTTAATAGCTACATGGACTCATTGAAGCCTCTCCGGAACGCGCAGCAGGACGTACTGCACAGCTCGGATGGTGATAAGGCGATAAGCAAGTACACATGGTAGACTATCTACGGAGCTCCTCACAAACTTGGAAGTCCTCAGTGACTGGGCCCCGCCTGGCCCAAGCTTCTGGAGCTTCCCCTAGCAAGGGTACCTCTGGCCAAGTTCATTCACAGCACTGCAAACGTGCGGGTGTACATTCTTGATGCGTACCTGGTGGTCTTCACGTACGTACAGGTCAGGTCTTTTGCATGGGTCAGGTGCGTCTGCCAGCAGCCCCTGTCCCTCCCTCCCTCACCGTCGTCGTGACAGTTGACTGGCGACAGCTCCTCACCACCTAGCATCCCTTTTGGCCTTCTGCTTCTGGCTCCTCTGCACCGGCTGAGGCTCATCAGCACACCTTCCTCTCCAGCCCCTTCCCGACCTCCACAGCTACCCAGCCGAGCCAGCTGCTCGTCCGTTGTTGCTTACCTGGCTATAGCTGTCGGCGCCGGCTGAGCTCTTCCCTCGCACCCGAGGCCCAACCTCGTGCCATCAATCCGCCGCTCGGGACACTGCCCCGACTTCTTCAACGCCCTTCTCTCCTGGAGGAGCTCAATCTCAGCACCTGTCTTTCTCCCCCCCCCCCCTGACACAGCCTCGCTTGCTCCGGTGCCTCAGCTCCAGGGCCGGCATGTCGCGGTCTCGGTCTCGGTCCTGGTCCTGGTCCTGGTCCTGAATAGCTCCGCATCCCCAGCTTGCCTCGCCCAGAGACGGCTTCCAACCTCTCGCAACCCGATGCCACAATGGCTTCCGCAAACCTCAACTTCATCACCTTCAACCAGGATCACAGCTGCCTGGCTGTCGGTCAGTGCCGGGCCCCCTTGCCACCTCTACCCTACTCATGTAGCTGACGTCCCTCGGCACAGGCACCTCTAAAGGCTTCCGAATCTATCATACAGACCCCTTCTCCAAGATCTTCAGCAGCGACGACGGCAATGTCTCCATCATCGAAATGCTCTTCTCCACCTCCCTCGTCGCTCTGGTCCTGTCTCCGCGACATCTTATCATCCAGAACACCAAGGTGCTTGGGACCTCTCCTCCTCTTCATACGACGAGTCTGGCTGACTGTGCTCGTAGAGGGCTTCCGTGATATGCGAACTTACCTTCCGCTCTGCCGTTCTTGCCGTGCGTCTGAACCGCCGACGCCTGGCCGTCATCCTCGAGGAGGAGATCTACCTGTACGACATCGCCAACATGACCTTGCTCTACGTCATCACAACCTCTCCGAACCCGACCGCCATTTGCGCGCTCTCGCCCTCGTCTGAAAACTGCTACATCGCCTATCCCTTGCCGAAACCCAGGGAAGACACGGGCGAGAGGCGCCCAGCCCACGCGCCTCCCCTTTCCACCTACGTGCCTCCCACCTCCGGCGAGGTTTTGATCTTTGACACGATAACGCTCAAGGCCGTCAATGTCATTGAGGCTCACCGGTCCCCCCTCTCCTGCATCGCCCTCAACAGCGACGGGACCTTGTTGGCCACCGCATCCGAGACGGGCACCATCATCCGTGTTTTCTCGGTACCCCGTGGCCAGAAGCTGTACCAGTTCCGCCGTGGCACCTACCCGTCCACAATCTACAGCATGTCGTTCAATTTGAGCTCTACCTTGCTCTGTGTCTCCTCGACATCTGATACTGTCCACATATTCCGGCTATCCAGTCCAGGTCCGCATGGCGGCGCTGGTGCAAGCGGATCTACGAGCGCGGCAGAAGCTGCAGAACAGACGCCATCGCCCCGCGCGGATCGGTGGTCTCGGTCGCGGTCCCGCAGCTACGACAGTGGAAACGACTCTCCTGGCAGCGCGACAGGGTCGCCGCGCAGCGATGCTGCTGAGCTTGCAGGTTCTCCTGCCAACAATGGCGCGGGCGCGACCAGCAGCCCGGCAAACCGGCGGCAGAGTGGCTCATTCAGTAGCATGTTGCGGCGGTCTTCCCAGCTGATGGGCCGTAGTGTGGCCGGTGTCGTTGGATCATATCTCCCGCAGACTGTGACAGAGATGTGGGAACCCCTGCGTGATTTCGCTTACATCAAGTTGCCCAAGGTGTCCTCGGCTACATCCCCCAACAAGGCGCCGGCCAACACCGGGCCTGCGGGGCTGATGTTTCCCAACGGGCCCTTGCGGAGTGTTGTGGCAATGCAGCAGCAGCCCACAGGTCATGGTTGTGACTAGTGATGGCGGGTTCTATGTTTTCAATATCGACATGGAGCACGGCGGTGAAGGATACCTTGTCCGCCAATTTTCGTAAGTTGCCCAGCCCAACCCAGCTCAACGCGCCCCCTCGCCCCTCCGACTTGGGGGGCTTCATCGGTCGGTTGGGCCCAGTGTGGATGAACTTCCTCCCAAGTCCCGAGAGTCCATTCGTCGATCACACCGCTGACATTTTCGGCCTTGGCCCAGAGTCCTCGAGGGGGACGACAAGCTAGACGCGTCCTTCAACCCGTGAGTTTCTCCACGATGAGTTCATTGACGCGGTGGCGTCTGTTCTGATGCAGACGACGTGATTTCCGACCTATTTTACAGCATCCAGCAAAGTGGCCCCCTTTGAACTTTCAGGGGCCGGCGTCGTAGGCAAGGCGGTGGGACAAAGGCGTTACTCAAGGTCGCTGTTTCAGAGATACTCCCTCACCAATCTGTGCTGTTCTATGTTTTTTCCTACCGGCGCACTTCGCGACGGTGACGGCGCAGCTGAACATATCGTCCGGTGCGCTGCACATGCCATCAGGCTCGCAAGTTCAGGCAGCCAGTTAGCTAATGAAATGTTGCTAAAATGGGTGCACGTAATGATGCTGCGCAACTTTCGGTCACGAGGATGGCACACAGAAAAGGTCCAATAAGGCATCACCTGAGTGACAGCAGTTCCAACGCTAGAAAGACCGTCCAACGTATGGACGAGATGATACCACGATATACGTCGGCCCATGTACTCCAGTGCCCACATCAAGACCCCTGCCCGAACCCGGTGTAGTCGATTCTGACCATTGCCGTCTGGTAATCCTCAAATGGCGTTTCAACTGCACAGTAGTTGGACCGGTTCGCCCATAACGTTCCTCTCCCACCGGTGAATTCCGTGAAATGAACCTGGGCGCGGGGACATTCCCCTGCGACCCGAAATGGAGAGACGAGGCAGAGAAAAGAAAGAACGGGGGTGAGAAGAGACGAAGAAATCAGAAAAACAAAAAGCCGTGACCCCGAGCCGTCTGTGTGCTTTTCAAGCAAAGATGGTGAAATTATCCCCCAGTTTCCTTCGTAAATCGTCAAAATCGTTTCCAAAATCTGCTTTCTGTCATGCCAAGTGGCTGAGAAACCTCGTCTCATCTAGCGTACGGCCTATTCATCAAGGCAATCTCCCTCGCGATCTCGGCCCACTCAAGCTCTCGCTTGATGCCCAAACGCGCGGCGGGTGCCCCTTTGTTTGCATTCTTCCTCCGCTGTAGTGTCTCCTCCCATTTGAGCAATTCGTAGGCGAACCTCAAATGTGGCTGTATAATGACATTGAGTCGCCGAGCCCGAACAAAGCAGTATGCCCGTGGGAACGAGAGATCCATCGCTCGCATGACCTCTGCAATACAGATTGTTGCGCTCCGAGACACACCGACCCTGCAGTGTACAAGTGTCGCCGTTCCCTCCCTTCGGCCTCGATCTATCAAGCTCTCGTCAGCTGGTTTCCGTGGCGCTCATCGCAGCTCGCACCATGGAGGCCACAAACTTACCGATGAATTCGAGGCATCTTTCGAACTCCTCCGTCAGGGGGTCTATCCCATTGTCCTGGACGCCTTGAACTACGCACACATTCTCAGGCCCCCATTTATCCAGCTCGCCATCCCGCCACATGGTCGTCTCCCCAACGCTAAGGATTTGCTTGATGCCCAAGGCTTTCAGTAGGTCGGGGTTGTTTGCGTGACCAAGATTTCCCAGGTACATGTAGTCCAACACACGGCTCGGGAATGAGCCGTCGATCCCGGGTAGCCAGTCGGGTTCTTCCGCGGCCAGGGACTGTATCTCGGATGGGCTTTTGTCGGCGAGAGCAGGCGATTGGGATAGCAGGCGGGGGGCGATGGCTGTGAGCAGGGAGACGTCGGCGGGGTATGCGAAGAAGTTGCGACCGAGTGTAGTGTGCAGGTTCAGCCACGCGTCCGGGACAGGACGGCCGGTGCTGTAGCTGTAGTAGGCGATGCCGAGCATGGTCGACTCGGTGTACCCATCCCCGCAGTGGATGAGGACCTTCTGGGGAGGCACCTGGTAAGGGGATGATAGCGCGTCCCCAGACATGACGGCGTCTCCGTCGTCGTCGTGGCCGGCTGTCGCTGGGTAAGTTCCATGGGCCAGGTGATAGATCCACTTGCACGTCTCGATGATGCCGTCGGCCTCGGCATGGGACCACGAGGACGGCAGGATGCTGCCCGAGGAGGGGAAGTCGAGGCAGTGCTGCCCCGCTGGAGCAGCCGAGCCCTCAGCGACGGCCTGGAGCGCAGCGGGGTGAAGGCGGCCCATGTCGCTGCACTCGATCTGGATGTCGAACGAGCCGTCGTCGTCAGACCCCCGATCCAGGGTGGGGCCCATCCAGACGTTGTGGGAGATGGGGGTGGGCTTGGTCATGGCGAACATCTCCTTGCGCTCCTGGTGGACAAAGTCGATGACGCTGCCCGTCAAGAGGCCGGCCGAGTCGACGGCGACCAAGTCCGGGTGGCTTTCCTCGAAGTCTTCGAAGGGGCTCACGCAGACGAAGGTGTTGTAGGCGGGGATGGGGTGGCCCTGGGCCTCGTGCCTCTCGCGCCACCGGAGCTGGGCCGCAGCAATGTCGCATGCCATCTTGCGGGTGGCCAGGGGATCGTCGCCGTAGACGATGATGTCCGAGGTCATGGCAGATTTGGCGGCCTGGATCTGGAAATTCCTCACGGAGAAGCCCTCCTTGGGGTCGACGTCGTGGAACTCGGGTGAGGCGGAGGCACATTGCAGAAACTCGTGGGGGGATATGGCGCCCTTGAGGCGCGAGACAGCCAGATCGCCATCGGCCTTGACCACGGTAACGCCGCGCAGGCAGCAAGGGGTTTTGCGCAGGGAGCGGCTCCGGGCCGTGAAGAAGGACTGCTGCAGGTGGTTGAGGGGGTGCAGGCCGTGGAACCAGGGGAAGACCTGCGAGGGCTCGGGAAGGGGCTGGCGGGAGGCGTAGTCGAGAGCACGGGCGACGTCGGCGACAGACAGCTCATACAGGGTCAGCGGGCCTGACTCCAGGCGGACGAAGTGGGCCGGGGGGTGGAGGACAGACTGGGCACAGTCGTCCTGCTTGCCCGGGGGAGTGAGGTGGGGTGCTGGGTTCCGGGCGGGGCACGGGCCCGGGCGGGCACACAGGAATGTGCTTGTTAGGGACAGCGGGCGGACATTGCTCGGACTGGGGGTTGAGCGTGTCGATGGTCAACGGGGACGCCAGCGAGGCAATGGCGGTCGACGACGAGCGGTGGGGGGGCAGAGGTCGAGGGAGCGCAATGGTGGCCATCATCAATCACACGGCAAGGCGGCAGGGAGAGGCACGCAGTGTCGTCGACGAGCAGCCCGGCGAGCCTGGCGAGGGCCTGAGGGGAAAGGACCTCACGAGGGCGATGTGAGGATTGTGATGAACTGTCCCGGATGGCCGTCTGGTAGGCCAGGCACGGCACTAGATCAGATCAGATCAGATCAGATCAGATCGTCAAAGGCGGCCGGGTGGAAGCAGTCGAGGCAATCTCATGCCCCGGGCCTCCGTGCGGGGGGGGGGGGGAGAGGGGCAGCGTAAGGCCAGGCCTGGATCGAACAAGAGGTGGACGGGCGGCGGCGGGAGCGCGGCGAGAGCGCCGCGAGACACAGGCCAGGGGGCTGGACGGGCTAGGTAGTCATGATATTCATCGGGGAGAGGCCGAGGGCGGCGAGGGCGGCGACGGGTGCCAGGATGGTGACCTGACGGCGTCGAAGCAGTCGAGGGCGGTTGCACGGGCACGTGGAGTGGAGCAAGGGCTCAGGAACGAGGAGCAAGATGTGAGATACGAGATGCGAATTGTGAGATGCGAGATGCGAGATGCAAGATGCGAGGAGGCAGGAGCAAAGACCAGGACAGAGGGCAAGGGATGCGGAGTAGGTATGCAGGAGGAGGAGGAGGGAGAAAGAGGAGGAGGAGGAGGAGGAGGAGTAGCAGCAGCAGCAGCAAGTGGTGTAGTGTTGTTGAAGTTTCAAGAGGCACCTGGGCAGGGCAGGGAAGGGCAGCCAAGGGGAGAACAATGCAGGGCAGCCAGCTGTGGGGCGGGCACACCTTGGCGGCTAACCACCTACCGACCGCTGGGATTAATTGCTGGGCTGCTGGGCTTGCTGGCTGGTTGACCGAGGGGATCAAAGATTGATTGACAAAGTTGACGTGTTGATTGATTGACTGACTGACTGACTGATCCATGGACAGACTGGCAGAGTGGACGACTGATTGCCTGTCTGACCATATGGTTGAAGCTGCCGCAGCCGCAGCCGCAGGGGAGGGGGCGGGGACGGAGGGGCGGAGGGGACCCACGGTTTACACTGTACCGGTCGAGCCCCCAGGTATCTGGGTACAATCCGTCCTGAGCCTGCGTAGACCACAGAACGGGCCCACTCGCCCATGGTGCTAGGCCGTTGGCGTTACAGTCGACGGTAGAAGGGGCCTAGGGCCTGAGGGGACGGCCCCAAGATATGCTGATTGTGCATGCATGGCTGGTCGCTTGGTCTTTGAAGGCTGCCAATAGGGAGCCAGGCTGCCGCCGTGGGGGGGGGGGGCATTCCAGTCGGCATGGTTGGCAGTCGACGATAAGGAGGGCCATGACCAGTCTGTCTGTCTGTCTGTCTGTCTGTCTGTCTGTCTGTCTGTCTGTCTGCCTGCCGGCCAGCCTGCCACTCCCCACTTGAAGTACCTAGGTTCGTACCTGCTGTGTCCTACAATCCACAATGAAACCTGGGGAAATGGGTCCTTGAGGTTGAGACAACGGTGGCGGGCGGGGCCATCAAAACGGGTCTGGGGGCCTGGAGGGGAGACCCCAGCAACAGTGGTGGCCCGTGTGCTGCTCCAGGGTCCACCTGCCATTCCCCACAGGGGTCGCCTATCTCAACCTTGACTCCTTTGCACTACAGTACTAAGCAACCAGTCAGGCAATTAGATACTGCCCAAGTACCTAGGAGGGTAATCAGGTAATCGATGCCACTACCTACCTAGGTGGTCTACTAGTTAGCCAGGTAGTAATTAGGCATACGTTGCAAGTCTTGTCCACATGTCAGCCCAAAAAAGAAAATGTCCGTTCATGTCCACAGTCCACCAGGCTGGGCCCACTCTAGCTTCAATGGCGGGACGGGACGGCGGGGACCGTACCTACTGTGCTGTGTGCCAGTGCCTCGATACAAGTAGACCGTGGGCTGCACCTGGTTCATGCTCAGCTCACGCATGGAACGTACAGGGCGACCCGAAAAAGAAGCCTAATTCGTGACTTTAGTAGCGTTGGCGAGGGGTCCCTTAACTCTCCTGTCTTATCTATATATACCATAATAATAATACCAGCTTTTTAAGGCAAAATTAAGTATTAAAAAAATAGCTTTTTTATAGCAATACATCCTAAATTCGCTATAATAATATAAATTTAATTATAAAAAGGATAAATTAAAAATTATAATTGGTTAGATTTGGTTACATTCTTTCCAGGGAGTTGTAGCAACATGGATAATCTTTTTTAGGTCACCCTGTATAGAACGTATGAATATAATGCACACCCCCATCCCACCTAGATGTTCTGGTACGGTTAAGCCTAGCTTGTCTGTAGAGTGGGTGCCTGTCTGGGTAGGTATTTGAAGTACCTGGACCCGGGAAGCTGACGTCATCCCCAGTGCTCGTGCTGGGTCCTGCGGACGAAATGCTGAGCACCTTGTTGACACTGACCTTGTTCAGCAAGACACACCCACCCGCCCAACACTCTACTTCTACATATCCTTGGGGCCACCAGGAAACCGGACCGCCGCATACTTTTTGCTGCCGGCTGCACTGCGCTCTACCTGCCAAACAGCATACCGGGCCGCGGTCGCGGTCTAGCGAGGGCGGGGCGCGACGCGTTGCGCCCAACTTTCCGACACAACATCACGACACTCCCCCCAGCCTGCCCGACCTGGCCTCCCATCTGACATCTCATCCTCCCGACATCGCATCTGGCCTCGTTACTTGCCCTCTTGTTACTCGTGTCTGCACCATGTCTCTGCGGTAGCACCTAGCCTCCAGCACCAAGGCCTCCAAGCAGATGTGGATCATGCGTAGGCCACCCCTTCCCGCCGCCTCCTCGGGCCTGCACCATCGAATCCGCATCTCTCGCGGACGCTGACGCTCCTTCCCGGTACCAAGACTAGTTTCACAACCACCTCGCCCTCGCCATGGAGACTGCCCACTCACAGCACCATACCTACGGCCCCAACTGTCGCCTCGCTCCCGTGATCGAGCCCAGCCCCGAAGGCCCCCTCCTGGCTGGCATCCCCCCTATAAACGCCCAGTTCTTCTATCACAGCCTCGTGCCAATCGATGACCCCCTCTCCACCGCCACCTCCGCCACTACAGCTGACGGGCGGCCCGCAAAGGGCGTCCTGAGGCCCTTCTCCCACGCCGACAACAATGCTCTGGAAGCCGCCTGGCTGAGTCTCGCCGTCGACGACCACAGGAACAACCACGATGCCTCCCTCAAGAGCCGCCGCCCCGGCCCCGCCCTGGCTGCCAACAACGCCAGGAAGCTGGACGCCATCGTCGACCATCTCATCCGTACCCACAAGGAGAAGCACTCCCAGGACACACGTGCCCCTCCTCTAGAGCCCCCTCTGGAGCCCCTGGCAGGCGCAGGCCTGAGTGTGTGCTGTCAAGAGCTCCTCATCGATGCCTCAAACAGGCTCCGCGAGGTCTTCTGCGAGGTGTCGAGGGAGAGCCAGCCATCGCTGAGCCAGAAGCATGTCGTCGCCAAGGTCATGTCTGCGATGGAGGATGGCCGGCCCAATCCTGCTGCCACCGCTGTTATGCCGATTACGGCCCCCGCCATGCCCGCCTCCTCTCCCCGGACCGATGCATTCGTCTCTCCCGCCTTGTCTACCTCGGCAAGGGGCCGCGCTTCGTCCCTTGCCTCCAACCCGGCCGCCAGCCGCTCAGCGTCTATTGGGAGTGCCGCCAGACTGGCCCCCTTCGGCACCCCGCCCCAGCTCGAGAAGTCCGCCCTCAGGCCGCGTCCCGCTTATCCCCAGGTGACCGACGGCATATCCGGGCGGCCTTTCGTGAGGGTGGGAGACCCTGATGGCGAGGTAGCCCCAGAACCTGGCCAGCTTCGTGACTCCCGCCCTGACCTCCCTAGAGACAATGCCACAGGCGAGCAACATTTCGGCGCCAGCGAGGTCCCGTCGGACACCGTGCCTACTCCTACAGGCGGAATGGGCATTTCCGAACTTGAGCCCCGCGTCGTTGAGGTCTCGGTAGGCCTGTCGAGGCTGCATGAGGTATCTCTGCCCGTCCTACAGATGAAGCCCATATACTGGTCTCCCGTCAACGACATTGCAATTGTCTCCAGATCGACTTGGTTCTACCGGTACGTTGCTCCCTGTTGATTTCGGACGGCTTTGACCTGCGGACGGTCCACGACGATTCATGCTTCTCTGAGACTGCCTGATACGATGCTGTCTTTGGAACTGTTACACCCGGCCTTGTGGCCTTGAATGACTGTCGTTCAATCCTTCTATCGTGCCAGGTTTTTCAGCAGCGCTACTTGGTCAGGCATTCTCCTGGGGCTTGCTTGCAGGTGCATTGAGATCCCTACTTCATGCAATTCAGGTGCCCGTGCCGGCGCAAAAGGTCGATCTGGTACGCCGTCCACTGCATGAAAATTGACGTAACTAACCCATGCATTGTCCCCCAGCGATACCATGGTGCCTGTCGAGCCCAGCATCGCAAATCAGTTGGAGGCGGGCTATCGAGAGTTGCGAGTATTCAGCCAGGAATGGCAAGAGGAGCTTCGTTGCGCAGTCGAAGTCGGTCCTTTGGGTGAGGAGAAGGTGTCATTCCCGCTGTGGCCTGGAACGACCACTCCCGTTGATGCAAAGGAACAAGATCAAAGAATATCCATCGCATCCGACCCGTTCTGTGCCGCCCGGTGTTTCCGGGGCGAAGCGGCCGCCGAAGGAACTCTCGAGCCTGTGAAGGCCAGACAGGGCGAGTCTACTGGGAATCCGGCGCAGGGGCGAAGCTACCAGTTTCATCACGTTCTTTACAGAAATGAGAGAGCGGCATTCCTACTAAAACCAAGCCTCAAACCGTCTGCCTACTACGGGAGGCGGCCTCTCCAAAAGATAATGAAGGGGTTGACTGTTGGCATTCCAGTCATCAGAGGCTTCGATCGAGACAGTTGGGGTGAGCTGCATGAGAAGAAGAAACAGGTCCGCAAAGAGGAACCTCGGAAGTCTGTCGAGACCGAAGCTTCACGGCCGGGAAATTGCCCTGGCTGCAAGGCAGAGGAAGACCGTGGACAGGTCACAGACCTTGTCCTTGTCGCCCATGGAATTGGGCAGAAGTTTGCCGAACGGGTGGAAAGCTTCCATTTTACCCATGCTATCACCGCATTTCGTCGCTCGATAAACATCGAGCTTCGAAACCCCGGGGTCAAGTCAGTTCTGCGCGAGGGACACAGCGGGATCATGGTCCTTCCTGTGAATTGGAGGCTTTCCTTCGAAGACGGGGGCCCTTTGACCGACGCGGACAAGGCGACCTCGGCTTCCGACAACTTTGGTCTGAAGGACATCGAGCCGAACACGATCCCGGCGGTGAGGAGCCTGATATCAGATGTCATGTTCGATATTCCATTCTACATGTCCCATCACAAACCCAAGATGATATCCGCACTCGTCACAGAGGCAAACCGCGTTTATCGGTTGTGGTGCCGCAACAATCCAGACTTCAACCGCAAAGGAAGGGTCCACCTTATCGCTCACTCCCTTGGGAGCGTCATGGTAATGTTCACCCTTCTCTCCCGTCTCCCTTCCGCTTTGAGCAGCTGCCAGCGGGCCCGGAGAGCACTTGCCTTGCCCAGGCATATGGACACGAAATGCTCCAGCTGTACTCTGTGCCAAAATCTCCAGATCAAGCGATCCTTGAGTACCGCCTCTTACAGGCCCCGTGGCGACGGTCACAAGGTCCCTCGAGCAACACGTGAGCAGACTACTTACTAATTGAGGGGGATGCAGGCACTCGACGTACTATCCCGGCAGCCGAACATTCCACCAGCGTTGGACTTGGATACCCCAGTGCCTGAGTCACGGTTCTTTGAGTTTGACACGACTAACCTGTTCCTTCTGGGAAGCCCGGCTGGCTTTTTCTTCTTCTCGAGCGTGGTAGTCTAACGCCTCGCAAGGGTCGGGAAAAGCCAGGGGCAGAAGTAGCCGTGAGTCTTTTCGATGTCTTGACCCACTGTGCTGCTCTCTTCAATCGCTTTTGAGTCCACAAGACCGCGTTGCTGCCCAGTGGAGAATCACACATCACAGTCTCCTACTCGAGTCTCTGTGCTCATGCCGTTACCACAACCCATGCTATTCCCGGGACAACCTATCCGTCTTGTCTCCCAGCATCTGGACAGCATATGACTAACCTTGAGCTTCACAGGATACGGTTGCGAAAGACGTGGTGCGCGAGGAGGGTGTATTTGGCTGTCTCGCAGTCAACAACATCTACAACGTCTTAGCCAAAGAAGACCCTATAGCTTACCTTCTGAACGGAACCATCGATCCGATGTATGCCGAGAGCTTGAAGCTCGCCCATGTACCAAGCACGGCGATCTCGTGGTTCTCATCGATCCGCGGCCTTGTGAAACCCGTCGGCTCGCCCCCGACATCCGAACTGCCACCGGCGCTTGTGAAGCCCCCAACAAGCCGGCTGCCTTCTCAGCTTGAGTTGGAAGTGCACGACTTCACACGCGAGGAAGTCGCAGAGAAGAAGGCATTCTTGCTCAATGATAACGGCCAGGTTGATTATTACCTGCGCTCCGGAACAGGCCCCTTGGAGATTCAGTATCTCAACATGCTCAGTGCGCACACTAGCTACTGGGCGAACAACGACCTGATCCGTTTGCTGTGCATGGAGATTGGTCGGGAGCCTGGAAGAGAAAATACGTTGCCGGCGTTAAGGGCTGTCAAATTGACAAGGAGAGATCGCCTCAAGAAGTAGTAGACGAAGTTACAGCCACCTTCTCCCGCATGACACGACACAATTGTAGACGGGCAGCGTAGATAGATATCTAGATTTGAAGTTTGTTTTGGGGTTCGGGGGGAGAGACTGGGGGGCGACACATCCGAAGACGCTGATTGATTTGATCTTGCCGTGTTTGGTTGGAGGCTGGACTCGTCATATGTGTGGCCAGGTGTGCCTGAGAAATGCCCTAATGGCAATGCACGCGGAGTAGCCGGGTGTATCTGGCAGAGCTGGCAGTGATAGATACCGAGATGAGCCTCGATCGCCCGCCCGCCTGCTACACAACCCCCATACTAGGTGATCCAGTTAAATCTCGTTGTCGAGCTCCATCATGCCATCGTCCATGTCATCATCCATATAGTTGTCGGAATCGCCTTCCGCCCGTATATCCCGAGGCAGCGCGCTGTTCCCGTTGGCCTGCGCGTCCTGTAGTTCCTGTATACGCTGCTCGTCCAAGTCCTCCTGATGCTTTTTGAGGTCGGCAAGGCTCCACGTACTAATACCCTCCTGGTCCTTTGCCCTGAAAGGTTGGGCCATGCCCCTCAGGAACCGTCTTGCGCTGCTGACGGCCATGTCTGTACTCAGATTACTATCAGCACCGAGAAGCGCCTGGTTGATCCACTTGGGGAGCTGCGTGCGCTTCTTCTGAAACCGTCTGTCTGCTAAAACCATGATACCATAATCATCCTTGCCTCGGAGCACTCGTCCCAGACACTGAGCAGCATGGCGCATGGCGTCGAAAGAAAGAAAGTCATTCTCGCGTATGCGGTACGTCTCCCTGAGGAACTCGAGACGTGCCTTGAGGATACGAGATTCTGTGTACTGGAACGGGACACCAACGCACAGCACAGTGCGTCCGTACTGGTGGTCGAAGTCGATCCCTTCCGAGACTTTGCCTCGGGCGACGCAAAGTAAAACGGCGCCACGGCCATTGCAGCATGCGGTCCGGTAGGTCTCGAGGGCCAGGGAGGTCTCCTGAGCATCGGGCGTCTCAACAAGAATGAGTTTGTACTTCCACACCTCGTTGAGGATTCCCATGCCCTGCCACATGCTGATGATGGACTCCATGTACAGGTAAGAAGGGAAGAAGACGACCAGGCCGTCTGGCGTGATTTTTGCGAATTCGGTCAGGAGGTTGCCGTAGTTGCGCACTACGCTCGGCTCGTTGCGCACTTGGAAGCTCGTGGAAATGGCAGCCTGGTCGCTGCCACGCGTGACGATCATGGGCAGGAACGACTTCCGCGCCAGGGTCATGCTGTAGGACTCTTGCACCACGGTGGAGAAACCGAGCATTTTGGGGTATATCTCAAGGGGCGAGATGGTGCCAGATGTGATGATGACAGAGGAAAAGCGCTCAAAGACCGGCTTGATAGCGATGGCTGCGTCCAGGCACGTGAAGTGGAGGATGGGATTGGGCACTTCAGCCGTGTCAGACTCGTACGGCTCTAGAATGAGGAGGAATCCCTTCTCGTAAGTGGCGACCAAGGTCGCAAATGTGGCCACCTCCTGCAGAGGTTGATAGTCCTCGATGTTGGTGAGCTCGAGCGTCCGCACCAGGGATGTCAGACGTTCGGCACAGAACCTCAGTGGCTTCTTCTCGATGAAAGTGTACTCCTTGAGGTGTGACAGGAAGGAAGGCGGCGTTTCCGAGATGACTTGCCGGACCTTCATGCGTGTCTTGAGGTATTCGATGAAGCGCTTCAAGAATGCCACAAAGTGCTCCGCCCTCCTAATGTTTCCCGGGACCGCCTCCTTGAGCAAGTCCTCTGGAAGCACCGGGTTCGCCATAAGGGAGCCTTCGTCGCGGGCCTCGTCCGCATCCCTCAAGCCTTTTACAAGCTTCTCATACTCGTTCTCGAGCGCCTTCTGATCGGTCTCTCGCATCTCGGTGATCTTCCTCTCGAGGTTCTGCGCTCCGCGCGTAGCCTTCCTCAGCGAGTCCTCGGTGATGTCAGTGCTGAGGGATTCGATGCAGACGTTGTCGATGTTGTGGGCCTCGTCAAACACGACAATACAGTCCTTGGACAGGTCCTTTGAGACGCGCTCGGCAATCTTGGGATCCAACAGATAGTGATACGAGTAGATGATGACGTTGCAAAATTGCATCTGGAATCAAGTTGGTCAGGATCACTTCACACAGAGGGTTCGGGGAGCGGACCATGCTGGGGACTCACCATGCGACGAGCTGTGAAATAGGGGCATTGCTTGTGTTGCTCGCCATAGCGGAGGAGGCCCTCAAATGTCCAGACGCCATTCGGTATCAGGTTGTGGGCCTCGAGAAGGTCCAGATTCTACGGGTGTCAGCACCCTGGGGACCACAACGTGAGATTGAGGGCGGGGGAGGGAGCAACACTACATCATGATAGACGCAAAGGTCCACATCTTCACCACGTTCCTTCTTCTCCTTGACAAAGCCCGCGGTCAAGCTGCGGCACCGGGCGTCGACGACGGCGCCGCTCTTCTCACGCTTGACCGAGGGGTGGAGACAAAGGTTCTTCCGACTTGACAAGCCGACTGCCCTGAACTCCTCCTCATAGCCCAGCTGCTCGGTGCGGTACTTCATCAGAGCCTTCAATTCGGCCAGTGCCTTCTCGATCTCGGACATAGTACCTAGCCAAGACGACCGCTGTCAGGAGAGCGGGCGGGTGCTGCGAGAGCGAGGAGCCGAGGAGGAAGAAGAGTGCTTACGGGAGCAGTATATCAGCTTCCGACTCTCTGGATAATACTGTTGGTAGGCAACGATGAGCGACAGCAGCGAGACGGTCTTGCCGGTGCCCGAGGGCATCTCCAAGACCGAGTGACCACCAGCATCGAGGGTTTCTGTCCAGGGGTCAGCAGGGGTTACTGGTTGGGCCGGGGCGGGCTCAGAGGAAGTGGTGCCTACTTTTTAGATCACACATGTAGCTACAGGCAAGCACGGGAGGTCAGCGCTGCGACAAATGACTGCAGAACCGATGGCGATGATGCAGTGGGGGCCGACTCACGCATATTGCTCTGCCAGGTGCAAGTCAGTCGAGGGTGACGGATGGGTGAGAGCAGGGGCACATACCGGGATAGATGCGAGGGTACGGGAAGAGAACGGGCAGATCACTACAATGTCCCGTCAGTGGGGAGGCCCAGACCGGAGTGGACGGGCTTTGAAGCTGAGAGGCAAGCTCCCGTGGGGCTGCGTGCGTACTCGATGTTAAACCTCATGGCGGGCGGGCTGGTGAGCCACGAGGGCCTTTTGGGCGAGCCCGAGCAAAGAAGAAGAAGAAGAAAAGTAACCGAGCGTGGGCAGGGGGAGGGACCGGCTGTTGTGTGTCGTCCCTGCAGCTTGGGCTTGGGGGCTGGGCGAAGGCGACGGCCCGCGTGTTCGATCTCAGTCTGCCTGATTCAAGGCGACGGACGACGCGAGAAAGAAGCCAGAGTGCAGCGGGACTCGAAAGGCCATGGACCAGAGGCCTTTGGTAACGGTGCCAGTCGATCTGCGTTCACAGCTGATGTTTATCTGGATATTTGATGCTGATGTTGACATTGAGGGTGACGTTGGAATGTCGTGACCGACGCCGACGAGGTCGTTTGCGCTGCAGGCAGGTACTACCTAGGTAGCTACTGCAAGTGCATTTGAAATGTCACTGTCCGTCTTCGACGCCTCCCGCGCGCCCTGTCACGTGCATGGAGCCGTCCAACCTGCAACCCAGCACAGTCACAGTCATAGTACGTCGCCTTGTCCAGTGCACCCGGCGCCGATCCAATTCCGTGTTTCTGCCACCATTCTTTGCCCATCCCCTCCCCGCAAGCCCGGCGGGTACTTTTATGCAGCTCGTTGGTTCCTTGGTTCTATAATAAGACTGGCGACCCCAACGGACTGCGGCCAGCTGTGAACTACCCAACTACCAACGGCCAACGGCCAACGGCCAACGACCAACTGCCAACTGCCAACTGGATTACCATTTTTGTCATGCAGGGAGGGTGTCATCGGCTCTTCTCGCGCGCAGCAGGTTTCCATCGAAAGGAGCCATTGCAACTCGAGTATCCCTTTCAAGCAGCGTGTCGGCTGCACGCACCAACATCATCATGGCACTGGCGAATGCTGCAGTTATTTTCAACTCTTGCGACGAGGCTGTTCTCCGCCTCCTTCGCCTCCTTGACCTCACCCACAAGCGCCTTCTGCCGCCCGGCCCGCCCTGCTCCTGGCCACAGCAGCATCGCCATCAACGATAAAGTTCTGACCGGATACCGCTAGCTGGACCTGCCTGCACTGACTGGCCGGAAGGATGATGCCTGCGAGGCTGTCTTCACCTCCCTCCTTCACCCTCCCTCCCCCCCCTCACTCCGAATCTCATCCCCGGCAGTCCCCGGTTGTCCACGCGTGGTCTGGCCGCATGAGCCGTTGGTTGCTTGCATCTGGCGATCGGACCCATGTGTCTCGAGCCGCCACTCGATGGAGATGAGCGGCTGCGTGTCTAGGACCGTCACCTTGCTGCACTACGCGCGGTGCGGTGTGATGCGGCGCGGCGCGGCACGGCGCGGCTGCAGGTCTGAATCTGCGGACTCCACAGTAGTATGCTGAAGAGAGAAGCCTCGGCAGTGAACGCAAGTGACGCACTTGTCCATCTTTCGACTATGTCGGTAGATACTTCTGTTCTCCCCTACCGGTATTGACCCTGTATGTCTGCGCTCTCCTGTGCTGTGTTGTGATGCGATGCAATTTGCGCGGGACCTGAAGGATTCCTGCCTCTCATGCGGCCCAACATTCTTGCAATCCCGATCACTCCGCAACACAGAGCCCTACTGTGCAGTCCAACTAGCGAGCCAAGGGTGTACCGCACCCGACATTGAGACGCAACACAGTCGTTAGCAGGCAAGCGAGCACTTTGACAGGCGGCCCTTCCTCAACACGGAGCAAACCAAGACTAGATCTCGCCGGTCTCCAGGGCGCCCCTGTACTTTTTTCCGTCCAACAGCTCTTGTGAGGGGTGCACACTGTGCTTAACAGGCAGACTAGGATGTGCGGGCGTCAGAGCAAGACTAATATCTGCTAGGTAATAATCTACCATGGCTCGACGGGTACTGTGCGGTCAACATTCGCGTGATCCACCCGGCTGCGTTGCCGCGGCCCTCGATAAAATCATAGGCCACGCAGCGTCGACGCTGGTTGGCTCTTGAACGGCCCAGCCAACAGCCGTGGATAATGACCAACATGTCCATCCTGACACGCTTTTCATTTACCAGCCCGCCGGTTCTCTATCATTATTCGCCGCGCCCTGACTCGGTGGCGACCTCATCTCTCCCTGCAGAGGTACTTTTGAGCGCGATGGAACCCGAGCGCGCCTGAGTTATGGGCAGTTAGTCAGAGCCCACGCCGCCGTCGTCGCGATCTGAGGACATGTTCGCTGGCTTCTGCAATACTCGTGGCTTCACCCGGCAACAATGTTCGGGGTCGTACCGTATCATGGATGGCAGAGGCTTGCCCGACTCCCCTGTTGGCCCGCTATTTCCGTAGGATGACCCATTTCATCAGCCTTCCTCCGTCGCTTCTCCATCAACAATACCACGGGCCGTTGGCACTATATCTACTAGACCAGATGGCCCGCAGCCACGACAGGCAAGTAGCCAAGCATGCCACTACTTGTGCTGGACATACGCTGCACTCATAGACTACTTGGTAGACTACATGCTTCCTGGTAGCGACACAGCGTGTCGTCTGCTCGTTTACCTCTGACGACACTAGACCGACAGATGATCGCAACTCTACGACTGGTGTGCCACCCCCCTTGCATGCCACAGTAAACGGTCGTTCTGTGTGGTCTGCAGCACTGCGCACAGCACATTCCGTCCCTTGTGCCTGGTGCTATGCCCTATTGCGCGGGCTAGGCCTGGTTCGGGAACGGTGTTTGTTGCCGCTGGGGTCAAATGCAACAGCGTTTCATTTTAGATGGAATCCTTTCAGTCGTCTACGCTGTGTAGCCCGCAAAAGATCCCTGCAAGAGCGTGTGCGGGTTGCTCGAAATAGTCGCCAGAGCTTCTCAGCTCGCCCTTGGCCCCACCATCGCAGTGACTGCGTCGCCAGTCTTACCCGCATCCGATGCGCCTGTGCTGTGCTGCGCTGACCGTTGACAGACTGTTTAGGGCCCCGTCGCCCAATTTGGGCATGTCGAGAAACAAGACATCCACCGTGTCATAGGGCTACTTTTAGCCCAGGCGTGCTTCGGCTTAGGCTTCAGCTTCTGCGTCTGCGCCTGCGTCTGCAGCAGATGCTGCAGGTGCAGGTGCAGGTGCAGGTGCAGGTGCAGGTGCAGGTGCAGATGCAGATACACCCGCACTCGGCGTCTGCGAGTGCAACCACTCCAGCCTGCTTCCGTCCCGCGTGCGTTCCGACTTGTCTACAGACGCCCGGCCCAGGAATGCACCTGGTGCCTGCTCTTAGCAGGTATCTGTCTGTATGTCTGCCTGCCTGTCTGCATGTCTGCATGTCTTGTCCTCTGCCGAGGTACCGGTTTGCGCAAGCTGAGTCACAGACCAGCCAGCTCGTTGGTGCTTACGTCTTGGAGCGCACGCGGAACCCAAGAGCCGCGACATACCTAGATGCAGAGGCGGGCATCCACTGCCAAGGCCAGTTGGGGGCATGCGGGCTCTGAGTCTCGGTCTATCTCCTCGGCCCATGGGCCAGATGAGGCTCTGCCTCAATTGTGCCGTCATCCGTGAGCGTGTCGGTACCCACGCGGACGCAGCAGCAACCACCGACATCACAAGCCCACCACCCATGCGCACTTATCTCGGGGCCCCAAGAAGGATCTGCGCATTTGGCCACTGCCATCGGAGGTTGCATTGCACATGGGGGTTTGTAGCCGTGTGTGGCCTTTGATATCATGTTGCGGCCCCCAGACTCAGAGTCAGAGTGCCCCTGGCCCCCATCTGCCTGTGTCTGTTGGTTCTACCCCGGCGCCCTCCTCAGCCCACTCAGCCCGCACCCTTGTCCATGTCCATGTCCACATCCTTCCTCTTCTCTTTTCGTGTGTGTTGGTGTTGGTGATGGGGTGTTGGTTGATGGGCCATGTCCGCCTGCCTCTCCTCTGCCCTGCTGCCCTGCAGCCAGCACCGCACCATGCGGCGTGGTCAAGGACTGGACAGCCCATCCTGTCCGTCCCCCGTCCCCCTCCAGGCAGGAAATCTGGCTCGCGGACGGGACCAGCCCTCCACTCCAAGCTTGCAACCCGATCGCATCATTCTCCATCCGCAGGGCTCTGCGTCAAGCAACTATAAACAAACCGGTGGGATCCATCAGTTGCAGCCCGGCCCAGCCCTCCTCCTTGGCGCCGGTATATCTGCACCCCAGTCTGCCCTACCACGAGTGACAGGCATACCTGCCCATCCTTGCCCTCAGTCTGACTCCCATTCCAACCGCATATGTTGGCGGCTTACCTCCTACCAGACGTATAAACTGCTGCTTGTAACTACTTAAAATATCCAGTCTCACCCGCGCCGCCTCCGCCTTCTTGATCACACCCACACGCCCTCAATCACACCCACAACTCGCCAGCCCCCCCCCCTTCCTTTTTTGTTTTCATTCTCCCGCGGCCTCGCAAGCCAACGATAAACGTCGGCCGTCATCTCTTGGGCGACCCCTTCAAGTTTGCTTGTATACGCACATCTGTTTGATCTCCCCCTTGCTGAGTGTTCGCCGTGTTGACCAACGTTACCTACGCGGGCCTCAACTCGGACAGCCTTGTCCAACACTTGCGTACGCATCGACCCACAAAGGATCTGGCCGGTCGAGGATACTGCCTGCTATAACGTACCCCGGGGCTCATCGGAGACTCTGCTTGGCGAGCCAACCGGTCTTCGAACGCATCAATAACACTTGGGCCCTGTCTCGTCGCCTCGAGCCATGGACCTCACGCCGCCCCTGACCCGATCACCTGCTTCGACCCCGAAAACGTACTGCCCGTCGGAAACATCGTCTTCGGACTACCCCTCGCCTGGCCTGGTGGAGCAGCACTACAGGATCTCGTCCATGTATGAGTCTGACGCCCCCTGCTCCATGGCACCAGAGAACTCACTCCCTCCGCTCGACGGTCTGGCTCAGGGCGAGTGGAACCCCGCTGCGGCCCTGCACCCATCTCTGACTACTGCGTCCATGTCCAGCGTGCTGAGCGCTGAGTATGACCCCTTCGCCGCGTACGGGGGCCCTATGCCTGGATCCTACTCCCACGACATGTACGGCAGCAACCCGCACACCCCACCCCATACCATGGCTGTGTCGCGCTCTCCAGATCCATCCCTACGAAGAGCCTCGCTGGCTTACCCACCCGTGCCAGCTTCTTCAAATCCGACGACGCCGAGAATAAAGGCGGAGACACCATCCGAGTACGACAACACGGAGGGCTCGCAGTACCCGTCCCCGCGCATCACAAATGCACCGTACCCGGCTAGCATGAGCCCGTACCCCCCGCTACCCTCGCTTGGACAGCCGGCCATGCAGACAAGTAGCGGATACGCATCAGAGGGCCCCATGGCAGCCTGGGCCAAGCCAGAACAGTATCCTGTGGAGCCCGACCATTTTTATCTGACCGCAGGCAGCCAGTCGCCAGCTGCTGTGTTCGGACAGCAAGATGCGAGGAGACCGGGCCGGATCGGCACCCGGTCGAAACGGACGCCGAGGAAGCTCACGACCAAGGAGGAAGCCAATTTCCAGTGCGATGTGAAAGGGTGTGGCAAGTTGTTCAGCCGCAGCTACAACTTCAAGGCGCACATGGAGACACACGATGAGAGGCGGGAGTACCACTTCCCTTGCCAGGTCGACGCCTGCACCAAGAAGTTCGTGCGCAAGACGGACCTCCAAAGGCATCACCAGAGCGTGCACGTGAAGGAGCGCAATCACAAGTGCGACTACTGTGCGCGCATGTTTGCCCGCAAGGATACGTTACGAAGGTATGCTCATGACGCACCAGGCCTGCGCCGAAGCTTACGCTAACCCTTTTCTCGTTGTGCAGACACATGGATGATGGTTGCTCTAAAAGATTTGATATCGGCACGTTAGACTTGCGTGCCGCCGACGAGGATAGCGACTCTCGCATCCTGCCCCCTCTCGCCATGCCGCCCCTGAACCGGAGTTCGTCTGATATGAATCCGAACTACTCATGGGGAAGGTGAAGGCGAAGGGGGGGGGGGACGTTGTCCTACTGGTAGGACATCCGTGTATAACAGCAGCCCACCTATCCATGTCAGTCAGTCGTCACGACTGGCGGCACACCGGCATGGGCTTTGTACAATACGGCACCGAGGTCCCAGTACCCGGGCAAGGATCTCGCAGCGTGGTGCCATTTGACGGTGTGAAGGTCAAGTGACGTGGTAACCACGGCCTGGAAGGCGGCCGTGGTCTGGCAAAGTGCCCTGTCAGGGGCCCCACTTGCGGATGCAATGGATGCCAAATTGATTCCTGTCCGAGGTAATCAATATGTAGATTTAGCTCTATTGCAACGGAACAGATATGAGTATCTACAACAATAATGAATAAGCCGTGTGCCCACGGAGAAAAGACTGGTCGCAAACACATTTTGACGCCAGTCTGCCAAACCTCCACAACAGCGTCTGTGATGTTGAGTACAGGCCGGTCGGAATCGCTGGTGCAATTCAGGGGCACGACGGCTGCGCTGGAGGCCAAGCGACTCAACATCAACCCCGCCAGGGCTGGCCTGATGAGGATTTGTTCCGGAAAATGAGAATGAGACGCTTTTGCTTGTCACCATTTTGTCGGGTTGAACGGGTCAATCTGAGTCCCAGTTGGGACATGGACCACTCCTGTAGGCAGTCGTGAACCAGCAGCTGTCAGCCTTGTGTGATCACGTCCCAAAAACACAAAACCTCTCTGGACAGCCATACTCTCTGTACTGTCGGCACGCCCACGTCACATTTGGTTGAGTGTGACTGGTTTCTCAGCCCAGTCTTCTAAGAAAAGGCGACGTGCTGCAGGAAGGAAGGATTCGACCCGGCAGGACACAACTTTGGATTCGGACCCACTCATTGGCCAAGAAGCGCCCGTTGGAACAGGGGTATCAGGCCCCCATTGCAGCCAACATGCACTTCCGTTGTCTGCCCTGTCCATTGCTCGACCAGCGACCAAAACAGGAAACCACCATCCACAGCCCCTCCCACCGACTAGAGCTAGATCGATCAGGGACAGGGACACATACACACCCTCTCTCTCTCTCTTTCTTCCTGAGCCAAGCGGACATGCTCGGGTCGTTCGCGTCCGTTGTTGCCGACCTACACAAAATATCCAAGCAATTTGGGGCACCGGCCATGTGGTGGTCCCGAGATGCGTAGGTGGACGACGCAGTGCAGTATTCGAACGCCCCGACAACGGGAGAATCGTCATGGGGACGGCGAACAGGAGAGTGAGGCAGTCAACAAGCAAGACTAAGCTAGGTTTCCTTGTACTCGGGTTTCGTCGTGCCGAGAACTTGTATGGATTTGCCATTTCTCTATGTCCAATAATCGGTTATCACCACTTGAACATGTCCCCACGCTTCGGCGTCAGTTGTGCTGCGATTTGAATGTCACCGGCGGATAAATAGAATGCATGGTGAGGGCTTCAATTCGAAACGCTTACTGCAATGCCTGCGTTGGAATACAGGGCGACAAAGTCCTCTGATCTGATACCAGCATCTTCGTGAAGCGGCTTGAAAACCCGACCCTCAGTACGGTCACCTCTCCCGGGCCTTTCCTCTCAGAAACGACGAGGGCTCTCCGTGGACGCTGCAAATATTCTGCTTCTAACTAAACCGCACTTATTGAATCCTCATGCAGTCTGACTGTGGCCCAACACAGTCCCATTCCTCAGATAGCGAGACATGCTCCAAAGACGCGCAAGGGCGGTAGGCTGCCAGGTCTCCGAGGACTGCCGAGGCACGAATTGTATCATGCCAGCAACGTCTGCCCCCTTTCATGATTCGGAAGGTGTGCGGCATATCTGGTGCTAGGTAGCCAGCTCATTCTGGCTCTTGGGTGCACAATAAGAGACACGAAGTGTTCGGGAGAGAAGTATGGCGCACCCCGGGACGCGTTAGCCCACAGCTCCCGTGGCACTGCTCCGGCGATGAGCGGACATTCGCTCCCTCAGACAAAGTCGACTGGCTACATGCGCAGAAGCTCATGGGCATTCTCATAGAAGAAGAACAAGAAGCTGACTTGAAACAGAAACAGGCCATTGATGCAAGCCTGCTCAGCGTCCTTCTAGGCCATACTCCTCGCCTGGGACCAGAAGTTCTCCATCTTCGACCGGGCGAGAATGTCACGCGCTTCGCCATCCGTCTCGGCAACCTTGGAAGTCCAGCGCTTGAAAGCCCTGGCCTTGACCTCGCCCTCAAAGACGAGTTTGCAGTAATTGAGGGTCATGTCCCTGAGGGTGCCCTTCTCGTCTTCGGCCATGAGCCACGATTTCTGTTGTGCTGGCTGGACATCTCGGGAAGGAGTGTTCTCTGTCCATTCGATACGATTGCACATGAGCTTCTTGTACTTGTTGATACTCCATTGACCACCCTCTACCACGACCAGGTTGAATTTTGGGTGCATGACGCAGACTCCTGTGAGGGCCAGCTGCTCGGCATTCTTGTGGATCTTGAAGCGGTGTTGGCCGTTGGCCAAACTTCCAATCTTGAAGACGAGGATGTGGAGGCCCTTGGCCGCGTCCTGTTCTTGGTTTGCTGCGAGTTTTTCGTGTTGTTGTTCCTTGGTCAACTTTCGCTCCTCATTAGTCTGCAAGTGCTTTTGGTGTCTCTCAGCAATCTGCTGGTTCACCATCGCCTCGACGGCGGTAGGGTCCTTGACAGCCTCCTCGCCCAACACGCGCATGAGATTGCCCTTCTTGACCTTTGGGGGAGGGGCGGGAACAAGGCCTAGTCTGATCTTTGCCTGCTCTTCCTTGAGCTCTGCCATTCTGCGCTGTCGTCGGAGCTTGGCCTGTTCCTTGGACGTGAGATACATGGGCTTCGGGGCTGGGGTGTTCTTTTCCTGCGGGGGTTCCAGCGCCACAGGATGCTGGATCAAGTTTGTCACAATGCTGTCCTCGGTGCCGGCTTTGATCGAGGAGGGGTCATCCAACACGTTGTACGAGGAAACCAGCGCCTCGTCCCACCATTCGATTTCTGGAGGGGCCTCTACGACAAAATTCTTCTCGCCGAGGTCCTCGTCTATACCTGCCTTCCTAGTCTGCTCTGCGATCCTCTTCTTCATTGCTTCGAGGGCAGCTTGCCTTCGGAGGGCGTTCGCCTGTTGAATGTATTTGCCTTTTTGGTTGAAGAGGAGCTGGCGGGGCATCCTCTGCTTCCCGGCCGGGACGGTCGAGTCGGCCGGTGGTAGATAGGGGTTGACTCCGGAGCCTCCAGCTTGCGCGTTCCGTAGGGAAGTGTTCTTCTTGTTCATGGAGAGCCTTGCTTGTTCGGACTGGAGCCGTGATGGCGGGCCAGCGCCCGGCTTTTGGTCGGCCGACGTGGAAAGGGATGGTCTCCATTGGCCCAGGTCTTCCAGCGCCGGATGGAGACCTACATTGAGACCTCCCTTGGCCTTGCTGCCGTCGATGGCAGCAGCCACTCGTGCCTTGAGGGCAGCCATTCTGTCGGCCGCGGACTCTGGTTTCTGGATGCGTGAGGAGGCGTCATGGCGCGGCCCGAGGCCGTTGGCTGGTGGAGTCTGGTTCCTGTCCATGATGGAGAATCCGCCACCGAAACCAAGGGGAGCGCGATGCACAAATATGTCGGGCGAGGCGCAGAAGCCGTAGTGTAGGGGGCAGAGAGGTAAAACGCCGGTGGGCCACGATGAATGGAGCTCAGGGCTGGAGACAGACAGACGTGCAGTCAGACGGGCGGGTCGCAAGCGTGACTGGTCTGAGGAGCCACGCGGTGCCGTTTGCAGCGAGCTTCAGGTTCGACGGCTTGGGGTGTGATTGGTAGTCGAGTCTGCTGTGCGATGGGCTGCGCACCTGCCAGCTGCAGCAGTGACAGAAGATGGACGAGGGCGATGGCGACGGCGGCTTGGGTTGGGCTGGGCTGGCAAGACAGAGGTCGACTATGCCTGTGGAACTAGGCAGGTCTTCCCCGTTCGCAGGAATCCGGCACCTTGTAGTCAGATGCTGGGACGGGACGGCAGCTTATCGATAAGCGTCTGCCACAGTATCTAACCTTGCCCAGGTACCAAGATACCTAGTTTGACAGTGTACACAGTATTGCCGCCCCTCGCCGCCAAATTTTTTCTTGCTCCGTCTGGTCTCGACGGCGGTCGGCCAAGGGAAAATTTCACGGCGGCTATCATCCCAGTCCGCTGGCTGCATTCCAACCCGTCTGCTCACCACCTCACCAGCTTGCCCGCCGCTTCTTGCAAGGTACCGGCTGTTTCAACCTCGACGGTGGTGCTGTGCCAGCCTGATAGTAACACCCACTGCAGATCGCAACCCTCGGGTACTAAGCATCTCGTCACAGCTGGCCCACAGGGTCTTCACGGCGCAGCGGTGACGCCAGTGCCGTCACATCCCCATACCATCATGAACATCTCGCAGCCCGTGTCGTCCTCGGTCGACCGAGTCGAGTTCACATTCCTCACAAAGGAAGAGATCCATGCTGTGTCGGTCAAAAAGATTGAGAATGACACCACCTTCGATACCCTGCTGAATCCCGTCCGTGGCGGCCTGTACGATCCTGCCCTTGGATCATGGGGCGATTCAATGTACGTGACCGATGCGATCCCGCCGCTCCTCCCGGCCCTCTGTCTTTTCCACCCAATCTTTGTCCTCAGACATACCGTATCCAAGCATAAGCTCACACACTGCGTCTACTCCCCAGCTGTACGACGTGCAATCTTGGCCAGCAATCCTGTCCCGGCCATGCAGGCCACATCGACCTCCCAGTTCCAGTCTACCACCCGACCTTCATGGACCAAGTCCTTCGCCTGATACGCGCTCAATGCGTCTACTGTGATCGCCTGCGCCTAGCAAGGCGAGAGATCCACCGCTATGTCTGCATCTTTCGCCTGCTACAATATGGCCTCCTCAAGGAGGCAGGCATGGTTGATGCCATAGGAGAGAACTTCCACGGCCTGGCTATGCCCGACGTTCCCCAAGCCGACACAGCCGACTCCGACTCTGAGGATGAAGCCGGTGCTGCTGACGGCGTCATGCGAGCGCGTGATGCCTATGTCCGCCGGGTCCTGCAGGACCACCGAGCTGCCCTGGGTCGCCGGAAGCACGAGGGTGCTGCTGAGCTACGCACCGCCTTAGTTGGCGAATTCTTCAAAGATATCGTCAAAACAAGGGTGTGTGCATCATGCCGTGGAGTTTCCCCGACCTACCGCAAGGATCGATCTGTAAAAATTTTCGAGAAAGCCCTGTCACCCAAGGAGCAGGCCAAAATGGCACAGGCTGGCTTTAAGCGAAACGAAGGTATTCCGAGTCAAGCATGGAAGAAGAACGGCAGAAGGAGCGGATATGGTTCTGATGAAGGCGTCGCCGATCTGTCGTCGGACGAAGGGAATGCCTCAGACGAGGGAAGCGGTGACGCGCTGGATGAGGACGGCGAGGTTGTCCCGCGCAAATCCACTCGAAAGAAGTCCGCGGAACAGGCAGGAGTTGCCCAGCGATACCTCTCACCGGCCGAGGTACGGTACAGACTGGCGACCCTATTCGAAAAGGAGCAAGAAGTATTGGCCCTGGTGTACTGCAGACAACCACGCGCCAAAACGACTCCGCTGCTTGCCTCAAATATGTTTTTCTTGGAGACCATCCTCGTACCGCCAAACCGTTTCCGCCCCGAAGCTCGCACCGGGGACTCTCAGATCGCTGAGGCCCAGCAGAACAGCCTCTACAAGAACATCATTAGGGCGTCTGCGCAACTAGCATCCATATACAGGCAGATACAAGATCAGTCGAGAGGGGTAGTCGATCCGAGAGGAGAAAGAAGCATGACAGCGCTCCATGAGGCCTGGACCGAACTTCAGGATTCGGTGAACGCTCTGATCGATCGCAATCTCAACCCGGTGCAAGGAGCAGCTGCGAAGCGAAACGAGGAGGGCATCAAGCAGAAGCTCGAAAAAAAGGAGGGTCTCTTCCGAAAGAATATGATGGGAAAGCGAGTCAACTATGCCGCCCGAAGTGTCATCTCCCCAGATCCCAACATCGAGACCAATGAAATCGGTGTTCCTCCAGTCTTCGCCCGGAAGCTGACCTTCCCCGAGCCTGTGACAAGTCACAACTTCAAAGACATGCAGCAGGCTGTCATCAACGGCGTTGAGAAATGGCCGGGCGCATCGGCCATCGAGAACGAGAACGGCCAAACGATCAACCTTCGGAACAAGTCCTTGGAGGACCGTATCGCGCTTGCCAACCAGCTGCTTGCCCCGACCAACAACACCTCTAGCGGACTGAGGAACAAAAAAGTGCATCGTCACTTGGCGAACGGTGACGTGGTGCTGATGAACCGCCAGCCGACACTGCACAAGCCCTCCATCATGGGCCATCGGGTCAGGGTTCTGCCTGGCGAGAAGACCATCCGCATGCACTACGCCAACTGCAACACGTACAATGCCGATTTCGATGGTGATGAGATGAACATGCACTTCCCTCAGAACGAAGTGGCGCGCGCGGAGGCGCTGCAGCTGGCCGACACAGACCATCAATACATCTCAGGGACAGCAGGGAAGCCGCTGCGTGGTCTTATTCAAGACCACTTGTCGGTTTCGGTTGCGCTCTGTGACAAGGATACCTTGTTTGACAGGCAGGCCTATCAACAGCTGATATACGGTGCTCTCCGTCCGGAGAGTGGCCACATCCTCGGGGAGAGGGTTGAAATGGTGCCCCCGGCGATTCTGAAGCCCTACGCGCGATGGACAGGCAAACAAGTCATCACAACAATCTTGAAGAATATCAGGCCGCCGAACTGCGGTGATTTGTGGATGAGTAGCAAGACCCAGATCCCAGCCGCACGGTGGGGCCCAGACTCAGAAGAAGGCGCTGTTCTGTTTCAAGACGGCGAGTTCATTTGCGGCATTCTGGACAAGTCCCAGCTCGGGCCGAGCTCTGGTGGCTTCATCCACTCCGTTCATGAAGTCTACGGACCTGCCGTTGCTGGCAAACTACTCAGCAGCATGGGCCGTCTCCTGACCAGATATCTCAATATGAGGGCGTTCACCTGCGGAATGGACGACCTGAGGCTGACTAGAGAAGGAGAGGAGAAGCGGAGGAACACGCTGGCGGACGCACCTCACATTGGTCTGCGGGTTGCTGCCAAGTACGTGACGCTTGACGACCAGCAACCCGGGCCATCAGACCCCGAGCTTCTCAGCCGCCTGGAGGAAGTTATGCGAGATGACACGAAACAGGAGGGTCTCGATGTGCTGATGAACAAGGGTTCGTCTGATCTGTCCAGTGCTGTGACACAAGCGTGTCTGCCCAACGGCCTCGAGAAGCACTTTCCCAAGAACCAAATGCAGTCCATGACAACTTCGGGTGCCAAAGGCTCTCTGGTCAATGCCAACTTGATTTCATGTAATCTTGGTCAGCAAATTTTGGAGGGTCGCCGAGTCCCACTCATGGTCAGCGGTAAATCACTGCCCAGTTTCCGACCATATGACACAAACATCCGGGCCGGCGGGTATATTGTGAACAGATTCTTGACGGGCATAAGGCCACAGGAATACTACTTCCATCACATGGCTGGCCGCGAAGGTTTGATCGATACAGCTGTCAAGACGTCTCGTTCGGGTTACCTTCAAAGGTGTCTCATCAAGGGCATGGAGGGCCTCGTAGTTGGCTACGACAGTTCAGTGCGAGACTCGGACGGGACGCTGGTCCAATTCCTGTACGGGGAGGACGGGCTCGACATCGCGAAGCAAAAGTACTTGACAAACTTTGGTTTCGTGCTCCGCAACTTTGAATCGCAGCTGGCGCAGACTAACGAGGCCACCGCGCTGGGCTTATTCGATCACAAAGATGAGTTCCTCAAGAGGAACAAGATGGCAGTGAAAAAGGCCAGGGCCAACGTGGTCAATGCTGAGGAGCCTGTCAACTGTGCCGTTGCTTCAGCACGGCATGCGTTCGCCACCTCTGAGAAATTCTACGCGGCCATGGCGGAGTACATGAAGACCAACCCAGACGCCCTGATCAGAGACAAGAAGGACAAGGATGAGGGCAAGCGATCGGTAGGAGCCGAGCCCCTTCCTCGGAAACAGGTGGAGAAAATCCTAGCGGCCAAGTATCTAAGGTCTCTCGTGGAGCCCGGCGAGGCGGTTGGCATTGTCGCCGGGCAATCGGTCGGAGAACCATCCACACAGATGACGTTGAACACGTTCCATTTGGCTGGCCACTCGGCTAAGAACGTCACGCTTGGTATTCCTCGACTGCGTGAAATCTTGATGACCGCCAGTGCGAACATCTCGACACCGGCCATGACACTTGTGCTCAACGAGGAGCTGTCAGCGGATGATGGTGAAAGGTTCGCCAAGGCTATCAGTGTGTTGCCTCTATCTCATGTCTTAGACAAGGTGGCCGTCAGCGAACAAGTCGGAAAAGGTATTGGCTACGCTTTGGCAAAAATATTCCGCATACGCCTCAGGTTTTTCCCTTCGCATGAATACACGGAAGCATACAACATTGGCATCTCCGATGTGCTAGACACGGTGGAGAAAAAGTTCTTGCCACAGCTGCACCAGGTCATCAAGAAGGAAATCAAGAAGAAGAGCAGTGGTGTCACCTCGGCGACGCCAGAAGTCGGCATCAAGTCCGGCACCATCGAAATGGCCGACCCATCGCGCGAGGTGGGCGGCCCTGCGGATGGCGACAACGAAAATGGCGATGACGACGACGATGATGATGACGGCGGCGACGATGATGCTACGAATGCAAAACAGCGAGCCAACCGCGGTGAAGAGGCGTCGTACGGTCCCAACGACGACGAAGATGACGCAATTCAGCAGCGGCTGGACAGGGAAGCGGAAGTGGATAGTGAGGACGAGGATGAAGGCTTCGGAGGAAGCCCGCCTGCAGAAAAGGCGGGCGGCCCGGCGGGTGAGCACGGCACGTCGGCAAATGACTCTGATACGGAGGGCACCTCGCGCGAGGGTCGTGTCAAAGAGAAGATTTCAAACGTCACCAAGTTCCGGTGCGACGAGTCACACGGCGAGTGGTGCGACTTCGTTTTGGAGTACGACGTCAACGTGCCCAAGATCCTCATGTTGAACCTGGTGGAGGTTGCGGTACGAAAGACGCTCATCCAGCAGATACCCGGCGTGGGCCAGTGCACCTTCGTCGCCAAGGACAAGGTCTTTGACGTTCGGACCGGTGGGGAGGTGGAGGCGTCAGTGGTCCATACGGCCGGCGCCAATCTGCAAGCCATGCAGAAGTATAGCGACTACATCAACCCAAACAAGATCTCGACAAACGACATCGCCGCCGTCCTTGCTGTCTATGGCGTCGAAGCTGCCCGGAACAACATCATACGGGAACTGAGCAATGTGTTTGGCGGCCACGGCATCAGCGTAGACAACAGGCACCTGAACTTGATTGGAGACCACATGACAAGGAACGGCGGCTTCTCGCCGTTCAACCGGATGGGTCTCCGGGGCAATGTGAGCCCGTTTACCAAGATGAGTTTCGAAACAACGCTGGCCGTCCTGAAGGATGCGCTGCTAGATGGTGACTGGGACGACCTGAGCACGCCAAGTGGCAGACTGGTCTTGGGGAGGCTAGGGAAGGCTGGCACGGGATCGTTCGATGTATATACCGCCGCGCCTATGAGGCACTTCGATCCGATGCGAGCAGATGCGATGGAGGAGTAAGGTGGGTCGATATAATGTTGGAGACGGGCTGGCAGCCCGAAACCGTCCGGGCTTTGAGCATGGATTTCAATGAAAGGAATGAATATGAGTTTTCCAAATGCTGTCTACGCGTACGTTGCATTGACTGACATGTCCTTAATCTGCCTCCAGATGACTGCGAGCAGGTTGACCTAATGCCCGGTTCGGACCACTTCGCGGGCACTTGGCTCCTTTAAGGGCGCGTTGACGCCTCGCTCATGCCTGGTTCTTCGGAATACACAGCCAACGGGGCACTAGACTGCAGCGTCCAAGAGTCAGCGCGGTTACTCAATCGTGGACTGGCAGTCGAGTATGACGGGAGCAGATGAGACGAACCATACCTGGACGACAACATCTTCACTACTAGCGATCTAAATGAGGCAGCAAGGAGACAATTGTTATGAACAGAGGAATGTTCTTGTGGCCACAACTAGCTACGCTGTCAAGCCTTGTTCGCCGACGCGCAGTTCTTGTCACACAGGAATGCGATGGTGCTATAGCGACGGCCGAGAAAGTGCGAGGCCGCAGGATGGGCGAGAACATCTATGCTCACCCCATTCATGCATGCACTCGCGCTCAATGCGTCAGGCTATTAGGACAGGGCACACCCACCCTCGGGAGCCAACTCGATCGGTAATGTCTGTTGACAGGTCGGGTCAAGTCGCGGCGCGTCACGCTCGCTGCACGGCTCGTGCGGGCAAGCACAAGTAAAGGCAACAAAAGGCAACATGGAGCGAACGCGAGATGTAGTTTGTTGATCATGAATTCCCCTGTTCAATATCGGGCGGCGGCAGCGTCCCATTAGCTGCGTATTCTAATGTACAACCCGCCCAAGAAAGCATCGCAACTGAACGCCATGGATCCCCTTTCCCTGTGGATATGACCATCGTCAACCGAGCATTGCTGTTAAAAAATCATCGTGTCCGTCCCAAAAACCAACCCATCAAGAAATCCCATTGCAGAATAGGCTAGAAAACCTAGTTGCGCTCACCACGGAGGCGGCGGGCGAGCTGGATGTCCTTCTGTGTGGTTGTTAGCGTGTGTCCCAAGGCGCGTCGAGCGTGTCGCGTGTGGGTCATGGGGTGTGTAACATACCGACTGGATGGTGACGCGCTTGGCGTGGATGGCGCACAGGTTGGTGTCCTCGAAGAGGGAGACGAGGTAAGACTCGACCGACTCCTGCAGGGCACCGATGGCGGAAGACTGGAAGCGGAGGTCGGACTTGAAGTCCTGGGCGATCTCACGGACCTGTTGGAGGCGGCGATGGTCAGCGGGGTTCGGTGACGCGCATTCTGAGGGGTGCAACATACCAGACGCTGGAAGGGGAGCTTGCGGATCAGCAGCTCGGTGCTCTTCTGGTAGCGACGGATCTCACGCAGAGCGACGGTACCAGGCTTGTAGCGGTGAGGCTTCTTGACACCTCCCGGTGGAGGGCGCGGACTTGCGGGCGGCCTTGGAGGCGAGCTGCTTGCGGGGAGCCTTGCCACCGGTGGACTTACGGGCGGTCTGCTTGGTGCGGGCCATTGTGATGATGGAAAGTGATGTTTTCTGAGTGTTTGATTGATGACGCGACAAGACGCGATGCAGCTGTTGATGGAAGGAGTTGGTTGGCTGGGTGGGGTGGAGAGTGGTGGATGGATGCAGAGGGAAGAAAGCGGGAGAGGAGATGGGTGGGGGAGTTGAGATTTAAGTAGGTGGCGGCAGCTGGGTCGGGGGCGCTGGCTGATTCGGGGTGCAAGGGGCCGGGTGTGTGGGTGCAGTGTGGGTGTGGTCTGTGCTTTCCCGGTTTGGGGCAGGTTGGGTTTTGATGGGCCGTCAGAGGAAGGAAAAAAAAAAAAAAAGGCGGCAGAGCGATGGAAAACAAAGGGTGTTTTTTGGAGGGCGAAAGCGAGCCTGTTTGGCAGGGAAAGTGTGGCAGCGTTTCTGGTGGGAGATTTGGGGTGTGCATACAGGGATCACGACAGCGCCGATTTTCGATTGGATGCAGCGCTGCCCCGCCCACGACACCTTTCCGTTTCGAGACAGCGGTGCTGTCCAACTTGTCGCTTCCAACTTGTCAGCCGGCGGCGCCCTCCTGTTGTGTGTCAGCAGTCGTCACTCGTCACTTTCCCTGGGACGGTCACAACTGCCAAACCTCTTGTGGCATTTCCTACTCCTTGCTCCCAGGCCCGGCCAACCTCATACTGGTGTGCTCGATGCCGGGCGGGCGGGGACCTGCAGACAAAGGGCCAACCTTAATAATTGTGGGCAAAGGTGAAGGCGCGCCTGACGAGTGAGTACACTAGTAGACCAGATTATCCTATCCTCCTGTCCAACGGCCAAGGGACATCATCCGTCGATGGTTGCCTGGATGCCTGGCCTGCGACATCTACTCTGCCCTCTACACGTATCACAGTACATATGTAGCAATCTAAACCACACCGCTCGCACTAGACCCATCGTCGCTGCCAGGCTCTCCTTCGCAGATACGCAGAAGTCTCACAGCGCAAGGCATGGTGATATCGACTTTGCCACTACAGCTTGCCCGGGTGCTTGGTCAAGGGTCATCAACAAGCAGCATCGTAGGCTCGTTGCTGGCACCTAGACATGCGGAATTTTCGATCTTCAGTCTCCCTACTCTACGGTAGTAGACCAGCAGATACATGCGTGCACGCCATGTGCCCATGTACATAGATGCAACGCAGCCATGCGGATATCGGCGCAAGCAGGGGCTGCATCTCGGGTCCATAAACAGGCAAACGACTGAGTGACTGAATGGTTGAATGACTGAAAGTGCGCAGGCGACAGATTTGGCTTAGTACGGAGTTTGCTGGCCAATCACAAAATTCGCCCGTCCTGCCTCTCGACATTTTGATGGGCCCCTGTAACTCCAAGGCTGTGTGTGGGCTGCGACCTGCCCGCTGCCTGGGACTGGCCTAGCGTGCTGATCTGAGGTTTCGCTTCCTCCCTCCTGGCGGCCTGGCTGATTCGCCGCGCCCCAGTTCCAGCTCCTGCAGGCCCCGACCCTTACTTAAAACCTCCCGCTTCCCCGCGTCACATCTCTGTCGCGATTGTTTGTTCCCCATCTTGATCCCACCCATTCAATCAACTACCACTCAATACAGCATCTTTGTCTGTCATACCCGTTGCGGTACCTCATCAATCAACCTTCAACAATCCACACTTTTCTACCCCTCCAATCAACATGACTGGACGTGAGTACTCTCCTTCCCCATCCACACACATGGCCCTTGGTGTCGCGTTGGTTGCGACGCGTCCTCCTGTTGCCCTCTCCCCTGCTCGCCGCGCATGTCGGCTGACCAGACTCTCGAACAGGTGGCAAGGGCGGCAAGGGCCTCGGCAAGGGAGGTGCCAAGCGTCACCGCAAGATTCTTCGTGACAACATCCAGGGTATCACCAAGCCCGCTATCCGACGTCTCGCCCGTCGTGGTGGTGTCAAGCGTATTTCTGCCAGTAAGTCTCTACCCGTGGCCCGCACGTCTCGCCGTGGCAGCTGGCTGACCACACCCTCCCGCAGTGATCTACGAGGAGACCCGCTCCGTCCTCAAGTCCTTCCTCGAGGGCGTCATCCGTGACGCTGTCACCTACACCGAGCACGCCAAGCGCAAGACCGTCACATCTCTGGACGTTGTCTACGCCCTGAAGCGACAAGGCCGCACCCTGTACGGCTTCGGTGGTTAAACATCTCACGACTGTAGGCATTGTTTTTCTGTTTGAGGCGGGGTCGGCATCGGCACTAGGGCTGGTTTGGATTGTGCCTACTATGATGATTATGGGATTCGGTTTCTGCTTTGGGTTCTCTGTACCATACGGGCAAACGGTGTTCTGAGTGGATAACATAATTGATACCTCCATGCTTCAGGAGGGCGGTACTTGATGAAAGCAAAATCTACCTGGCACGCTCCGTACAACCGCGTCTCTGCACCTGACTTTGTCATGTTTGTGGCATCACCAAGAACCGTCGGCGTAGGGTCGTGCAGGTGGGTCTGAGCTCCTGCCAGCGCGACGGCATGTGCGACAATGCCTGTGTCCGGGCTGCTCACCCTACCTGCTAGGCATCCAAACTGGAGTGTCAAATACCTATCAGGTGGGCTGGCACTTGTGAGCTCCAGCCTCTGCCTCTTCATGGACGGTGCCGCCTGGGGACATGTAAGGTGACCGAAGCCCGAGCGCCGAAGGCCGTCGTATGGCCTCAATGCAAGCACACTACTCAGGGTTTTCCTTCTTGCTGCGGATGTGAAGATACATACACTGGGTGATCGCGACGCGGCACAAGTGGCAGCTGTTGAAACTGCAAGGTCTCGCGTATTGGGGCAGGTTCTGTAGGTCCCCAGTCAGTCAAGGCAAGTGGGACGTTGCACGGATCCGCTCTCTTTAGCCAGGAGTTTACAAAAGCCATCTCTCATCCTGGCGAGAATTCGACCCTTCTTCCCTTCGCCATTGACGGACAGTGTCTGATTTGCGCCATGTCCTCCGAGTCAGTTGACCCGCCTCTCTATGGCCCATATGGTAAACAGATTGAGTGCCGGGTTTGGCTGTCCACTTCCGGGGAAACGAAGGTGTTGTGCCTGTGTGTTGCTAAAATGAATCTTGTGCAAGCCTGTGGTGATTAGGTCAGGCTCGTTGAGGAAGATGCGTCAAGGAGCAGCACGTATGCGGAAATCACTCAAGCGGAGCCAAGTCAACCTCGACAATCTCAGACTTACGGGCTTCGATCACTGATGCTGAGAGGAGCACCAAACCCCCCTTTTATTTCCACGGGCTTTGGGTCGATAACTGGCACAATCAGCAACTCGCCCGTTACCGGCAGTAGTTCTGACGCTCCTCCTTTTCCTCACAGCAGGTACGGCTTCCTCGTCGTATCCGCGATCTTATTGCCCGAGCGCGTTGAATTTCGGCAGCTACCTTGACTTCAGCCAACAAGCCGCTGCTCAATCCTTTTCCCTTGATTCAAGCCTGGCCTTGGATGCGTACACAAGACGGGGGCCGAGCAAGTCCGCGGGCACGATATATGGACGGGACCGTCCACTCGGTAATAACGTATGTGTTTCTCAGTGGTTAAATCACTATGGGGAAACTTGGACGGGAGGTTGCAGCAGATGTCCCGGCCGATGGGCCAGACCTGCCCAGTCACGAATCTACTACTGCTAGCAAATAGACCGCTCGGCCAAAAGACCAGTAATTTCCAATCGCTATTGGAAATACCCAGCAGTATACAAGACCCGTGCCGTCACATGCCCCAGTGCTGCTGTGCCCGCGGCTTCCGGGTTTCAATAGGCCTGGTATGGCTGCGGGCCCGGCTACAAAGGGAAATACTTAGGAAGGGATTTAAATAATTATAATGGCATTTTCATTTTTTAATACTTAAGTTAGTTATTAAATAATGTTTATAATATATTACAAATATTACGTAAAATAATTTACATTTATAAAGATATAAGTAATATATAATACTTTTTTTATTAAAAGTATTCTTTAAGCTTATATATAAGCAATAAATATTTATAAGCATAACCTTAAAAAAGTAATATTTATAGCTTAATTAAAGTTTAAGGCTTAAAAAGTATTTTAAAAAAATAATATATATATTAATAATTAATATAATTTATAAAGTAAAGAAAAATAATTAAAATTTAATTGTTTTTTAATATAAAAATAATTAATAAGTTTAAATTATAATTATTAAGTTATCTTTAATTAATTTATATTATTATATTATATATAAGATAAGGTAAAATTGAGTAATAAAAAAAGAAATAAAAATTTAAAAAGCTTATATTTTTAAAGATTATTATATAAGTAATTAAATAAAGGTTTATTGGAAAATAAAATAAAAAAGGGGAAAAAAATATAATTAGTAATATAAGTTAAAAAGTAAGAATTAATAATAAGTAAAAAAAATATTATATTAAGCTTTTTATTAATTAATAAATTAAATATTAAAAAATAATTTAACTAAATTAAAAAAGTATTACTTTTTATATTAAAAAGTAAATAATAAGTTTTATAAAAAGTTTTTATAATTATAAGCATATTATAAAAAGATAATAATATTAAGCATAATAAGCATTATAAGTAATTAACATTAAAGCATTAATAAGTAAGGATTATATATAGCAGCATGTAATTATCCTTAAATAATTTATAATTAAAGGAAAGTTTTATAACTTATAATTATAATCTTTTTTCTTTATATATAATTAATTTAAATATAATTAAGTTTATTATTAAGAAATATATATTAATTTAATTAATATTAATTAATAATTACTTATAAATAATTATAAAAATAATAAAGTAAATAAAAAAATAAATTTATATTATTATTAATTAAAATAATAATTATTAATAATAATTATTTTAATTAAAATTATAATATTTATATTAAATAATTAATATTAATATTATAAAGATAAATAATTATTAATAATAAAATTTTATTTAATTAAGTATTAATAATTATATTATAATTTAAACTAATAAAAATAAATTAATAATGCTTTAATCTTTTTATTAAAATAATTTAACTTATTAATTAATAAGCTTTTATTAATACCGTAAATTTATTAATTATATAATGCATTTTATTATAATTAATATTAAAAATGCTTATAATTACTTTATTTTAATATAAATAATACTTTATATTTACTTAAATTAATAAATATATAAATTATTTAAATATTTAAATATTTAAATAACTTAATAAAATAGCTAAATTTAATAATAATATTAACAAAATACTTAAAAATATTAATAATGCTTTTATATAAAAACTTTAATTACTTTTTAATTTAAATAAAAAGTTTTAAAATTAATAAATTAATCTTAATTATTAAAATAAATTAATAATAAAAGTAAATAATACAATTAATTAAATATATATTATTATTTATAAATATATAAAGAAAATATTAAAATATTAAAATATAAATAATAATTTACTTTAATGCTTTATAAAATATTTTATTTTTTAAAGTATAATAATATTTAAAAAGTTAATAATTATTTAAAACTTTAAGAAATTCCTTTAAAAAAAAGAAATTAATATTAAAGAAAGCATTAATAAGTAATATATTAACTTAAAAATATTACTTTATATATAATAAATTAAAGTAATATATAATAAATATTTTTTATAATAAAAAAAAGAATTATATAAAGTAATTAATATATATAAAC